TTTAGTACAGGCATACTAACTCATCTAATATTACCAATATCAGTGATAAAAAACTCGGTGTCAAAGGCTGGAGGCGAACAAAGACTCAGTGATGGATTGAGGCAGTCAAAAAGTTGGTAATGAGGACCGGTAACAGGCACCAGCAATCAAAAACTCGGCAATGAAAGCAGTAATACACACAGATGTCCAAAAACTCGGTAATAGATACAGGCAGTCTGGTAATGAAGGCTGACAATATACACAGGCAATCAAAAAGTTGGAGGTACACAGGTGGTCAAAAACTCGGAGATACACAGGTGATCAAAAACTCGGAGATCGACCCCCGGGGGGAGTCAATTACCGGCCCGGAGGTGACCCCCGGGGGGAGTCAATTGCCGATTGCGGAGATCGGCTTGAGCCTTGCACTTTCTATCATGGGTTTCTTGCTCTCTCTTTGCGCATTGTGTGAATAAAAATGGAACTAATGGGCACCCATTCTGTCTGTTTCGGTTGCACAGCTGGTGCAGTTTCCTGTCCTTTCAGAGTACAGTTCCTGTGTCTCAGTGATATGATAAGCTGAAGAATTGCTCTGGCATGGGTGCACCTATACATGCAAAGAAACACAGGCATGCAATAGAGTATGCCAGTTCCCAGATGTGCTAATGGGAGCTGTGGAATGCTGGTGCATTCATATTAAGGGTGGGATATTAATAAGCTCATATGAGGGGTGAGACGCCGATGAGCTCATATGAGGGGGCGAGCTCATATGAGGGGGCAAGCTCATATGAGGGGGGCGAGCTCATATGAGGGGGGCGAGCGCCGAGCTCATATGAGGGGACGAGCTCATATGAGTGGCAAGGCGCTACAAAGTTCATATGAGGGAAAGACACTGATGCACTCATATAAGCAGCCACTTTTATAATATGTATAGGTGGCAGGGTGTGAGGGCACTCATATGTGTGGCTATGTGGTACATATAGACGGTAGTAGCAGGTATAGAGCGCCCACTCATATGAGCTTATCCGAACGCCAGTAGCGGTGTATGTTGTCATTGATATGAACGCCAGTGGCAGGGTATTCTGTCGGCATGCGCTGGGAATTCGAGGGCGCACTCCGAGAGCGGCTGGGGTGTCTCCAGACGCCCAGCCCGATCTGCTCGCCAACGGACTTTGAGGCGGCACTAGACGACACCCTAGGGGCCATCTCGGCAACCATTGAGGAGTGCGTCCCTCTCACAAAGGAGCAACCCTACGTGCGGCGCTGGTGGTCAAAGGAGCTCGAGGAGATGCGCAAAGAGAAGGAGCGTCTCTCGCGCAAGGCTCACAAGCACAGGGGGAAGGCAAACCACCCCGCAACAACGGAGTACCACCGATTCCGGAACCGCTACACGGATCGCATCCGGTTGGCAAAGCGGGAGCACTGGACGACGTGGATCAGCGGCATAGATGCGGACACCATCTGGATCGCAAATCGTTACCTGCGCAAGGGCATCACGGACGGTAGCGCTCCACGTGTCCCGTCGCTCAAGTCCACTTCAGCCGACGGAGCCCCCTGCCTGCTCCACACCAACGAGGAGAAGGCGGCGGTGTTCCACAAGACCTTCTTCCTTCCCCCCGCTCCGCCACCGTCACTCCCGGAACCCTACCCTCCCCCCAAGTTCAAGTACCGTCCGATCACCCGGGAGCAGCTCCGCCACGCGATTGACGCCACGCACTCATACAAAGCAGCGGGCCCTGACGGCATCCCGAACGAGGTGTACAAGAACTGTGCCGATGCTCTGATCCCCTTCCTCCTCCCGCTCTTCCAGGCGACCTTCGACCTCAATTACTATCCCCAGAGGTGGCGCGAGTCGATCACTGTCGTACTGAAGAAGCCCGGAAAGTCCGACTACGCCTTGCCGAAGGCTTGGCGTCCAATCGCCCTCCTCAACTGCATCTCAAAGCTCCTTACAAAATGCGTTGCCGACGTCCTGCGATACGAGGCAGAGACACGGGGACTCGTGGCGAACTACCAGTTTGGGGGCAGGCCAGGGAGGACGACCTCCGACTCGCTCCACCTGCTCACAAAGAAGGTGAAGGACGCATGGCGACGGGGGAAGGTGATCTCTGCGCTCTTCCTAGACATCAAGTCTGCGTACCCAGCAGCTTCCCCCGAGCGCCTCTACCACAACATGCGCATGCGTGGCGTCCCCGAGGAGTATGTTGAATGGTTGCGGGTGAAGCTAGCGGGACGCACAACCACCATGGTCTTCGACGATTTCACATCGGACCCCTTCCCGATTGAGAGCGGGATCGATCAGGGATGCTCGGGCTCCGTCATCTTCTACATCTTCTACAATTCCGACCTCGTCGACACCGCAATCATCGACAACCAGGAGCTGTCCCCCGGGTGTATGGACGACGTCTACGTGCTAGCCGAAGGGGACGACTTCGAGGACGAGGGAGGAGATGGTGCGCACGACAGGTTGGATGAGGTGATGACCAGGGCGGGAGGGGGCTTCCAGTGGTCGCGGGACCACAACTCGGAGTTCTCCGTGGACAAATTCGGTGTCCTCAACTTCACGCGTCGCAGCGGGGCGGGCGTGGGGCCCCCACTCCGTCTACGACGCGGCCGCCTTCGACGAGACGACTTCCTCATTCCGGCCGCACCGCACCACCGCTTCCTTGGCGTCATCCTCGACCCTCGCCTCTCCTTCTCCTTCCACCTTGCCATGGTCATCGCAAAAGGGGCTGCGCTCCTCAACCTCTTCCGGCGCCTCGCCAAAGCCCGGTACGGATTCACGCCGGAGATGATGCGCCGGCTCTACCTCTGCGCAGTTCTCCCCGCCCTTCTCTACGCTCTCGACGTCTGGTTTACCCCCATTAGGGCGGTGGGCTGGAAGACGACACGACACGGCTCGGTGGGTATGGCGGAGGAGCTGGGCAAGATCCACCGTCGCTTCCTGCTCTTGATGACGGGAGGCATGCGGTCAACCCCGACAGCGGCGATGGAAGCCCACATGGATATTCTCCCGTTCCCTCTTCTTGCTGATCTCTTTTGCCACCGTGCTGCAGTGCGACTACGTACACTCCCCTCCTCACACCCACTCTACACCCCCGTCAGACTAGCTACAAGCCGATACATTAAACGCCACAGAACCCCCCTTTACGAGCTCTTCGACGCGTACACTGATCACCTTCCAGACAGAGACTCCATGGAGACCATCACCCCCGTCCGTCACCACCCTCGGTGGCGGGCGCATCATAGGATCAGCGTCAAGACGTCGAAGAAGGAGGCAACAAAGGACGAGGAACGGTGGGCCGCGCGCTCAGGCATTCGAGTCTACTCGGACGGTTCCGAGGTCGACGGCGGAGTGGGGGCGGCCGCAGTGCTGATTGTCCCAGGCAAACGCCCACGCATCCTCCGATACTTCCTCGGCCCCTCGCACACACACACAGTCCCGGAGGCGGAGGCGGTCGGCACCATCCTCGCCCTCGCCCTAATCCGCCAGGTCTGTCACCATGAGAAGCGCGCGTCGATCGCACTCGACGCGAAGGGGACGGTCGAGTCCTCCCTCAAGTCTGACTCTGGTGCGGGGAAGTACTTGCACGACATTTTTCACGCGGATTGGAGAGCACTACGAGCACGACACCCGTCACTTCGCCTCACGCTACGGTGGGTCCCCGGCCACGTCAATATCGAGGGCAACGAACTCGCCGACGAGGCGGCAAAAGAAGCAGCTGGGGGCCGCGCGTCACCCGAAAAACACCTCCCTCCCTCCCTTCACGAGCCCCTACCCGTCAGTTCGTCAAAGACGAAGCAGGTGTTTCGTGACCACCTCAAGGAGAAGGCGACGAAGGCATGGAAGGCGACGAAACGCGGCGCGGCGATGCAAAATGTGGACAAGTCCCTACCGTCCCGGTCCTTCCTAAAACTCATCAAACACCTCCTGCGCCGCCACGCGGTCGCACTCTTCCAGCTACGCACCGGCCACATCGCACTCAGAAAGCATCTCGCCACTACCACCCGGAAGGGCGGCGCCGCATGTCCCGTTTGCACAGAGGCGGATGAATCCGTCCGGCATTTCCTTCTGGAATGCCGTGCCTTCGAGCCGTGCCGCACCATCCACTTCGCCCCACTCGGCCGCAATGGGCGCACCCTCAAAAAACTGCTCGGCACACCGGAGGGCCTCATCCCCCTCTTCGGCTACCTGGAGGAGACGGAGCGCCTCCGCACGGTCTTTGGATCCCTTGCTCCACCGGAAACCCTGGCCGAGGCCCTCGAGGCGGAGAAGAAAAAGGAGGAGGCCGCTGCCGAACGACGCTGATCCCGATGGTCTCCCAAGGTAGGAGCATCCCGTCCACCGGCTTCGGCCTCCACTCTCCCCGAAGGTGTCCGCGTCGTCGAGCTCCCCCCTCCCCCTCCCATCCTCTCCCGGCTCACGTAGGCCATCTCTTTTCACCTCTCTCTATGCTCCTATCATCTCCTCCCTCGATACTCTTTCTATCTACTTCTCTCTACTATGCACTATGCCCCCACCTCTTCGTCTCTGTCCCTGCATCACGGTCCCGCTCTCATACTGTACATATGATACTTACCTTACACACATCTCAACCAGCTGCCCTCCGCAAGGGGCCCATCCTAGGCTAGCGCGGGTATCGCCCCCGCATCTCTCCCGCCCCCCGGGGCATCTGTGTAGTTGATGTCTGCCCCCCGAGTCGTGAACCCAGCCTGATGACCCCGTGGCCCAAGTGTAGCCCTTTGGCAAAGCTGTGCGAGTGTGGCGTGTACCCTTTCTCCAATGGCCATACGAGCTTGTACGAGTTTGTTCTTTGTAGTCATTAACAACACTCGTACGAGAAAATAAATGTAACACTTTGCTAACATTCGTACGACAATGCCATGTGTCAATGCCTCCTATAATGATTGGCGGCTGCCATCGCAGTCGGCGTGCCACATGCCACTGCCTGGCGGCCCTAACGGTAGGATATTCTAAGAAAGTACAGGAGCAGCAGTACGCAGTTGAGTGCTCCGTGATACGCATGTTTGAAGACTCACGCACCATTTTTCGCGAAGATATTGGCGAGTCGCCGTGGGTCTCGTACGAGTCGGCGCTCTGTCGCCGTCGGCAACACTCGTACGAGTCCACCCGATCGGCGGTGGAATTTGACGTGCCCGCGCGCATTGCACCGGTCGAAGGTGTGTGCTCCGTGATACGCATGTTTGAAGACTCACGCACCATTTTTCGCGAAGATATTGGCGAGTCGCCGTGGGTCTCGTACGAGTCGGCGCTCTGTCGCCGTCGGCAACACTCGTACGAGTCCACCCGATCGGTGGTGGAATTTGACGTGCCCGCGCGCATTGCACCGGTCGAAGGTGTGTGCTCCGTGATACGCGTGTTTGAAGACTCACGCACCATTTTTCGCGAAGATATTGGCGAGTCGCCGTGGGTCTCGTACGAGTCGGCGCTCTGTCGCCGTCGGCAACACTCGTACGAGTCCACCCGATCGGTGGTGGAATTTGACGTGCCCGCGCGCATTGCACCGGTCGAAGGTGTGTGCTCCGTGATACGCGTGTTTGAAGACTCACGCACCATTTTTCGCGAAGATATTGGCGAGTCGCCGTGGGTCTCGTACGAGTCGGCGCTCTGTCGCCGTCGGCAACACTCGTACGAGTCCACCCGATCGGTGGTGGAATTTGACGTGCCCGCGCGCATTGCACCGGTCGAAGGTGTGTGCTCCGTGATACGCGTGTTTGAAGACTCACGCACCATTTTTCGCGAAGATATTGGCGAGTCGCCGTGGGTCTCGTACGAGTCGGCGCTCTGTCGCCGTCGGCAACACTCGTACGAGTCCACCCGATCGGTGGTGGAATTTGACGTGCCCGCGCGCATTGCACCGGTCGAAGGTGTGTGCTCCGTGATACGCGTGTTTGAAGACTCACGCACCATTTTTCGCGAAGATATTGGCGAGTCGCCGTGGGTCTCGTACGAGTCGGCGCTCTGTCGCCGTCGGCAACACTCGTACGAGTCCACCCGATCGGTGGTGGAATTTGACGTGCCCGCGCGCATTGCACCGGTCGAAGGTGTGTGCTCCGTGATACGCATGTTTGAAGACTCACGCACCATTTTTCGCGAAGATATTGGCGAGTCGCTGTGGGTCTCGTACGAGTCGGCGCTCTGTCGCCGTCGGCAACACTCGTACGAGTCCACCCGATCGGCGGTGGAATTTGACGTGCCCGCGCGCATTGCATCGGTCGAAGGTGTGTGCTCCGTGATACGCATGTTTGAAGACTCACGCACCATTTTTCGCGAAGATATTGGCGAGTCGCTGTGGGTCTCGTACGAGTCGGCGCTCTGTCGCCGTCGGCAACATTCGTACGAGGCCACCCGATTGGCGGTGTTCATACTCCACAGGTATTGGGGTGGTACCACCATGTTCTAACAGGACCTTCCAGGGTGTTTCGAATGTCGGTATCATTATGAATCATACCATAAACACACTTGCTCTCAGGTTTCAACTTTTTCGCACTTATGCCATTCCGCCAGCATTTGTTACCGAACTTGCAATGGTTGCGTATGTGGTTGAGTGGATTGTTTGTACAGCTTACACCGCCAATTCGAGCGGGTTGCCAGTGTTAGCGCACCAAGCCAAAAGATGTGCAAGACGCTGCATTCAAGTGACAACTTGGCCATTCTTTACATTATGGATGGGTCTCGATATTTATCCCTCGCCTGGTGGAAAATTGCCGCGCTCTCATCCACCAATTGCTGCCACATCGCCGCCTGCCCGTTGGCGTAGCACGTGTGCCCTGGCAGATGCTTGGTCGCCTTAGCCCGCTCCTTCCAGTCCCTTTGGTGGCCCGAAAATGAGAGCACAGTGCAGTGCATCTCCAAGTCCAGAGCCTTCAGTTCTTCGCTCCACCGCGCCCTGCGGTGGTAGCCGCGGAACCACATGGACTTTTTGCCTGTTTCGTATTAGACCTATGGCATAAATATAGCAGGTGTGACCTTACTGAGGGTGTCGTATAATGGTGAGCCACCAACGTTTCCGGTAAAAGTCCAGATCCAGGAAGGGTGCTTGTTGCGAGCCCCGCGCAGTGTCGCTTCAACAATAGCAGTGTTCACTCCGAGGTCCGCACGTGCAATCTTCCGGTAAATGGACAGATCCACTTCTCTCTGGGCAAGGTCTTCGGTGCTGTCGTGGTCGTAGAGCCGGGTAAGGGCTGCTCGGGACAAGGTGTAGATTCTGACGTGCTTGGTCACCGTTTGATCGGCGACACTAATCTCGTTAAAAGATCGAAGGGATGCGCGAGTCGAGTTGGCGTTGCGGACGCCGGTGGCATAGATATAGGATTTAGTGTCGATCCCACGGCGAATGGCGTCAATGCAATCGTTCATCTCTGCTTTCCGAAGCTGCCGTTCGTAGTCAAGCAATCTTGTGAGCCCGTGTGTCTTAAGGTGCTCCACTCCTAGCGTTGATGGGAGGAGAATTGGGTGGTGTTCTGGGGCGCTGGTGTCGATTGGAATGGCATCGGTAGTCATATCATTGGAAGAGTAGTTCTCGAGGGTGTCCCATTCCGCTCCCAGGTTTTGTGGACCATCATAGGCGTCAACGATGGGGTAAGCCTGTGGAGAGAGAAAGACAGCGGCCTCGCGGTTAAAAGCTCGAATGTCGGCATGTAACCTTTGCCGTTGTTCAGCAATATTCAGCTTTGCATTGTCGTCGGAACGACGGCGGAGATTTCGGACGAGGCGTGAAATTACAACTCTGCGCATTTTTGGTCAGTCGTAAGCAATGAAGTACATTCTGGATGCGCCCAGGAATAATGGTGACGGGAAACGTGGGGCGCCCTCAGCTACCGAGCGCCCCCCATCGCCGATGGGGAGCGCCCGCGGCGAAGGGTGGATTTCATCGTCGATAAGGACCGCGGGTGTGGTCTCGTGAAAAATGTGATTTTGGTTCTCACCTGCGGCGGTCAATACTGAGTCCCCGGCCTATCCAAGATATTTCCGCAGGATTGGCATCATCAGGTAAGCTCGATAGCATCAAGTCCGCCTGCGTGCCCGCCAATGTCGGCACTAAAAAAGGGTTACCAATGCGCGACCAGATGGTAGTGGTGTCTCTCACAGGTATTCTTGACCGGATTAAAGATATCCATGGCAGCTGGGTCTGTTTTTCGTGCTTCGTTGGCGTGGTTCAGCTCTTCCTCCCACTCGCGGCGCTCATCGGCGGTGATCACTTGGTCAATTTCGCAGAAAGCCTTGCATGCAGCTCGATATTCTTGAACTGCAGATTTCCACCTTCGAAAGAGTGTAGATGCTGACCAAGCAATAAGCCCATTGACCAGATATGCTTCGCACATTGGGGCTCACCCATTCGCGTAAGCTTGATCCAATTCGAATCATTCATGTGGTCGTCCAGGACTTCACGTCGGTGAGATGCAGCCATGCCGCGAGTGCTGTCCCTGATGAAGTTAAGCGGCTTCCACAGTGATTCCAAGGTTTCTCCTGCTTGCATTCCTGCGCCCTTGATGAAGTTGAGTGAATACCTAGCGAAGCATTCCGGTTGATGCCCGTGAACGTGAAACTGGCCAATGGCCCAAAGGAAGGTGGCCGCAGCTGGGAGCTCCAGGAAGCTTGAGGCCTCGAACCTCTTGAACATGTGAATGTGATATTGGCATATTACGTCGTAGATGATGAGGTACGTCGCAAAGAATGGGAAGAACTTCATTGCAAAGCTTAGCGAGTAGTCCATGTTCCGTTGACTGCAGATCATCAGCAAAATTTCACAGGAGAATAGGAGATCCCACACACGCTTCGCCCTTCTGAAAATCCACAACAGTATGGGGGATGAAGAACTCGTGACGCGAACACGCTGCTGCGCCAATTCCAGTGGCGTCCAAATGGTCCTTCCCGCCAGTGTTTTCTTGCGTTGCACGGTGCTCGTTGCATGTCGCGGGTCCTGGTGGAATCTTTGCATGGAAAGCGTCAGGGTGACGTTCAAATGATTGTGGAAACGGCACGCACTTCTTTTTTTCTAGCAATGGCCTCAGCCAGATGCGCCTGGTATGGTCCCGGCTTCACCGTGAATACTTCGCCCTCCGCCAGTGAGATGTCGTCTCCAGGGTTCTTCATCCTCATGTGCTGTGCGCAAAAGTTGCCGTCTGACGCTATTGATGCTGGATATTCGAGTCTGCATTTGAACGAATTAGAGATCCGTGAACGCAAACTCCAAAGAAAATGCACCTCTCTGGACTCTCAGCCCAGCCAGGGGGCGTATTGATTCCGGGCTTCGGACATGCTGGACACACGACGGCTAATGCTCCCAACGGCAAGTTATCGAACGTGCTGCTCAAAGAGTGACCGAATCCTCGGTGCATTCTCCACTTGAGCACTCGGTACTGCCTAGATACCCTGAGAAGGGCCTTGTATCCGAGCTGAAATTGTGCCGAAAGTGAGCAAATGTCTCAGAGCAAGGCGGGCGAAATATCCACTCACCCGGATCCGTCCGTAAAACACTCCATCTGTAGCCCGACACAACTTCATGTGATAGCTCCACGGGGATGTTTTGCATTGTCGGTTTGTAAGCAGGAAATCGTCAAGGCAGGCCAAGGTGAACGCTGTCTTAGGACGCTTGATGGACCCAGGGTAGTACCCAAGAGAAAGCAGTTGCATTGCCTCAGAGGCCGCGTTTTCGCATTGGCAGAAGGTAAAAGCAAGTTTGTGGATGCCGTTTGTATGAACCACAGTGAGGATGCGTTCGCTTGAAAATGGTGGTATATTGATTTGGGGATCCGCAGTAGGAGGAGTCGGTATAAAATCGTCCTGGGTGTCTTCGATGAGCTCTTCTTCCTCATCGTCCCAGTCTGGATCGTCCTGGTACTGGTTGACTGTTGCATCAACGTCTTCGTCGGGCTCATCATCTGCGATCAAAAATGATTAGCCAACACGTTTTATAACATTACGATAACCGCATACCGCGTCCGTTGAGATCAGTCTCGCACCACGAACTCATAGTTAATGCTGGACACGGCCGGCCACCGTGTCCACAGTGAACCTGAAGTCGAAGTTCAAATAATGATGCGCGGCGCCAACAGCATTGGTTCCCATCCCAGCGATCGATTCGGTGATGAACGAGGCGAGTGTGCTCAACGCGGCAGCAATTCGAACAGAAGAGAGGACGACAGAGACAGGTTCGACACCTCCACATAGGAGCCCCACCGCATCTGCAGAATGTTTGCGGTGTCACTGGCTGGTGGTTCTCAAGCAGCGTATGGAGCATTTGGGGGCTTGAGACGCGAACTCCTCATGGTAGATTCGTTGTTTCTATGGTGCGTAAAGTCAGCATAAACAATTGAAAGCTTGCAAATAGTAAACCTTGTATGTAGCCTTTTGGCATCTCTGCGAAATCTCGACGTACTCCGGTGGGTGCCAATTCAACGGTTGATCTTCACCGGTGTGCGATGCAAGCTCGGGAGGGACATCTACTGCCAAGATTGTTTCTTCATGCTGTGGTAATGGGGAGAATCCGTTTGAGAGAACCCTGGCTTCGGAACGAACTTCTCAGGAGATATGTTAACTGGCCTTCGTGAGGAACGGCCAGCTCTACTTGTTTTTTTGACGGAAGTTGTGATGCTCTCAAAAACAAGTTGGCTAGGCGTGAAATCGCCTGAGGGGTACATTGGGCCTGCCGGTGGCTGAAAGTGAACAAGTGTGTGTAGCAGAGATTCAATGTTCAGAGTTCAGGATATGTTAGACTTGGGCACGGGGCAGCGGCCGGGGTGCGTGCGCCAGCATGAGGCTCGGGGATCTCGGACATCAGGAATGGTCAATTAGCGCTCATGATCCCACAGCAAGGGATTGTTGAGCCCTTTCTGTGAAGGCGACGTGGGGCATCATTTAGAATGACTGATCTCTCGTAAGGTTTCATGCTTGGGGCTGATGCATTTTATCGGTGTTCGGTGCCGATGAACGTTCTCGGTGTTCGGTTCCCACCGCGGCGATGCTTGTGGAGACATGTTGTTTCCGAGTGCTGCACGGCGACCTGGAAATGCGCATTGGTCTCAACGGCGTCACTCATGGGCATTCATTGCCTGCACAGGAGCGTCTGCATTTCACTACATGAGTGAATAATATTAATATTAGACTGGGCACGGGAGTACCAAATTAAGGTGCTGGGAACTTGGGGGTTACGTATGATGGGAGCGAATTAAATCGGCACCGCTGTAACCACATCCAAGAGCACTGGAGGTCCTAGTGCACACCTCAGCAGCCGTCCAGGGCGGAGATCAGCCAGGTTCGCTCCCAGCACCATGTGAACAGCAAGTGCGCGCTTCAAAACACATGCAAACAGTGCGGTGGCAGCCAAACGCTGTTGATTGGTACGAGATGGTTGCACCACCCCTCCATCCTCATACCCCTCATCCCTGCCAATATTACCGTCCTAACCATTTTCGAACCCCGTGGCCGCAAGACATGGCGACTCCGGCCATTCCCCATCTACTCGATGCGCAGTACCAATCCTTTGATCTCACGGTGGCAGAAGCTGACGCGCTTGGCACCAATGAGCAGCTGGTTCAGTGGAAGAATTCAGACAGGACTGGACGACAGAAAATGGAAGTGAACGCTGCCGAGGCACTCCTGGGCGCACGGGGAGTCGACCCTGCCACCCCATACATCGGGGGGTTTGTGGCGAAGGCGAGTGTTGCTGTGTGTCGAGATTTCACTCTGTTGACTTCCTTTCAGAAAGTGAAACAATTCTTTTCGAACCGCACTGCGGACCGCACTGAGGGTTCTCCGGCGTGGTCGTCCCTGCGAGCATCCACCGCATACCAACTCTTTGCCAAAGAACACAGCGAGGAGATCAAGGCCGCTATGGTGGGATCTGGTCCTGGCGCCTGGCAGACAGCTGCAGGAGACCTCTGGGTGGAGCACGAAGAAGAGCAGGAAGAGTATCGTAAAAGGCATCTGAAGCGAAGGTGGCACCGTTGACGCCAAAGCAGCAAAAAGAGTATGTTTTGATTGTTCCACACCACGCAACACTCACTGGTTTCCATTAGAAATGCAGAAAAGCACCTGCGGACTTCTGTGGACGAGTTCGTGCAGCATGCGTGGAGGTCATTTGGTGCAGCAGTGTTTGTCGTCACGGCCCGACCGGGAGATATCCCAAACAAGATCAAGGCGCACATGTAAGCACCTCGCAGTTATACTGGTTGCGATTGAGGGCCTGATGGGGTGCAGTGTCGACACTACTCAGTTCATCGAAGGCGCACCCCGACTCACAGAGCACGAGTCTTTCAACACGTCGACAATGAACGCAATCGCAGAGACCTTCCAGAAGATTGTCTGCTTGGGTGAGGAGGGCGACCGGTGAGCCTGTTGTTGCATTATACGAGCACCTGTTAATGGTGGAAACAGCTCCCCACCAAGTTAACGGGCGTCCTGGCAGCAAGAGAAGAAGAGTAGAGCGGTCATTGGTTCGCTTCCAGTGGCTTCAAGGCCTCCCTCTCATCTTCGTAGAGGAGAATGGGAAGCAGCTCGGGGCCCCCCGAATCGGTGAAGTAGTTCTCGATTACATCCGCATTCACTTGAGTACGTGTGCAGTGTTTTTCATATCAGGCATCCCTAACGACGCAGCAGGCTTGGCCTCCGGATGCGGTTACCTCCTCCCTGACGTGCCGTGGACCACCATGGGTGCTTCGCTCTCAGATTTCTTCCCTCATCAGTGGGTCACCAAGGGGTTCGTCGACACCTTCAAGTGCGTTACTTCAATGTCAGTCAAGGTCCTTCGCGAATGGATTCACCACGTGATGGAGCTCGAAGGACCTGCGATCCAGCAGGCTGTCGAGTCTGGTGATTCGGACGCCCCACTACCCAAGACAAAGTTTGACGTGCCGGCAGGTCGATTCCATCTTCTTCGTGGCCGTAAACCCTCTGCTCGTGCTCGCACCTCTGTATCCTATGTTGCGCTCGACATCATGGATGGCAACATCGAAACTAGGCAGCCAGCTCGAGCAAACAAGCGGAGGCGCGCCACCGCCAAGGCGAAGAAGCCCCGACAACCGCCGAAGAGGACCACATCCAAAAGGAAGGCCAAGGGCAAAGTCCGCGAGGGTGAAGCCGATCCAGACGAAATGGACCAGCTCGCGGACGATGAAGAGGCTGAGGAAGATGCCTGGAAGAACACTCTCGACACCGACGACGGCAGCGAAGACGACACCAGCTCTGACGACTGCAACTCTATCTCCAACGCCACTGCTGAAGACGTCCCTGTGCAAGAGTCCATCCCTGAGCAGGACTACGAGGGTGATGAGTACATTGAAATTGACGATTTTGTGGAAGCTCCTTCGGCGACGATCACAAACTGCCCCCTCACCCCTACCCTGGATCCTCTTGAACGCGCACCTAGCAACAGGGAGGCTCCGATGGACGTCCGTGTCGGAGATGAGTTTCGCTACCTGACCCAGCTCTGCTCGGAACCGCAGTGGCGTGACATGCTCAATAGAGTCAGTTCGGCGGTAAGCACTACATTGTTTCTATGAATGTTCTACGCCGCAGCTGACATCGGATTTCAGTTCTCCTCCAGAGCAATTGTTCACCCGAGACGCCCCGTGGAGTGGGCATACTGGCGCAACCGCACGGGTTATGTCACTGGCCGGATGTACCGGAATCTGACCGCGTACGGCAAGGCTCTGAAGTGGATCAAAGCACAGGCCGCCATCCGCAACCACGACCAACAGTCCGTTCAACGCTTCTGCCTCGCAGTCGGCCTACTGCACCGCGACATAGCACTGCGTTCGACTTTGGGCCCGAGACGAGCCACCTTCTCCGGACGATGACTTCCTCACACAGGTTCACGCATTCCTCGGCTTTGGCGCCGAGATCCTGGTACCTGACGGACAGTTCGCCCGTCGCATCGAAGAGCTTATGGATGCAGCTCAGGCCTTCATGCCGGACGGGTGGAGGGTTGAGCCCGTCAACCCGCTGGAGCGAGTGAAGGGCTCGAGCAGCCAGCGCGTGAAGACCGGCACACCGGCCAGCAAGCGCGACACGACCGGCGATGGACTAGCGCCTGCGACCGGCGATGGGCAGGCGCCCGCTACCGGCGATGGATTGGCGCCTGACAGCGCCACTGGCGACAAACACGGAGGAGCGGCCAAATCGATACCAGACCGGCTGCCCCTTCCTCTTCCGCCAGTTCGCAAGAGTGCAACGTCGAAGTCAAAGCTCAGCACAAAGGTTTTACCTACAATATTTCCCATAAACACAAGCTCACATTTCGCTTTGCAGCATGCGCCGCTTCGCCGAAGTGGGCGTCCCATCCATCTCACCAAGGCAGCCGTTGCCGCGAATCTTCGTCTTGCAAGCGCCGATCACGACACTTGAGACGAATTATTGACACTGGTGCAGAAGAGGCCCTGGTGTGGCCAGGCCACCGCGCTGCCTCTCCCGTACTTTCATGCCATCTTTGAAATTTACCGAACTGCGCTTCGTCGCGCGCCATTTCTTCCATGAATCTTATTATTTTCCTGAAATCTTATCTTCTCCTTGCGCTACGCTTTTGCACGCCCTCCCCAGAATTCTATCCATGTCGTTTGGAGTACTTAGTTCCCGTTTTGCGACTTCCATTCGGACTACTGCTATCGAGCATGCACAAATTATTCTACAGACCATGATACGTTGTTCCCCATCTTTGTGAATTACAACGAATGCACTGCGGTTTCGCGAAGAATCCGCATAACTAAGTTTTGGACTGTCTCCGATGGCGCCACAACATCGTCCTCATCACCCCAAATACCAACCATGTCTCGACGGTTGTACCAAGAGATAGCGATTCTCGTACCCTCGACCTCGGGAACGCCATGTTCCACAACGTTGGCCAAGACCAGCACCCCAGTGCCCGGCCTGTACGGAACGGAGTACCCGAGACTTTGAAGTCCGATATATGCGCCGTGTCCGTAATTTCCAAGGGTGACGAGGAGATCGTACCAATGGCGGAAGCTATTCACATCGCAATGGTAGGGAGTTTTTGGTTGAAGATCATCTGCAGGGCGATCCCTGTGACTGGCCAAGGAATTCCCTCTGGTAAGTTCGCCTGGAGATACTCGCCCACTTGCTTATGCTGGCTGGGGACGAGAATACGTAAGATGGCATCCAATATTGCGCCAATTCGAGTGATCGTTTGCAACCAGCCTTGGACTTGGCCTCATAGAAGTCTCGCGACTCGCGAACTTCACCGGTCTGCAAGTGTGGCATATGAGGTTTCACGTAGTGTCGAAAAACGCTCACACGTACGAACACGTCCTTCATCTGCGGAACTATCCCAAAGATGCCGCAACCTCCGTCTGCGTTCGAATTGAAGAACCCCTTGAATTTACGCCAGGAAGACGTCTGCATTGTGGGCTTGTCAAGAAATGTTTTAAGCTTTTTGGTGGCATCAAACAGGTCATTCTGTGGGTTTTATCAGGGACATCACCCATTCGAGTCGAAAATGTACACACATGACGGGCTGCTGACAACAGATCGGGGAGTGCCCAGACAAGTGGAACCTGATCGGCGTCGACAATCACGCGCCGCTGTGGATTGCATGGGGAATCCCGCAATCCGTCACCGCAGGGACTGGAAACTCGCGCTGCAGACGCGCTTGCTCCGAGTCTCTCACTACTCCATGGCCCTTGGGCAGGACGTTGATGTGTTCTGCTATCGTCCAATCCATCGAATCTATTTCCCAGTCAACATTCATCTGCCTTGTCAATACCGCACATGCGCACATTTGTTGTGGATCGCCTCTTCTATAGAGTCAACCGCGTGGATGCAGTCTTCGAATATCTTCACGTCGAGCGCTTCGGGACAATCAATCTCAGCCCCCTTTGTGGGCCGTCCTTGCAGCCTGCGACAGATGCGTCGTCCAAGGGCAGACTTCATGGTGGTATAAACTGTTTCTCGAAGTTTCAAAGCCTCAGTGTCATCCATGTCGGTACAGTGTGACGGTGAAGTGAACGAATGCGAGTGCAGCCGTGGTTGGATGCGACGAGTTGATCTCGCTTTGATAGCAAGATCCACGAGATCCGTGCTTCCGGTCACGCGCTGCAACCGCAGCACCGTAACTTTGCATTGCAGCCCGCATTCGCAGCCAATGATGGATCGCATGAGGGATTCTCGAATTCGCGTACATATACAAGTACAGGTAGTCTGCAATGCGTGCTCGTATAGTATAAACATTGTCACGTCCCATCTCTGTCTTGGGCCTCACCACCACCGGCCGGCACTGGCAGAGCACCCGTCCCGCCCGCTTCCGCGCGAGGTTGTGGTCGACTTAGCGGCGGCAACGGCGGCGACGTGCTCGTCCACATTGCAGCTACGCATTACCGGTCGAAGATCTCGAGGCGCCCTCCTCGCTTTGGAATCCGAATGAAGACGCTACGGATGTCGATCGCGATGCCGTGCTCGACCTGGACGGCGGCAGTGGCAGCGCAGAGCCCGAAGGTGATGGCGCGGCCGAGATTGAGGAGTGTCTGCTGGATCCCACTGAACGGGCGAGCTGCCCCTGCATGCCCATGCGTACTGCGACGGCAGGTCAGCATGAACCGGTGATGTTTTGAAATTCATACCTGACGGTGCGAACGGCGAGCGTGAAAACATAGATCCAGCCGCCTGAAATCCACCGCCGTGCGAGAAGAGGATCCCGTCCAGCTGGCCACGCATCTCAGCGACTTTGAGCTCGAGCTCTCGCGTCCTCGCAGCCTGGTCCTCGAGGCGGTTGAGGAGGATGTTGTAATCCCCACGGGAAACAAAATCCGCGTGGTTGGATGGCGCAATCCCGGCAAGGCTGCGGAGCTCCTCCACCGGATCTGTGGGAGAACATGCGTTGGCGGAACGTTGCGAAAATCTCGACCTGTTCACAAGAATGAACGTAGATCGACTGCGATAAGGAAAACTTACCAGGAGGCGGTGGTGCCTGATTATGCGGAGCCAGTGACTCGGGTGTCGGTTGAGGGCGCGCTGCAACACCTGCAGCATGCCGACGCTTCTTCGCCGGTGGCTTGGCGGCCACAAGGCCTTCGCCATCCGCATCCTCTTGTGGATCTGACGCGCATTAGCCTGTGAACAGCATCAACCCGGAGACTCAACGGCCAAACTTACCAGGGTTTTCTGCGCTGATGGGAGGTGGGGGCGCCCGCGAATTGTATGGATAGTTTTTCTGGCACGTCACGCAACGTTAGAATCTGGAGTTGGGAATGAAATCGAAGTGCTCACCCTTATGTAAACCTCATCGGGAAGGTTTTGGACAGGTTCCATATCGTCTCTGTGGAGTGAGTACGCGTCCGGGTTGCCGCGACCTTCTGTCTCTTTATCGCCAGAGCTTCCTCGGAATGCTTGTGATGTTCGCGCCACCACTCCTTGAACCAAGTCGGAACCAATGTTGTGTTCCCATCATAGCCCACACCGTCGATACGGGAATGGGGTTAGGGTAAATGTGCGGATTCGCCCATTGCACGGCGGCCTTATAGGCGCCGTAGCCTGGAGCGAAACCCTTCTTACTAGGCGAGAACTTGGAGAGATCGCACCCGACCGAGCCCCCTTTGCATCAATGGCAATTCCCCCCACTCACGGGGAAGAAGATGCAGTCGACGTCGGCCTCTCGGCAGTTCCTGCATCGCCAGTCATAGGGGTCCTTGTCGGTCTGTGCGGTAACGTGGTTAGACCAGTCTCAAGCAGCAGCGCATCCGACTGACCGGCCGTGGTGCCCGTGCGCACGGATAGAATCCTGGTGGGGGGTTGAATGGAGGAAAGAAATCTTCAGGTGGAACGTATGGCTCTGAGGTGTTCGAACGTTTTGCAGGATCGTCGGACGCCTCGCCAGCGGTGCCCAGACTTCCCTTACCAGTGGCAGACGCCTTCGACCGCGTCTGCCGCTGGTCAACATCTGACATCTCCGGGGAAGAGGCGCCGTTCGTAGCTGAGTTAAAGCATCAGCAGAATATCGCAGCATACGTTGCGCAGCTCAGAAGCACCCACATTCCTCTGAGGTGTTCGCAGGCGCCTCCCGATGCTTCCGCTTCTTCGTCTTTCTCCTTCGTCGCTTTTGGGGCGTAGGCTCGCTGCTACATCGCTCGTGGGACATGCTTGTTTGTCTGTATGAAAATGTAAGCACAATGCGCGATGAAAGACTGCCTCTATTGAACTGCTCACCACACGGGGGTTCAGGATCAACTATAATATCTTCCGCGTCCATGGATTCGTCGCCAGTCAATGCCTTTCGAGCTGCAGTGGCAAAGGTCGGCGGTATGCAGGACATGGGAAACGAGATTCGCACCGGAGATCGCCGATCGCGATTCGGCTGGTGGTTTCGAAAGGCGGTCGGCTGGAGGAATCACCGTGGACGAGGAGGTGACGGCAGCCTTGGACGAGGACGCCACGGCAGCCTTGGAGGAGGAGGGGACGGCAGCCTTCGATGAGGACGCGACGGTAGTTCGCGGTGTAACTGGCGACTGTTGAACGCCAAGCAATACGGAGACTGGAAAAAACTCACTGCATTCAATCCAGCTCTTTTTCTCCATGTCCTTCCACTCCAGGACGGGGACATCACCTTGATCGTTTGCCTCCAAACCAAAGTCGAAGCCGTATGCTTCCGCCGCCTCTGCGTTGCTGCTGAATTGTCGGATGTCCCAGAGACAGGGGACGTACGAGGAGTCGTGGAAACCCCTCTCCATCTCGTAGCAAGCGTAGAGGGCTCTGCTCGGAACGCTCTTGAAGCGTAAGCGTCCTTCGTAGAACACCCTGTGGACCTCACCAATGGCGAACTCCAACCATGGTGCCCATGTTGCGATGTTGGGGCAGTGGGGTGACGGGTTCTTCAACAACGCATAGTGTACTTGAGACGCCGCTTGAGCGAGTTCATGTTGTGTGACGGGGGGTCGTTGTGTTAGAGACATGGCAGGAGAGAGGGTGGAGAAACTGTCGGCGTCAATCGTCATCCCACCCGCCGTCTCATCGCCGATGATCTTCGTGGGAATCGATCGCGCCATGGGCATCAACTGGCACTCGGGCGCTTTGATGGCGTCGTGCTCAGAGCCGTATTACCGTCATTCAACGTCTCTGTTCTGCCCAAATGGAACCTCAAGGTCTCGCATTTATAGGTAAGCTTTGGCCAAACTTTTACGCATTTGTTCGCCTAAAGAACGTTTCAGCAGGTCCAACATCTGCATTAGGTGGTGGCATCGCACGCGTCGTTGGGAAGCGCCGTAACGTTGCTCATCGAGCATAGATCCGTTGCGGATTCCGAGCAACCAGGTTCTGGCCCACTCTCGGTTTGGGACTCGAAGACAATGCCGTCAACCGCCGCCAAACTTTTCATCCCTTCGCCGACTTGCACGTCGAACAACTCCTTAGCCGCGACTTCCACTCGGCTCCCAACCCACTTCCGTGGCAACCCGGCGCAAATTTGGACTATTCCCCGCACAAGCCGGATGCACCTGCTGATATCCCCCGTTGGGTTGCTCTCGTGGACCACTATTCGGCAACCACGGCCGTCACCCTGCCTCACATCACCACCTTTGGCCCAGAAACTCTTTCCGTGATCCATCCAGGGGCGCCATCCTCTCGGCTGCCTATATGGTTTGTAGAACTCTGGGTTTTGCTATCTGACGTTTACAGCATGCGTCGGGGATATCTACGCTCAAGAACGTGGGTGCTCCACATGTGCGACACTGGCGCGTGGCCTGTTGCGGAGTGCGAGGACGTCCTTCGCCACTTATCTTTCCTACCGGCCACAGACCACGTGTGGCGACACGCCGCACCCCGTCTCGCCTCGTCCAATCAATGGATCAACTCAGATGTCCTCGACCTCGTCGCAATTATGCTCAACTCCGAGATTCGTGAAACGCCTCTTCGAGGTGTCGCGTTCGTCCTTTCCCCCGGCGTTTCGGGCTACTCGGCGAAGAAGCTCGCGGAGAGGTTCTCGCGTTGGATTGTTCGCCGCGTCTTCCAAAAGGATGCGACGCTGTACATACCTTGGCACTTAGACTCCCATTGGATCACCGTCGTCTTTGACATCGCTCTTGGCATCATCAGGTATGCCGACTCAAAGCCGTTGTATAGCACCACCTTGCTTCCAAGCGCAAAGCGCAAGATGGGGAAGGTTTCGGCAGCCATCGACAGGGCGACTGGCAGGCCGGTCCGCATGTGGAAGTTCGACAGCAAGTCAATCGCTGCGAAGAGCAGAAAGACGACCATTCTTGCGGCGTCGCTGCGGCTTTTACCATTGCGCATCAGATATTCCCAGACCGCAGTCCGTGGCAGCCAGGCTTCCCGATCAGCTGCGGCTCAGCCTCCTTTTGCAGCTCTTGGCCGTGCGCCTCAGGTGCGTTCACTTTCTACCAACCCATCAAGTTCATGATACTCACGGCTGCCCCAAATACAGACGAACGAAGTGCATTCTAATTACGAGAGCATCTGGGAATGCTCCGACTTACCGCCTTCCACCAATGCGCCAACTCACTACCCTGCATCAGCCGCGTCGAACTCGCGTCTTGGACTCTCCTCACCGCCTCCACCAGCGCTTTCCCAAAATCTGCCCACGCACACAGACCTCAGCCCCCCACCACTGCTGTCCAGGGAGCTCGCCTCGAAGGACACAGACAACCAGCCAACGAACCATGGGGCAGCCCCACCACCGAAACATTCCACAAGTGCTCCCTTCTCCTCATCCCGCGGGGCGCCCCGACTCTAGCGACGCTCGAATGCCCGCCCTGCCATTCAGCGGACCCTCAACATCGACGCTCGACCGCCCGCCGTCTGCAAAGCTCTGGAGGCCCACGCCTGCGAGCCTAGATCATCCGTTCACGCCATTCAGCAGGTCTGTCCCGGCGAAGCTCGAACGGCCACCGCCACCATTCAGCAGCCTCTCATCGGCAACGCCCGACCGCCCAACGGCCTCGCTGGAAAGGCTTACGCCTGTGAAAGTTGAAAGACCGCCACCGCCGTTTGGTGCAGCCGCGGCTGTAGCACTCGACCGCACGCCCACGCCGTTCGGGAGGCCGCGCCGGTGCGGCTCCAGCGACCGCCACCGCCGTTGGATGCATACGCCTGCATCACTCGACCGCCCCACCCCGTTCGGGAGGGCTGCGTCGGTGAAGACCAACCCGCGCCGCTCAGCAGCACCTCCCCGGCGACGCTCGACCGCCTATCCACGCCGTTCGGGAGGGCCGCGCGGTGCGGCTCCAGCGACCGCCACCGCGTTGGATGCATATGCGCCGCATACTCGACCGCCCACCCACGCCGTTCGGAGGGCCGTCGGGAAGACAACCGCCGCCGCCAGCAGCACCCCCCGGCGACGCTCGCCGCCTTCCACGCCTTCGGGAGGCCGCGCCGGTGCGGCTCCAGCGACCGCCACTGCCGTTGGGTGCGTCCGCACCTGCAGAACTCGACCCTCCGCCCGCACCCTTTGGGAGAGCCCCACCGACTGCCTTGCGGTCGTTGGCGTGGTCTACTCTAGAGCGCTTCTCAACGAGCAGTATGCAGGACGCACTGCTGAATATCGAAGCACCACCTGCGCCGTTTAGAGAGCCGGCCATCAAGACGCGGCAGTTTTCATAGGGCTCTTTTATGCCCAGGTTGCGACGCGCGTCAGCTCACTTGGAGTCAGCACAGATGTAGGCGGTACGACCGCGAGCTTAAGCCGTACAAAAGAATCCCGATGAAGATTACTTGTTCCACGTTTCATGTATTTTACAAACCCTCTCACACTGCGCATCCTGCTCTTGACCGAGAATGACACCGTTTGCCATCGCGTGATAGATGTTTTGCAAGAAGCCCATCATAAACTCCGAAAGGCGGCCAATGGTAACAAGAGTAGTGTAGTGGTACCTTCCCAGAGCCAACTGGAAAGACTTGGCGATGTAGGCCGGAAAGTCTATCGGCGATCAAAGCCTACGCCGACCGCCCCTGACTCCATCGGCGGTGGTAGGCGCCCATTAGCCGACCGGCGTTACACCAACGCCGTTGAGAACCACTGGTCCTCCGCGCATTGGGGGATTTATTCAAAATTACTTCCTACCCCTGCACTCCCTCGTCAGTCCTCTAGTAGGGCGGTGTTCAATTCAATGCAGAAATGGGTTGAAAGAGTGCAAGAATTCAAAGATCACATATATTACTGCCGTCCATGTAGGAACGGTCGGTATCGCTCATCAAGAAATAACAGGCATCGAGTACAAGGGAGAGGTGGCGACAAAAGGGAGTGTTGGAAGAGGAGTGGCATAGGGAAACTCGCAAGTATCTGACGTGGCAGTGGATTGACAGGGGGTAAACTCAGCGCGATTGAAACTCCACGAAACATTGTCCAAGCAACTCATCTCGTAAAAACAGCTGATGAGTCCGGTTTTTAACACACCGCGTCCAGCACGTACAAGAGCTGAGCGATGACACTGTACGCTCGAGGTTGCACACTGCGGCCAACCTAGTGGTCTGCTTTCCCACCAGCGGTGCCGGATACATGTGAGGATGCTGCGAAATAACATATAAAGTCTGCACTCACCAGTGCCGAGATACAATTCGCCACTCTCCCTCGTGATTACCCACTCTTCAGACGCGCCGCGCTGTGGGTAGCGAGGCCCTCCTGGGACCATACCTACAACGCCGTGGCCCCTGAATGACTCCGCCGATGCACGCGAGTAGCGCGAGATGCCGGGGAGACGTGGAAAGGAGGACGGCGAGAGCCGTGAACCAGACCCCTGGCCGACGCCCGGCTCCAACGCCGACGCAACCGTCTGTGCCGCCATCAAGTTCGCTGACCCCGATGTGTCAGAGATGGGCAACACCAGAGACGCCGAGTGCGTTGAAGTTGAGGAAGAGGCCACGTGGGAGGCCTGAGCGGGATCCGAGACAGACGTGCCGAACGTCTCTGAGGCTGGCGGGACCGGGACCCCACAAGCGCGCCCAGCAGCCGCATCTCCGGTCGACGGGACCTCCGTGGAAGAGCTTTCTGGGATGGCAGCAGAAGGGGTGGGTGCTGACGCGTAAGTCTTCGGGAATCCAGTGGACCAGTGGGTGCATCCAGATGAGTTTGTTGTGGTGGGGGACATGGGGGGACGGGTGGCTGAGCGTGCGAAGCCAATGTCTGGATAAGGCCCTCGGTTTGTCGAAGGGCTGTATGCAAAGGTATCAGCGACGGGGATGAAATCCGCAGGACCAATATGGTGGAACCCACCACGAGAGGCCAGCTCATATTCGTCCTTGAACCCATCAATCTGAGTGTACACATAGGTGGCGCGGTCCCGGAGGTCGACGACAGATTCTTGAAGGTCCTCGAGCAAGAGGATCACTCTACCGTATACACAACAATGGCCATAGGGCCGCTCGTCGTCGGAGCCAGTCGGGGAACTACGTCGACTCACGGGTTCAAGAGGCAGTGGTTGACCGAGCGGCGAGGTGCCGGGGGGCCCATACCTGGGCTGGTAGGAGTGGGATGGGGGAACCGGGAGGGGCTGGCGGGAAGCCATCGGAGTTTGCTGTGTCGAGGTGTCGTAGGCGAATGGGATGGGCCGGCTATGAGCAGCAGGAAGAGGAGGTGGGGGAGCCGCCCGATCGCGGTTGCGCTCAGCGCCGATGGCAGGGGAGTCGGGCCCAGGGTCAGCCGGAGTCACGCTCACAGTGATTGTGAAAGGCATTGAGGGACGCCCAATGGAGGCGATTGACGAAGCCTGCATTGCGGTGACTACGAAGAGCTATGGGAAGTGGACGACATGGAGGGAAAAGAGAAACTCACAGATGGCAGCGAGGAGCAAGAAGCAGCGGGGTGGATGGATGCTCACTCGAGCCCAGTCACCCTTAAGTACGTGGCCCAGCTTCGGCACCTGTCTTGCTTCGGTGTCATGAGCAGCGTCCGCTCAGCGTGCGGTTTCTGAAGATGGCAGTATTGATTCCTGAAACCACGCACCTTCAACAGGATTGCTTCCATGACGGGCACCTTCCAATCAGGTATAGCCCTCAACACATAATCCCCGCTTTGTCTTTCTTGAAAGCAGCATGCTCCCAGGGGAGCAAAGCCCCCATCCGATACTGAGAAGTGGAGAACAGCCCTACACATGAAAGATAGAATGCAAAAATTCATGAGAGCTATCAGCGTGTGAAGAAATACGGTGGCGGGGCCCGCTCGCTGTCACCAACGACAACTGACGATGCGCTGAGAAGGTCCATCTGCATCCGATGCGATTCCAGGAAGCATACCATTTGAGCATCTGTCTAGCTGCAAACTTGTACCAAAATTTAGACATCTACAGGGCCCACTGGAGATCATGTCCGATAAGAGCCTGCGGGAGGCTAACAAGAGTCTGTGGTGAAATAGCGGACTGGTACGGGGACTTAGGAAATGGCAGCGCCGTCGAACATAGGGTGGGGTGGAGAACGGCACAGTCAATCATATAGCCGATTAACAGGAGACTTCGCTGTGAGAAGGGAAATGCAGTGCCCACAAACGGTAACCACGAGTGCACACGGCCAGCAGGCCCCGTACCTGAAACCTTGTTGCAGCTCACGGTCGGCAAAACCTTGACCAATGCAATGACGCATTAATCAAAGCCACATTTGGGCCCTCAGAAAAAATCATCAGGTTGGGGCAATACACAGTGGCGATGCCGACGCAGTCGAAGGACCGCTGATAACATCACAAGTTCGGAACTGCAGTGAGCGTATTGTTGTTCCTCTGCCCATCGCACAATGAACGCATCAACTAATATTTATCAGGTTTCCCGTTTCGCCTCGTACGAGCATTGCCCACACCTACATTCTCGTACGAACGCAGGTCTGTTCTACACACACCATCGCAGATTACGCACGGAATTGAATGCGTCTTTTATCTCTTCGCTCCGCGTGCGTTTTCGCATTCAATGAACTCATCAACTGGTATTTATCAGGTTTTCCATTTCGCCTCGTACGAGCATTGCCCACACCTACATTCTCGTACGAACGCAGGTCTGTTCTACACACACCATCGCAGATTACGCACAGAATTGAATGCGTCTTTTATCTCTTCGCTCCGCGTGCGTTTTCGCATTCAATGAACTCATCAACTGGTATTTATCAGGTTTTCCATTTCGCCTCGTACGAGCATTGCCCACACCTACATTCTCGTACGAACGCAGGTCTGTTCTACACACACCATCGCAGATTACGCACGGAATTGAATGCGTCTTTTATCTCTTCGCTCCGCGTGCGTTTTCGCATTCAATGAACTCATCAACTGGTATTTATCAGGTTTTCCATTTCGCCTCGTACGAGCATTGCCCACACCTACATTCTCGTACGAACGCAGGTCTGTTCTACAAACACCATCGCAGATTACGCACGGAATTGAATGCGTCTTTTATCTCTTCGCTCCGCGTGCGTTTTCGCATTCAATGAAAGTACCAGCTGATATTTATCAGGTTTTCAGTTTCACCTCGTACGATTGAACACTTAACGAATGCACCAGCGGTGTGGAGCCACAACACTGCCGACGCATCTGTAGGACTTACATCGAAAGGAGGGCCCCTGTGGCTTTGCATAATAACATGACAGTGACGGTCCTGATGCCATCATGACACATCAACGCTTTATTGGAAGATGAAGCCCCACATATTTGGTGGGATGGATTTAATTCGTACGAGCTTCTACAATTGGTACACAGAGTGCACTCGTACGAACTCGCATCACTGTTACAGATGCGGTACGCGGCACGTCGCATAGGCGTCGCCAAAGGCAACAGCACTGCCACTGAGTGGCCTGATCGCGTAGATTTAGACTTTGTACTGTACGCCTACCATAGGGCTCTGCCCTCGAGGGCGTTAAACGAGGACGACAAAAAAAAAAAAAAAAAAAAAAGACCGAAGGGCCGAGGGCGGTTGAAGAAAAGGCGGAGCGGGGGCGGGGACTTCGGTTTCGACAGGGAGGTGTACCGTGGGGACTACCCCGGGGAGGGATTGCTGCACGACATCGACACGCAGTGGGGCACGATGCCCTGGGGCGGCGCGATGGAGGTCTGTGGGTGGGGGAGCGATTGAGGCGCGTTTGGGTCGTGCTTCTCGTCTCGCTTCTTGTTTACCGGGGGCAGTGGGGGGGGGGGGGGGGGGGGGGGGCACAAATTACAATACTATATGAACAGGCCTACTCGTACAACATTTCGGGGTCCTCACGCAGGCAGTCCGCATCACCGTGGACGAAGAGGCGAACATCGGCCCACCAATCCCAAGGGAAGTCGTCATCGGCCCTCCATCTCCACGAACGCCCGAGCCAGCTCTGGTTGAGCGCAATCACCTTTGCGAGAGTCTCGCCGCCACATTCCTGTGTACAGAGGGCGACCATGCGCGGCAGGCCAGTCAGCTCCGCCTGAAAGATGTCCGTGATGTAGTAGAGGTTCAGCGCCTCGAGGTAGTAGCCCACCCTCATGCACGTCATCAGCAGCTCCACGATCGAGGTTTCCCTCTGGTCGACGTGCAGGAGCAGTGTGCGCAAGTTGCGGAGAGGGCGGAGCTGGCGAGCGATATCCTCCTAGATCCGTCACTTAGCTATGGGGTTTACGAAGGTCTGGCGCGTCGGATGAAGAGACGTACGAAAGCCCGCTTCGACTGACAACCCTTGCAATGGAGCGGCATACGATAGAGACCGAGGACGCGGAGCAGCGGGCACCCGCTCACCACGTAGGCGAGCAGTGCGCCCTCTGCTGAGTCGACCGTGTAGCCGAGCCCGAGAGACGTGAGCGACGCAAGGGGGCATTGGCGGAGGATTCGCTGCAGCTCCGCGGGCGGAAGCGCCACGTCTTTTCTGTGACAGCCAGCTCTCTGCTCGATGATATCATACTCCCACGTGGGCGGCCATTCGCGGAGAGAGAGGGTGCGGAGGGCGGGAGGGAGGCGTGACCAAAGGCCGTCTGCGGAGACGGGGTGCGTGACGAAGAGCTCTTCAAGCTCCGGCCAGGGAAAGGGGGCATCCGCCCAACTCTGGGGCCAGATAGGGTCGTTTTCGCCGCTTTGGAGGACGGAGAACTGGAGGTTGAGGGAGCGGAGGCGGGGCATGCGAGCGAGCGTCTCGATGATGGGGCGACCGATGGTTTCGGCCGGGGGAGGGAAGCCGTAGAGCCTAAGAGAGCGAAGTTGGGGCCAGTCGTGATTGCCCATGTCCCGCAGCGGTGCGTTCTCCACCGGGAGCTCCAGGACGTTCAGCGTCGCGTGAAAGGGAAGAACTATGGATTTGAGCAGGATGGCTTCGGACGTGTATTCTCGAGGTTCTTGACGCAAGTCGTCAAGAATGTGCCTGAATTCGGTGAGGCGTCCTTGAATTGTGAACCGTTCAGACCCCTGGCTGTGGCCGAGCGGATGGCAAAGAGTGCCCTTGACTTGCAAATGACGTAGCGTGGGGGTGTCGAGGATGGCGAGTATGATGGGCAAAGGAAGACCACAGACTTGGGGATCGAGCATCGACGGATCCAGTGCTGCACACATCGCGGTTAACGATGATCGAGTGGAGAGAGGGCATCCTCGAGGTAGCAAATCGCAAAGCTGCTGCTAGTGCCTGCTCTTCGACGATCCCGTTCTTTTGTTGAGCGGGAACGGACGGCCAGCCGTGGTGGCTCTCTATGCGCTCCACGCTGAAGAAGCCGGCACCGAGACTGAGCACGCTGCAGGGGGACGGGTGGGCGATGAATAAATTCGGCACAGAGTCGAGACTTACCGTACAAACGGCCAGAGTGATTGCGGAAGGAACCGGTCAGACCACCGGTAGATGAGGGGGAGCTCTCTGAACAAGAGGGGCATGCAGAGATCGCGCAACCACTTGCAAGTCCGCGAGAGGGGAAGGAGTTCGGAGGCACGGGCATCGCCGCGTTCGGATTGACGAACGTAAAACAAGACATCGATGAGGACATCGTTGTTCAAGGTGCGCAACGTTCCGTGCATAGGGGAGTGGTCTGACTAGTAGTAGGGGAGGGAGAGAGAGGAGAGAGAGAGATACATAAGCCGTCTACGCTAAGTAATACAAAGCTCCGGTCACATGGATTACCTAAGCGACCGCGACGGCTCGACCACAAACTCGAGCATGGTGACTATAAAGGTAAGTGGAGTAGTCGGACACGCAACCGAGGACGTATGTGCAGTAAACATGTGTAGAAGTACATAGTCGGAAACGTGGTCGTTAAAGACGGCAGCAGAACAAAGGAGTGACATAGTAAGGGGGTCGACGAGATGGACCAAGGAGTGACCCTACGGAATACCAGTGATTTGGACTGACATACTATGGCGTCGAAGAAATGGACGAAGAGGGGATGGGGAAAAGGCCGCAGGTATGGGGGTTTGCGAAATAGAGCTACACACCGAAACTGCTTTCACCCTGAGCCCAAACGTTTCAAAGTAGATTATGCCGTGATTTCAGGCTGGCCAAACCTGGAATACCGCTGCATAGTCACCGAAAAGGCGAGTAGAGCGTGGATGGAGAGACAGGGGTAACGAGGTTGGTGAATGCGGATACAGCCTGCGTGCAGAACAGAAGGGAGGGGGGTCGACGTTGCCAGCAAGGAGGAGACTAACGAAGACTCCAGTGGCCGGATTGTCGGTCCGGGCCACGCGTCTGGCTGGGTGCCGGGCGGGCCGCCCCATCGCCAACTGCACATGATCTTGCCCTCGCATCCCTCGATAAGGCCTCTCCTCGCCCCCATTCTTCTGAGACCTGGCACGGCGTGGGCTCCAGTGGGATCTAGGTCTTCGACTGAGCGTGGGTCTGAGGCGGACGACGACGAGGGCGTCATGACGGAGGTGGAGATCGAGGTGTAGTAGCAGTGGCGTGCGAGGTGTATGGGGAAGCGGACTGAGCTCCCTCCCCACGAGACTCTAGGACGAGGACGGGCAGTGAAGCCCGTTTTGGCGATGAATCTGCGGGCGAATTGGAGGAGAGGAGCATTAGTAGATTGTAATCACAACCCATCACCCACTAGTGAAGTACTTAAAAGCCACTGCAGCCACACCGCTACACCAACCTCTCCCTGACCATCTCGCACGCCCGCGCACGGTCGTCCATGACGCTCGACGCCCCCACCCACGCCATCTCCTTCTCGATCTCCGCCCCGACCCGATCGAACATATCCTTCGGGAACCCGCCCCGCGCGCTCTCCGCCGCGCTCACGTTCTCCCACCCCGCGCTCTCGAGGCTGACGATGTGCCCCGTCTGGCGCGAGCGCCGGTGGACGCCCTGCGAGACCGGCCGACGGAGGGCGTCGTAGATCTCGAGCGCCTCGGGCAGCGTCGCGCGCGAGACCCCGGGCTGGGAGAGGATCGTCGCGAGAATGAAGCCGTCCTATGGGCAGCGGTCAGCGTCAGAGAAGGGGATGGGGGGACGCGGAGCGAGAAGAACTTGCCTCGATGGCCTGACCGGCGCCGGACCCTTGGTTGGGCGTCATGGCGTGGGCCTGCGGTGTAAAGCAGATGGTCAGCATCACGGTGGGAGAGGGGCTGACCCGAGCGGCAGCACGTACCGCATCCCCAAGAAGCGCGACGCGACCCTTCACGTAGGTCGGCAGATAGCGAACCGTGTTCACCGCCCAGACTGACGGCTTCTCGATATTCTGAGATGAAACGAGCAGGGCGTGGTCGACATCAGCAGAGGCGGGTGCGCAAGAAGTCGTGGCGACTTGCCTTGGCGAGCAGTTGAACATCAGAGTCCCAGGTCGCATATTGCGCGGCGACTTCCTCTTGCGTCACTGGCGCACTCCACGGGCCTTCGTATGACTTTCCCTCACCATCAGGGATCCCGACGAATGCAGCTACGTTGATGAACTCTCCGCGCGAGACCGCGTAGGACATGAGGCTCTGATAGCGGCCGCGTCAGAGGATCCGACATAGCTATCAAATGGAATCGCTCACCTTGTGCTTGCCCACGTACTGAGGGGCCGCCCGTGATCGTTAATGACAAGTGCAACAATACCGCGGTGACACACTCACAATTATCGCGACGTGTCCGAGGTCCAACTTGGTGTTTTGAACCTGACCTGCGGGCACAAGGCCGCGGTACACGACCATTCCGGACCAGACAGGGTCGATCATCTCCCGCAACTCTTCCGCACGGACGCCCTCGGCTTCGTTCGCGAGCCCGGTGTACATGGTGTGTCGGACCGCAGACCGAATGCCGTCGCTTCCGAGAAGCAGGTCGCAGGTCGCCGTAGTACCGTCTTTGAAGGTGAGAGTGATCGGTTCGTCAATGAAGGCGGGCTCGGAGTAGGAGACAAGGCGTTTGGAAAAGTGAACGACCTTGTCCTTGTCCTTGACGTTGTCCACGAGGACCTTGTGGAGCTGAGATCGGTGGAAGGCGAACACTAGAGATACGGTGTGATCAGGAGGCAGTTCAAGCGCAGGAGGGTATAAAGTGCTCACTGTCGGCAGAGAAAGAATGAACGAACGGAGCGCCTTCCTCGTCACCCTTGTGATAGCGTAGGTGCAACGCGAGACCCGATGCAAGGGTAAGATACGAATGAACCGTCTCTGTAGCTGCCTCAAGTGCGCACCTTCCTTGTTCAGAGTGCCAGTCGCCTCGAGCAGCTGGTCCTCCAAGCCGATGTACCTGAGCACTTGCCAGACGCGAGGCCACATGGCGACGCCGGCCCCGATCTCGCCGAATTCGTGGGCGGCTTCGTATATGTCGATCTCATGGTCCGGGCAGTACTTTTGCAGGAAAATTGCGAGCAAAAGACCACCGAAGCCAGAGCCACTGCGTTCGAATAGTGAGCATGGATCATCTGGGTGCAGGCGGAAGGTAGCATACGCGATGGCGATACGGAGCTTCTGCGGGTTTTCGGAGGCAACCATGTTGTTGAGCGTTGTCGAGGTGGACGGTGAGGAAGTATGTGTTGAGTATGCTGAGAAGTTGGGTGTCCGTCCCGCTGGCCTTCATGCTTTATGCAAACGCAACGTCCGCTACTGCCCGTCCGCTTTTCCGGTGCTGATGAACTGCAGAGGAAAAAAGCGAGAAGGCGGCGGCGGAGGAATGTGAGCGTTGTGCAATCCTGCAGCGGGCAGGCTGTCGGGGCGTCAGCATCACTCATCTGCTTAGTGCAGGCGTTGAGTGCGCGGCATTGGTGGACACCGCAGAAGCAGAAGTCGCGCCCGCTGCTCGCGACGCTCGAGTCCGTCATGCCTCGTCCTTGCTCAGAGCGCGATGTCATCGGAGCGAAGCGAGACGCGTGGGAGCTCGTTCTGGGAAAGGGGGCGGAAGACACACCTTAACCCTAGACTCTTTGTCGCTGCGCACTGCGAGGTCGGCGCACATTCCTCTCCATTCTGCCACAACGAGTATCAGAGAGAGGTGAAGGCCACTATACTGCTGTGGTACCGGTATGCTCACAGATCTGTAGTACCCTGGACGACTTGTCCTCGTCTGCACCCCGCGTTCTTCCACGGTCAAACTCAACCGCTACTCGCACTCTCTCCCCGCCTGGCCATGTCCTCCGAAGCCCCTCGAGATGCGCACCAACGTCATCCGCCTTGCATGGCTACAACTTCTCGATGAGATCGTACCAAATTCGCTCGTCGACCCATACCTCGGAGCGCCGTTGGATCTGTCGAAAATCGAGATGAGAAGAGAATGGGGATGGTTCAACAGGTGCGTGCTCATATCTATCGCAGAACTACTGTCACCCTGACGGTGTGATCTATGCTCTTCCCATTGTAGAGCTAGACTCCAATCCACTCCTTGCTGAGGTGAACTCTAAGCTCCGGATATCGTGCTGCACAACGGTCGTGCGCGCAACGCCGGTTTCGAAGCGTACGCTCTCTGTCTGTCACCTTTCCGCAACTCGTCTCACGTGTAGTTCTTTCGTTCCTTCTCCTACGATAGTCCGCAACAAGTCGATGGATCAGTGGACATCCAGTATCACCGCTGCGGGGCATGGACGCGCTTTTCAAAACGATAGAGCCTGGCGACCTCGCGGCACTATCCCGCATGCGACTTGTCCCGTTTCGCAAAATGACCGAGGGATCGTCCGATGCGGGTTCGAGACACAGCCTTGAATAGAGAAGAGCAGAGAGCTTGCCGGACGGTGTGGTATGTAGTCATCTGCTGTTGTTCTGCCCGAAGTGATACGCATGCCCTTCCCCGGATAGTCCCCTACTGCCGTTTCGTGCCCGACTACCGTCACGATCCAGACAAACAAGATCTTGCTCGGGGAGGATGGGATGCGTCCGACCCAGACTCGAAGTAGCTCCAGCGAGTCAAAGACAAGAACATCAAATATACATCGCTTCCAAGGAATGAACGATGCCTAGTCGTATTAAAGTGTCGCATAACACCTTGTTTCTCGGTGTATAACCCGATCTATGGTGGTATTTTGCGCTGCCGTCGATCTCACCCGCATATTGTCACATCTGCACGTCGATGTGAATCAATCTGTATGCTACATACATAACCCAATCGTACGGCTCAACGGGCTTACAGTATGACTACACTGCTGGACCCTCACTGTATTGTACAAACGATCGCAAGGATTAAAGAGAAGATCGAAAGAGGCACTGAATCGCTACAGGTGTACCTGGTGCCCGTAGAACTCGTGTCAGTGTCGAACGAAACCATGTTGATGACGACGCAGACTTACCAAAAGTTCCGAATATTTGTGGGCGGTTCGGTCAAGCCATCTCCCTTTAGTGACGTTGCAAGTCTTGCTGGAGACACTCCTATTGCAGGCCATCAGTACGTTGCACAACCAACTTGCCAGTAACCTACTTACCAAAGCCTCATCCTTGACGACTGCGTATCCAACATCGATGTTGGGCGGATCCGAAATATCGAAGCCACTTTTCGACCGGCTCCCGGCCAGTGCCATCCCATTCTTGTGCTTTTGCACAACAAAAACGAAGGAGAGCGTCACGTCGTCTGGCACTACGCCAGGGAACAGCCGAGCGAGGATATTTGCGATACCAGAATCCTTCATGGAAGGCGTCTTACCGAGGGTCACCTGAAGGAGGGTGACGCGCTTGCCCGACTCTGATACCGCGAAGGCGTCAAAGCTTGCGTGAATTTTTTCCAACGGAACATGGAGCTCGTTACGAGTCTTGCTGATCGTGATGACCGACGTGGAATTGTCGAAGTAGCGAGGTTTTAGAGATTCCAGCGTGAACTTCTTCGTCGTGCTCAACATCTGGCAGGTGACATTCCGACCCGTCGCCAAGGTCCGCACAATGGTCATCGGCTCGAAGAAGTAGCCGGCGACGGCGTTGACAGCCGAGTACAGTTCCATCATGTCGTCTCGACGATGCGCCCTGAACTCGAGGAACTTCTCCACAGCCGCTTGCTTGAGCACAGGGGTAGGAACGTAGTGCGTGCAGGCTGGGCCGATGTTCGTCACTGGATTCTGCACGTTGTCCTTGAGCTCCAGCACGAAGTACCTGTGAAACCCAGAGGGAGGATCGACAAGGCCAGCTGGGTTTTGCAAGAATGCGACGAGACTGTTGACAGCTGCTAGGTCGGCAAGCTTGAGTTCGGGGAGTCCATGTTCTGGCCCTCCCAAGTCCGCCAGCAAGTCGCCTGAAATCCGCTGTACAAGGCGCGTGCATGAGCTGGGACACGGCCCAAGGATGGAGGAGAGCTCCAATGGAGTGTAGTACTCTGGGCCGCCAAAACTGACAAGACGTGAGCGTCCAAACATAGCAGGACTGTTAGTCACTCACGTCGACGCAAGAAATCTCAAGTCAACATCGCTCCAAACCTTCATGACATAGAATAGCGCACGCTTGTACTTCGCGAACTTCTTCCACAGGTCTGGCCGAGGGGAGGTGGCAAGGATGATGCGTATGGAGGCCGGCAATGTTATGACGACCTCGGGATCGACGACTGCATCAAGCAGAACTAGACTATTCCTCGGGATTCGGTAGATGCTGGAGGGTTCGATTGGCCGAACACCATTTCCCTCGAAGAGTATGAAGCAATTTTTGCTGATGCAGAACAAAATGGGGTTGTCGATCCTGTCGAACAGCCCTCGAAGCAGGGCATACATCAAAAAGAGAGATTTGCCTATCGGACGAGTGGTTAGCATCAGTCCTAAAAATGGCGCGGAACTGCGTGCCGATTCTGGGCTGCCCAAATATGACAAAATTCTCGGAAGAGCTCATGATGCACTTCCAAGCGGCTACGTACTCCTCACGAACGATGATGCTGCTGGGCGTCTTCTCATACCACGGGATAAGGGAGGCGATATCCTGACGAATACGAGATCCGTCGGCTTCAAAGGGATCCTGTTGGGGTTGCTGGCGGACCCGGAGGTGAAGTTCGGTCGCCCAGCTGTACGGGGTGACTGGAATGCATCACCGTGCCTCCGATTAGCCGTCAAACACCCCGCAGCAGCGGAACGGCTCACTTGGTGGAAGAATATAAACAACGAACACGACCACGTCCTCTCCCAGATCGGAGATATGCGCCTCGATTGAGTCACCCGGGTTCAGGAACTCACACAGCGCCTCGAGTCCCTGGTGTTTGATGTCGTCACTCAGCTGCACAATGCCAGGTGCTCCTAAGTATGGCTTGCGGAGCTAGCGGGCTTGTCAGTTCTCCGAGTGCAAGGAATAGATATGAGTAGAGTACCTTCTTCAACGATGCTCGTTCCCTCACCATCCGAGGTTCGCGCGCCAGAAACGCATCCAAGATCGAAAACACTTGAGCAGTGCGCGAGACGCCAAGGGAGATGAGCGCAACATCCCTGCCAGCTTCATACCTGTAAACCAATATGTTCTCCACGGTTATCGTTATCAGCAATGGGAATAAGCGGTAAATTAACTGCATACAGAAAGGTCCATCGCATCGTTCATGGGATTATCTTCCGGCGCAGCGAGAGAGAGAGAGAGAGGCGCTCATCCCTGAGTGCGGACGCGGAGGGTCATAGCACGTGCTTATGACGCCAGAGCGTGACTGAACCTTGTGTCCTTTCGTCCTCCCACATCGCGTCCATGGACGTACGCGTTGTTTCGACCCTCCCGCCTCCGCAGTGCTTTGGCACGGGGCGCATCCAGACAGGTCGTGGACGGCTGCCTCGTGCTCAGGAGGGCCCCTGCTACCAAGCTACTGTCACGCCCATCTCGTCTTTCCCGCTTGACTCTTTATGATTCGGCCTTGACACATGGCTTGGAATGTTGTTGGGCTCGTCGAGACAAGAGGAAAACAGGGATGACTCAGGTGCGTGTTCCTAGACGTGGCGGAGATGACTCCTGCTTAACGGTACTGCGTGCACTCCCAATGCAGAAACCCACTCCAATTCGCCACAAGTATTCGTTCCTGCTCGTATACACCGATACATGACTGCTCATGACCGATCATTTGGGTCGTGAACGCAATGTTCAGTCTATGCGTGTGCGTCGTTCTCATTTCGCCTTCCGTGACGCGTTTTACGCGTGGTTTCTGCGTTCAAAAAGCTGCGACAAACGATGCGCTTGTGGACGTCTCGCGCACGGCTCAGCGCGGTGAATTCCTTAGACACCACCTGTTCAAATCGGACCTTACCGCCGTCTGTCCTCTCGGGTGCAGACGTGTGGGTGGGCGCGTGGATTTTGTTCCAGTGTGCACAACACCTCAAACACTAGGTGTGAGTCCTCGCCCTGACGATTCTTTGGGTTAGCTAACATGCATACCCATAGATGGAAGATCGTCGATTTGACTCTGTGATTTTGTGACCGGTGGAAGCTCCTGGTGGTCTACATGACAGACGATGACGAAGAGCGCTCAGAAATAGACGTAGGGTCCTCGCGAATTCAAACGGAGCTGCACAACATAACACGCGAATATTCAGTTCATCGTCAGCCACTTGGTCTCACGCGGCGAGGCCGTCAGCTTTGCGGCGGCCGTCATGAACCCGGACGACGAAGGTCAGCAGCACGAAGGGCCATGGAGCGCCGCTGCGAGAGTCACAGAAGAAGTCACCGCGCATTTCTCGACACGAGCACCGACGTCCAGGCCATCGCCAAGGTTAGCAGCTCATCCTTCTCATGCGCACCTCCACGCCGACTCGGCTCCACTGTAGCACATAGAGGACTAGGGGCACACGCCATGACTCAAGTGTCCGGCGCCGGTCAGATTGTCGAGGTGGGTACCTTTCGCCTCGGTTCTCACTTGCCATGATCCTGGGGTAACGCGCGCGCTTCCCGCAGGACGTCCAGCGGTGCTCGCGTTAAATGCCTCAAGAGCTCGGAGATGTCGTGGGTGGGGCATTGGGACCGCATATGGGCGAACGTGCGAGATCGTTGGTGGAGTTCCACATAGGGTTGGATGACGTCTGCCTGTGCGTTCCTAAATATGCATTCTCGCGATGACGGTTGGCAGGTGAGACTGAGGTTACTTAGGGGCTGCCCACGGGTTCTAGTTTGCACTCCGACAACCAGTTTCTGCTGGCGCACCAGTCTGGTATTCGTCGTCACCATCTGCTGTTCCATCATGTCGTTGGAAGATGTGCCAATGTCGGATGCAACACAGATGGTATGCACTACTGGTCATGTCCTCGTACACTTTCACTCTGCTTATCACGTTCATTATGAAGCCCGTCCTCGTCTTCAAACACCTCCCTAATGGAACCATCGAGATCGCCCTCCTTCGTATCCCACCTTCGGAGAAAGTCACTGGAATGCTCGACGCTTTCTGGGCAAACCATTCCTATATACCGGTGGTGGGCGCATCCATTCGAAAGGTAACGTGGCACTTTAATCTGCTCGGCGTATTGCGTGAAGGAATCAAGTCCACCAGCTCCATAAGGCGCTCTCAGTCGGGTGGGACAACGCGTTGTATCTTGAGCAGACCATCAAATCCGAGGGGCTGGAACACGTATGCGCCCCATTGCACCCGGACGACCTCGTACGTCCATACATATCGAATTTGCCACCAAACGAGGCCGTCTTCATAGTCGATATACCCTCTACGCACTGTAAGCCACCTCGTCCAACACGGCTATCCTGAGTGCTTACCTGTGGCAGATGTCTCCGCCCCAGTCAGTATCGAAAGTCCAGCATCTCAAAACTGGGAGACCGCCATTCATCTCATGGTGCGTGTCAGGAAGGTGGATCCCTTCGAAGCGTTTGGGGGGTCCGGGGTGCGTGTTCGTCAGGACGTTCTCTCCGTCATGCAGCACACGATGTTCGATAAACCTGGGAGCCTAATCGTCCGCGAGGAGTACGTGAAACTGTGGGAGTCGATCATGTCACATCCGAAGGACAATTTCATCGTGTTTGGGCACCCGGGCATCGGTACGTGATGCAAAGTCATGCGATGAAGCGAGGCTCATAGGTTGTCTTACAGGGAAAACGCTGTTCCTCTACTACGCGCTTCTGCGAGGACTACGCGCGGGCCTCACCATTCTGTTCTGCGTCAGACCGAAGCGCTTCTTCCTTTTCGGAGACAAGGACGTCAAGGTCCTCGCATCGGACGATCTATCGGAGGTGCCGGAAAACGTTCTAGCACTCGTTGATGCCACGCTCGCCAAACCCCACGACTGGCTCGGCGAGATTCACTTCCGCGCCGTCCTCTCTACCTCCCGGAGACGAGCCTTGTGGAAGGACTTTGCGAAGTTTCGGAAGCCGCTCTTGTGGTGGGTCATGAGCTACTGGAGCTGGGAAGAAACAGGGTTGTTTGACGTCGGGTGAGTAGTTCGTTCTTCTCCCCTTGGTTAGACACTCACGTACCTCTAGTCGGACTCCTGAGGATGAAGCGTATTATTCTGCAGTTGAGCTCGCCTCTGTCTTTGGACCCTCACCTCGCGCGTTCATATCAAAACGTGTCCGCCGAGCCTCAGGCAACATACTCGAGGATATTCATGACGTTGGTTACCAGCTCCCTACAATACAGGTCGCCAACGATGCGTTGGTAGAAAGCTTTATGGGTTTCTTCGGTAATCCAGTCGGCATCGCCGAGGACATCTTTGGCTTCCATCGTTTCTTTCACCTGGCACTTCGGCACGACGCGAAGAACCCTCTGAGGGATATTGAAACTGCTTACATCTATCGCATTCCCACCCCACCCCTCTACGAACGCGCCGTCGCAGCGTTCGTGCGAGCCGATTTTCATGGCCAAGAGCACCGGCTCAAGACGATCTTCGACGTCCGCGCCTTTGATGCCTGGTGCGGGCTCTCACGCACCCCGGGCGAAGCCTCGAAAGCAACGTGATCGACGTTGCCGTCTAAGTCCGTACTTATCGATGTTGGCTATATGGTCATCCGGGATGATGCCTTCGTGCGTTTCTGCGGTATTTATGCGGCGTACTTATTGTCCTGCAGCAAGGTGTTCACCAGAAACTAAGGTTCGACCTAGCCTGTGTAGCTATACGTTTCCGCCGGTCCCAACGTGACTCTTTCCGGCGTACCATTGGTCCATTCTGTCAGCAAGCCTTGTTCGTTTCTGTTTGACGCGTTTCTGCATCGACCTCCACGTTCCGTTGTACCCTGTACTTCTTGTGTTCCCTGCTCCGTAAATTTCTCAGTCGTGTACAATATGAATCTGGCGTAGCGATAAAGCCAATGGACCACTTTGGGCGCGTTCTAGGAGTAGCGCAGGCTCGTTTCATCTATAATGACGAGATCCGCCTGGCCCCCATTTTTTGTAGTGATGAAAGGTCGGTGGCGCTGGATGGTTGGTTGCGTTGGAGGTCTTGCTCGCCCGTAATCCATAACCACGACTCTGATCCGAAAGCTATTTTGCAGCTTGTGCTCGTGTTCCTGAGGAGTACGACTGCAGCGTCTTCGTCTCCAGCGTGCTTGCTCTAATCATGAAGCTTCGTATCTCCGTAATCCCATTTTTGCTCTCGCCCACGTACGGTCGTGTTCCTCGGTGAGCGACCCCCACCGCCCTCATGTGTTCAGGTTATACTTGTTGCGCGCGTAGTAGGTCGACTGGTAGACGACCGAACATCAGTTCCTCCAAACGCATGTCGGGGGATAGCCGTGTGAGGAACCACCGCCGCCCCGGACAGTACCGGAACGAATCTGGAAGAGCAAAGCGAGAGAGCAGTGTATTCACAGTTATTAGCATGCATGATGAATATCGATACAGATGGTATGAACGCAAAGCGGTGGTATGCGAGACAACGAGCCCGCGCGGACGCCGCTGTCTCATGATGCCGACCCCTCCTCCACTTTCGCCTTCTTCTCCGAGTGCGCGTCGTCTTCGGCACCATCTTATGCTTTTCGCTTCCACGAGGGCAACGAAGCGCTTGCCATGGGCGGGGGCGCGGCGCGGTTCGCGTCCGTGTTCTTTTTCTTCTTCACGAGCCCGGTGAGATCGTTCGCCTCCGTTTGGACCCCACTCGGCGCTGCTGCAGATGACCCGGCGCTGAGCTCGCCTGGGCCGCCAGCTCGGGCGCGGACGCTGCCGACTCGTTCGGTGACGTTTTCAGCTCCTTCACCTATCGCGTTCCCTGTAAGCGTCATGCAACCACGACATGCGGAGAGACGGACCTTCAGAGCCAGGTCTTCACGCAGACCCTTGAGCTCCTTCTCTGCCTCCATCTGGCTCTTCGACATGCGCGAGACCGCGTCGTTGTCCTCCAGGGGAGCACCCGTCGCTTTGCCTTTGCCCTTGCCACCGCTGGCACCCGCCACGCGCGCCCTCGGACTTGACGAGACCCTGCCCGCTGAGCGCGACGCGCAGCTCCGCGAGCCGAGCCTCCTGTCGAGCGCGCGTTCGGTGTGGACGATGGAGTCCCCGAGGCGGCCTGCGGTGAGGTCGAGGACGATGCTCAGCTTGTAGTGCGCCTCTGCGATCTGGCGCGAGGACAGCGGGAGCAGGGGGTCCTTCAGCGCGAGCCCAGCCTCGTAGTCTGAGATCGCCTGTTCGAATTTTTCTGCGGGGGCGTGAATATCGGAGTGGAGGGGGCGGCGGTGGGGGCGGAAACGCGCACCTGTCTCGAGCGAGACGTCGCCGAGCGTGATGAAGACCTCGGCGAGCTTGAGATTGAGCTCATCGGACGGGTCCGGCCGCTTCTCGAATCCTCGGGCTCCGCGTCGTCGTCGTCCTCCTCCTCGACCGCCTTCTACGCAGCGCCGAATAGGTCCACCGCCTCATCCTCGCCGTCGCCCGAGAATGATAGAAAAGCACCACTGTTGCTCGCGTCTGAGGATTGGGACAGGGGCGAATATATGCGCACAAGAAAAGGCAGTCGGCGATGGGCCGCAAGACGCGAGGGGCAAGTTCGGTCACGCACCTTTGTCGTCCTCCACCGGCTCGTCGGGGTCCTGCTTGCCCAGCACGCCGGCCTGGGAGATGGCGTACTCCAGCAGTGCCTTTCCATACGCGAAGTACAGGTCCTCGCCGTGCTTCTTTGTGCTGCAGGGCGGGAGTGGTCAGGACCGGGGACGACGCGCTCCCGACGCCGAACTAGCGCGTCACTCACACGAGCTCCAGGGCGGACGTGTAATGCTCCACCGCCTGCTCGTATTTCTTGAGCGCGAAGGCGCGTTTGGCGTGTTCGACCGTCTCGTCGAGTGTCAAATCCTTCTCCGCAGCCGGCGCAGAGGCGGCGGGCTTGTCCGAGTCCCTGCGTTTCGGGAGAAGGGGGGCGGGTGTCAGCGAAGCGGTGTGCAGCATAGACCGAGCACGACGCAAGACATGGTGACGCAGGAGGGCGACGGGGTGTGTGAGTGGTGGTGACCGTGGTGGGCTGAGGCTGAGGGCAGGACGGCGACGCGCAGGACCGACGCAGCCGCCCGCGCTGGCCACCGCCAGAGGTGGCCCTTCGCCCCGGGCTTTCAAGTCCGCCCTAATCAGGCATTGCGCATGCGAACTGGACTTTTGCTGATATTTACAGCATCGGTGTGCTTACAGATCTGCAGCAACCTGGACGATTTGTTCTTGGCTTCCGCACCGCGCGTTCTTCCACCGTCAAACCCGACTGCTACTCCAATCCCCTCCCCGCCTGGCCAAGTTCGCCGAAACCCTGGGCTCGTGCCAAATACGCTGGTCGACCTGTTGGATCTGTCGAGATGAGAGGAGAATGGGAATGGTTCAACAGGTGCGTGCTCATACATGTATACCATGGCAGAACTACTGTCCTCTCTTCCAATTGTAGAGCCGGGCTCGCATCCAAAGAGACTGCCTCCCTGCCGAGATGAACTCTCAGCTCCAAATATCACACTCTCTGTCTGCCACCGTTGCGCAACGCGTCTCATGTGTGTCCGTAACAAGTTGATGGGTTAGTGGACATCTAGTATCACAGCTGCAGGGCATGAACGCGTCTTTCAAAGCGATGGAGCACGGGGACCTCGCGGCACTACCCCGCATACGACTTGTTCCCCTTAGCAAAATGACCAGGGGGTCGGTCGATGTGGGTGCGAGACACATCCTCGAATAGAGAAGAGCAGAGGGCTTGCCGGACGATACGGTAAGTGGTCATCTGCTGCTGTTCTGTTCAAAGTCATACACATACCCTTCCCATAGCTCCCCTACGACCTTCCATGCTCGACTGTCGTCAAGGTCGAATCTTGGGCTGGACGGAGCGTCGATGCGTCCGACTCAGACTCGAAGTAGTCCCAACGAGTCAAAGATAAGGACATTGAATGCACATCGCTTCCAAGAAATGGATAGACGTGCGTGCTTCTGTACAAGCGTCGTGCTCAAGTGGTCTGACACCCCACCCGTGCACAGAACGGCCTCATGGCCGCCACATTCCTCATGGGCCCGTCGCACCTCGGCGCACTCGCGGTATAGGATTAATACAGGATGCCTTCCCGCAGGACGTCCAGCCTTCACTGAGCAACTCAACATCCTCGAGCGGCTAGACGGTCTCAATCGCGGACAGCGTGAGCTGTGTGCGGCGCGTTTGAGGACCGCGAGATGGAGGCACCGCCTGGTCTTATTTAAATGTCGTAGAAAACCTTTGTTTGCCGGCGCATAACCCGGTCAAGTGGTTGTGGTGTTTCGTCTGCTTACCGTCACATCCGCATGTCAGGGTGAATCAATCGAGCACTGTATGCTACACACATAACCTAGTTGTATGGCTCAACGGGCTTACAATATTCGTGTTGTACAAACTTGAGAAAACGATCGCAATGAGAAGATCGAGAGAGAGGTACTGAATCCCTACAGGTGTGACTGGCGCTAGAGGACTCGTGTCAGTGTCAAACAAAGCTATGTTGATGACGACGCAGACCTACCAAAAGTTCCGAATATTTGTGGGCGGTTCGGTCAAGCCATCTCCCTTTAGTGACGTTCCATGTCTTGCTGAAGACACTCCTATTGCAGGCCATCAGTACGTTGCACAACCAACTTCGCAGTAGCCTACTTACCAAAGCCTCATCCTCGACGACCACGTATCCAACATCAATGTTGGGCGGATCCGAAATATCGAAGCCACTTTTCGACCGGCTCCCGGCCAGTGCCATCCCATTCTTGTGCTTTTGCACAACAAAAACGAAGGAGAGCGTCACGTCGTCTGGCACTACACCAGGGAACAGCCGAGCGAGGATATTTGCGATACCAGAATCCTTCATGGAAGGCCTCTTACCGAGGGTCACCTGAAGGAGGGTGACGCGCTTGCCCGACTCTGATACCGCGAAGGCGTCAAAGCTTGCGTCAATTTTTTCCAACGGAACATGGAGCTCGTTACGAGTCTTGCTGATCGTGATGACCGACGTGGAATTGTCGAAGTAGCGAGGTTTTAGAGATTCCAGCGTGAACTTCGTCTCGCTCAACATCTGGCAGGTGACATTCCGACCCGTCGCCAGGGTCCGCACAATGGCCATCGGCTCGAAGAAGTAGCCAGCGACGGCGTTGACAGCCGAGTACATTCCCATCATGTCGTCTCGACGCTGCGCCCTGAACTCGAGGAACTTTTCCACAGCCGCTTGCTTGAGCACAGGGGTAGGAATGGAGTGCGTGCAGGCTGAGTCGATGTTCGTCACTGGATTCCACACGTTGTCCTTGAGCTCCAGCACGAAGTACCTGTGAAACACAGAGGGAGGATCGACAAGGCCAGCTGGGTTTTGCAAGAATGTGACGAGGCTCCTAACAGCTGCTAGGTTGGCAAGCTTGAGTTCGGGGAGTGCCTGGTCCGGCCCTCCCAAGTCCGCCAGCAAGTCGCCTGAAGTCCGCTGTACAAGGCGTGTGCATGAACGGGGACACGGCCCAAAGATGGAGGAGAGCTCCAATGGAGTGTAGTACTCTGGCGGCCAACTGACAAGACGTGAGCGTCCAAACATAGCAGGACTGTTAGTCACTCACATCGATGCAAGAAATCTCAAGTCAACATCGCTCCAAACCTTCATGACATAGAATAGCGCACGCTTGTACTTCGCGAACTTCTTCCACAGGTCTGGCCGAGGGGAGGCGGCAAGGATGATGCGTATGGAGTTATCGAAGTACGTGAACAGGTGTTCGGGATTTTCGTATGAATCGAGCAGAACTAGAGTACCCCTTGGTATGCGACCGACATTCAAGACGTCGAATTGTCGGACTCCATTCTCCTCGAAAAGGCAGTATTCGCCACCAAAGATGCAGAACAAGATGGGTTGGCCGATCCTGTCGAACAGCCCTCGAAGCAGAGCATACATCAGAAAGAGAGATTTGCCTGTCGGACGAGCGGTTAGCATTAGTCCTAAAAATGGCGCGGAACTGCGTGCCGATTCTGGGCTGCCCAAATATGACAAAATTCTCGGAAGAGCTCATGATGCACTTCCAAGCGGCTACGTACTCCTCACGAACGATGATGCTGCTGGGCGTCTTCTCATACCACGGGATAAGGGAGGCGATATCCTGACGAATACGAGATCCGTCGGCTTCAAAGGGATCCTGTTGGGGCTGCTGGCGGACCCGGAGGTGAAGTTCGGTCGCCCAGCTGTACGGGGTGACTGGAGTGTGTCACCGTGCCTCCGATTAGCCGTCAAACACCCCGCAGCAGCGGAACGGCTCACTTGGTGGAAGAATGTAAACAACGAACACGCCCACGTCCTCTCCCGGATCGGGGACATGCGCCTCGATTGAATCACCCGGGTTCAGGAACTCACACAGCGCCTCGAGTCCCTGGCGTTTGATGTCGACCTTCAGCTGAGCCGTGCCGATCAACCCTGAGTATGGCTTGCGGAGCTGGCGGACTTGTTAGTCCACCGGATGCAATGAGTAAATGAAGGCAGTGTACCTTCTTCAACGATGCTCGTTCCCTCGCAATATCAGGTTCGTCCGCCAAAAATGCGTCCAAGATCGAAGACACTTGGGCAGTGCACGAGACCCTAAGGCAGATGGACTCTACAGCTCCACCAGATTCATGTCTGATAGCACAGATACGCTTCGCAGTTGTCGTTCTCAGCAACGGGAACACGCGGGAAAGTGTTTGCATACAGAAAGGTCCATCGCATTGTTCATGGGATTATCTTCCGGCGCAGCGAGAGAGAGAGAGAGAGAGAGAGGCGCTCATCCCTGAGTGTGGACGTGGAGGGTCATAGCACGTGCTTATGACGCCGGAGCGCGACTGAACCTTGTGTCCTTTCGTCCCACATCGCGTCCACGTGCGTACGCATTGCTTCGACCCACCCACCCCAGTGCTTTGGAACGGGGACAACCCGACGGGTCGCGAACAGCTCCCTCGCGCTGAGGAGTAGGCCGCTATGACCGTCTCGTCTTCCTCCGCCGACACCTTCAACGCAGAACGTTAAAAGAAACTGGTGTGGTTTGCAATATAGACGGTTATTGATTTGCCTGTTTCCTCTTTTGTTAAGTGGTACTGAACACATCCAAATGATCGTTTGACCATTGAGAAAGCCCACAATGCAGGGTCGGCAGCAGCAGCAACCTGACTGGAAGAGGAAAGCGAGACAGCAGTGTATTCAGTCATTAGGATGCGTGATGAATATCGATACAGATGGTATGAGCGCAAAGCGGTGGTATGCGAGACAACGAGCCCTCGCGGACGCCGCTGTCTCATGATACCGACCCCTCCTCCACTTTCGCCTTCTTCTCCGAGTGCGCGTCGCTCTCGGCACCGTCTTCTGCTTTCCGCTTCCCCGAGGACAATGAAGCGCTTGCAACGGGCGGGGGCGCGGCGCCGTTCGCGTCCGTGTTCTTCTTTTTCTTCTTCACGAGCCCGGTGAGGTCGTTCACCTCCGTTTTGACTGCACTCGGCGCTGCTGCAGATGACCGGGCGTTGAGCTCCTTGTCGAGCGCCTGGGCTGCCAGCTCGGGCGCGGACGCTGCCGACTCGTTCGGTGACGTTTTCAGCTCCTCCACCTTCAGAGCCAGGTCTTCACGCAAGCCGTTGAGCTCCTTCTCCTCCGCCTCCATCTGGCTCTTCGACATGCGCGAGACCGCGTCGTCGCCCTCCAAGGGAGCGCCCGTCGCTTTGCCCTTGCCCTTGCCGCCGCTGGCACCCGCCGCGCCCTCGGACTTGACGAGACCCTGGCCGCTGAGCGCGACGCGCAGCTCCGCGAGCCGCGCCTCGACGCTGTCGAGCGCGCGCTCCGCGTGGACGATGGAGTCCCCGAGGCGGCCCGCGGTGAGGTCGAGGACGATGCTCAGCTTGTAGTGCGCCTCTGCGATCTGGCGCGAGGACAGCGGGAGCAGGGGGTCCTTCAGCGCGAGGCCGGCCTCGTAGTCTGAGATCGCCTGTTCGAATTTTTCTGCGGGACGCGCGAGAGGACGTGAATATCGGGGTAGAGGGGGCGGCGGTGGGGGCGGAAACGCGCACCTGTCTCGAGCGAGACGTCGCCGAGCGTGATGAAGACCTCGGCGAGCTTGAGCTTGAGCTCGTCGGACGGGTCCGGCTGCTTCTCGAAGATGGCGCGTGCGAGGTCGAGGACCTCCCACGCGGCGTTGAAGTCGTCCTCGGGCTCTGCGTCGTCGTCGTCGTCGTCGTCTTCCTCGTCCTCTTCCGCCGCAGCGTCGGCCTCCTCGACAGCCTTCTGTGCAGCGCCGAAGAGGTCCACCGCCTCGTCCTCAGCATCGCCCGAGAACGACAGAAACGCGCCACTATTGCTCGCGTCTGAAAATGGGGACGGCACCGCATAGGGAGGCGAATGTATGCGCGCAAGAAAAGGCAGTTGGCGATGAGCCGCAAGACGCGGAGGGCAAGTTCGGGCACGCACCTTTGTCGTCCTCCACCGGCTCGTCGGGGTCCTGCTTGCCCAGCACGCCGGCCTGGGAAATGGCGTGCTCCAGCAATGCCTTTCCATACGCGAAGTACAGGTCCGCGGTCTCGAGCGCGTCCTCGCCGTGCTTCTTTGTGCTGCAGGGCGGGAGTGGTCAGGCCTTAGGACCGGGGACGACGCGCTCCCGACGCCGAGCTAGCGTGTCACTCACACGAGCTCCAGGGCGGACGCGTAGTGCTCCACCGCTTGCTCGTATTTCTTGAGCGCGAAGGCGCGTTTGGCGTGCTCGACCGTCTCGTCAAGTGTCAAATCCTTCTCCGCAGTGGGGGCAGAGGCGGCAGGCATGTCCGAGTCCCTGCGTTTCGGGGAAGAGGGGCGGGCGTCAGCGAAGCGGTGTGCAGCACAGACCGAGCACGACGCACGACATGGTGACGCAGGCGGGCGGCGGGGTGCGTGAGTGGTGGTGACCGTGGTGGGCTGAGCAGGCAAGACGCGCGGGCGGGTGGCGGGTGCCTCAGCCGGGACGCGTCCAAGACCGACGCAGCCGCCCGCGCTAGCGCCACCGCCCCCCAGTCTCGCGTCCTCACCGCCCACGTCGTCATCGCTGTCCCTCCCCTCCGCCGTCCCGCTCGCTGTTTCCCTCCGACCCCTCACCGTTGCAACCAGTCTCACTCCTGACCGCCCATGTCCGCAATTGGCAGCGTGTTCCTGGGCGATGTCCAGCGGCTCCGGCACCTCTCGACCTCGACCCCGCCCTCCTCACCGCCCCCGCACGGCGCCCCTGCTGCTCACACCTTCTCGGACGCGGACCTCGACATGGACGAGCGCGCCGAAGTCGGCGCCCGCCCCGCCGTGATTCCCGCGCACGCAAGCATGGTCGCGACCGCGGCCATCTCACCTGCGCTCGCGCTCGAGCTGCGCCTGCGCTGGCTCGAGACGCTCCTCTTCGGCGCGAAGCACGACGCGGGGGAGGCGGCGGGCGCGCAGCGCTCGGAGAAGGACAAGGAGAAGCTCAAGGATGGGGAGACCCTCGCCCGCCGCGCGGACGACCTCCAGCGCCGGATGAACGGCGTCGCGCAGAGCAGCGACGCCCTGAAGCGGTTCATGGACCGATGTGAGTGCCTGTGCCTTTCTTCCCTGTCCGTGGTTCGTAGCTCGCGATGGGGAGAGTGGATGCTGTACGGAGACGTTTCTTCCCGGGCACGTCGTGCATGTCGCACATTTGCATTGTCGTCCCGCAGGTGTACGGCATGCATATAGCCAGCTGTGGGCTGTAAGGATGTTCCGGGGATGCATGGTATCGAATGCTTTGTTATCGTTACTAGTATTACAACGCCTCCGTGGCCTTGTGGTTCGAGCGGACTACAAGGTGGCGGACGATTGCTTGTTTGGATCGATAGCCAGTTGGCATGGGATATCGCTCTGGTGCTACGGGGACAGATGTCGAGCCCGATACAGAAAAGACGTCGTACTTGTAACCTCATCGACGAGATCGCATGCGCATGGGCGGCATCGTTTCGTAAGGCTGTCATTTGCTTTCTTGATACATGACAATGCAACTTTCCCTCGCTCTTTCTCCGGAGACCTTCTGTCTGTTACCACCTGCGGTACGGTCTGGATCACAGCTGGTGGCCTGCGCATGCCAACTCGGGCTGTGTCTGTTGGCCGGTGAAGGGACCTCTAGATGAGAGCGAGACCGATGCATGTCATGTCTTGGGAAATGCGGCGAATTGCCACGGTGTTCCGCTCTTCTCGGTCGGCATGACGGAGTATCCGTCCGTCCGCCGCCGTGGCCAGTCATATGTCGGCTTGCCTTTCTGTCGTCGAATGAGCAAGTCGACATCAGTTCGGGATGCGTGGAAAACTGCGGCACATCATGTTGTTAGTATCTAAGATGCCCCATTCTGCGGTACCTGGGAGTGTAGTGGATTGTGCATGCCATCGTGCTGCTGTTCTCTTATACACGACTTCTATCCACGCAAATATTGTGTGTTCGCGATAACGCATGGGGTTTTCTCTGTTTGCACTCATCACATTCGCCTATGCTCGAGCCAATCCTAGTTGGGCGATCTAAATGGCCATGCGTAGACGATATCCCTACTCGCTGTCCGGTAGTTGATTTTCATCTATTGATACTAACGATATTCATGACAGATGAACAGTACGCGCACATGCTAACACCTGCGTTCGCATTGGCTGGAACTGTGAATCCCCCTACATACGACAACATGACATCCACGGAGTTGGAGGCCTTTCTTGCCGAAATGGAACCCGACATTCGCTCCGCAGAACGAGACCTGCGCGAGATTAATGCACTCGAAACAAAGGGAGTTACTGGAGCCGGGAAACTCGGCGATTACGAGGCGCTCCAGCCGAGACTGGAGGGATTGCTGAAAGCGCACGACGAAGACTTGCACACCGCGGCCGACCTGGAGAGACGGATAGCGCTTCTCATGGACCACTATGCTACTAGTGTGCGTCTGAGTACTGCCCAAACCTTACCGGAAACTGACCATCGTGCAGGTTGACACCCTTTCGGAGCTTTTCGTGTCCTGGGACGAAACGATCAGGGAGACGGAAGATGAGATTAATGAGCTCGACAAAGACCTGGATGAACGCCGTAAGCTGGGATACGAATGAGACGTCAGGAATGACACGGCGCTGCTGTGAGCTTGTTCGCTTTGATTTCCTTCGCCGCGCTCAAACATCCACAGCTTCCTGTATGCAACATGTCCTGTCAGCCGAGCAAGCCGCCATTCCTTACCTACGATTTACGCGTGGGAGTGAATCGCAGTGGAGCACCAATGGCGAACGCTCTCAACGCCAAGCTTCTCGTGTCAGACCGTCGGCAGGATCCTGCACCCGCTCCCCGTCGCAAGTAGTCCGCGGCCACGCCATGACGATCGCTGCGCACCACCATCAAGATCGCACCCCGCCGTGTTTCCCGTCCCCTCTGCGGCTCCATCATCGAGGTCCGGCTAGCGTGGTGGCAATTGGCCAGGTACGAACCCGCAAACGGTCGCGTTACGGACGCTCACCCGCTCTGCCTCCACAGTCGTCGCTCCCCTATCCGCGCGACAGAGCCCTAGACGGAGCACGGCGAACTCTAATCCACAATCTTGATGTGAAGCAATGCTGCTCCTGGTGCTTTTGTCCCGCTGTGACCCCCGTTCTCACGTCCGACGGACCGGAGATTGGCTGTTAGACGTGCTGGGAGTGCGTCTCGTGGACTGCTTCGGGTCGTTCGTGCATGGCGGGAGCTGCCGTAATCCCGTCAGGTCGCGCGCCCGAGTCGTCCGAGTCCTTCCAAGCAGGCCTCACTGAGTTCAATGAGGCGGTGCTCTCAGGCCGGCACAAGTCGCCGTTGTCGTGTCACGAGGCGCCCGTCCCAGCCGAGGGATAGAGTGTATATGGCCGGCACTGCGTGTGGCGAGAAAGGGATTGCGTGGATGTCTCTGTCTTGGAGGATGGGTGTCTGGTGCTCGCGGGAGCATGTGCAGGCCATGTGCAATGCACCGCCCGACCTATACCGGTCCGCCCGTGCTGGAGCGTATCCCGCATGCCGGCCCCGGCGCTGCTGTGTACGGCTCTTGGCCGGGCCCGCGAGGGCGCTCGCGTGCACGCAGGACGGAGGCAATGCGCTGGCGGCAATCGCCCTGGATCTTTGCAGAGGCGCCACGATCGAATGTCGTTGGGAAGAGCTGTGGCGAGAGGCAGCGCAGGCCGGCGTTTGGTCATCGAGCCATGCAGACATCGGGGGCTCGATACATATACTCCCCCTCGGACCCGTGCTCCTCCCACCACAATCCCCGACATGCTCCCCACCGACGACGACCGCCCCGCGACGACCAAGAACAACAACACACGGACACGGACGACGATGGGCCGCAGCAAGCGCGAGGTGCGTGGTGACCGGATATCCCTCCGACGACGCACTTACGCTTTGATGCAGTCGAGGCGGCCATTTGGCCGGCCCAAGACCCCACCTGGTCCGCAGGAGACCTTCGAGGGCTCCTTCCAAATCAACCCGGCCCAGACGCCGGAACCTGGCAGTTCGCATCACGCCCCGTCGCCCGCCCCTCCCGCCGCGGTCCAACGATCCATCTCCGCGCCCGTGCGCGGTACGTCACGGCGGCGGAGCGACGGCGCGGGCGCGGGCGCGGGCTCAAGTGCCGCCGCGCGACCGTCGCCAGTCGAGGAACGCCGCGCGAGCCAAGGGAGCGCCTCGCGCCCTGCACTGGTCGGCCGCATCGAGGTGGAGCGCGCCGAGGCCGCCCCGTCGCGGGCGGCGCGCCCCCCGCACCGGCCCTCCAACAGCCACCCAAGCATGCCAACGATGCTCGCCGCGGGAGGGGACTTCAGCAACCGCCGCCGCAGCAACTCGTCCACGGTGCTCTCGGGGCTGGCTTCTGTCAACGGGGTCCCGGGCTCTTGGCCAAGTCCGCAAGGGCGCCACGCGCAAGGCTTCTCTGGTTCTCTCCACTGGGGAGGGGTCGGAGGAGACACGCTGCTCTCCCCCGTCTCCTACACGCCCGGTACGAACTCGAGTGGGTCGATGTCGGTGGGGCGCGGGGGCACGGGCTACGGCGGACTGCCCTCGCCAACCCAGTCGTCGCTCACTCGTCTCACGTACTCCGGATCCTCACGATCTCGCTGCCGCTCTACTACGACCGTCGACACGGCTCTGGAGAATGCTCGCCACTGATGGACAACTCCTCTTGGGGCTGCCGTCGCCCTCCGCGCCCCACACACCGCTCTCACAACGCGGCACAAGCGTCCCTCCAAGCGTCATCTCTGATAGCTCGCCGTATTTGGACCTGCCGTTTGGTGATTTCTCGCCATCTGTCGCTCCAGCCGTCAATCAGCCCGGTGAGTGTCACGTTTCACGTCGCGACACCCCCGCGGCGAGGGCGTTGGTACCAGTATTGACACCGCTTGCCGCGCAGAGCCCCCATTGGACCTGTCGCCATTGAACCCACCGCTCGAGGTCTTCACTTCGGACGAACAATGGGCGACACACCGCGATGGCTGGCTCGCGGTCGGACGCCGGCACGCACGGGCTGTACCAGGCGCCGGCGGTCGCGCACTCAGGTACGCACCGCGCCGCGCCCGCGCCCGCCGAGGCCCGTCACGGATGTCGCTCACGCCCGCGCGCCGCCTCCGCCTCGCCTCCGCCTCCGCGTCGACGTCGACGTCCTCAGTGCCCGAGCTCGGCGCGTTCTACTTCCCGTCGGAGACGCAGGGCGGCGAGCCGTCGTACGCGTTCGGCGGTGCAAGCACGAGCGCCGGGCCCCCGCACAGCGCGCCGCCCGGGGTCGCGGGGGCGGCGACGAGGAGATCGACTTCGGCTTTGGCGACTTTGGCTTCGCGCTGGACCGCGGCTTTCCCTTCGACGGCGCTCCCGGGCTCGACTCCCTGGCGCTCCCGCCCATCCCCGGTCCGCCGTTCATGCACCAACCTCAGCCGCCGCACGCGCACCGGGACCCAATCCAGACGTACGCCCCGCCGTCGCGCCCCTCTCCCGTGCACGTGTCCACGTCGACTCGGCCGTCCCCTGGGCCTGGTGCTCGCTCCTCCGGCCGGCCGACTCGCGCCGCGCCGCGCCCCCACCCTAGTTGACTTGCCTCTGCGGGCCCGCTCGCCCCGGTTCCCGAACGTCCCTCGGCCTGTAGTCGACCTCGCCGCAACGCCCGACTGCTCCCGTTTCTCGCGCCTCGTCCCTCGCTCTGCGGCTCGCGTTCCCGCTTACCCTGTTTTCCCGCTTCCCTGTTCTGTCGAAAAGGACGCTTCCGGTTCAAGCCGTCTTCCCGCTCTCGCCGGGCCCTGCGCCGCCCCCTCTGCTCGGTCCCGCGCCTGCGTCTTTATTGCCTTCGTGTATATCTCTTATTCTCCGCCCCCGCTCTGCACCCTTAATGCTTCGCTTTGACTCCCCCTTCTTCTCCTTCTTCCTTCGTCCATATCTATCCCGCGGACGACGCCCCGCGACCGGACACACCTCTCTGTAGATACACCCTTGTCCTCGTTCACGCTCCGCCCACGACCGCACGAACTCTGGCCACGCACCCTCACACGTACCACACCGATACCCGCACCGATACCCCCCACGGCGTACTGCCTCGCAGGCGGGCTTGCTCCCAGTACTGTACCAACCCCCGCTGTAGATAACACCCCCGCTCCCTGCCTCGATCTCCGGCCTCACGCGAAACGAAAATATATACCTTGTAGATAATACCGCGGCCGCGTGCGGGGGATCATGGCCCCGGAAGGCGGCGACAAAAGTTTCAGAACGAGTATGGACTAATAGCGAACCACACGGCTATAGTAACTGTACAGTACGGTCACTAATTCGGCTCTTATTTCTCATGGCGCGCACATCGTAACATCGCGAATTTATCTCGCCGGCTGCACCTCGATCGGTCCTCGTGTTCCAAGTACGTGGCTGAAAGAGGCAGGGCCGGAGATGCCGGGGGCTGCGCGCGGTCGAACTATGCGGAGGACGGGGTTCCATCCTTCTGCTTCTGCGCATTGTGGTTTTGCCTCCCGGTGCGCCCCGGAGCTGCCGGGCATGGGTCGCGAGTCCGCCGCGAGAGGAGGGTGCGGGCTGTGGTCATGCGTGCCATGATGCTTTGTGTTCGTGTGCGCGAATTTCACATCGTACGTACGTTGTTCCGCGGTGCGTGAGCTCGAGAGCCCGGATCTGAACTGACGCGATGTCTAAGTACATGATAAGTGGATGACGTTCCGTAAGGAAATACGGAACTACGGACGCTCCGTAGTTCTCTAGACCGCTCGAAAGGGCAGTTCCGCCGAGATGCCGACGAGAAAGTGATACCCGAGGATCTCACTGTGGCTGCTGGAATAACAAGCGCCCAAAAGTCTGTGGAGGGGTCGGCACCCCCCTCGCAGAGCAAACAAGCCTCCCGAAAAGCTGTAGAGGCCTCTTGAAGGCCTATTTCGGACGGGAGGTAGTGATGTGGACCATTATTGGCGCCGACAAATCGACGACTGGACCTCAACGGACCTCCATGAGGTCTGGCTAAGGTCTCCGCGCGGTGGAGGCACTCCGTTGACGCCGGCTTGACGCCAGAGATCCCTCTCGTCGCTTAGCCTCGCTTAAAGCTCCGGAATTGCATTTACGGTCTAGTAAGAGCGGTCTGGCTTACGGACGTCATCCAGTGTCGGCTGCGGTAACGCGTTGAAGACTCCGGACGGGTGGGCATGCTGAGACTCTCTTGTACGGCGTTTTACGTTCTGAATCAAGTCATATCACTGCGCTGCTTCCTTTGCATTCTCCAAGTCTCGGCCTCACAGGCGTCCCCAGTAGACGGTGTTGCTGGATCCTTCCTCCCTCTCCCCCTCCCGGCCCCCTACTCGTAGAACGGCGCGGTCGCGGCCTCGAACCTCCGGTGCTTGTACCGCTTCTTGCCCTCGCCCATCCCAAACTCGCCCACGACGTGCCCCTCCGCGCCCTCGCTCCGCAGCACATACTTGTACGTCACGAGCCCCTCGAGCCCCACCGGCCCGCGCGCGTGGATGCGCCCGGTGCTGATCCCGACCTCCGTCCCGAACCCGTACCGGAAGCCGTCGGCGAAGCGCGTGCTCGCGTTCACGAACGTGCCCGCGGAGTCGACCCCGCGCACGAACGCGGACGCCGCCGCCGCGTCCTCCGCGACGACGCTGTCCGTGTGGTGCGACGAGTGCGCGTTCACGTGCGCGATCGCGGCCGCGAGCGAGCGCACGACGCGCACGGAGAGCGTGAGGGACAGGTGCTCGGTCGCGTACGCGTCCGCGGGCGCGGGGCGCGCGTGCGACGCGAGGTTCGCCGGGGCGGGCGCGAGCGCGTGCAGCGCGGCGAGCGAGGGCGCGTCGCAGAGCAGGGTGACGTCCGCGGCGAGGAGCGCGCGCGCGACGGCGGGCCAGATCGTGCCCACCGTGCTCTCGTGCAGGAGGAGCGTCTCGGCGGCGTTGCACGCCGCGGGGTAGTCGACCTGCGGGCGGGTGAGCGTTCGCGAAAGGCTTCCGGGGCGCGGGGGCCGTACCTTGGAGTCCACGACGACTCTGACCGCCTTCTTCAGGTCGGCTGAGGCGTCGATGTAGACGGCGCAGAGACCGTCGGCGTGCCCCATGACGGGGATGCGGGTGTTGTGTTGTATGTTGCGTACGAGGCTGTTGCTCCCGCGGGGGATGACGAGATCGATGTATTGGTCGAGCGCGAGGAGCGCGGAGACTTCTGCGCGGGTCTGGATCGCTTGGATGTACGTTGGTGGGAGCTGCGTCTTGGAGAGTGCTGTCTGGATGGCTTTCGAGAGCAGCTGGGTGGTTTCGTTGGATTCCTTCCCGCCCTTCAGGATGGCAGCGTTCCCTTTCCGAGAGTATCAGACGACGCGGAACAAAACACAGCGGCTTTCCTCACCGGATTTGATGGCCAAAGACGCGATGTTGACGACGACCTCTGGCCGAGCTTCGAAGATGACGAGGAGTGCGCCAATCGGGCACGACACCCGGTACAACTTCAGACCATCGTCCAGCTCAGACGCGTATGAGACGTTTCCCGTCGGATCAGGAAGAGCGGCGACGTCGGTGACGCCCTGGAGCATAGAGTCCCATTTGTCGCCTTTGGTGAGATCGAGGCGTTTGAGAAGGGCTGCGGACATCCGCCCTGCGTCCACCTCCGCCTGCGCAGCCTGACCAGGTTTCAGTCCCCACAGCCTCAAAGTGCACGGACAAACACTCACCTCGACATCTAGTCTGTTTGCGGCCAAAATGGCTTCCTTGGCCGCCTCGAGCTCCTTGCGGATCTCGTGAAGCGCTTGGACGCGCTCGGCAGTTGGGATCAGCTGCGACGCCTCAAAGGCCGCCTTCGCCGCCTTTGCGATGGATACTGCTGTTTCCTCTGAGTTCATAGTGGGAGTTGAACGTGCCGTGCTGCACAAGGGTTGAGTCCAAGCTCAAGAGCGTTGAACTTGACTCAGAGAACAAAACTTACGTCATCGATCTTGGATCTTATCTTATCTCACAGTTATTTCAGACAGATTCAGAGAGGCCCAGGCTGTTGCTTTACGAACTGTTATACTGGGTCAGCATCAACTAGAATAAGACACGCAGATGTTGCGCACCACATACGCCGATTGCCCAGACTGACCAGAGGGTGAAGGAAGACACGATAAGTTCGTGTTACAATGAGAGATACAAATGATACAATAAGGTGCATACATTGACGGCGACGGCGACGCATTCTAGAGGGGGGACAATCGCACATATAACTTACTGCAGGAGACCCGCGACCTCGTCCAGCCTGGCCTCTACCACCGCAATATCACCCATGAGCCGCTTGTACCGCCGCTCCATGTTGTCCAGGTCCCCGTACGACAGATCCCCGTCGACCCTGATCGACCGCGACTCCGACAACCCGCTCCTGTCGACGCCCCCGGTGCTGGTGCTCGACGCCGTCCCCGCCGTGCGCGGCGTCTTCAGCGTCTCCGTGAACGACGGCGAGAGCGAGCGCCGATCCGCGCGCAGCCTGCTCTGCCCGCTCGCGAGGAAGTAGGAGCCCGTCGGGGTCGCGCTCCGCCGCGAGAGCATCGACATCGCCGACCCGGGCCGCGGCGTCGGGCTCGGGCTCGGGGGCGCGTCCGAGTCGAACTCGGAGCTGGTGTCCTCGAGGAGGATCTCCTGCGTGAGGCCCGTCGCGTTCGCGCTCGCGCCCGTCGCGTTCGCCTGCGCCGCGGCGTCGAGCGCGCGCGACGACATGGAGAGGATCGACGCCCCGAGCATGCTCTCCGAGTTCGAGTGCGAGTGCGAGTGCGAGTGCGATTGCTGGGACGGCTGCTCCGAGCGGAACGACACGCCCGCGTCGCCGACGACGGCGACGGAGCGGTCGAAGCGGAGCTCCTTGAGCACGCTCGCGGCGCCCGAGCCCGTGCCGGAGCGCGAGCGCGAGCCGGAGCGCGGGTGGGCGAGGAGCACGCGCGGCTTGCGCCCGCTCTCGAGCACCTTCTTGCGCGCGCTCATCCCGACGCAGTCCACGAGCTGCTTCATCGCCTCCCGGTCGGACACGACGCGCCGCTGCGCCGTGCGCCGCACCGTGCTCGCGCGCGGCAGCGTCTGGAACGGGGTGAGCGCCGACGGCCGCACGGGCGTCGCGAACGGGTAGCGCGGGCCGACGGGCGTGCGCTGCACCTGCGCGGAGAGCTCGCCGAGCGGGGCGAAGAGGTGCGCGAGCGGGCGCGGGGTGCTGAGGTTCGCGCGGTGTGGGGGGCTTGTGCTCGTGGAGGGGTGGTCGAAGGCGTCTTTTGGGGGGCCCCAGGAGAAGCCGATGAAGGCGGCCAGGGGCTGCTCGCGGAGGATGGAACGGGTAGATCCATGAGAAGGAGTCATTTGGACGCCGGGGGAGACGCCTGGAGACCCGCTGGGGGCAGTCATAGGCGATGACGACTGGAAGAACATCGAGAAGGCGAAGGGTCGGGACTGGGATTCCTCGTGAGAAGCATTCTCGGCGGGGGCCGAGGGGACAACTGGAGTCGCGTAGGTGAACTGAGGCACGTGTAGGTCATCCGGCTTGGTCTCTGCAAGACAGAGTCAGTGACAAGAACATCGGAGAAGATGAGAACGCACTTAGGTGCAAGTCCTCAAACGCTCCCTCAGAGAAAAACGAATGGCTTTGGATTTCTTTGACATTGCATCGTCCCAAGCGCAGCTCAGGAGATGTTAACAGCCTGATGGTGAGATGTCAACGACTAGTCTGAAGAACCCCGTAGTCATCCCACCTGCGAAGCAGATCTTGGAGCTTGACTGACACGGGAGCAGACGCGTCAAATTTGAGGCTTCTCTGATAGGCACGGTATACACCTCGATCAATTATCGGACACAATGCAGACGAAGCACGACGACGTACATGGTGCTCTACGATTCGCGCATATGTATGCCGGATCTCTCTTGAGAAAAACGGTGCAACACCGTAAGCCATTTCGTAGATCATGGCACCCATGCTCCACCAGTCGGTCTCTCGACCGTATCCTCTCCCCTTGCGCGACTTGGAGGCAGACAAGCTTTCTTCATCGTCCATCTCCAGCGCAACAAGTGCCTCTTCGTGGGCTTGCAGGATCTCTGGGGAGATGTAGTCGCAGGTGCCGCACGGCACTTGACAGTGCTCGGGAGATATTGCTTGGCTCCCGTCCGCAGCGGGAGGAAGTAGTGGCGCGGTGGACCCGAAGTCGATGAGGCGGACATAGCCGGAGCTGTCGAGCACGAAGTTGTGCGGCTTGACATCACTATTGGATCAATGAGCGGAAGCGGCTGGGGGGAGGGGAGGGGAATGCGGACCGATGCGCAAAGCCCTGGGAATGGCACCAAGAGATCGCGCTCACTATCTGGGGAATCCACCACTTCAAGTCTGACTCGATAATCTTGCCGTCGTGAGGACTCGACTCCAGCACGTCCCACAGCGTCCCGCCTTCGATGTACTCCATGACGAGGTTGAGGTGCGTCGGGGTCTGGAAGGCGCAGAGGAGATGAGGAGCCCACCGAGACTCCATCTTACGAGCTTTGAGAAGGATATCTCGCTCGAATTGAGGGGAGCATTGCTGCAGACAGTCAGCAGGATAGAATCTACCTTAGGATATGTGATCACGCACCTCTCGAGTTCTCAGCGCAAAACGCTTTTCAGTCGACTTGCGGACATAGACACGGCCGTCGAACTTGCACGTAACGACGTCTATCTATTGAAGAAAGCGACAGGTCAATGAGAGCTCCCAGGTAAATCAAAGCAAGTAAGGGGAGCATATGTTGATGAAGTGGTCAGGATTCAAGACCGGAGATAAGTCGAGGCGTGCACTCTCTTTATGACCATTTCATGATGAGGGGAGACGCATATATGAGGAGAGGATGCACAGGAGGACAGATATGAGCATATAAAAATAAAAATAAAACTTACCACACCATACTGGCCGTATTCCAGTGTCCCGACAAGATCAAGGTCTTTGTCTGTGAACCGGAACTCATCCACTCGGATGGTTTTGGCTGAGCAGTCAGCCGTGCACACCAAGAAATCATCGCCCAAGATGCTCACCAGTCTTTCCAATCACGCTCTGCCCATGCATCAGCTGGTCCATCGCCACGGCCTCTCCGTCTTCTCCGTCGTTTGCGCCAATGAGAGAGCTGAGGCGACTCTTGCGTTCGTGCCATGGTAGAGACATTCGATCGGCATCAGGATAGAGAGCGCATATAGCAGCAAGCCTAAAGCATATACAAGAAGCAAGCCTCGGCGAAGAACGGCAAGGAGCGTAGAAAGATGGTGGATAGCAAGTCGCGAGGTGAGGTTGCGAGTCGGGCGCGAGGTGCCCAGTGCCCAGGCCCCACGCGTCGCGCTCCTGCGCGCCGATCACGTGCTCGTATCGGGTTACCTGGTAACCTCGTGACAGGTCAAATATTCTCTTGTTCTCGCTTCTCCACTACCGCGACAGGACGCATGAAAATGCATAGGAGCTGTTTGTTTTTGATGTTTGCAACCATCCTATTTCTCTCAAATGTGCTCGTATCACCTTTACCTCCGACCTTGCTGACTGACAGACCGCCTTGGAAGGATTTCCAGCAGGCCTGTTACTCCATCGACAGACGGACCAGGGACGGTGGCATCTTTTCGTGCGTCTACAGCGTGTTTGCTTGTGGCCGTGGTCACGGCGGTGCGTATCGGCGCGAATCGCTCTTCTGGACTCAGAGATGATTCGATACCAGAGGGCATGGGCGGAGGGCTGAGCTGTATTCGGGCTATCGGATTTCACACAGGTAAGCCGAGATGCTATCTTACGTACCATCGCTCACTTTCTCCGACAGACAGCGGACGGGCACTTTCGACTGTGCTGGAGATATTGTATGGAATCTTCACGAGCGCTCATGCTGCTCTCGCGGAAAACCTGGTCTCCTACACACTTCACTCCCTCAAAACTCCTCATACGGTTCAAACATAGAGATAACGGCTCGTGGACCTCCGCAGACTTGTTCATTCTTGCATGACAGAAACGACGTCAAGCGTCATTGGCCCGCCCAGAGTCCATCAATCATCCGGCTTCCGTCGCAGCCTCGAGGACTGCCTGCCAGCTCAAGCGCCCTGCGAGAACCTGTTGGCCTCATGGCATGTCCACACACGAGTTGCCCACTCGGCGACTATCCATACAGCGTAATTCCCTTTTTGGCCACATGTCAGGGGAATGTTTTGGAGCCATTTACACTGCAACAGGTCTTCCAGCGATCAGCACTCCTCCCGGACTTCGGCCGCTCTAAAAATGTGACTTTCGCGACCTGCGTCATGCAGCGCGCTGCGTTCGTTCAGTCGCAAACCCACTTCCTTCCATGGCCGGTCCTAAACAGACACCTTCTGGTCGCCTGGCAGTGGTGCCTCGCGTGGAGTCCATCGTCCCCTCCGCATCCAATCCCATGGTACGCACATCGTTCCGCACGCCGCGCTCCTCTACTCATTGCAGTTCAGTCTGCGCGACGACGCGTATCCTCGCGGGGTTCCGCCTCCGAAGGCATGCTCGTTCACTGGGGCGAGAGGATCTTTGGAAATCCAAAGCACTCCGTACGTTCATGTGCTCTTGCGCGTCGCGTTTACTTGCGCGCGCGATGTACTGTCGCCCTCACTGACATCCCTCCAGGCCACATCGAGCTCTGCTCATTCGCGTTCCGCGACCTCGCGCCCGTCGCGCGCGATAGCCCAGGCATCGCAGTCTGTTCCGCCGCTCACCGCGCGGTCGCGGTCGCTCCCCACGCAAATTGTCGCGGCGGATGCAGCTCCTGGCCATCCGCGCGCAGACCAGGCCACGCGAAGGACGGCGGCGTCATGCCCGTCCACTCCGTCGGTGCCCGCCACGGCTTCTCAGCCAGATCCCCCCACGCCGATTGCCCGTCCTTCTCCCGCTTCCGCCCGGCCCGCGCACGCGGCTGCCACGCTGCCAGCAGAGCGCCCGCGGCCCTCCCCGTCCACAACCCCTCCTCCACCAAAGCGGCAGAACGTCGAGCGGGAGGAAGCCTGTAAAGTCAAGTCCCTTTACGACCTCTCGGGAGACGACGGCACTCTCGACTGGGAGCTCGCCTTGCTTGAGGATCAGCGCGGGCGGTGAGTCCGCATGTTCGTGGGCCAGACTGCGTCTGCCGTGTGTCGATTCCCAAAAGGTTCCGTGCTAGGCACCGTCCGCGTACTGGGAGATGTGGCTAGCATCTTCCCGGCATGCCTTCCTGTTTTTACTCCACTCTCCCGACCATCCTCCGTCACGTCTCCCCTCGCCGTTCCATCTACGCTCTGCGGTATCGCACTACTGTACATAGTTCATCGCGCTCAGGACTTTGCTCGGACTTGTCGTCGGACTGTCATTAGCTGTCATAGTCCTTACACAGCTCGCTTTCCTGCATCTCCGTCTATCACCGTCGAACACTTTCGGTCCGTCCAGCGCGCTATCTCTCATCATGAGCCCACCATCACCGTAATCTGTACCAATCTTCGAGGCACGAGAAGGTTTCGCAGAAAGAACCTTTACCGCCATCCTGACCTGCGCAACGTGGTGGATCAACAACGCGGGCGTCTTCCGGTTCTTCTCTATCTCATCTCGAATCAGCGCGCCGATCGGAGACGATGACTAGTCTGGCCACCGTACAGCCACCGCGCTCGAGCAGAAGCCGCGACGGTCGCCGGGGCATCGATCGTGCGATCGTTCGATCGCTGCACGGCGAAACCCTCCTTGCCGTCGGTCTCGTCGGACTTTAGCGAGGCGTGGTGCCGCGTGCATCGTCGCGCTGGATGGGCGCGACTCGCGAGGTTTCGCTACCTCATGAGAGCCACGTGGTGGCCACGTTTGACGCAGGACAGAGGTTTGACCAGCGCTTTTCTTCATCAGTACTATATACATCACTATTACACATGGCGTGGAGTGAAAAGAGAGGAAAAAGTAGTGTACAAGCATCATCGACGAATGTACTTCTTTCAAGGCGATTTTTGTGATCGCACCGCAAAATAGCGCATTTCGATGCCACGTGAGCAGGCGTTCAGTAGGACATGACATCATCTTCACACGGCCATGGGATCGCCAGCGCGTCAGCACCGGCGCTCAAGGACACAGGCTTTTCCCTTCGTTCCGCCATCCTGGTGCGATCGGAGGTTTGCGGTGTCACCAGGTCTGTTCGAATACCTCTGTGGAATCTGGTGTCTTTGCCTCATTTCTTCACGTAGCACGCTCCTCTGAACGTCAAGTTGGCACTCATGACGGTGTCAACGCCGTCCTCAGGGGCAGCACGATTCAACTGAGGTGGAACCCTTCGTTGATCCTCATTTGGACGACCTCCAGAAAGCGCCGATGAGTTGTCTTGAACACCGCTGTGACAAACGCCTTCACGAGCCAATCATCATCAAGATCGCCCTTCCACCTTCCCACCTCCTGCTCAGCCACGTCGAGTGGATGAGCAAGCGCACTTCAACTGGGCGGCGATGCTAGGTTCGGAACTTGATGGTGCCAAGGACCATCGCTCTTTCCGGGCGCACTGCATCTGCCAGTCAGAACCTCCTACCGATCTGCAAAGTAGCCGTGCTAACAGTCCACGCAGCACAGCATGAGCGAGCGCTTCGCTAGGCTGTTTCCCCCTTTGGCATCAGCTTCTTCAGTACCCAAGGAGCCCCATCAGTGCTGAGTCGTCACATTTCCGGAGGTAACATTGAAGCGATGCAGGGCAAGTACTCAGGCCACAGTATGGGGGTGTTCCCTGCCAACGAACAGTATTTAGACAGGGCGACGGCCTTCGGGGCAGACCACCTCCGCGGTTCCCTGGTCTTCACTTCTCTCCCTCCCTCTTTCAAGGGACTTCCTTCCGGTGGGATTCCATTGGGATACTTCGCACGCGCCCGCCACTCAGTATACTTTGCAGCTATTCTACTTGCTGCAGTTACAGTTTTGCACTTTCAAGATGAAGTTTTGCACTAGTTTCATTTCCTGCATCCTTTCGACCGCGGCCCTCATCAGCGCCACCCCAATGGACCGTCTCCCGGGCATCAAGATGTTAACGAAGATGTCTTCGCGCTCCCCCGACGGTGCCGTATATTGTGCGTCCACCCTTATTCTCCATGACGTCGTGTTCTTATGACCATGGTAGTCCTCAACAACGACCCCGATGATGTTATGATCATCACCGCGAGCATTGACCGAAGTGGCTCTCTGGTATGTGAAATCCCCAAATGCCCTCTTATTAGTTGGTCAAACCTTGCTTTGCAGAGGTTGGATCGTGCCGTCGCTGCTGGTGGCCGTGGGCTTCACGGGAATAGCACGAATGGCATGATGGGGAACGATCCTCTCTTCTCCCAAGGCGCTATTGATGTCTCAATCAAGAAGAACGTGCTCGGGAACGTGAATGTGCGTCTCTCTGCTCCTCATGGTCTCCCGAAGATGCTCAAGGTGGTCATCACAGCCTGGCTCCAACACTGTGTCCCTCTTCCACATCGATCCGCGCAAGCCGACGAACATCACCCCTATCGGCTACCCCGTCTCAAGCGAGGGCGAGTTCCCCATCTCCGTCGCGTTCAACAGCGACGGCTCCCGCCTCTGCGTCCTGAACGGCGGGGCCGTCGACGGCGTCCACTGCTACACTGTCGATACCCAGAAGGGCCTCCTCCCGCTCCCGAACACGCTCCGCCCCATCGGCATCAACCAGACGACGCCCGCGTTCGCCGGCGCGACGCTCTCGCACGTCCTCTTCTCCGCGGACGACAGGACGCTCTTCGCGTCCTACAAGGGCCTCGACGCGAGCCGGCCCGGGTTCGTCGCCGCGTGGGCCGTCGCCGCGGACGGCGCGCTCTCCGCGCGCTACAGGACGATCCCGCTCCCGAACGGCGGCGTCGTCGGGTTCGGGATGGCGACCGTGCGCGGGCGGGACGCGCTCGTCGTCACCGACCCCGGCGTGGGCGTGCACGTGCTCGACCTCTCGGGCGCGAACCGCAGCTCGCTCGTCGCGCCCCCGGGGGAGACGGCGTCGTGCTGGGCGGCGTACTCGGAGCTCACGGGCTCGTACTACGCGACGGACGCGGGCGCGGCGGTCGTCCACGAGATCGCGGTCGACGGCGACCTGAACGCGAAGGTCATCGGCAACTTCAACCTCACCGCCATGGCGGGCCCGCTTGACTCGCAGACTGCTGTTGTCCGCAACAAGGCGTGAGTTTTTGGGCGTCTTGTGAGACGGTCGATGGGAGACTGACTGCTTGCTTCTTAGTTACCTGTATGTGCTCGCTCCCGGTGCCGGTGCCGTCGAGGTCCTTGCCCTTGAGGGTGTTGGTAAGGCCAAGCTCATGCGTTCTGTGGACATCATCGGCACTGCTCAAGCCGCCGGCTTGACTATCCGTGAGCAATTCCGATCCTTGCAGGTTTTCCGTTTGTTTAACTGACCGGATCTACAGAGAAATTCAACCTCCAGGGCATGGCCACTTATTACACGGCTGCTAACTAGGTGCATGATTCGATCGTGGTCTCTCCTGCGTACTGTTGCTCGCATACTGGACGCTCTTCTCGTTCAGTTCAATTTAGTATGTTGTGAGCTCCCAGGCGCTTGTATCAACCGTCTGGGAACCGCGGTGGTATTATTGAACGCTTGGTGGCTGGGCTATTTTGCGAAGCGAAGCAAATGTCACGCGTCCGAATGCATCTGGGAGCGTCGCGCAGCCCAACGGGTCGCTCCCCGCTCCCTCGCGCTCAGGTGCGCCTCCCGGAGATCGTCAACTTTGCTGTGACGTCTCCCCTCCGGGGGTAAAGCCAAATCTCCTTAGGACAACGAGATGATCGCTCTGAGTAAGTCGTTAGGTTTACGCCATCAGGCTAGCACCGTCCTCGGACTTATTACTGACCAAACCACTCAGCCCCATGTCTCTTCTCATCCGGAACGTTGTACGTACAAGTGGTGCGCAGATTCCTATGAAATATCCTTCAAATTCGCCGGAGGCTTGAAACGTGTAGCATGACTACCCGGGGTGTTGTCCTCTGGTGACTCTTCCGGTGATATCATGTCTGTGCCGTCTGGCGCAGGACGAGCGGTTCTGAGGCATGTGAGCCGCAAAGCCAAGATCGGCTTTAACGCTTCTTGACAGTCAGGATCAGAGAAGACTACCCAGACGGTGTTGGCCGCCGCACGAACTCCCTACCGGATTGATTCGGCTTCCCACCCGGCCGAGATGCACCTTGTGCGATTCGGGCGGACTTCGTGGCGCTCCGACGCCCTCGCGAGGCCATGCTCGCGCCCATGGGGTATAAAGAACCTCCCGAACGCCATCCAAACAGCAGCATCCTCTCCGCCGCCCACAAAACACGACCTTCGCCAGATGAAGTCCGTGTCCGCCACCCTCGCGCTCGCAATCGCCGCGCTCGCCGCCTCCGGTGCGTCTCCTCTCTCGCTCGCGCACACCCCGACCACGAACTGACCGCACACCTGCAACCTCCTTTTCCCACAGCTGCCGCGGGCCCCATCGAAGGTCGGGACATCATCACCAAGACGTTCACGTTTGACGGAACGACGACGGTCGAGACGATCACGTTCGACCCGCCGGGCTCTTTTCCCACCGGGGACGTCGCGGCGCTCGCGGCGCGCGACGTGATCACCACGACGGTCACCTTCGACGGGACGACGATCGTGGAGACGATCACCTTCGACCCTCCGGGGTCGTTCCCTACGGGGGCGCTCTGAGCGGGATGTCGATGTCGGAGGGGCAGTGGTTCAGGCTACAAGGCTAAGAAGGACAGGAGAGTGTAGGGTCTTAGAGTACTTGCGGGTTTGAGCAGGGTTGAGTCCAATGATGCCCGCGGAATGTTCGCGCATGAAATGTTCCACACATTGAGAACGGGCGGGCGGATTTGAAAGAGCGGCAAAAAGCTAGATATTAGAGCGGTGGTGGATTCTACTGTCCCGAATACAATGCTCGCCTGCGGCAGCACCCGTAAGTCATAAGGTAAAAGATCAAAGCAGTGCCGACCAGTCACTGGCTCCAGAGCTTCGTGATCGCAATCGTGAGGGGAAGCTCCTTGACGCGGAGCCAGTGCCAAAAGTCTGGTCCGATCCACCACCAGAAGGCGCCGAAGGCAGCCCCGCCAAGGTGGGCGTAGTGGTCGAGGAACCTGATGGGGGCATCAACAACCCGTCTACGCAGCAGGGGTCTCAGAGGGTACTCACCGCCATCCGCGGAGGACGCCAATGACGTCGAGCGCGACCATACCACAGACGCCAGTGGACATGGTGAAGGGCATCATCGGCAACAGCAGCAGGTAAATCTCCGAGTTCGGGTACGCGAGCGCAGTCATCGTCACGAGCGCATAGATCGCGCCCGAGGCGCCGAGGGAACCGGGTATCACGTCGCTTCCAGCCGCCGCGCGCGCGGATTCCGCGCCGCGTCTGCCGGCCAGTCTCGACCGGAGGCTAGAAAAGGCGGAAGTGGACGTGGACGTGGTTTCGGAGGCAGCGGTCTTGAGGCTCTTGAACACGCGCGCGAACGCGAAGCGTGTGTGCCCGACGTGGGACACCAAACTGGAGAACAATCCAGCTGTAAAGGGGTCAGCTTAGTGCTGGGAGCTCGCGGTCGCGATACTGACCTGAGATGAAGAGCGATAGGAGATGCCACTTGGATGACACTTCAGGTAGGGTGATACCGCCCTTGGTCTGGTTGGCCTTAGCCTGCTCCCATAGGTAGTAGGCGGCTGATGCGCCGAAGCTCCCAAGAACGAAGCAGTTGGCGGCGAGATGGAGGAAGCTTTCATGGCTGAGATACGAGCTGGTAAGTACTGGACGACGAAGAACCCTGGGTTCAAGTCGAGGGGAATCACAAAACTCACCTGAATGTGCTCGTGAGCATCGTGTACGACTTGCCTGACAGCGGAACGTGCACGAAAGCTCGGCGCATTAGCGCATTCCAACGCGGGACACGCCAGGCCAAGAACACGGCGACATTGACCGCCCCAATCGTCCAAGCCATACGCTTCCCTTCGGAGGCGTTGAGAATAGGCTGGAAGAGTTGCACATAGCCGTAAGAGATCAATGCTTTGACAGATTTAGGGAAGCCCTCGATGTCAGCCTTGAGCTTCGCCAAACCAGCAATCAAAACCTGTGGAAGCGCATATATCAGGGCGACAAAGACATCTGGCACCAAGATACCACTCACTTTGCCAAAGGCGCGATACTTCTGCGCAGCGATGGAATCCGAGGAGACGTTTTCCGACTGAAGCAGGACTTCCAAAGGTTTGTTGCGCAGCTTGATGAGCCACTCCGCCATCTCCAGGTTGGTAAGTTGCGCGCCGATGACAAGCGCGGTTACACTTCCGGCGATGGTGAACTAGAGGCATTGGGTGTGAGCACGCTGAGGTGACGGAACACGAGGAATGGCGGAAGCAGAGATACACGAGTGGTGAGGCTTCCTGCATGCCGTTCCTCCTTCTCCGCTCTCTAACGTGCAGCCGTGTGCGCCATGTCTTTCCAAGGGCCGATAAAACCCGTACGGTTCATCATAGAGAGTACTCACCAGCACCTGGTTGCGTATGTGTGAAGCCTCGCGCACGGCATCGGCGAAAGCTGGCAACGGCTGGGTTTTCGTGAGCTCTTTCCTGAACACAGGGACCGGGGGAGTGCTATGAGAAGTTGTGCGAGGAAAGCGAGGATGTGCGGTGAAGGAAAATGGGCGGCGCGGTGAGCGGCATGCTCGAGGAAGTGAGCGTAGAGTCCAAAGCATGCGTGCGTCTCCAGTGAGCAGAGGCGCGCAAGCTGCACCTCTTTACTCCTTCCCTCGACCTTGCGCCGACCGCTTGCGTATCCCCTCGGCCACGACGAGGGCACGCGTTCTACTACCATGTTCTTCTTCGTCTTCTTTCAACGCCCGCCTCCCACACAGACTGCTCCAGGGAAGCCCATTCTGATCACCCCGAAGGTCGCGAACGACTTGCGCACCGAAGACTTTCCGGGCGGAGAAGAGCTCTACTACGCGTGGTCGCTTGCCGGCCCCTCCCTGGACTCTGGCGCGGAACCGTACCCGTCGCTCGCCGCACCTCAAAAGCTCACAACGTGGAGGGCGGGAAACTACAAGGAGCTCCCCGTGCCGTTCCCACCCCGGGCCCACGATGGGCAGTCGTACCGGCTCCTGCTCACGACACGCCCCCATCCGCGCGCGCATATAATCAACCTGGCCGCGCGAGACGTCGGCTCGCGGCCGATGCCCGTCATGTCGATGCCGATCCGGCTCGACGGGCGTGCGCGGCCTGGCCAAGCGGAGAAGCAGCAGGAGATTGAGCGAGTGTACCGCGTGCCTCTGGGGCCGGACAAAGACGGGTTCTTGAAGATCCGCGAGCAGACGTCGTATGACCTGGACAAGGTATGTGTGTGTTCCCCGCGCCTGCGCGTCCGCCCGGCATGCTAATTGTGTAGGTCGGAGAGTAGAAAGTGTGGGATAGCGGCATCGGCCTCAGTTCTTGGCTCGTCGAGCTCGCGCATATAGCACCTGGAGAGGATGGACATTCCTTAGTGCAGCACGCGCGTGATGTCCTCCTGTCTCCGCACAAGCGAAATATCGTCGAGTTGGGTACGTCGTTTCGGGACTCTGACAATGTTATACTGACACTCTCCCAGGTGCGGGGACAGGGATAGTTTCCCTCACTCTCGGCGCGCTCAGATCTGCGCGTACAACAGATGATGAAGGTATTGTTTTGACAACAGATCTAGGTTCGTGCCTCCGTAACAAAATCGTCGTATTTGTGCTGAAATAAAGTACAGAGTCAGCGCTTCCGCTTCTCACTCTCAATGTCGCTGCCAACGACATGCTGTTCTCAGCGGGAACCCGACCACGGCCTTTACCGCTCGACTGGGACAACGACCTTCCCGAAGATGTACGTGCCATTGAGGGCGGTTTTGATGCGATCATCATGGCCGATGTGACATACAACACGTCCTCGTTTCCTGCCCTCGTCAAAACACTCTCCTCCTTGTTGCAACTCAGTCCTCTGGAACGGCGGCCCACGCTGATACTTGGGTACAAGGAGCGCGATCCCGATGAACGGGTGCTTTGGAATATGGCGAGGGATGTTGGGGTGATGCTCGAGAGAGTCGGCGAGAGAGCCGGAGCTGGGAGAGAACCAGTGGAGATCTGGGTGGGGAGGTGCGAGAAGCCAACATGAGTTTAGTAGATATCGAGTATTGACTTGTACTCACAGACTTGAGTGAGAATGCGTACGCGTGACCGTGTGTGATCGGAATGTGACCCCTTGTGTGACAAATCGTGTTTCGACGCGTCGTGCGCGACGCCGACGTGTTTGAGTTCACATTGCTTGCTACCCATCCACCATGGTCCGTGTTCCGCTCACCCAACGCCCACGCGATTTCGCGTACCTCCTCTTCTTTGCTGTAAGCACATATGTCTCCTGCGCGAGGTTCAAATTCTGACCTGCAATAGATCCACATCCCAGCCACATTGTTGATCGACCTCCAGTCCATCTACCCCAAAGCATGGGTTCCTGCAGCCATTGCTGCCTTGCCCAGATATTACGTGGATATGTCGGGAGATCCGCTCATCGGTAGCGCAATGGGATATTTTGGGCCCTCCCAGCAGCAGACATATGAGTGGTTGAGAGCCTTCATGTTTCTGGAAGCGTATGTGATGCCTTTCTAAATGCCTGCACAGTTCCACTAATGTCCCTCGAATCATACAGTGTTTTCCAACTTCCTACGTTTGTGCTGGGAATACGTGGTCTTTGGAAAGGTATGTACCTTTTGCGCATCCCCTCTGCTTCATCAGCTTAGCGGCTCCCGTCAAGGCTCCACCTCCATATATACACTCCTCCTGGTATACGCCGCTTCAACAGCAACAACCACCATCCCTTGCATCACCACCGTACTTTCTCTCCCCTCCGCTCCTGTTCCCATGCCAGGCGGAGTGTCCCTTACGTCAGAGCAACGGGTGCTGCTGCTCTCGAGCTATGTTCCCTTCTTCCTCGTCCCGTTCGTCATGGCCATCGACATGGCGATCCGGATACACAAGCGGCCTGCGCTCAGCACTGCTTCCCGGGAAGCAAACAAGAAGAAGTAGACCGACTTCAACTTCTACTCTCGATTCTTACCCTTGCCTACTCACCCACGCGACGTCAAGATGTACCATAGTGGTATATAGATACATGTGATGAGGCGCTCGCTGACGAATTTCATGAATAAGACACGAACTTGCTTTGAAGTTTTGCGAACCTCCGCGGTGAGGACGTTTCCGTCGTGAGGTGTGAGCGCCTTGCGCGCGCATTGACTATTCCCCTCCAGGACGAGCTCCCACGCACCCCGCTTCGCTCCGCGGTCGTGGTCGCAGCAAGGGGCTGAGCAAGCATGACATCATGTCTAGCGGATCCCGCGAGCAGCGGATGTGGCCCCTGCTTCTGCGGTGTCCGCCAATGCCGTACCATCAACGCCTGCGTCATGCGGATCAGCGACGCCGATACCGCGACAGCGTCTTGTCGTACCCTGGCTGCAGAGACGCGCTTTTGGTGGCACAGCGCTCACACGCCCCCGCGCCTGCCTTCTTGTTCTTTCTCCTCTACAGTTCATCAGCACCGGAAGGAACGGACGCGCAGTAGCAAACATCATCGGCATAAATGCATGAATGTCGGCGGGACGGACACCCAACTCAACATACTCAATACATACTTCCTCACCGTCCATCCCAACGCTCAACAACATGGTTCCCTCCGAAACCCCGCAGAAGCTCCGTATTGCCATCGCGTATGTTACCTTCCGCCTGCACCCAGATGATCCATGCTCACTATTCGAATGTAGTGGCTCAGGCTTCGGTGGTCTTTTGCTCGCAATCTTCCTGCAAAAGTACTGCCCCGACCACGAGATCGACATATACGAAGCCGCCCACGAATTCGGCGGGATTGGAGCCGGCGTCGCCGTGTGGCCTCGCTTCTGGCAAGTGCTCAGGTACATCGGCTTGGAGGACCAGCTGCTCGAGGCGACTGGCACTCTGAACAAGGAAGGTGCGCGCGTTAAGCAGCTACAGAGACGATTCGTTCGTATCTCACCCTTGCATCGGGTCTAGCGTTGCACCTACGCTATCACAAGGGTGACGAGGAAGGCGCTCCGCTCGTTCATTCTTTCTCTGCCGACAGTGAGCACTTTATACCCTCCTGCTCTCGAACTGCCTCCTGATCACGGCGTATCTCTAGTGTTCACCTTCCACCGGTCTCAGCTCCACAAGGTCCTCGTGGACAACGTCAAGGACAAGGACAAGATCGTTCACTTTTCCAAACGCCTTGTCTCCTACTCCGAGCCCGCCTCCGTTGATGAACCGATCACGCTCACCTTCAAAGACGGTACCACGGCGACCTGCGACCTGCTTCTCGGAAGCGACGGCATTCGGTCTGCGGTTCGACACACCATGTACACCGAGCTCGCGAACGAAGCCGAGGGCGCCCGTGCGGAAGAGCTGCGGGAGATGATCGATCCTGTCTGGTCCGGGGTGGTTGTGTACCGCGGCCTTGTGCCCGTAGATCAGCTCCAAAACACCAAGCTGGACCTCGGACACGTCGCGATAATTGTGAGTGTGTCACCGCAGTATTGTTACACTTGTCATTGACGATCACGGGCGGCTCCTCAGTACGCAGGCAAACACAAGGTGAGCGATTCCATTTGATAACCATGTCGAATCCTCTGACGGGGCTACTGCCAGTACCTCACCTCCTACGCGGTCTCGCGCGGAGAATTTATCAATGTGGCCGCACTCGTCGGGATCCCTGATGGGGAAGGGAAGCCGTACGAAGGCCCGTGGAGTGCTCCAGTGACGCAAGAGGAGGTCGCTGCGCAATATGCGACTTGGGACTCTGACGTGCAACAGCTCGTCAAGGTACGCCGCCATGATATCTCACACACCCGCCTCTTCTGAGGTCCGCCACGCCCTGCTCGTTTCATCTCAGCACATCGAGAAGCCGTCCATCTGGGCGGTGAACACGGTTCGCTACCTGCCGACCTACGTGAAAGGCCGCGTCGCGCTTCTCGGGGATGCGGTGTGTGCTGCTGCTCGGGTCGGCCCCCCTCCCACCGTGATGCTGACCATCTACTTACGCCGCAGGCCCACGCCATGACGCCCAACCAAGGGTCCGGCGCCGGTCAGGCCATCGAGGCAAGCTCTTCTCGCTCCATGTTCCCCCATCCCCCTCTCCGACGCTGACCGCTGTCTGTAGGACGGTTTCATTCTCGCGACGATCCTCTCCCAGCCCGGGGTCTCGCGCGCGACGCTGCCCGAAGCGCTCGAGGTCTACGACGCCCTCCGTCGGCCGGTCTCGCAGGACGTCCACCGGCGCTCGCGCCAGACGGGGCACACGATCAACCTCGAGCGCGCGGGGTGGGAGAACGTGAGCGCGGCGGAGAGCGCGCGGGGCGGGTTCCCGAAGGAGATGCTCGACCGGGTCGGGGCGGCGATCGAGGAGGAGATGGCGTGGGTGGGGGCGTCGAGCATCATGGACGACCATGCGCGGGCGTGCGAGATGGTCAGAGAGAGGTTGGTGTAGCGCCGTGCACGACCGCAGCGCGAGTCGTCGCTCCAATAACTCGATAGAAGTTTCGCACCGAACTAGGGGATGCGTGCTTTGTATATAATCCTCGTCCAATTCGCCCGCTAATTCATCACCAGAACAGGCTTCACTGCCCGTCCTCGTAGAGCCCCGTGGTGAGGGATCCCTCAGCCGGCTTCCTCACATACCCCGTGCGCCACTATACCTCGATCTCCACCTCCGTCACGATACCCTCGTTGTCGTCCGCCTCAGACCCACACACGGTCGAGGACTCCGCCCACTCGAGCTCCCACTCGAGCTCGCGCTGCGCCAGCGCCTCCAGGTCGGCCATCGCCCCCCACACGCCCTCCCCGTCGCCAGCTGCTCGAGCGCGTCCGGTCCGTCCGAGGCTGGCCAGGCGTGCCTCGCGGGCAGCTTCGGTCTCGGGGCGGCTGCCGAGGCGCCGCCGCGCCCCAGGTTCCTTGAGGGCAGCGCGCCGGCGGCCACAGCGCCCCTGCGTGGGCCCCGCGGGGACGCGGAGGCACGAGCGGCGCGCCTCGCGCTCGTGTCGGAGTCCATGTCGGGTTCGTCGGGGTCGTGGTAGTAGTAGAAGGCGGAGTCGTGTAGTTCTTGGCGGGTGACCGTCCAGTGCAGTGTGCAGACGATCTGAGCGCGCCGCGCTCGGCGCACAGATGCTCTGCGGGGCATGGTGGTTGAATGGAGGAGAAAAGAGACGCTTGCGTTGTAAGAAGTTAGCAGGCATGACGACGGCGAGGATAGTGAACTTGACGTACTTTACTGATGGAAGGGGAGGGACTCTGGATGCAAATTGAGGGTGAGGTGCGTCGAAGCATGGCTGAACCGCGCACTTTTAAGTAAGTATGGGGACACGGGGAAAGTCTTTCCGATGATATGGATGGCCATTGTCTTCTGGACGGAGACCACAAGTGTCCCAACTCGCTGTGGTGCGTCCGAGGGTATGTTTTCAATCCTAGTCTGAGCACGACCATGGTCGCTGCGCGGACCTTGCGCGGTACCTATTGCCCTTGATCGAGATGCACTGACCGAGATCTCATTGTCCTGGGACGGCCTCGGGCCCAAGCACGATCGCGCACAACGATCTGGCACGTAAGTGGAAGATGCCGGGAAGTAGCGCTCAGACGGCGTCCGGATCCGGTAGGCTCGATCATCCAGCCGTTCTCGTCGTGACCTCCTCTAACGGCTGGTCAAACTCGTAGGGGAGCCTCGCAGGAGACCCATAAAAGGCAATCACGTGATGTGCATGCCCTCCTCTCGCTCCACTCCCCCGCCCAAACGGGCATGTTGGGGCACGCCGCCCTCCCCAAGCCCCACGCGCGAGCTCGCGCGCGAGCCCAGGGTGTGCGCGAGTGCGCGGCTAGTCGCGCGGAGTGTCGCGCGCGCGTCGCGCCGCTCCTGTAGACCCAATGCCTCGCTCTCCTGGGCGATGTTCGTCCTGATTCCGACACAACCTCACAAGCGTCCTCTGGTGTGCACAAGTATGGCCTTGGGATATACCACCCATTCTGTCAGTGACAGTTCTCGTCAAATGTACATGCAGCACCGGCTACTACTATCCCAGCTTCACCGTGTTCCTTTTCCCTCATCAACTTGGATGTCTATGTACAAATATTCCTCATACATCGACACACTACGATCTCCTATGCTACGTTTTGAGCCGTCACGTACTGCAGCGCGACGAGTCGGGCGTCCATGTTCCATCTCTGGCGGCCCACCGCCAGGGAACTCTGCTCCCCGCACATCTGCCCGACGTTTACATCCTACACCCGCGCCGGGGGCGCAGTCCATGTCTGTCCGTAGAGCACCTAGATCATTGTACATCGCACCTTAACAGAATTAATACCACACTTTCAGTCATTTCAGTGTTCTATTGCCGCACTGCAGCCTGAGGGACCCGTCAGTGAGGCAAGCATTAGGTCTGCAGGAGCGGCGCGACGCGCGCGCGACTAGCCGCGCACTCGCGCACACCCTGGGCTCGCGCGCGAGCTCGCGCGTGGGGCTTGGGGAGGGCGGCGTGCCCCAACATGCCCGTTTGGGCGGGGGAGTGGAGCGAGAGGAGGGCATGCACATCACGTGATTGCCTTTTATGGGTCTCCTGCGAGGCTCCCCTACGAGTTTGACCAGCCGTTAGAGGAGGTCACGACGAGAACGGCTGGATGATCGAGCCTAGGATCCGGCACTGCTCGTCCTATGCCGCGTGATCCGACGTGGCTCCTTCCCAATCCGTCTCCCCCGTCGACCCTTCCATTGGACGTTGTCGCTGCCAGTCCGCCGATTGTTTTCTGGTGAGGTGTCCTATTGCCATACAGAAGTCCGAGCTGAACAAATTGGTCCAGTTGAAAGCACGGAGCCGCCCAGCCTCACGTATACTCAACACGCATCCTGCTCATGGCAAGTCGCTCGGTCAGGTCTCTCCATTCTCCAGCGATATGTTTTGATGGTTTGTACCAGCTGCGGACCCCATTTGTGCTCACAGAGAACCGGAAGGTGACCCATCGAGTCCATCCGCTCCCACGATATGGCTGATCGAACCCTGTGCCGCGAAATAAACCACCGATTTTGATGCCGCGTGCAGACGCCCACTTCCCTCTCGGACGAACAATGGGCATACCCTCGCACATCGTAATCAACGCCGAAGCCGCGTTCCCTCCCAAGGGCGTACTACATAAAGCGTATGCGCAGTAAAGCCCTTCGCACCAGATCTCCTGAGGACCTCCCCCGCTCCCGCAAAGAGAACATGACCCCCCAACCCCACCCCTGGCAGTCGCCTTACTCCACCATGCCGACCGCAGCATACAAAGTGAGTGCCACTGTGCCATCAATTCTGGCCACTTGTTGACCCATGCTGTGGTACTACCACAGTGGCTGCCCAAGCCCGCGGTCCTTGGGCCGCGTCGTCTTAACACCCGTCTCACCACCCTGCCCGCTCCGCACGACTCTGGAGAGTTCCACACCCACGGCGGCTCTCAGCCACTGACCTGGCGCGACTCTTGTCTCCCTTCCCTTCGCGCGCCATCGATGGCACGTGTGTCTGAAGGGCCGGGCCTTCCGTCTCCTGAGTCAGAAGTCACCGCGAGCACGTACACCGGCGCCATCACCGGAACAACCTACTACCAAGCCACCCAGGTCTCGCTCGCTACCTCCACCCGCAAGTCCGGTCCCCTGCGCCGCGGCACGCCTCACCCGGGCGCGCTCATCGCGAACGAGGTCGACGCGCCCGAGGGCTACTGGCTCGACAGCTTCGACGCCCCCGTCGTCGCCCTCGAGGACCTCACGGCCATCACGACGGCCCCCCTGCGCCCGGCGCTCGCTCTGCCGGCTCCAACCACCCCCTTCGCCAGCGTGCGCGCGCGCCCCGCGAAGGCCCCGAAGGGACCCCGTCTCCAGCGCTCGCGCTCCTCGAGCGGCTCGAGCGCGACCTCCGTCTTCTGGACGCCGGACTCCTCTCCCCTGTGCTCGCCTGTCGCGACCACCCCGACTTCGTTGGCGGACGGCCGCGCAGTCGCCTGCCCCACCACCTGCCCGGCGCCCGGCGCCATCCACCTCCCTCGTGCCGCGCCGTCGCGCCGCTCGCCTTGCGCGACATCGAACGTGCGCCGCAGCACCCCGGGCTACGAGGTCGTCGCGGGGCCCATTGCGGTCCGGGTCCCGATCGAGTTCGCGGCACCGCACCCGCGCCGCCTCCCGCCCGCATGGCTCTTTGATTAGTGGGCTAGTGGGCGTGGGTGTATAGGCCCATTGTCCCCCGTCCGTGTACTCTATCCATGCTGTCTCTTTGTTATCATCTCACATATCAATTATGCGTTATTTGCGCTTTATCTGTCCGTACGATGGAGATCGTGGTCCACATAATACCCGGATGCATTCCACTCGTCCAGTGATGCACACAGCCGGACCGGCAGTTGAAGTTGTCATTGTCGCTACAACTAGCCATGCTCCTACATACCACCATATCATTTCCGACCCACGAGCTCGTTGTTGCCTCGGTACAGATCTAGACTCCAGACACCCTGCCTCTGACCACTCCCGCCAGACTGAAGCGTCCAGAGCCCAGACCATGGCCGAATCGAAAGCCACCCTGTCCTGGGATCGCGTGCTCAAGCATCCAAGTCTCCTGGTAGCGGGAGGACTCAGTCCATCGGGCCGCTGGCAGGAGGCCGGCGCTACAATGCCTTGGCAGACAGTGGTTGGTAGACGGTGACGACACGGCAAGACGGGCGCCCCGTCCCAACTACTAAGCGCAGATCCCGGTATGTACACGTAAATAGACCCGCGCCGCCCCGGATTTGGTGTCCACCTCAGCGTGCCCTTGGCAATGAAGCCTCGGAGCTGAGTTGGACGAGCCGAATCCGAGCCGCGACTCGGCACGCCGTCCATCCTCCCCGCCCGCCGAGTCCTACACGGGCACAAGCTATAGCAAGACGGCCCGTTTCCACGTGGTTCGAGGGAGACCGCCGACTGGCAAATGAAGAAGCGACGGGGCGAGCGCAGCGTGGGCAAACCTTTGCTGCTATTTACACTTGTTGGCGCGCCGAACCCTCCCCGTCGAGCAACACTCGGGCGAAGAGACCCTCCCCCGTCCCCTCCCTCGCGGGGTGGACATAGGCAGAGAACGAGTCGACCGGCGAGGCTCAACGCGACCAAGCGCACGACCGCCGCGGCTACCGAGGGATTGCTCGGCAGACCTTGCCGATGTCAGGATCGGAATGGCACCTCGCCGCCGCATGCGGTCCGGCCAAACGAGTCCTCCATCCCTAAGCGAGGGCAGACAAAGGATGTCGTAACGGCGGCCGCGCAGTCCAATGGGAAAGGTGACTCGAAACCCTTGCGCCATCAGGCGCACGTTGTTCACTTTACGTCCAAGCGGCACTGTACCATATGTGCTATGTGCCCAAATTCAACTCTCTGGTCCCGGAGTCACCCTGAAGACAATGGTCTCCTCGAGAAGCCTGGGACCGCCCGCCCGCCCGACAGATGCGTGCATGGCTCGGCGTTTTTACGGCTCGTTACCTGGCACGCCTCGTCCGCTTGAAGAGTGTGAAGGGTCCGCCGGACGCCGGTCACGAGCGGGACTCGAGACACCTTCCGCGTTGCAAGTGAACTTCGGTGAGGTGTCCTCGTCGCACGTCCACCTCCCTCGCCCAGGGTTTCCGTCGGTGTGGACGAAGAGCCTCGTACAAAGGAGCGGACGGGCTGGCGTAAGGTCGCTGGACTGTACTGTCCAGCTGCAGGAAATCATCATGCACGATAGAAGTCCGGACGACCGCGCGCGCGTCCCCACGCACACCTGGTCGCCCCTGCTCTGCCGCTGGCACACGAACAGCACCACGACAACGGAGCTCGTGACGCAAAAAGACCACTCACCGCGTGCTGGGTATCCTTTGCGTCTCGACGTCGATTGCGAGATCGTGGGGCCGACGGGCCATGCGTGCAACGAGCTGAACTATACAATTACGCCGGGTATCCTCTCTGTGCGAGATGCGTACGCTAGGTACTACTGGAATCGATGCGTGGGATGTGCATCCACCAACCCAACCCTCTCCCTCTCCCGCGCTCCCGACTCCCTTCCAACGCTCGAACCCCGTCCCCGAGCCATCCCCGGACGTCTGCGCCGCGTCCCTATCCCAGACTTCTCCCTAGCTGTTCGAACCGTAACCGAAAACTGAAAGCAGTAGCAATGTGCGTATGCGCGCGAGGGGAAAGGAGCCATGGAGGCAAGTGAACCAGAACTATCGGGGAATGAGCGCGAGATGGGTCGGAGAATACATATAAACCGGAAAGGAGAGACTGAGGCTAGGTACTAAGAGACGAAGTCGTGGGGAAAAGAGCGTGACGGACGGAAGATGCATAGGCTAGGAGGAAGATACGAGGATGGAATGAAGACGAGACGCGTCAATGGGGACGTATCGCGGGACGGTGAGGCGCGACATGCAACCAACATGCAGCTGCGAAGAGCCCGATGCTCATATGAGCGACTGCTGCTGCTTCGATGCGTCCTGGCCACCGAGCCCGAGCCCGAACGGCCCACCGCCGAACGCGCCCATGGGCACGCCGGTAGGGTTTGTGCCTAGGGAGCCCAAACCACCGAACGACCCTGACGTCGCACCCGGAGCACTGCCCATAGGCGAGCTCATGAACGACGGGGTGGTCCCAGAGCCGAAGTTTCCTGTCAGGGCAGGCATCGAACCCGGGCTGGACGTCGCGGAGAACATGGTAGCGCGGAAGGGGTTCGCGCCGCCGAGCGTGCCTGTGGTTTGTGGGCGAAGGCCGACACCAAGTGACGAGGACGTGCCGAAGGAGCCCATGCCTGTTGGCTGGGAGTTGAGTCCCGGGAAGGAGGAGCCTCCTGAGGGAGCTCCGGTGGAGGTCGTGCTGGTAGTGGGTGGGGACGTTGGTGCACTTCCAGGGGTCGATGGTGCGGATGGAATGGGGGCAAGGACTCCAGGAGCGCGGCTCCGAAGGACGAGGAAGGTTTGAAAGCCTTCAGTCCACTAAATCCGGTCTGCTGGCGCGGAATTGGGGAGGTGCTGGAAGCCGAAGAGAAGGAGATGGATGGTGCGCCGCTCGCCGATGTTGCACCCGTGGGCTGGGATGATACGGAAGAGAAAAGTGTGTCCGAGAACGCGGAGCTCGTGATTGTGCTGGACGTCGGCTGAGAAGTGAGTGGACGTGTGAGTGACGATCCTGGGTTGGACGCGTTGGGCTTCGAGTCAAATGCAAACGATGACGCGATGCTTGAGATAACAGACGAAGACCCATTCACCCGGTACCAAGCGGCTGCGAGGTGCTGAAGCTGCTGTTGAAACCGCCGAATGCGCCAGTCTGTTGGGGCTGTTGCGCCTGCGCCTGCTGTGGTGCCTGCTGTTGCTGCGGCTGGTTGACTCCCATTGCAAGCTCCATAAGGGTGGGCACCCTCGGAACAGGCGGCGGAGGAGTGACGATCTGACCGAACGGATTCCTCGATCCGGTTTGATGCGTTTTCACACCTCCAGTGAGTGGTGGTGACGAAGACGTACCAGGGCCGGACAGCGGCGCGGTTGCTGAACGTGGTGGCACTGAGGTTCCATTGGTCATAGAGGGGAGCTGAGCAAAGGGCTGTGCGATGGACGGTGTTGGTGCGGCTGGAACGTTAGGTGCGTTGAGGAAGGGGAACGCCGGCTGACTGGGGTTGATAGCAGATAATGGCTGGGTCATGCCGGAGGGTTGGAATGGGCTGTTTCCCTGCACTTGCATCGGATTCTGCGGTTGTGGTGACGGCGAAGGCTGGGGCTGCATGGGGAAAGGGTTCGTGTTCTGCTGGGCGCCACCCATCTGCTGCGCTCCGAAGGGCGTAGCCGTGTTTTGTGGGAGAAGCATGCTCTGACGGAACGGGTTAGCACCAGTCATCTGGGGCTGAAGCATGCCAGTTGCTTGCGGCGCGAGGAAGGAGCCGAACGATGGATGTTGCTGAGGTTGCTGCTGCATCCCCATTCCGAACGGATTTGTACTACCCATCGGCATAACGGTGTGCTGCGGCATCAGGAAACCCGTCGCCTGCGGGTGCATTTGCATGCCCATTTGCATCTGCGGTTGACCGAAGGCTTGGGCCCCCAGCATCGCACCCGTCATCATGGGCTGCTGAAACGGGTTCTGCATTGCTTGCTGCTGGAAATACGAGGATGTTGGGCTATATGCGTGTCAGTTGTTGTTGATGGAGAAGCGACAATGGGTGATCACCTGTTGGTCTGTGGGTTGAACATCGTTTGCTGTTCTCCCTCGATTGCACTGAAGAAGTCGATCATCGCCTTCTGGCCAGGAGTCTTGTCACCACCACTCGAGGAGCTCGCTTCAGCGGCTGGGACTGCTGCTGGTGACGCTGGAAGATGATCCGTGTAAGACGAGGCAACGTCACATTAGACAGGCCACATACGCCGTTCTACAGGCTTGGGTGACGGCTTGATGCCTAACTTAGCGTTGCGCTCCGCAGAATCCTTCTGAGTCTTGTACTCTATCCGGTTTTGCTCGAAGTTAGAGTCATTCAGGTACTCTTCGAGTGAGCTTGCAAGGGAGACCGGCGCCTTCATCGAGATGAGAAGACGTGGAACTAGGGCGGCAGAGAAGACATACATGTCGTAGGTTGGGGATCGGGACGTTCAGTAGATTTTGCAGCTTCTTCGCCACGCCAAGGAACTCCACGACATGTTCCGTCTGCCTGCAGAAGTGCTTGTAGATGCTAAGGGCCTCTTGCGCGTCGATTCGCGACATCTCGAAGTAATGCTCGAGGACGTTGATGACACCCTCGTTGCATGCCTGGAAACAGATCAATAGATCTTTCACGAGCATGCGTAACGACGTGATGTTCAGCTCGTCTTCAAGGTCGTCCAGATAGAACTGTAAGGAATCGTGATCAGTGACAACTTTAGGAAGCGGGCATAGAAATGGATGCAGTAAACGTGCCCATATCACCGTTCGTACAAACGACGAGTGCATAACGCACCATACTCCGCCCAACAACCACCGCAGTGTATACATTCAACACGCATAGATCGACGCGATGACCGATGCTATGCACCATGAAGTTGTCGTCCGTACGTGCAGCGCGCATACGCAGCCGTTCCACAACGCAACGACGCGACCTCTCGAACCTTTGGTATGTCACGTCGCCAGGAACGGCGTTGGCTGTGACTGAATCCACGGCGCTAATCAGCGCATATATGCGCTGCAGAGGGCCGCCAGACCGCGCAATGGGACGACGCATGCAAAGTTCGCACCCTGATGGGAACGGTACTCACTCGGCATTCAACCAAGCCATCCACCATCCTCTGCACGATCTTCGTCTCGCGCAAGAGACCCTTCTCAACCGTCATCACCCGCAGCTTGCGCCCGGCCATGGTCTTGCTTCGCGAGAGGTTGCCATTCGAAGGCGGCGGCTGAGGCGAAGCTTTTCCACGTTTGCGAGAGCTGCCGTGGTCCGCATCCTCGTCAATGGCTGCGGAGTTGCGCATGTCACGGTTGTTCTCCGATTGGACACGAATGGCGTCATGCTTGAGCTCGCGGTAGGCGCGTATTCTGAGGTCGAGATACTTTGAGTAGTTCTGGAGGTTCTGGGGGGTGGAGTAGCCCTCCCATTGGGCCGTCGACACGTTGCGAAGCTTCAGCACGTCGGAGGATGAGAGATACTTGAGGATGTTGTCGGTGGCTCCGTTGCGGATCATGGTGTGAAGAACGATGAGTGCTTTGAACACGACCTGGAGAGAGAAACATTACAGGAGTTCGATGTCGACAGACGACAGACTCACAATGACGTTTGGTTCGCGGAAGCGAGGCGAAAGCGCATTGCAGACATCGTGAACCGCACCGTCCTCAGACCATGTCGCCGCAATGATTGGGTCGAGGTACTGAGAGATACGCCACGGTAAGCGGGGTAATGGTGGGAGACAACGGAGGACACACTTTAGCTTTCGGGGGTGCGGCTTTAGGCTTGCATGCGAGCTTGACCGTCTTCTCGAAGCTCGTCATGACTGAGGGACAAGAGGGGGAGTGGAGCAGGATAGTGTACACGGCGGTGGAGAGCCAGACGCGCTCAAGCGGCACTGGCTCACCAAGCGCCAGCGTGCACGAAGCGCCGTATTCCGAATCGGGCAGGTGGGCCGTTGGGTCCCCGGACCGCGGCGGGCTCGGCGGCGTGGAACGTGGCTGCGGAACGGCACGCGGCAATGCTCGAGACGGCATTGAAGCACTGTTAGATTTGGATCTCGTAACTCCCTGCATAACGTTTTGCACGCGCGTGCCAAGCTCGGGCAGGAACAGCTTGGGAACAGCTTATAGTAACCCTTATTACCTCCTTCTCTCTTACCACCCTCACCTCCGCGGTGTGCTCTCTGCCCCCGCTGTGTGGACCACATCCTCCATGTCCTTCCTTCCGTAAGCTGGCCTGTTCTGAGTGCTATATCGACCACATATACTCACTCCTCCGGCAGACGATACAAATCCGCTCGTTACTTCGCCGCAGCTGGAGCCGCCATCTTCGTTGTCGCGACCCTCTACTACATCCAGCCCGGGTCCCTCTCTCGCCCTCTCAATCGCGAATCCTCTTGGAGCTCTGGATCAAGTCCTTGGCAGCATCACAACGACGCCGCTTCATCAGCTCTATGGGACTCGCGAGCAAAGCAAGTCGTGGGATCATTCCGTCACAGCTACGGGGGCTACCTGAGGTACGCTGCGGGCTTCGATGAGCTCAAACCATTGAGTTTGCGGGCGATTAACAAGTGAGTACATGTGCTCGAGGTTCGCATTTACTCACCTTGATGTTCGGCATCAGCTTCAATGGTTGGAATGTGTCCATGTACGATTCACTGGATACCATGCTTCTCATGGGGCTGCACGAGGAGTTTTCCGACGCGCTATCCGTCATTGAAGACGCGGATTTCAGTGAGGTGAGTGTCTCTTCCGCTCCTGTGCAGCCCCATTACCTCCCCATCGCCATCCTCGAGTCTCTCCACGCTGTTGGATGCTGCGCGCGTGCGCAGCACTCCACTTCGTCCCAGAGTGCTCGGGCTGCGGCCACAAATAATCTTGCTGCGCAGTCGCTGGAGTGCGATCCCTCGGCCCACTAGTAAGATAACTAGCGCGCGTTGCGGCCACACAAATTCCATCCGTTCACTCTTCTCTGCCAGCGGATCAGGACCCACGCCTGTGCTGCGTTCTCACTAGCCGCACCTCGTTTGGCGTGCGCCCGCGAATAGCTATGACCGCTCTCCCTAGCTTCGCGTGTCTGCGCAGGCTCGTAGCTTGGCTCTGATACACTGTTTCTCTCCCAGATTAGACACTTCAGGAACGGGACGGTTCAATCTCAATTTGCACCCTTCTTCGAGACCGTGATCCGTTATCTTGGTGGCTTGCTCTCAGCATACGCGCTATCTGGAGAGCCTATTTTGCTCGCGAAGGCTGACGAGCTTGCAACGGCCCTCGAGCCAGCTTTCGACACTAAGAGGGGTCTTCCGGTGTTTGGGGTGCATACAGGAACGTAAGTGATACGCATCATGGGTCTTGTCGTCTTGGCTCATGCTTCTATCAGCGGTTCTACGACAAAAGGTATCTCTGGCATTCTGGCCGAGATCGCCACGTGTCAAATGGAGTGGTCATACCTCGCGCATGTCACGGGAAGCAGCGTGCATTACAGCAAGGCGGACACTGTCATTAATACCCTGGCGGAGGCCATGGCTGGACAGCAGGGCGGTATGTTTACGACAAACTGGAACCTGGGAATAGGCCGTGCTATGGGAGGCAAGGCAAATTCGCACCGGTGTGTAGTTGTTTGCTCACGGTGATCACCATAGCGTCGCGTTCTGTCGGCGCGGCAGCTGACAGTGCTCACGAATACTTGCTGAAGCAATATCTGCTCACCGGAAAGCAAGATGTTGCTAGCCTCGAGATGTGTACGCGACTCACTTATGGCTTCCTTTCTCCCGCTAACGTTCACCCAGATCTGCTAACCATCAACGAGGTCTTCACTCGTTTGATGTACGTCACCCCCAACCGCGACCTCCTGTATGTGACCGACACCAACGGCGAGGACTTCACCCCAACCCACCATTTCGAGCACCTCTCTTGCTTTTTCCCCGGTCTCCTCGCCCTCGGCGCGCACACCCTCCCTCTCAACCTGTCCATCATCGACCCCGACAAGCTCGGGCCCGAAGCGCAGCGCGCGTACTACCGCCTCAAGCCCTTCGACTTGTCCTCGCTTCACATGGCCGCCGCCGAGGGTCTCGCGACGAGCTGTTGGCTCACCTACGCGGACATGCCCTCCGGCCTTGGGCCCGAGATCGCGCAAATGGACAAGCATTCGCGCCCTTGGCTTGACGCCGTCGAAGAGTGGCACGCTGCTGGCGAGTCCGGCCCGATGCCTGGATTGAGTGAGAAAGTGCCAATGCAACTCGCTCGCTCGTCAAAGGCGCCCCTCGAACCATGGGACTACGCCATCCGCCGCCCCGAGTACTTCCTTCGCCCCGAGGTAAGCTTGTCATCGACGCTGCCGTGGGCTCGTCTCGTGTGCATGTAGGCGCCGCACTGTGCCTGGCGCATGGCGACCACAACTACACCACCCGCGGGTGGCCTCAGGCTAGATGGGGTGTAGAACAGGATGGCGCTAATGGTGCCTGTACTTTCCAGACGATCGAGTCTCTCTACATCATGTGGCGGGTAACGGGTGACCCCGTCTGGCGGGAGCGCGGGTGGGCGATCTACGAGGCGATTGAGGAGCAGTGTCGCACTCCAGTAGGGTACGCAAGTCTTGAGACCGTCGCCACGAACCCCGGGAAGAAAATTGACGACCAGCCAAGGTAATTTAAGTTCTCCATCCTCTCTCACGTCCCCTTCGCACTTCGCTGACGTCGTTCCCCGTCGCTAGCTACTTCCTCGCGGAGACGCTCAAGTATCTCTATTTGCTCTTCGTGAACGACGACCCGGTCCCTCTGGACAAGTTTGTCTTCAACACCGAAGCGCATCCATTCCCGATCTTCCATGGAACGAGTGGGAGAAGTTCAAGTTCAGCGAGCCGGCCTCGCGGCGAGGCGACTCCGCTGTCTGAACCTCTTCCCCGTTGCCATCCATCATTCCCCGCGGCTTGGCGGTGCGCCCCACAGGTCTCCGCACGCATGCTTACTAGACATCGCTATCTTGATCTTGCTTACTGGGACTATCATATCGTGTACAGAGTTATTATCTCAAATCTCACGTCGTTAGTTGCTCTGTACATCATGCTGTGATCTTCCGTGGATCTTCACTCTATGAGTTTTACCATTCATCCATGATCAAGTGTCAGCGCTCGCAGATCGTACAGCCGTGAGTCACCTATGCTGCATAATTTCATGTACCCACTCACGGGACATCTACGAGATTTCGGAGCTAGGACCGTGTGTACTCCGGTCTTGGCCGTGTAAAAGGCGCTTTAACGAGGTCCGTAGCTTGCACAGCCCATGACACCGGACCTCTTCTGCATCTGAAACCTCTGGACATGTCATGCAAGGAACGCGCGGCTCCTTGGTCTCCTTGAGCTCACGCGACCGGATGAGTTCCAGGCCAAGGAGAACCGGGGAGCACCCCGCAGAAGGTTGAGCCAGATTCGATGTTGAAGGCACGATGACAGTGAGCGTCCAGTAGCCTTGTGCTAGTGCATGCACATGATACTACGAGCGTGATGGGACCTGTCCCGCCACGGCGCTATTCTTCTCGGCGGAAGAGCGGGAGTCAGATGAACGTCTTGGGTCGGTGAGGTGATAGGATATGTGCATGCGCACAGATCAAGACGGCTTGTCGTGTACCGGACTGTCTGGCGAACCCCCGATGTTCTACAAAGACTTTGTTCAGCAGCTCGAACTTGAAATGCAGAACGTCGGTGAATATCGACATGGCAGGAGAGACACCGGCGCGGGTTCCCCGGTGGAGGCCCGGGTCAGCTGAGGGCCGGCCCGACGGGCGGGAACGCCATGGGCGCGGGCGTCGAAAGGACGAGATCAGCTTGACCTCCGGCGCCACACTCGAATAAGTATGGCCAGTCCGTCCGGCGGGGGTCCCATCTCTCTCCCCCGCCCCCGCATTTCCCAATGGCCAACCTGAAGCAGGACGAGTTCGTCGGCTCCCTCGACTGTGGGACAACGTGCGCGCCTCCCCTCTCTTCGTCGCGCGCGCGGTGCTGATCTCGCCGTCCCCGTAGCTCGACGCGCTTCCTCATCTTCGACAAGTACGCGAACATCGTCGCGCAACACCAGATCGAGTACCCGCAGTACTACCCGGAGCCCGGGTGCGTCTCTTGCCGCTCGCTGTATGCGTGCGCTCACAGGCTGTCGTCCCGCGTAGATGGCACGAGCAGGATCCCGATGAGCTGATGGAAAGCTGCGATGTATGCATCACCGAAGCGTGCAAGTCCCTTGAGGCGACCGGATTCGCGAAGGAGAGGGTGAAGGTCATTGGTGCGTCCGTCTCCCGCTCTCACTCGGCGCGGCGCGCAGACGGGACGTTGCCTGACGCGCCATTTGCCTTCTCCCCCATCTCCCCGTTGTGCCTGGGCCGTCTTCCGCGCCCTCCCCCGTTGCTCTGTACGTGCCGGCATGCGCTCCCACAGGTATCACGAACCAGCGCGAGAGCGCGGTCGCGTGGAGCCGCTCGACGGGCAAGCCCCTCTGCCGACTCATCGTCTGGGACGACTCGCGCACGAAGAACACCGTCGTCCACTTCGAGAACAAGCTCCAGAACGTCGGCATCGAGACCGAGCCCGGCGTGTTCAAGAAGGGCAAGGACGGCATCGAGGCGCTCCGCCAGCTGTGAGTCCTACCCTTCAGCTCGCCCATGCGGCGCGCTGCCTTCGACTCCCTCGCGCTGACGGCGGCGGGTCGCGTGACAGATGCGGGCTGCCATCTCGACGTACTTCTCCGCGATCAAGCTTCGGTGGATGGTGGACCACCACGAGAGCGTGAAGAAGGCGTTCGACGCGGACGACCTGATGTTTGGCACCGTCGAATCTTGGATCGTCTATGTGCGTGCGCGCGCCCCGGCTTGGCGGCGAGACGCGCAATCTAATCTCCTCGCCTCCGCAGCGCTTGACCGGGAAGAGCCTGCACATCACCGATGTCACGAACGCGTCGCGCACGCTCCTCCTCAACCTCAAGACGCTCGCCTGGGACCCGATCCTGATCAAGTTCTTCGAGCTCAAGGACTCTATCCTCCCCAAGATCGTCTCGACTTCTCAGGTGTACGGCGAGGTTTCCAGCGGCTCCCTCAGGGGCGTGAAGATCGCCGGTATGGCCGGCGACCAGCAGGCGGCGCTCGTCGGCAACAAGTGCTTCAAGCAGGGCGAGGCCAAGTGCACATACGGCACTGGCGCGTTCCTCCTCTTCTGCACGGGCGATGACATCGTCTTCAGCGACCACGGGCTCCTCTCGACGGTTGCGTACCAGGATGGTGAGACCGGAAAGCCGGTGTATGCGCTCGAGGGCAGTAGTGAGTAGATTTTGCGTTCGCTAGCTGGTTGCGTGCGCTGACATGTGTTTATAGTCTCGGTGGCCGGTAGCGCCATCAAGTGGTAAGTGCTCGGATGAGGCATATAATCAACCTTGTTAAGACAGCTTTTATCTTTATCAGGCTCCGTGATTCCATGATGCTTGTTCCCTCAGCACAAGAGGTGAACAACATGGCCGCGTCAGTCCCCGACACTGGAGGAGTCTACTTCGTGACCGCGTTCTCCGGTCTCCTTGCGCCCTACTGGGACCCAGGAGCAGCCGGTCTGCTCATCGGTGAGCAGTACCCCCTTTGAAGTTGCGTCGGCACGTATGCTAACCCCCGCGCAGGTCTCTCCTCGTACACGACGCCCGCACACATCGCGCTCGCCACGCTCGAGGCGAACGCGTTCCAGACGCGCGCGATCCTCGAGAGCATGAAGCTCGACTCCAAGGCGGACCTCAAGCACCTCAAGGTCGACGGCGGGATGACGAACGGCGACATGGTCATGAAGGTCCTCGCCGACATCGGCGGCTTCACCGTCATCCGGCCCGAGATGCGCGAGTGCGTTCCCTTCCCCGTCCTCTGCCTGGCGCGCGTGTGCTTACCCCTTTCGTCACAGGTCGACGGCGCTCGGCTCCGCGCTCCTCGCTGGGTCCGCGGTGCGCCTGCACGGGTGGAACATCAGCGAGCCCGAGACGCTCGCGGAGGTGAACACGAAGGGGAGCCTGAACTTCACGCCCAGCATGGCCGAGGCGGAGCGCGAGAAGCGTTGGAAGGGCTGGAAGCGTGCGATCGAGCGGTCCAAGGGGTGGGAGGAGGGCGTCGATGAGTCTTGAGCGGCATGTATGTGAGATGTGCGGCGATCACTGCGTCGTGAGGAAGAACAAGCAGACACTCGTGTATTGGTACGATTGGCTTTAACCTACTTGTGGAATAGTGTTAGAAAACTGAATAGATTGAGATTATTATCGCAATTGTCGGTGAAACGTCAGCATCCAGTCTTTCTTGTCGCATCCTCTTTGTAGCATTCCACCTAGCTCGGCACCTTTTCTCAAAATCGATCTTCGTTTTGCGGTGTTGCGAAACCTCGATTTCGTACCGGAACACGGAACATACCATAGCGGCACCAAAGCGCTCACTCACGAAGCATTGCGGGCATCAGATATTCATTCATAGGCACAAGAGTTTAGATTGTTCGCCGACGAAGCCTATACGTACTCGATCGTCCACCCGCTTCCGTCGTTCCTCCTCAAGCCTGCAACTCCGCACGGCCAGATCTAACCGCCCTAGCACATACAACTACACCCGCGTCACGCTCCACTCCATGACACAGTAAACAGTACGGCTCGTCTCAGTCTGGTGCCACACCGGCGGCTCGACCATCCGCGCTTCCACCTCCACCGTGCCCTTCGCGAACACCCCTCCGTCCCACAGCGCCGTCCAGCTCTCCACGTTGTGGAAGAACATCGTGACGTCCTCGCCCGACGGGCTGCGCTGCGTGTGCACGCCGCTCTCCCGCTGCGCGGCCTGCTTCCCGAGCAGCATCGAGCCGGGCTCCGCGGACAGGAGCGGCGCGAGGGCGCGCGCGAGCAGGGCCTGCTCTTCCTCCGCGGGGAAGAGGTGGAAGACGTTGCAGACGCTCACGGCGGACACGCGCCCGTGGAGGGGCGTGAGCGTCGTGAGCGTCTCCAGCGCCGGGGCGGGGCCGGTGGGCGCGGAGGCGAGCGTGGCGACAGGGCCGGGGGCGAGGAAGCCGGCGTCGAAGGCGTCCCCGGGAACGAAGGGGACGGGGAAGGTTTCGGGGGTGGAAGCGAAGAGCTTGTGGCCCAGCGCCCAAAAGTCTGTCGCGCGCGGCGCGGTGAGCGGCGGGTGCGGGAGGGCGGCACGCTGCGAACGAACCTGGGGTTATGTCGGTCGCGATGATGTTCTGGATGGGGTACCCGTCGTCGACGGCCTTCCTGACGTCGTTCCCGACTGTAGAGTGGGGTCAGGACGGGGTGCGTATGTCGACGCGGAGCATGTACGCACAGCAGCATCCGATATCCAACCAGATGGCGTCTTCACGCGTCTTGCCGAGTTCGAGGAGCCGGCCGTACGCCGGAAGCCCACCCAGGTTCAACCTACAGGCATTTTGTCAGAGACGTCTGTGCAAAGAGGACCCAATAAGCCAACGGCGAACTTGGTGAAGGCGAATACAACGATGCACGGGTACGGATGGACCTGTGAACATCTGGGTCAACGTCTGCGACGTCGTACGAGACAAGTGACAAACCACAAGCGCCTCGCGCTGCACGTCAAGAACGTGCTGCTTGAGTGCTTCGTCAGTCTGAATCCCAGTCTTGGCTTTCAGAAACTCGCGCTCCGTCTCGTCGAGGTTCAAGGAGCGAAAGTCGGCATTTGCCACCCAAGAATCACGAATAGGAGTCGGAGCAGCGGTAGACATCGTGAGGTGGGCTGTTGAGGGCTTGGGGGTCGTAGCCAAATGCCCCTGTTAAAAGGCTGGCGAGAGCGTCAAGACCACGCTTCTACGAGGCCTATCTTTCTTCTGCAAAGGTATGTGGCGTTAATGCGAGACGCCACTCGGTCAAGTGCTGAAAGCGAGACGGGCGTCTCAAACCTACTAGCATCGGAATCGGACGAAAGGTGCTTGCAACGAAACGAATAAAAGGAGGAATGGCGTCATTTATGATTGGTTTAATGACGCACCACAACTTCGAAAAACAGAGTTGTGTCTGGTATGGCGGATCAGTACGGGCACGCTACATGGACGTCCTCGAAGACTGCACGCATCCCGCCCGGGTCTGATTCCCGTCGACGGGTCCTCTCGCCCGTCAGCGCGCCGGCATCCCAGGTGCCGAACTGTACATGAGCGGGGTGAGACGGAGAGTGAAACGAGCCATCCTTCTTCGTGTACTCTGTGAACGGGGTTTTAGACTAGACCCAAAGCATCGCGAGCGCTCCGTACCTTGGGTCAGAGTGCGGACCTCGACACCGTCCACGCTCCAGATGATGCGCGTTGGACTCCAATCGACGGTGTAAGAATGTGTGGCTTGAACGATCTTGGTACCTCGTGGGTATGGCTACACCTAGCTGAAGGTGCCATACAGTGACTCGTCCGCGGATGAAACAGGCGCAAAGAAGTTCGTCCGCCAATGCTCCGGGTCGCCGCCGGCCAGTTCAACGTCGATCTCGTCCCTTTCATCCGCTGAATCAGAAGGGTCTTGCGATGCATGAAGAAGACTACGCACCCAATAGGATTGCCGCAGTCACCACACCAGCCACATCGGCCCAGACAGCACGTACGTGACCTTGTCGTACTGGCGGGCAAACCCAGCTTACATAACACCGCACGCATATATGTACCGGGAAGGACGTGCGTAAAGGTGGAATGGAACGTAGATCCCTCCGCGATACAGCTATTGGTGTTCTCTTTGGTGGCGATCTTGCTTCCAGGTTTGTCGAGAAACAAGCTCAAGCCATCAGATCCAAAAGCATAGGAGTCAGGTGAGTCGAGCAGTGGTTACCAAGCTCGAAGGAAGTCGTTCGTCAGAGTTGAGTCGGAGAAAGACCAAGACGTGGGCGTGCAGGAGGTTCCGGCAGAAGCGCGAGCACCGAGAGTGGTGAACAGAGTCTGTGGCCGTTCCTTGACTGATCAGAAGGGCATTTGCAGGTATCGCCATCACGAGGAAGACGATCGCCAGCGACTTCGCGACAGGAAGACATTGTGAGAGGGTAGCTTGAAACGACAGAAACAGATGGGCTGGGTGATCAGATCTCAGAGGGCGCGCTGCCAAGTAGCTGTAGCTCGAACTGAAAGGAAGTCGAGGAGGAGGTTGAACGTTGAGGACGTAGGAGACTCAACCCTCATTGTCAACAGACACGATCCCGTGACTGAATGTGAACGCGGGCTGTCTCACATCATCTCCGGCCTCGACCGCGCGAACCCCCTGATCCCGTCACGTACTTACACCAATTTGGAACGAGTTCGTGTGACAATAATGTGGACGCAGTATCGAGGGCCCATCGTATGCTATGGTGCATTCATCTAGACGCACTCTTTTCAGCTTATTAATCGTCACGTGGGGCAATAGCAGAGCGATTTTTGGGCATGGTCCTGGAGCTGAAAACGGCCAATAGCGGGTGTCTACACATGTATAGGATGTCAAATTGGACCAAATAAAAGGGTCTGAACATCATCATCGACGTACTCCAGCCTCAAGGTGAATGGCACTCCCTTATTGAGGGCAACCAAGTAGGCTTCAACAGTGCACAGACCGACTGGAAGCCATCAATAATATTGTCAAACTGTCCTGCAAGGATTGCTAACCATACTATCTATGCATCTGCTTTGGAACTCGGCAGCAAGGTGAGGAGGATGTACTAATCCTGATTAGATTGTCAGTATTAGATATTGGCGCTTACCGCATCACATGATTGCATTAGTCATCCATCAGCACGTGTGGCAATAGTGAGAAGATGAACTTCCTCAAAACTGGAATTTCGACAAACCCTCTTGGGATTGTTCAGACAGCGAAAAGGAGCGATTGGCTAGAGAACTAAGAAATTGGATGTTTATTAAACGCTCCCGAAGCGCTGTACAAAAGTAGTGGTGTCTAGATGAACTGCACCATAAGAAAGCGGAATTGAACTACTCTTAAACAGCAAGCTCGTTTTCAGCGTGCTATATAGCAACGTAGAGTGGTACTATAGTGTAGCGGTTATCACTTGGGATTCTGATAAATGTTCCCAAAACCCAGGTTCGATTCCTGGTAGTACCTTCTGAAACTCTTTCCAAAGTTCCGCTTATTTCATTCAAAATGAGCGGAACTTGTTGCCTTTTCTGGCGAATTAACCGCAGACGCGGTGGTGCGATTTCCCGTCAGAAATACGGGTCGCCGTGCGAGTACCGAGTGCTGCGATTAGGGGTATTTATGGTCGGAGGGGGAATAAAGGAGAGAAATAGCCGCCGCTGATTGGCTCGACGCACCCATGACCAATAGGCGCCCTCCCCAAGCCTGTCAAGCCTAGTACAACGACCATGAGCTGTACCGTATGAACACTGCAGTTGTCGCCTCAGCCCTGCCCCCGCCTCGTGCGTCACTCCATTTCCTCCCTTGGATAAACGCGACTCATGCAGGCCGGTCAATTGTCGTCATTTCACCTTTCCGGTGCATGTCTCTTCGTTCTAAAGACAATTAGCTCTCAGTTAAAGCTCATTGTCGTACTTACCAGCAGCTCACCAGACTCGTAGTATGCTCAAATCCATTCCGTGCCCACTAATCATGCCGTTCCTCTCATAACAAAAACACGCAGTTTCAGAGAGGGTCGCTCGTACCGAGCCGTTCGCAGATTGCTGACACGCATCCACGCACCAAAATCTGTCCATTTTCTCGAAGAAACAGGTATGTTTGATTCAGAACATCCTTCATGAAACACACCATACGTGTCCAGTATTTGCCGCCCAATACAATAACTAAGGATTCGTGATAGCATTGAGACTACAACTTCATTCTGAAACGTTCCCCTAGATCTGCTACCCGCCAAAGCTCACGTACGAACTACGTAGCGGTGGGAGTATGCAAGTCGCTCCGGCTCGGGCGGAAGGCAGGCTCCTCTTCCACGCGGTTCGATTGAGTCCCGAAGTCCCGAAGGTGCACCGGCTGAGTAGTCGGGGTGACGGACTTGGACTTGAGTCGGCGAGACAGCAAGACCGCGCGGAGGTTCTCCCTCCTGACAGCGATGTAGTGCCCTCGCTCCACCATGCTGCGCTCGCATGTCGTGCGTTCTGCAGAACTTTCTGTGCGTCTTGCTCTTCTGTGCGTATGACATCATGAAACCAAGCTTTCTAATTTGGAGAGCGCCATTTCACTGAATTGCGCTCATCTACATTCTCGTCTGCTTCCCGACCAAACAGAATATCAAGTCCATGAATCGTTCAAGAGTCATGGTAATCTGAGAATAGCAGGTTGTCAGGCATCTCTTCGCCCATCGCGACCGACAAGCGCCCTCTACACAATGGTCTTGTACTTTTTCTACCACGCCACTCATACCTCCTTCTGGGCCCTGGCTGTACAATGGAAACGTTCCTAAAAGATCCCGTACTGCCATCGCCGATTCCCAAAAACGAATATCGGAGCAGTCAAGGTATGAGAGCCAGACTCGTATGCCTCGTTGTAGTGGCTAACTCGTGCAAATTCAGAAGCGTTCACTTCACGTCTCGCAAACAACACGTCGAAAAGCAAACGACAAAATACTCGCGCTCATTCTTCGCGTGGAGGAAAACGCCACTGTCTCTGGGGCTGTCCTGACTTCTCTCAGTAATTAAACCGTCAAACGCTCGCCGCGTTCCTCGCCTCCTGCTCTTGGACCCGCCGCTCTCCGAACTCGGTCTCATGGCGGGCGTTCGCCACAGCCCCGACGAGTCTCGTCTGCGCCCTGCATTCTTGCATGCACAGACATTGAGACACGAGGCTGCAGAGTTCGTCCGCTTTGGTCTGGGCATGTATGGCGCCGCGTTGCGTTTCGCGTATAAAACCCCGCTGCTCTTCTGCTCGAGGTCCCTCATCTCATTCACGGGAGTACTACCTCGTCCTACATGGCCCCCATTCAGAATTCCCACTTCCAGGCTAGCGTTGCGGCTCGTCATAACAAGAGGGTCAAGATCGAAGAACGCACTCCGCCTCAGTGCTCTCTACCATGGTACCCCTCAAATGTGTCCGACGTCACGACACAGGACAAGCTCTTTAAGAAGGGCCGATACTCGACGTCCTCACCCGAGTCAAGCGCTCCTGTAATGCACTTCCAGTGGTTATGCTCGTCTCCCTGGGGCTGACGTAGCTTCGTCGCACACGTCCTTGGAGCAGCTCACTCCACCAGACTACCCTGACCGCGCTCGTCAACATCGGGGTCGTTCGGCTGGAATCAAGCAAGAACACGGCTCCCACTTCTCGATTCTTGCCAGCTCTCGGACGTCTTCGCCGTTGCCGTTCCTATCCCACCACCACGGAAGTTCCTATACTGCGAGCAGCCATAGTTCCACGGCGTGGGCGCAGAGCTCGCAAGCCTCAACCCGCGGCTCAACCAAGCGGAAGGACCGTTCTGTCGATAGGCTCAAGGGTTTCCTCAAAGGGAGGTCTCGCACGCCCTCTTGGCCAGTAAACCCCGCTGCGCACCACTGGAGGCCGGCTGCTCACCGACGCACGACGCCCTATTCACCTGTTGAACCCGCCCCACACGGTATGTATCTGGCACGGCCCTGGCCTCAAGAAGCACTGAGGCACCATCGTCAACATCACCACGACTCGTTCTCGGGCTATTCTACTGGCAGGTATCCACCCTACGGGGGGCCACCCAGCTCCTGGGATCCTTACTGCATGCAACTACCAGAGCCGCGGCAACACTACTACCGCGTCGCACCGTCTTCGTATGTGCCGCCGGCAGTTCCAGCCCCTTTCCATACCAGGCCGGTCGTCGTCTCTTCGCCAGGCTACCCCCAACCCATGCATCGGATGTCGCAGAGGCACGCGCCTCCCGGGGGAAGGGCTCACCACTGATTCAGCGGCCTCGCCCGCCTCTGGACATTAACATTGGACCTTGTGGGCCGGACTCGTGCTGCCGCTTAGTTCCGTGTTTCTCGCGCTCGCAGTGCATTTGTAACCTATCTGCATGTATCATATATCTGTGGACGCTGCTTCGACGCGCATCAATGTATTGCATTCTGATCTTTTCACGTCTCGATATATCGGGGGCGAGAGGGGAGGGGCATGCTACAAAGTGAGTATCAGACTCGAAACCCAGCAACGCTCGCGTCGTTGAGGCATCTTTCTACGAATGCGCCGAATGCCATAGACTGGTCAAAGTATAGATGACGCAAAATCGCTACCCTCACTCACTTCCTGATGGCGCCAGCTGCACATCGTGGACACGAGGAGGCAGTATGTATTCCCACTGTGAACGACGACAGGCTAACGTACAGGACATGCGGCCGAGAAACAAAGCAAGGATTAGTGGACGCGAGCGCTAATAAATACGGTATCCGCAAGACAGTAAGGAGCACCCATCGAGAAACAGAAACCATACGCGGAACGAACGTCAGCGGGCAAAGCAGAGCCATCGCGCGCAAAGTCAGCCACAGAGCATGCATGTAGGTGTGTATAATACGTATGTGTACAGAAGACAGCGGCAGAGCCGATTGGGACGGTCCGAGAGAGGAGAGCGACAGTCCGATCTACACCGCGCGCGAGGCAGTCTATACCGCCTCGCTCATCTCGACAGGCAGCTGGCTGTACCCCGAACGGTCGCGCGAGCGCGAGCCGCGGACGAGGGTGCGAACGCCAGACCACGCCTCCCCGAGCGCTGCGGACGCGCTGTCGAGAATGGTCTCGCGAGGGATGACCTCCCCGGGCATGACGCTGCTGGCGGGCCTCGTCCACCACTTGAGGAGGAGAGAGCTCGAGACGACGGAGACGGAGGAGAAAGCCATGGCGGCGGCGGCGGTCATTGGGGGTAGAGAGACGCCGAGGGGGAGGAAGAGGCCCATGGCGAGGGGTATGCCGAGGACGTTGTAGAAGCACGCCCAGAGCAAGTTCCGGCGGATCGTCGAGAAGATCGCGGCCGAAAGGTGCAGCGCGGCGACGACGTCAAGCAGGTCCGAGCGCATAAGCACGATATCCGCCGCCTCGATGGCAACCGAGGTACCGGAGCCCAGCGCAATACCCACAGACGCGGCGACTAGCGAGGGCGAGTCGTTGATGCCGTCACCGACCTAGGAGGGAATCAACACATGCGGGCACTGAAAGAGGGGGAAACCGTACCATGGCTACGCCGCCGCCGTGCTTCTCCATGAGCTCGGTCACGACTGATGCCTTGCCCTTCGGACTCATGCTCGACCATACGTTCTGTGTGTGGATACCGACCTGCTTCGCGACCGCAAGTGCAGTGCCCTTCGAGTCGCCGGTCATCATGTTCACGGTGATACCCATATCTTGCAGCGCACGGATCGCGTGGATTGAGGAAGCGCGTGGCTTGTCCGAGAGCGCGATAGCCATTATCGGCGAAGGAGGCTTGCCGGAAGGGGCGAGGCCAACAAAAATCGACGTGCGTCCGAGCGTGGACTCTGTTTCATCGAATGCGGCGAGTGCAGACGGTAGGCTGGCATCCGAAGACTGCAGAACGAAGCGTGCGTTGCCAACGTAAACGTCCTGGCGGCCCTTCCCGTGCGGGAGCGAAATGGTCGCCTTGACGCCTGCGCCCGTGACGCTCTCGAATTGGTCGATCGCGACGTCGGGGACGGCAACGACGGCCTTTCCGAGTAGATCCTTCCCGTACACGGCGACAGCCTTCGCAAGCGGATGCTCTGAACGGGCCTCAGTGGCCGCAACCATCGCAATGAGCTCTGCGCGGGTGACGTTGCCCAGAACCTTGGTGCTGAGAGGCGCGTCGTCCAGGTTGTGGGCGCTGGACAGGCCGTCGAGGTCGGAGTGGTCTGCGGCGGGAGCCCACGTGACAGACGAGACCGTGAGCTTGCCTTCGGTGACAGTGCCGGTCTTGTCGAGACAGATGTGCTTGATCATACGACTGGCTTCGAGCGCCCGACCACCCTTGATCAGGATACCGTTCTTCGCGCCCATACCGGTGCCGACCATGATCGCAGTCGGAGTGCTGAGGCCGAGCGCGCACGGGCATGCGACGACGACAACGGAAATGCAGAGCTGAAGACAGACTGCGAGTTTTGACGCGCCGTGGGCATGAAAGAGCGAGGGTAGATCGCTATCAGGAACGAGGTGCGAAACTGCAAGCCAGCCGAGGAACGTGATCGCCGAGAGACAGATTACGGTGGGGACGAAGTAACCTGCGACCTTGTCCGTGAACGCTTGGATGGGAGCCTTCGATGTCTGCGCCTCTTCGACGAGCTTGACGATCTGGGAGAGGGCAGTGTCCTTACCGGCGCGAGTAACGACCATGTCGAAAGTGCCGAGGCCATTGAGGGTGCCACCAATGACCGGGTCGCCCTGTTGCTTCAGAACGGGAATGGGTTCGCCAGTGACAGCGCTCTCGTCGATGGTCGAAGTCCCGCGCAGGACGGTGCCGTCAGCCGGGATCTTCTCTCCAGGAACAAGTTTGACGGTATCGCCGACCTGGAGCAACTCGGTGGCGATCTTCTTCTCCTGTGTGCATGCGGGAGGGTCGGCGTAGATGGTGGCCATGGAGGGTGCGAGCGCCATGAGATCAGTCAGCGCAGCGCTTGTCTTGCCCTTCGCGCGGTTTTCGAGGTATCGACCGAGGGAGACGAACATGATGAGCATGGTGCTGGTGTCGAAGAAGACCATGGGGTGGTATTCTAGAGTGCGGTCGAACGCCATGAAGCACATCGCGCCGAGGGAGTAGATGTAGGCAGCGGAAGACCCAAGGGAGATGAGCACGTCCATGGTCGCACTCCCATGCTTCAGTGATTTGTAAGCGTTCTTGAAGAACCGCTGGCCAACCCAGAACATAGCGGGAGTGGTGAGGATGAGCGCAATGAGGTCGCCGACATACACGCCGCGGCAGATCTGGTGTTCGACGAAGGGGTATAGGAAAGGGATTTTGGGAGCAATCATGGTGAAGAAGAAGACAGGGATGGCGAAAATGAGACTCCACTTGAAGCGAGTCCACCACTCCTGTATCTCTTTTGTCCGGGCGAGAGATCGTAGTTGAGTCGAGTCTTCCTGGTCCGAGACCATGGCATCGAACCCCATGTCTTCTATCCGCTCCACGAGCTCTCGAGGTCCGACCATACTGCGGTCAAAGGTGACTTGACATAACTCAGTGGCCAAGGACACAGAGACCGCCGAAACTCCTGGCATGGCGCTGAGCTGGGTTTCTACCGTAGATGTACATGACGAGCACGTCATGCCATATATGCGGAGGCTGATGGTGTCGGCGCCTGCCGGTGGGATGTGAGTAGCGTCGAATCCAATGTCTGATATTTCCTGTGCATTTGTTAGCAAGACAGAACGCGTGCAATGCACAACTAGCCACAGAAAGGGAACGAATCAGAAGGACGGCAGGACTACTGAGTCAATGTCGATGCCAGCTTCTCGTCGGCCCCCATCCTCTACCTTCCGCAGTGGTGGATATATACGCAGAAAAGACCGAAGCACCGCGTAGAGTACTACTGTGACCGGGCCGATTGCGGAGCAGACCGTCTACAGACGAATTCTGACGCCGCTTAAATGTCTCAATGCGACCATCGCTTGAATAGGAAATGGCTGCGTAACCCCTTCGAGCATCCAGAAATAGACGGCGGCGAGGAGAAGACACGTAGCAAGCGGGAGTGTAGGGGGGAGAACAGAACGTGGAGAAGGGAGACGAGCTACTCACGGAAACAATCTTCTCGGCGTCCCAGATATTTGGATCGTACTCCACCACGCCGCGCTCAGCCAAGAGCGCCACTTTCACGGAATGGATGCCGGCTTGCGTACGGAGCATGCCTTCTATTGACTATACGCGCACTGAGAAGAGGCACCTTCGCGAGTGGGAGCGAACGTACCTCTACGCATGCACCACAAGTCATACCCTCTATCCTCAGTTCGCACTTCTCGGACACCAGGCCCTCGGCTACAAGAGGCTCGTTTTCTCCCAATGGCAGCTCGACCTTGCCGGGTGTCCGGGGTGTTCGGGGAGTACGAAGAAGGTTGAGGGCGGCATTGATACCGGCCATGACGGGGGTAATGGGAGAGCGGGGAATGGACATCGCGAGGGCGGCGAGGGGCGAATGATAAATACGACAAGGGAACCAGGAAAGCGCCTGCGCTAGGAAGGGGTGGTCGGCGGAGGGCCAATCGCGATGACAGAGCGGGGGTTGCGCGAGATCGCACCGTCGGGGTGGGGGAAGAGTAAGCACCGGTCAAGCCCTTCAAGGCGCTGCTCTCCTCCCACGGCTGCTCTTCGGCGCTCCGAGCCTCCGACGGCCCGTCCCAGGTGTGGCTCCCAACCATCGCCGTGATCGCAGCGACTCCGATCGCTGCACCTGCTCTGCACCTCGTCTTCCGTCCTTTCCCCAGCTTTACATGCTCTTTCCACAGCTATCACGGACTTCGGATGGGCCAGGGATTCAGGTTAGTTCCGCTGATCGCGGGAGCATGTTGGCTGCGCTTCCACGCTTGTCGGCGCAGAAACCGCTCACGAGGCGCAGTTTTGACCGGGCGTCCCCTTTGATTGTCTGGCTTCAAAGGTCGATAAGAACCCGCCGACGAGCCCGCGTAAGCCGCCGCACATAGACTCCTGCGATATCGATCAGACGAGTTCCAATCTACGATACATCCTTTCGTCCGTCATCTCCAGAGGCCCGCGGCAATAAACGGCCCGGGAATAAACGCTTCATGGCGATTTCCTTCGACCATTGACGCCCTTGCTCAACTTCTGGCCACCTCGTCCCCAAACCTATCGGTTTTCCGTCATGTCTCTCTTCGAGGTTCCCGGATGGAGCGTTCCCGACGCCCCGGTCGCCCAAGCCGGCAGCAAAAAGCGCAAAAGGCCTGCGCCTGTCAAGGACAACGACGGCGACGGTGTCGACGAGGCGCAGAGGATGCGCGATGCGCAGAAGAACATCGAGAAGCTTATGAAGAGCCTTGGTGCTGGCATGGAGGCTCTGGATGGAGATGACGCGGTGCGTCCGAACAAGAAGAAGCGAGAGGGGAAGGAGAAGGAGAAGAGCAACACTGCGAAGGGCGAGAAGGGGAAGGAGACGGACATGGCAAGCGGAAGCAGAAAGGAGGTCAAATGGAAAACGGCAACCCCTCAGAAACGCGAGGAGCGGGGAAGGACGCAGGATAAAAAGCCGAAGAAGGACGGCAAGAGTGCGGTCGTCCGTGCGGAGAGCAAGGGTCGCAACGAAGACCACGACGCGCCCTCTGATCCTCATGGACAACCATCCCCGGTTGCTCAGAAGGCGAGCAAAAAGAAGAATAAGAAAGAGCGTAAGGCGTATGCACAGTCTGCAGATGCCCGCTCGGAAGCAGGTTCTGTCAAGGGCGATGTCTCCACCACACCCCTGCAAAAATGAAGAGGGGCACAGACGCAGATGCATCTGCTGGTCTTACTGCGCTCCAAGCGAAGATGAAAAGCAATTTGGGCGGTGCGCGATTTAGGTGCGTCCTCGCGGTTGTGTACTACGCTCCGTCTGCTTACTGTTGTCCTAGATGGATCAACGAAACACTCTACAAAACCAGCAGCCTGGAAGCTCACGAGCTCATGTCCAAAGACCCCGCCATCTTTGCTGATGTATGTCCAATTCCTGCTTCTTCGGCTGTCTTGTAACACCCACATACCCCCACAGTATCATACCGGCTTCCGCCATCAAGTTGACTCGTGGCCTACGAACCCAGTGTCGTATTACATCGATGCCCTCTCCTCATACCCTCCCAAAACCGTCGTAGCGGACCTCGGCTGTGGTGATGCGGCTCTCGCACGCGCGCTTGTCCCCAAGGGGTACACCATTTTGTCGTTCGATCTCGTCTCAGACGATGCGTACGTCATCGAAGCGGACACATGTTCCCGCGTACCGCTTCCTGGCTCTGAGGAAAGCGGGGAGCAAAGAGAGGGTCAAGTTGTGGACGTCGTAGTCTGCGCTCTCAGTCTCATGGGTACAAACTGGGTGGGCTGTATGCGCGAGGCATGGCGGGTTCTACGTGCTGGGTACGTCTTCCATACGATCTTTATAAAGCCCACTACCTTACATTTTGGGGTACAGCGGAGAACTCAAGGTCGCTGAGGTAGCTAGTCGTTTCACTAGCATTGACGACTTTGTCGCTGTTGTCTCTGCGTGTGGGTTCAAACTTGTGTCAAAGGTGCGATTTCCCTCTCCGCTCATACACCCTCGTCGCGTCCACATTAACAAACACGACACATGCCCAGGACGACAAAAACACGCATTTCACGCTGTTTGAGTTCAAGAAGGTTCACCGCGACGCCATCTCTGATAAGCAATGGAGCAAGTTCATGGAGCGGGGGAGCGTCCTCAAGCCTTGCGAGTACAAACGGCGGTGACACGGACAAATATACGATACGTTTGTAACAGGTCTGGCACTTCCGTCAATGTTATTAACGAATCATTGCAACGTTTGTGTTCTGTTGAGATGAACAAGATACTGAAGATTGACTCAACATTTACCAGGACAGTCATCGGTAGATGATCGGTCGTAAGTGCGGGTTATTGTCGCGGTTTGTCCTTGTGCTTATTCAAGTACTCCTCACAGAAGTCTCCACCGATGAATTCTCGGGATCAGCCTGTTGTTACCGAGGAGAAGGCCCGAGATCATGGGGATATCGACCACCTACGTGCCGCTGAAAGTGGCATCCTGTCTCACAACTGGTCTGCAAATGAATTGCTGGAGCCTTGTCACGCTGCGGTTGCACGCCCTTGCCCATGAAGCTCGTCGACCACTGCGACGACGCGGCGATGTATCAACGCCGCCTGTATCGCTTTCCGACGGATCACGCGTGGGCGCATGTCGATGGGGTCACGCTCATCGAAGACGCCGCGCGTTTCACGACACCGTTCGCGGGAACATGGAGGGCTTGAGATGGAGCTGGCGATCGCTGAGGCGAACGGCTTAGACTCCGAGTCCCGGATGAAGGAGGAGCTGGAGGCGGTGATTGCGGCGTGCGAGGCAAGCACTTTTGTGGAGGCGAAGAAGCTGGCGGAGAGCACCATACCTGACAGGCGTTCGTGAATTGTACTCCGGTGTCGATCTTGGCTGAGTCCAGCGGGGAGGAGGGGATGGTGAACCTTGTAATATACGGCAAACCTGACTTCTGACATCCAATACGTAACTTGTACTACCCCTGCTATATTCAATCTCCCTGTTCGACGGCGACTTCGGAAGTTCCTTCATTCCTCATAGATCTGGAGTCCGAAGGTAATTGAAGTTTGCTCTCGCCGCGTCTTCTAAACACGTTCAGTCAATCATTCATATCCCATGTACGGAGCATAGGTGCGGCGTTTCTACATGGGTTCGGACACACGGTGGGCGAGTGTTCTCCTGCATCTAAGGGCTGACCTGAGTGCTCTTCACGGGTGCCGCCGGCGGGCGCTTTCTCTGTGGGGCATGCATGATTTCGCGTGTACCGCTACTAAGTATGACGGCGCGTCCGCAAACGTGAACGCGCCATCGTTCTCGGTGATGGATGCATTGAGGTCTTGGTAGTATGCTTCAACGCGCTGCTCAGTACTCAGTACTCAGTGCTGCTGCAGGCCTGGAAGTCGAACTCGCGCAGCGCCACCAGCGCTAGCGTTTGTATCGCGCCGCGCCGCGCCGCGTCGAGCCTTCGACTCCGGTCGCACGTCTTTCGTCTCTCCTTCATGCTCATCTCCCGCTTTTACCATGTTTCGCACTAGCACCCACGTAGCAAGAAATGTGACTCGTCACCTTACGGGCGCTAGCTTGCGCGGATTGGCATCCGTCGTTTCCCAAGAGAGCGACATCGTCATTGTCGGAGGTGGGCCCGCAGGACTCGCCCTTGCGAGCGCGCTCAGTATGTCCTTTGTTCCTCGAATTGTTGTTATGGTTTTCTTTAACATGCACATTAGATTCGGATAGGCTGCTTCGCGACACCCTCCGCGTGACACTTGTTGAAGCTAGTGACCTCGACAAGGTCCGGAATTGGACACAAGGACAGGATGCGTTCTCAAACCGCGTGAGCTCAATTACGAACGCGTCGCAGGGGTTTCTTTCTGGTGCGTATGCATCTTATACACCCATGCTACTGGCTGAACACTTGGAGGAAGACATCGGCGCGTGGGCACATGTTGAAGACGGGCGTACATGTTCTATCGAGGAGATGCAGGTGGGTGCTACTCATGCCGTCCTCGCTTTCTGTGGAAGCTTATATGTCATGCTACGAAAGGTCTGGGATGGTATTTCGGATGCGCGCATCACATTTTCATCCCACGACGGACTGCCTGGTGCGGGTCCATCATCACAAATGGCACGACTCACAGAGAACCTGAACCTGCAACGCGCTCTCCTCCGGCACCTTGACAGCTCCTCCGCGATTCAGGTTGTTGAAAAAGTCAAAGTTCAGTCAATAGAACATGAACAGCGTGAGGGAGGCGGCTGGCCGTTGGTGCATCTTTCGGACGGTCGGACATTGCGCGCGCGATTGTTGGTACGTCACTCCCTGCTTTATGCGCTGCACTCTGTACAAACATGGCCAAGGTTGGCGCAGACGGTTTCAACTCCCCAGTGCGTGCATATGCTGGCATTCAGTCATACGGTTGGGCGTACGACACTACGGCTATTGTGGCCACCATGAACCACCATCCGCGCACCCTGCTTCAAGCCCCGAACACAACTGCATACCAGCGGTTCCTACCAACTGGTCCCATCGCGTTCTTGCCTCTTTCATCGACGGCGTCGTCTCTGGTCTGGTCCACCAAACCACATCTTGCCAAGGCACTTCTTGCCAGCGACCCAGCGATTCTGGCCAGCATGATCAACTCTGCTTTCCGACTGCCAGAGGTCTCGCTCCGGTACCTGCACACACTCATCGTGGAGTCCCTCGAGGGTGGCAAGCCAATCGATGCACGCCAAATCGCGGAGGAGATTGCGTGGAGGGAACGCTCGCACGGCATCGACGCACATTCCGCCTACTCGCTCTCCGGGGACGCCGTCGGGGTCCCTCCCGCAGATGCCGACGCGCTGCCCCCTTTGGTGACCGGTATCCAGTCCGGGACCGCGGCGTCCTTCCCCCTTCGGTTCAACCACGCAGACGAGTATCTCGGCGACGGGCGCGGCGCGCGCACTGTCCTCATCGGGGACGCCGCACACACTATCCACCCGCTTGCGGGCCAGGGTCTCAACCTCGGTCTCGGCGACGTGGAAGCGTTGTTCCGGTGCATCCACAAGACCGTCCTCAATGGCGGAGACATCGGTGAGCCCGCTTTCGTCCTCTCCATTCCTCACGGCGAGCGCTGACGCCTGCCGGCCAGGGTCTCGCACTGCGCTCCTCCCATATGCGCGCGAACGCTACTTCGAGAACCACAAAGTGATGTCCGCATGCGACAAGCTGCACAAGCTGTATGCGTCCACGGCGGAGCCTGTGGTGTGGGCGCGCTCGGTTGGCTTGGAGGTGCTCGACCAGCTCGACTCGGTCAAGGCGGCGGTCATGCTGAACGCCGGGAGCTACGCCCGCCAGACCAACGTCTCGGGTGCTCAGCTTGGGGCGAATGTGATCGCAGAGGGGCTCATGGGCTTTGGGAAAAGCCTCAGTACCGCACGGGCGGTAGCAGAGGGTGCAGCGGGCGTTGTGGGTGTTGGAGTTCGGGGTTTACTGCAGAACCTCGGAGGTCCTCGACAGTAATAGTTTGCTTAGCTTGTGTTGTCAAGCAATCGATAGAGTTCCGTCGAACGACTTGGGCATGCGATGTTGAACATGTTATAACCGTCGTCTTTGAGACGACCATGAAACATTAGGGATCTCGGTCTACTAAATACAAATGAATGGCTCCTTCCGTACTCAAAGTCCCGGAGAGCACTGATGATACTGTATGGAGAAGAGGAAGGGATATGCGATGTTGACCTTGAATAGCAAGGTGGTATGTGCCGAATAAGGAGAGTATTTGTTATGAGGTGATGTGTTATGAGGTGATGTGTTATGAGGTGATGTGTTATGAGGTGATGAGGGTGACTTATTGCCAGATGAGCTTCCCGTTTTCATCGACAGAGGCAGACATGCCTCCGCTGGCGGTGTTTCGCGAAGACTTGGACTGTTCCGCCATTCGAGCCTGCTCGAGTTCACGCTTGTGCTTTGCAAGCGTGGCGAGCCGCTGAGCTTCTGCGTCAGCCTTCGCCGACTTTTCTGCATCCTTCTTCGCCGCACGCTGTCGCTGCTTCTTCGTGACCGATTCGGAGGCCGTCTGCGCGGTCGGTGTCTGCTGCGACGGGGCCCTGGTGACCTCTGCATGCAGCGTCAACATTCCACTCGTGTCCCAAGGGAGATGCGGGCACTCACTTGTCCGACCCCGGCTCTTGACGACGCCCCAGCCCCCATCGTCCTCGCCGTCCGCGTCGTTCGCGGTCCCTCGTGAGTCGACGTCTTCGTAGTCCGCCCATGAGAAGCCGGTTGCTGGCTGCTCGTCCGGCCGCGGCTTGATGCGCATCACTCGCGAGATCTGGGGGTAGTCAGGCTCTTCCAGCAAGCTGCGCACGCCGGACACGTTAGTCCGTCGGTCCCCACAGCGCTGCAGACAACGCAAGACGTACTCCTCGACCCCCGTTTTCCAGGGCTTGGGCAGCAGCTTCTCGGCGAGCGTCCGCCTGTTCTCCGTCACCGGCTCCCCGCCCTCCTCCTCCGTGCGCTCCGTGACGGGCGACGAGTTCCCGGTACCGGTGACGGACGTCGTGACTCCCGCGTCGCTGGTGTTAACGTCGAGCTGGGGCACGCCCGGGGCGCCCTTCTGCGTCCGCTGCACCCGCGCCTCGACCTTCGTCCACCCGTCCTCGTCGACGGACGCCGCGGCGCGCTTGGGCTTCCCGCGGCCGGTGGCGGCGGCGGACGTCTCGGGGGCGGTCGCAGAGGACTCTGATTGCGCGTCGTCGGCCGCAGGCGCGGAGCCCGCCTTCTTCGCCTTCTTCTTCTTCTTAGGCTTCGCCCGTTCGGACTGGGCGGGGGGCGCGACGTCGAAGCTGCCTGGGAGGACGGGAGGGAAGGATACCACGCCGGGCTCGGGCGCCGCGGCCGCCTTCTCGCTGGGCTGGGTCTGCGCACTGGAGCCCGCGTCGACGGGGGCGGCCTTCTTCTTCGACTTGGACTTCTTGGAAGAGGAGGAGGAGGGGCCTGCGGGGGCGGTGGGCTCCTGGGCTGCGCCGGTGGGCTTGTTGAGGTGGGTGAAGCCGTAGACGGCGGTGCCGGCGAGAATCAGGGTAGCAACAGGGATGAGGCTTTGCGCGGAACCCATGGGGAAGAAGAGCAGGAGGTGGAGGGGAGAATGAGAGTGTGTACTGGGCAGAGACAAGACGGACGAGGCCAAGCACAGGCGCAATTACTGACGTGTATTCCAGGCGCAAGCAATACGGTGCCTGGCATTATGTATCAGCTTGCCGAGACGCGTCAATAGACCCAAATAGCGCGTCCGTAAATAGGCAGTACTGAAGGAGCTTGACACCCAACCATGTCAGCACCCCACATGTGCTTCTATATCTCTGTTCCATTCCCCACAGGTCCTATGAGAAACGTTCGCCAAGAGTATCGAACCGGAGAAACGTAGCCCGCACAACATACATAAGTACTTAAGTCACCGCGCTCAAAAACCGAAGAAGTTGCGACAACCTGAACGTAACCCTCCATTCAAGATTGGACAAGGCAGCACGCATATACCCGCGACTCCGGTAACATTATTGCGACGATGTAGAATGGCAACTCGGCCGGGGCACATACAACCGCAGCGATTTAAGTCTATGTTAGTGAACTCGTCCAACCTTCCGCCACGGCCTATGTTCTGTAGTCTCCGTTGATCCTGACATATTCCTACAGCGACATAAGCACTAAAGTTGCAACAAAACAGGGGTGTACTCACGTAGCTGAAGTCACAGGTCCAGTACTGGGCACTCTCCATCCCAAGACCTAACTCGACTTTGACTTCCAAATCGCTCTGCTGGATAATCTCCGAAGCGCGAGTCTCGTTGACCTTCTCTGGCTCGCCATTGACTAGCAGAGCGAGAGGGGGAGTACCGTCGACGGGAATGAATGAGACATTGACGCGAGTAGGGTCGATGGGCTTGGAGAGGGAGATAGAACCCGCTGCTGAGAGTATACGACCCCAGCTACGCATGTTTATCAGTAATCTCTTGCGTGGTACGAACGCTGAGGCTCACTTGGCGTCTTCTCCGAACAAAGCTGTCTTGACAAGAGCGGAGGTAGAGATCCTCGAGGCAACAGCATGCGCGTCCTCGTACGTGGGCGCACCATCCACCGTGACGGTGACGAACTTGGTCGCACCCTCACCGTCGCGCACAACCAGCTGGGCCAGATCCGCCGCGAACATCGTGAGCTCCTGCTTGAACATCTCGAACGCTTCCGGATCCGTCGCCTCGTCAATTTCGGCTTCGTTTGCTGAGGTTGCTGCGCCGTTCGCCATGAGCACGATGGTATCGTTCGTGGACATCTCGCCGTCCACGCTAATCGAGTTGAAGCTGCGGTCGACTGCATACGTGAGCGCGTTTTGAAGACTTCGAGGGGAGACGGCCGCGTCCGTGAAGATGGCCCCGAGGAGAGTCGCGTGAAGCTGGCCGCTAGGAGGACCCATGTTGGGATGGATCATACCAGCACCCTTGTCCATGCCAGCCAGGCGATACTCCTTTCCGCGAATGGTAAAAGAGCGGGCGCGCAATTTGGGGAAGGTGTCCGTGGTCATGAAGCCTAGCGCGGCGCGCTCCCATGCTTCGAACGTCGAGCCAAGCGTCGTCGCGGCAGCACGGACGCCATCAAGGATCTTCGCGATGGGGAGAGTTTGGCCAATAACACCAGTGGACATGACCAGGGTCTCGCTATGGGGTTTGGGGCCAGAGAGGAGTTTGTCGGTCGCACCTGACATCGCCCATGCGTCGTCCATCCCCTGCTTGCCCGTCACAGCGTTCGCGCAACCACTATTGACGACCAGCGCACGGGCGCGCCCCAAAGTACTTTGCAAGACTTCTTGAGAGACAAGAACCGGAGCGGCTTTGAACGCGTTGCGGGTGAAACATGCTGCAGTGCTCGTGGGACGAGGAGAGGTGGAGAGTATAACACTGAGGTCGAGGGCACCCGTCTTCTTCACCCCACAGTGGAGACCTGTAAGAGAGTAGCCTTGCGGAAACGCACTATCGGGGATGGGGACATGGAGATGGGTTTTGGAAGGAATGGCTTTGGTGACGATGGTGGTTGTGGTGGAAGAGAACCGTTTCCACACGGCAGGGAGCCTGCCTCCGCCGAAGTTCATGGTGACCACTAAACGGTGACGAGGAAGGCGGTCCGATTATGTACCGGCAGCAGACGAGTAAGGTCGAGTTTGTGAGGGATTTATATTTCCTGCGGTCCAAGCTTGTACAAGTGCAACAACTTGAACAAGCAAAGTGGAACTGGCTACATACGAGCAGACCAATACTCCGAGGATTCCTTCGCTCTCCCACCGCTCCGTTACTCGCGTACGTCGTTGATGGGGGACGCCTGAGTGCAACGCTGGACGTTGCGTCGGTGGTGAGGAGGAAGAACTGCGAAAACAACTTTTCAGCACCAGGCTGGCGTCTAAATACACGTGCGACAACAAGCGCCTATCGGAAATTGCCGCCATAAGCGCTGAAGCTTGCCGTGCCCAGCTTTGCGAGCAGTCCACAACAGCAAGTACACGACATCCGACACCGGCTGACCAGCAAAACGATGGGCTCCACAAGGTGAGTTTATGATCCTATGATGCCGGAGGGAGGTACACATGGTCTGGGGTGCTTTGGGAGGATGCGGGAGGGTTGGGTTGGGATGGATGCGTGCAGGAGGAATTGGATGACGGCGCTCTTCGAAACGTTGGACCTCTTTCGAACACATTCCTGCGCAGAGGCCTAGACGGTATGCTTATGCTACGCTCGTCGCCTTGCAGACTTTACTCCAAGGGCCGCATTCTTGGCCACAAGCGGTCGAAGCGCAACTCCCGTCCCAACACCTCCCTCCTCCAGATTGAGGGTGTCGCAAACAAGGAGGATGCTCAGTACTACCTCGGAAAGGTGCGTTGCTCAGTGGCTCTTGAGTTCACGTGATCCCAACCTATGTTCTCGTGCAGCGAGTCGCCTTCGTCTACCGGGCAAAGACGGAGGTCCGCGGTTCCAAGGTCCGTGTGATCTGGGGGTACGTTTATTTCCTCGTGCTGCTCTCCGCACTTTTATTGACCGTCCTTCCAGGCGTGTCACCCGCCCGCACGGCAACTCTGGTGTCGTAAAAGGCAAGTTCAGCTCGAACCTGCCCCCACACTCGTTTGGCGCGAGCGTCCGGGTGGTAAGTATTCTTTCGATTTCAGCTGCTGTTGATCTGCTGACGGGTGCGCTTGTAGATGATGTTCCCTTCCAACATCTAAACGCTCTTGTCCTATCTCGTCTCGTTGCCGGCGTTGCTGTTACACCCTCATGTATTGCAAACACTATGACATGCTCATGACTGCATGCATTTCCGCACTGTACTCCTTCGCGTGAATGTTCCCTGGGTGAACTATCGGAGCACTGCATGTGCGTTTGGCCTGGATCCTCTCATGCGCTTCGGTGGGTTCTGTCACTGGGGGTGACATGGATGAGCGCTCACCATACGCTCATGAAGCGTCGACGTCGGTTGGTGCTTCGGTGTTCTGCGCTCGGATTCGGAAGTCATCTTTCCGCCTCAAAGCATGCAATTAATGCGGCCACCCCAAAGTTGGGGCAAAGAACATCTGGGGAACATCTGGAGGCGCCGATCGGGGCAGTCTGGCATTGACTGCAGGAAAGATACCCCAGTGTTGTTACGTAATCCCCATGTGTTGGGGATTCCGGCCTCGTCGAGGGCAAGCTTTTAGCTGGCCATCTCTCTTGCCTCCTTCCCCCGACCTTTCCACTTTTCCGTCTGTGTCTTTCCTGTAGTCATGTCCACTTACGATCACTCCAAAGTCGCCCACTTCATAGGTGAGTCTCCGCATCTCCATCACCGATGAGTACCGCGTGACATCCATCACAGGCGGTAATTCCCTCGAAAACGCCCCGTCCGGCGCAGTCACCGACTTCGTCAAGCAGCACGGCGGGCATACAGTCATTACGAAGGTGTGTATCTCCTTGCGCTGCTGCATTTATCCGCATTTTCCGAAGTGGGGCACCGAGGTTGTCGCAGTCGGATACGTAACGGGGTGGACGCGTCGCGTGTGTCACACAAGTGGACGCGTCCATCTGACGGTCTCTCTCGCCCTCGCCCTCGACTCGCGTCGTCGGAGTGCGATGGACGCACGCTGAAACTCGTGCTGAGCTCGCTGTATGCGCGTGTTTCGGCTATATGCGCAGGCTTACGCGTCCAGTCTTCGCGCAACACGCGTCGGTGCATGAGGAGGGCATACACGTGCCAGAACTTCGCGATCCTTTGGGTTCTTAGGTATTGAAGCTGACGAAATTGCTCGACAGGTCCTCATTGCCAACAACGGTCAGTCGGCTTCTTTCATCCTGGTATATCATCTTGTTGACCATCTCAAAGGTATCGCCGCCGTCAAGGAGATTCGTTCAATTAGGCAATGGAGTTACGAGACATTCGGTACGGAGCGCGCCGTTGAGTTTACTGTCATGGCTACTCCGGAAGATCTGAAGGTCAACGCGGAGTACATTCGCATGGCCGACCGGTATGTCGAAGTGCCGGGAGGCTCCAACAACAACAACTACGCGAATGTGGACCTCATCGTTGACGTCGCGGAGCGTGCCGGCGTCCACGCCGTCTGGGCCGGCTGGGGCCACGCGTCGGAGAATCCAAAGCTTCCTGAAACTCTTACAGCCAACAAAATTGTGTTCATCGGTCCTCCTGGCAGCGCGATGCGGAGTCTAGGCGACAAAATCTCCAGCACTATCGTGGCGCAGAGCGCACAGGTACCCACTATGGCCTGGTCTGGCACTGGCATCACGAAGACGCAGCTCTCCGACGCAGGGTTCGTGACTGTCGCCGACGACGTGTACCGTGCGGCATGCGTGACGACTTGGGAGGAAGGTCTTGCGCGCGCGGAAGAGATCGGCTTCCCGGTTATGATCAAGGCTTCTGAGGGCGGCGGAGGGAAGGGTATCAGGAAGGTTGAAGCCGTGGAGACGTTCAAGAACGCGTACCATGCGGTGGAGGGCGAGATTCCAGGTGCGTGTTACCTCTCTTGCTGTCGCCATTCCTTCTGAGTTTTACCACAGGATCTCCAATCTTTATCATGAAGCTTGCTGGGCAGGCTCGTCATCTGGAGGTTCAGCTCCTTGCTGACCAGTATGGCAATGCTATCTCCCTGTTCGGTCGTGACTGCTCGGTTCAGCGCCGCCACCAGAAGATCATCGAGGAGGCCCCGGTCACCATTGCAGGTCCCGAGACTTTTGAGAAGATGGAACGCGCTGCGGTTAGGTTGGCGAAGTTGGTCGGTTATGTTAGCGCTGGAACTGTGGAGTGTAGGTTGATGATCGACCACCACGCGCGCAATGGTCTGACATATTTCTAGACCTTTACAGTCACGCAGAAGATGTTTTCTACTTCTTGGAACTCAACCCTCGTCTCCAAGTCGAGCACCCGACGACTGAGATGGTGTCTGGCGTCAACCTTCCTGCTGCCCAGTTACAGATCGCTATGGGTATCCCGCTCCACCGCATTCGCCATATCCGTCAGCTGTACGGCGTCGCTCACAGCGGTTCCTCTGAGATTGACTTCGACATGATCGACCCGGAGGCAAGCAGCCTTCAGCGCAGGCCTCGCCCCAAGGGTCACGTCATCGCTGTCCGCATCACGGCCGAGAACCCTGACGCTGGCTTCAAGCCCTCTTCTGGTTCGCTGCAAGAGCTCAACTTCCGTTCGAACACCAACGTTTGGGGCTACTTTTCCGTCAACAGCGCCGGTGGTCTCCACGAGTTCGCCGATTCTCAGTTCGGTCACATCTTCGCGTATGGTGAAGATCGTGCCGAGTCGAGGAAGAACATGGTCGTCGCCCTGAAGGAACTCAGCATCCGTGGTGACTTCCGTACCACAGTCGAGTACCTCATCAAGCTCCTGCAGCTCCGAGCGTTCGAGGAGAACACGATCACCACAGGCTGGCTCGACTCGCTCATCAGTGACAAGCTCACCGCGGAACGCCCTGACACTACTCTGGCCGTGATCTGCGGAGCAGTTACGAAGGCCTGGATGACTTCGGAAGATTGTTGGACCGAGTACAAGCGCATCCTCGACAAGGGTCAAGTCCCCTCTCGTGACGTCCTCAAGACTGTCTTCGGGATCGATTTCATCTACGACAACGTCCGGTACTCCTTCACAGCCACGCGCTCTTCGCTTACTCTCTGGACGCTGTACTTGAACGGCGGTCGGACGATGGTCGGGGCGCGAGGCTTGGCTGATGGCGGCCTACTGGTTCTGCTTGACGGCAAGAGCCACTCTGTCTACTGGAGAGAGGAAGTCGGAGCGTTGCGTTTGATGGTCGACTCGAAGACGTGCTTGATCGAGCAGGAGAACGATCCAACCCAACTGCGGAGTCCTAGTCCTGGAAAGCTTGTGCGCTTTCTTGTGGAGAGCGGCGACCACATCAACGCCGGCGAGCAGTACGCCGAGATCGAGGTGCGCAGCGTCCTAGATATCGCGTATACAATCCTAATACCTATTTTGAATAGGTCATGAAGATGTACATGCCTCTGGTCGCTTCGGAGGACGGCATCGTCCAGTTTGTCAAGCAGCCGGGTGTCAGCCTTGAACCGGGCGACATTCTGGGTATCCTCACCCTCGACGACCCTGCCCGCGTGAAGCATGCGAAGCCTTTCGAAGGTCTCCTCCCTTCCTTGGGCGTGCCGAGCGTTGTCGGGAACAAGCCCCACCAGCGGATGCAGTTCGACTTGGACGTCCTCAATAACATCCTCGACGGCTATGACAACCAGGCTGTTATGACCTCGACCCTCAAGGATCTCCTCGAAGTTCTCCACAACCCCGAGCTGCCCTTCTCCGAGACCTCGGCCATCTTGGCCTCGCTCTCTGGCCGCATGCCGGCGAAGCTAGAGGACGGCGTCCGTGCGGCCATTGACCTAGCCAAGAGCAAGGGTGACGCCGCGGAGTTCCCTGCGAATCGTCTCAACAAGCTCGTCATTCACTACATGGAAGACAACATCCGCCCTCAAGATCGCACCATGTTCCGCTCTCAGCTGGCGACGCTCATCTCCGCGATTGAACGGTACCAAGGCGGACTGAAGGCCCACGAGACCGACGTCATCGCGAGTCTGCTATCTCGCTACGAGGAGACCGAGAAGCTCTTCGGCGGTAGCATCGAAGCGCGCGTTCTGGCTCTCCGCGAGCAGCACAAGGACAAGCTCGATCAAGTCGCGTCGCTCGTTCTCAGTCACATCATGGCTCAACGAAAGGGTCGTCTCATTATAGCCATCCTGGAGCATGTCAAGAGCAGCGGTCTGACGGTGACCGACCCCAATTCGCGTCTCTATCAAATTCTACAGGGTCTCGCCGCGCTCGAGGCTAGGTATGTTGGGTGGTAGAAGGGTTCTTTGTGTCTGGTCCTGACGCTGTTGCTTTGCAGATCTTCCACTCAGGTGTCTCTCAAGGCACGCGAGGTGCTCATCTCATGCCAGATGCCGTCGTACGAAGAGCGACGTTCGCAGATGGAGGCGATCCTCAAGGCGTCGACCACCAATAGCTACTATGGTGAAGCTGGCTCTTCTGCAAGGTTTGTTTCCGTCAGTAGGAGGCTTTTAAAATGCTTGATGCTGAACTTTTTGCAGGGCGCTCTCTATGGAAGTCCTCAGGGAACTCATCGACTCACGCTACACTGTCTACGACGTGCTTCCCACGTTCTGGAACCAGTCGGATCCCGAGATCATCCATGGTGAGCGAGGTCTGACATTGACATGACGATGTACTGATCCACTCGGTAGCTGCACTGGAGGTCTACGTTCGTCGCGCGTACAAGGCGTACACGCTTCTCTCGGTTGACTACGAGGAAGGCGATGGCGTGCACAATGGGGAGTCTCCCGACATTGTGACGTGGCGCTTCAACCTTGGCCAGTCGAACTCCCCACCTTCGACACCTCGTCTTGGGCGAGAGTAAGCAATTCCCAAACGCGCTTTAGGCTCCCGCTGATCCCGTTGCAGTGAACCCCCTCGTAGACAAGCGTCTGTTAGTGACCTCACCTACCTGATCAACACGCATCAAAAGCAGCCGCTTCGTACTGGCGCGATCGCATCGTTCATGAACCTCGAGGCTCTCAAGAGTGGCTTCGATAAGGTAGCTGCGACGTTGCCTGTTTTCGACCCCCTGGAGTACCAGCAGCGCTACGGCGTCAACAACCAGCCCCCCAACGTCCTGAACCTGGCCCTGCGTATCTTCAACGAGGCCGATGACTTCTCCGAGGACGTCTGGTATGAGAAGGTCTTGGAGCTCGTCAACAGCCGTCGTGAAGTCCTCACTCGTCGTGGCGTCCGTCGTATCTCCATCCTCATATGCCGGCCCGGCCAGTACCCCATCTACTACACTCTCCGCGAGATGGGTGGCAGCTGGAATGAAGAGCAAGCTATCCGTCATATCGAGCCCGCCCTCGCCTTCCAGCTCGAGCTCAGCCGCTTGTCGCACTATAGGCTCACTCCTTGCTTCACTGACAACAAGCAGCTCCACATCTACCACGCCGTCGCTCGCGAGAACCAGCTGGACAATCGCTTCTTCATCCGTGCCCTCGTTCGTCCTGGTCGCATCCGTGGTAGCATGAACACCGCCAGGTACCTCGTCACAGAGACGGACCGCCTCTTCACTACTGTTCTCGACGCGCTCGAAGTCGTCTCGGTCGAGCACCGCACCGCAGACTGCAATCACATCTTCATGAACTTCATCTACAACCTCCCCGTCACCTATGAAGATGTCCTCGAGGCTATCTCCGGATTCATTGAGCGTCATGGCAAGAGACTCTGGCGCCTTCACGTCACTGGTTCGGAGATCCGCGTCGTTCTCGAAGACCAGGACGGAAACGTCACTCCGATCCGCTGCATCATCGAGAACGTCTCTGGGTTCATCGTCAACTTCCATGGCTACCAGGAAATCACCACCGACAAGGGCACTACCATTCTGAAGTCCATCGGCGAACGTGGCCCCCTCCACCTCCAGCCTGTCCACCAGTCCTACCCCACGAAGGAGTCTCTCCAGCCCAAGCGTTATCAGGCTCACAACATCGGCACCACTTACGTCTATGACTTCCCGGAGCTCTTCTCGAAGGCGCTCAGCAACGTGTGGACCAAGGCCCATGTCATCAACTCCCAGTTGACGCCCCCGAAGCAAATCTTCGAGTCGAAGGAGCTTGTTCTCGACGAGCACGACCAGCTCCAGGAGGTTAACCGTATGCCTGGGAACAACACTGTCGGCATGGTCGGATGGGTCTTCACGCTCAGGACACCGGAATGCCCTGACGGTCGTCGCACCGTGGTCATCGCGAACGATATCACGTACAAGATCGGCTCCTTCGGTCCCGCTGAAGACCAGTTCTTCTATCTCGCCTCTCAGTACGCCCGCGAGCAGGGTCTTCCACGCATCTACCTCTCTGCCAACTCCGGTGCACGCATCGGTCTCGCTGAGGAAGTCATGAACCTGTTCTCTGTCGCGTGGAATGATCCGGAACGCCCCGAGAAGGGCTTCGAGTATCTCTACCTCACTCACGAAAACTTCCTCAAGGTTCAGGAGAAGGCGTCTGCTGCCATCCGCACCACCGAGGTCGAGCAGGATGGCGAACTCCGCCACAAGATCACCGACATCATCGGCCTTCAAGACGGCCTTGGGGTCGAGTGTTTGAAGGGGTCTGGTCTCATCGCTGGCGAGACGTCTCGTGCCTACGACGACATCTTCACGATCACCCTCGTCACCGCTCGCTCCGTCGGTATTGGCGCCTACCTCGTGCGCCTTGGCGAGCGTGCCGTCCAGGTCGAGGGCCAGCCGATCATCCTCACGGGTGCTCCGGCGCTCAACAAGGTCCTCGGCCGTGAAGTCTACGCGTCCAACCTCCAGCTCGGCGGTACTCAGATCATGCACAAGAACGGTGTCTCTCATCTCACCGCTGGCAGTGATCTCGAGGGTGCAACTCACATCCTTGAGTGGCTGTCGTACATCCCCGAGTACAAAGGAGCCCCGCTTCCGACCCTCAACCTCGATGATACATGGGACCGCGACATTGGTTACGTTCCCCCCAAGGGTCCGTACGACCCGCGCTGGTTCATCGAGGGGAAGAAGGACGAGCCCACCAACGACTGGCTTCCTGGCTTCTTCGACCGCGGCTCCTTCCAGGAGACCCTCAGCGGCTGGGCGCAGACTGTCGTTGTGGGCCGCGCTCGCCTCGGTGGTATCCCCATGGGAGTCATAGCCGTCGAGACCCGCACTATCGAACGCATCGTCCCCGCCGATCCCGCGAACCCCTCGTCCTTCGAGCAGCGTATCATGGAGGCTGGTCAAGTGTGGTACCCCAACTCGGCTTACAAGACTGCCCAGGCGATCTTCGACTTCAACCGCGAGGGCCTTCCGCTCATCATCTTCGCCAACTGGCGCGGTTTCTCCGGCGGTCAACAGGACATGTACGACGAGATTCTCAAGCAGGGTTCCAAGATTGTGGACGGCCTTTCGAGCTACAAGCAGCCTGTCTTTGTCTACATCGTTCCTCAAGGCGAGCTTCGTGGTGGTGCGTGGGTCGTGCTCGACCCTTCGATCAACTCGGAGCAGATGGAGATGTACGCCGACATGGAAGCGCGCGCCGGCGTTCTTGAGCCTGAGGGTATCGTCGAAATCAAGATGCGCCGCGACAAGATCTTGAAGCTCATGGAGCGCCTCGACTCGACGTACGCCAGCCTCAAGAAGGACAGCATCGACCCTTCGAAGACCGCCGAGGAACGTTCTGCGGCTGCCGACGCCCTCGCCAGGAGGGAGCAGCTCCTCCAGCCGAACTACAAGCAGATCGCGCTGCTCTACGCGGACCTTCACGAGTGCGTCTGCCCTTCGCTCATATGACAAGTTTTACTAACGTCGTTGACAGCCGGACGGGTCGCATGGAGGCCAAGGGCTGCGCCAAGCCCATGAACTGGAAAGACGCGCGCCGTCGCTTCTACTGGGCGGTGCGAGCCAAGGTCGCTCGCTCTGCGGCCATGGCCCAGCTGGTGGAGGCCAGCCCGGAGTCCACCTTCGAATACCGCTCCCACCTGCTCGAGACGATCGCCGGCATCGAGAACGAGACCGAGACGCGCCCCATCGCGGAGGCGCTGGAGAAGCTCGACTTGACCAACACCCTGACACAGCTCAAGGCCGACCACCTCGCTCGTCGCTTGATGGAGCTCGCCAGCGAGGACAAGAAGGCGACCATCAACAGCCTCGCGCGCCTCATCGACGGCCTTGGAGACGACGAGAGGCTTGCCCTCATTGCTGCCCTGCAGAACAACCGCTCCCCTGGTACGTTGAACGATGTGTTCTCATTGTATGCGATGTGCTGATGGACGTATTCGCAGGTCCTCCCTCTTACGCCTCTCCTTGAGCCGCCTCGACCATAGATTTTCATCCCACCGTTCTGTAGCACTATCGCCCTGCACCTGTTTCCACAGCTCTTCACGCTTTGCACGAATGCCCGACCCCCAATACCATTACCATACGATATCATGAATGTAGACTGATGTTACGAACTAGATTACTCAATGTATGCTTTGCGTTCATCGCCTCTGGGTGGCACAATGGTCTGCTTGTCTTCTTGACAGCTGCTGGCCGAACTGTAACGACGCGAAGGGAATGGAGCGGGCAGAGAAGGGGGTTGACGGTGGGTGCACAGCGTGCCACTGTACATAGCCTGGCCGCTCAGCCGCTCGATGTCATGTAGCTCTGGCGCTTATCCGCCCCGCCACGTGTCGGGAGTAGGGCGGCCTCCCGCCTCGCGCTGCCCGACGACCGCTGCCTTGTTCTCCTCCTCCTGTCACTGTCCGCGTCGGCGAGCCGACCTTTTGTGCTTGTTGCTCGTTTGGCCCCTTCCCAGCCGCTAGACTCTCGTAGCTCCTGCTATACGGCATCGGGTCGCGCCCTACCTACTGGTCAACAGCCATCTGCCCATCCGCCCGCCCTGGAACTGGGACGGCTTCCTCGTAGAGACAATGGTGCTTGAGGAGGCTTCTTCTACAGGTCTGTGGAGCGCTGTCGTGCTGGACCACAGTTTCGCTGACATGACTTTCTCAGGTAATCGAGCCCGCGCTGCGGTAAGACTACCGAATCCGCTATGGTTGCGGACTGGCGAACGGCGTGATTCGCATGGCCTGTCCGACCACAGCGAACGTCAACCGCCCCTTATCTGCGCCCGACGCGCTTGATGTCCGCTTCGATCCGCGCCCTCCGTTGCCGTCACTGGGCGCGCTCCCCGCGGGCAGGCCTCCTCGTCGCCGGACCTCTGCCGGCCGCCCCCCGGCGCAAGTTGCCCTTCTGGCACGAGTTCCTCGATCGAACTGGATCTAGCACGCCTCTCCCTGCTCCACCACTGCCAGGCCGTCGGCACAATCCGCCCGCACACGCGGGTCCCGCCCGTAAACCAACCCGATCCGTCCAACGCCCATGGCTCGCATGGCTGATCCCGGCGTGCCTTCCGGCGGACGTCCCGCGCACTCCGCGCATTTTTTTCAATACCCGCGGCGTCCCCAGGGAAGCTGTGCGAGTCTGTCGCTTCTTCTCTCATCAGTTGTCGGTCGGCCACTCAACCTGATCCAGTAGCGACTGATTCCGGGGCGTGTGTGCGCGCGTCCGGCCTCCGCCGCTGTGCACACTGCTCGGCCTGAGCTCAGATTCCTGCAGGAGTGGCCTGTAGACCAGGTGATGGTTCCGGCGGTCATATAAATGTCGCCTCCCCCCCCACCACAGCTCTCCCCAGAGCCTCCCCTCCCCTCCCCCACTCACTCATCCAAGTCGTCTGCCATGGGCGAGCGCGGTCCGAACTATCACAAGAGCCTCAAAAACATCTTGGGGGCTGACAATGTATGTCCGCGACGCGACCATCGCGTTCGTGACCACCGCTGATCCGATCCCTACCCACGCTCCTCAGGCCCCCGTCTACAGGAAGCAATGGGGACCTAGAGCCTCTGGCGCTGATAGGCCTGAAAGCGTCGGGATGGAGATACAGTTTCAAGTGACGCTCAACAACCCCCCGCCCGACGCGCCTCCAGGGGCGGGCGTCGTTGCCGAGTGAGTACAATGCACCTTGTCCCACAAGCGCCCTTAAATTAACGACCTGCTTCTCCCCCTCCCCCTCTCTCTCCTTCTCTTTCCCTCTCTCGCGCCTCTACCTACCTCCCGGTTACTCGATCTTCACCGTGTTTTTGCTGCCAGCAGAGGTCAAGGTCCAGTACGCACTGGCCGCACACGCCGTCGAGCACCCGGGCCCACCTCTGGTGTCCGACCGGCGAACAAGGCCAGGCGGGCCGAATCCGAAAGGCTCCCACACCCAGTGACGGACCCCATCGACCCCCTCTCTCTCCCAGAGTTCCCCTCAGCCTCGTCACTCCCAGCTTCCTTGCCTGCTCCTTTCGGGCATTCGACTTCTGGCGACTTGTCCAGACATCCCTCAGCAGAATCCCCGTACGGGCGCATGGACTCGCACAGCCCCGGCGGTTCGGGATACGACTATAGTCAGGCACTTTTGCAGCTAAAGACCGAGGTACGTTTCTTACCACCGGACCATCCCCCAACCCTCCCTCATGTCTTCGTCGAACCAGCAATTCTCCCCCATGCGCGAGAGCGCCGAGTGGTCGCCCCCCCACTCTTACAGCCCGGAATACAACGCATCCCCGGAACCGCCGTACCCCGGGCAGGACGCGCTGGGTCTGGAGACCGGGGGGATGCATGCCGCCGCGCCCCCGCAGTTCTACGGCGGTGGCGCGCACCTCCAGCAACAACAGGCTCCGTTCCCCATGTGGGCGCCGACGGGACAAGTGCCGTGGGAGGACCGCATCACCGCGGGCGCGGGAGCCTCGGCCAACGAGTTCTTAGACGCCTCGATGCTCGACCCCCTTGCCATGTCCTCCTCTTTCAACGGCATGCCCCCATTCGTTTTTCCAGTCGTGGACCCGCTGCAGCAGCCATTCCGCGGATCCTCTGCCTCTGCCTCTCCGGGGTACTCACAGGCTCCCAGCACCTCCCCCGAATATTCCTCTGGCGCCTCCCCCGCGTATTCCTCTGGCTCCTCGCCTATGTATCCCTCTGGCCCTTCCCTCCCGGGCCCATCTGCGTACCCCCAGTACTCGGACCCTCGTGAAGCACAGGCCCGCGCTCAAAGGCAACGCTACTCGAACCCTCCCAACTGGGGGCCGTACAACGGCTAGGCCGCTCGGACCCGCCGCGTGCGCCGCCCGCCCGCGTGCTCTCTGATACCCCTCTCCCTCTCGTTTCCTCGGTTCTTGCTTTCTCCTGTGACTCGGCTGTCTCTCCTGTGGATATCGTGACGCGTGTGGACAAGGTCCGGAAGGCGAAGTGCAGGGACGGTTGCCGTCGGTCGACGCGTTTGCGGCGTGCGCGTATCTTTATGACCTACCTTCCTTCCTTCCACACGGACGCTGTACGCTACTAATGTCCCATCTACTTCTGTATAGTCTGCTCGATGACCCCCTGATGCTGTTGTTGTTACACTACTCTGACTCTGACGATCCGTGATGTACATACCTACACGACCCGCGCCCCGCAATAATCACCGTTACCTCCCTCACCAGACTGCGCTCGGGCAGCGGCCACGGGCCTTCCTCCAACAGCCCCAGCGAAGGCTCGCCGTCCCGCTCCTCCACGCCGCTCCGCCACGCCGTCCGCCGCGACCTTGGCCATCATCCGCCCCCGCGAGCCGCGCCCCACGGCCGCCCGCGGCCGCCTGCACGTAAAGGAAGGCGCGGTGCGCGTCGGTGCGCGCGCGCGCGTTCCACGCCGCGTGCGCAGTCGTCGGGGGCGCGAGCCAGCCTCGCGCACGCCCGGGGCGGCGGTGGCGCGCGCTCAAGCGCTCATTGCGCGCGAGCCGGGAGACGGAGTGTGTATGATAGTGCGCATGCTTGGGAACTCACTCTGCTCTTTGCCGACGCTGCCTCCCCTAGGCACGGCTCCATCCCTTCCGTTTGTTCGGTATCGGTACGAGGCTCCGGTGTAAGTATCCGCATCCAGGGCCGTGGCCGCTTTGTGTGGAGGCAGGGAGGCCGTGTCAAAGGTAGACCGGGAGAGAGAAAGCTATGGGCGACGAAGCCTGTTCTCCGGCTACCCGTGCTTTTACGTGCGACGCCTCGTGTGTACTCGGGGCTCCCTCTCGAAGGGCGCAGAAGCGTCGAAGGCTTCAGAGCACCACACGCCGACCGTATATTGTAGCACACAAAACCGCAGAAGCTTGGTTGCGGAGCGGTCAGGTGGGCGCTGCCGAGTCCATCGGGATCGAGCGCCAGTTCGTGTAGTAAACATCACATAGGAGGAGCACAGTACTAGCAGCGGCCCGCGCCACTCACGAGGGCGTGCCCAGTCTGCTCCCGCACGTGCACCGTCCCCTCCACCAGGTCGTGCCGTGCGCGCGCGGGGCGGGGGTGATTCCATGGTTCGCGCTGTGGCATGGGGTCCTGTCCCGGATCGGCCGAGTCCTGTGTCGAGTGGCCAGGGCACGACCAGTGCCGGAGGAAGGACGGCACTGAGACATACCGCAACCGGGCGGCCTTCTTCGCAATGGAAGACGGCCGCGGAGCCTCGAGGCCAGGGGAAGTCGTCCGCATCGGGCGGGCGCGGGGCGGGCGGTGCGCGGTCGGTGCGCCACCGTGGACGAAAGCGGACACCGACGCGGGCGAGCGGGCGGGCGGGCGGGCGGACGAGTCAGCGCGACGGGGCACGCGGCTTGGGCGAGGCAGCGGGGCGCGGCGCTGGCCGCGTTTCAGGCTCATCAGACGGGCCTTTGCGTGGAGGTTCTTGATGTCGGTGAGCTTCGTGCCCGCCGCACTGCGCAGTGGCGGGCCTCTCGCGCTGCCCTCGCCTGTTGCGGACGGCCGTCGAGGCGATCCGAACCCAGAAGACGAGGAGGGGGTTGGCCGGCTTATCTGATCGTGTCCGGTCCGCGGAGTGGCACATCTACGCGGGTTTGGCGGACGTGCGTAGGGATCGATCGACACCCGCCCGCGCGAGCCTTCGCACCGCCTGGCTCCGGCGAGTCGCGTCGGTAGGCAGGTGTGCGGGAAGTTGTGGAGGGCGTGCATTGTCTGAAGACAGCCCGGGTGTGGTCTGTCACTGGAGAGACGCCAGCCTGTACGTCACGTAGGAGCGACGGCATGTCTAGTGAACATTACTATCACGACCCCAGTGATGAGAAATGTGAGCGCCCGCGAGATCAAACCATGAGAATCTCAACCATTACTGCTGCGATAGTCTTCGGATTTTGTACACATGCTGGCAGTGTCGTAAAAAAGCGATTTGCAAAATTTCAGAGGAAACGGGTACGTATTGCGCCCCCAGTGGGCGAACCGGCCGCGGACCCTAGTTATGAGAAATTTCGCCGAGGCTCAGTCACGGCACGGGTCACGCAGCCGACATCAACTCCGCTCGGCTAGCCCGTCGGACGCGTCCAGTGATGACAGCATCCTCCCTGACGGCAACGTCGGAGACTGAAATTCACTCACGTTCTGTGGCCGAAGTCACGCTTGAACCGACCCAAAGTGCGTTTTCGCCCCCCTCCCGCAGATATTGTGCCGGAGAATTCGAATTAAGGCAGCCATCGTTCATCCAACACCCCTCGCGCAGCTTCAACCTAAGCGCTGTTCATGGGATCGTAGCCGACGGGTATCAAATCCTCGACTTTTCTCATTCGAGAGATGTTTGCCAAAGATCGGGCTTGTTTCTGCACGGAACGACGTCGTTCTTTTTGAAAACGAAAGTTAACACATACTCCTACCAACATGTGAATTTTCAACATTATCGGACGAGGGACGGGACCGTCAGACCAGATTTCTCAACACTGGGGCCTTTCTCATCACTGGGGTCGTGATAGTAGTGGCACAATCGACGCTTCCCGGAGACCAAGCGCTTACCGGGGGGATGCACGCAGATGTGCACGTCGAAAAATGTCGGCACACAATTGTCGGTCGACGGAGACGCGCGCGCGCGCATCTCCGCCCGACTGCGCAGCGCGGGCGGACGTACGGACGGCAGTGCCTGGACGCGGGAAGTGTATCGAGATGACGTACTCCCTCTGCCCGCGCCGGCTCAGCGCGCGGCTCGACCACTGGGACTGCCCCGAGCGACGGGCCGGCTGGAGCCTGGGGTTCTAGTTCCTGAAAATAGGCGGGGCAGTGGGATGGACCTCCCTTATCAGTGGGAGGGCGTGGACGTGTCGAAAAATTGTGCTCTGGCACCGCCCAAAGCCTGAGTATGACGTCCAAACTGTCGCCAGTCTTATTCTGGGACCCGGAGAGTGAGTCGAGCGCAGAGTCGAGGTCAGCGCAAGAATCTGGCCCAAGTCTGAATTTGAGCAGCAGTGGGGCGGAGGTGAGCGGGCGAGCGCTGGACGGAGTGGGGTTGCGTGGGTCCCCCTTTGGCCTTGTTTGTTCCGATGCCCGTTGTGGCTTGGACCGCCACCGGGCCGCCGGCGGGCGCGTCGGCCCAGGTCGGCCCCTGTCCATGTGGCGCCTCCTCGGATGTGGCGTCGTCCTGAGAAAAAAAGACGGGCGGAAGCGCCTGTCCGCCGTCGCGCGCGCTTGGCGGCCTCGGACGCATCGACCGCCGACCAACACGACCCTCCCGATTCTTCCAACTTTGCGCATGCTCAACCCACGCCTCTCGATGATCGACCACAATCACTGCCAGCTCGGCGGACGGTCGGCCCCTCGCAGTGCCGGCGAACCCCTCATATTCCAACATCATATTCAATTCCCTTGCATTCACTCATCAACCGGACGCGGTACGACCGGTTCGGATTCTAAAAGCTCTACCGTGACTCTGATTACCTGGTTTTAGAAATGAGGGTCGGTGCGTTGTCGTTGCCACTGCCGATACTGCTTCCGTTTAGACATTGCTTTATTGTAGATGACATTGCATCGGGCACCATATCCTGGCCTCCGAAGCACAGTAGCTGCAGTGACCAGGCCCTTCGCAGCTACTGCATGCACGGCAGATAATTGCATCGAAGACCTCGAATGGTAACCGTTTTCTCCGGCTAGAACAACATCATTGCTTCATGAGTCTTTGCAGTTGTCCCACGACCCAGACACAGAGTGAAGTCATAGGCCACAAAGGCCAAGATGGTCAATGCAACACCCTGGCGTCTGCTTAAAGCCATGAAATGAGCTACGTTGAGGAGGTGTGGATACTCGATCCTCCTCTCCTTCGTTCTCTGATTAACGCTCTTGTCGATTTCCCCCGTCGCCCGTCATGCAGCCCAGCTCATCACGCACCGGATGGCAGCCGGTCGAGGCTGTTCGCCGCGGGAAGCACGCGGCTCCAGACAATCCTCGCAGTTCTCACAAGTCCCGGGGAAAATCTGGCAAGAGGGCGCGCGAAATCTCCGAGAACATCAGTCCAACGCCGTCTCCGAACGCGTCTCCCAAGCGGCTGAAGCGGAATCACGTCGTTCGAGCAAATGAAGTCGAAGTAAGCACTAGCCACAAGTTTCAACCACCGCGTTGCTGACGTTTACCGACCAGGGCCCTCTCCGTGCCCTTCCTCTCGCCGGAAACCACCAAGAACCCCTTGTTGACCCTCTGTTCACGTTTCCTCAAGGGACTCCGCCTCGGGCTCCTAACGAGGCGTTCATGTTTGGTGTCGGCCAGCCCTCGCATCCGCATCCGGAACCCCCGGTCCTCGTACCTCAAACCCTCCAATCTGCCCATCCGGACCACATCACGATCCCCGCTCTGAGACCGAGTCGGCTCCCCTGCCGGCATGCACCGAGTCCGCTCATGCAGATACTGTTGGACGAGCTCAGACGAGCGGAAGCAGCGCACCACGCTGCGCTGTCCAATGTCAATTACTACAACCACGCACACATCTGGGAGCACCCCGAGCACCGTGCCCGCGTCACCGAGCGAGAGGCCCCACCGGCGGACGACATGCCTCAGCGCCAGCCTCTCCCCGCCTCTGAGGCCGTCGCGGTCCACGAGCACCGCCCGCCGCCGCCGACTGCGCGCGCGGTGGCACCCGCCGTCGTGTCCCTTTCAACCAGACCGTCCACGTCCCAGACAACGCTTCCTCCACTCGAGGCTGCCGGCGCGGTACACGATAACCGCGCGGTCGCCTCGACTCGACTCCCTCCCACTGTCAGCCCCCCTCGTATGTTTGTCCAGTCGCACACGGCCGCGTCTGCGCGCGGACGGGTTGCGGGTCTGCCCGCCAGGGCGAGGGCGCCGACTCCTGCCGCCGCGCCCCTGCAACCAGGCCACCTCGACACCAGGGTGTCGTTACACCTGCTTCCGCTGGGCCGCCGAGGCCTTCCAGGGCCGCCGTGGGACCGTTCAACGCTGCTGCTTCGGCTGGTGACTGGGCTCACGAGCACGACACGGTCGCCCCCGGGGCTCCCGCTATCAGGACCCCTCGTGCCCTCGTCCGACCGTATGCAGCGGCGGACCCCGCGTACATGCCCACATGGAATTGCATGGCTGGACCTCGCACCACGGCTTCAGAGGAGGAGGAGGAGCTGGAGGAGCTGGAGCTGGACCAGTTGCCCGACGAAGTGTCGGAAAGGCAGTGGGACGAGGTCCTGACGCAGGCCAGGTTCAACGAACAGGTGGCTCGGAAGGAGAGGGGCGTGCGCAGGCGGCACAGGCGACGCGGATGAAGACGGATGCGGTGCCCGGTTCTCCTGCGCGGGCGCATAGCGGGCGTGTGCGTGTTGACGGGTTCGGCGCACTCCATGCTCACCGCGGAGGGGACGTGTATCGCTCGGTGGATGCTCTGAATCGTGCTCCCACCTCGATGCTGAATTGCGCATTCGCGACAAGTCTTCAACGAGGCCCCTGGGTTCCCTGTTCTCTCTCTCACTCCTCTTTCATCGATGCTCATTAAATCTTTCTCTCACCCCCGCCGCATCTTCATTTCCAAATTCCGACTCTACATGGCCTCTTTCTGCTAAGGACTTGCCAACGGACGCTCGAGTGCTTGAAGCGTAGTTGTATAATGCGCTGTGTCTCTTGCATCTTGTAGCGTACGTTGCCGACACACTCGTTCAGTTTACTCCCATACGACCACACTCCTTATTTGTACCTTTCCCCCTCATTTCCTCGAACTGGGCAGAGTGCACTTAGGAACGATGCAATCCGATATCGCCGCGGGGCCCTAGTGTTTGTTATCCGTTCAGCTCATGGCGTTCGACCCCCATGCCTTTCTGCACGGTGTTCCTCAGTCTCGATCTCGACGAGGCTCGCACACCGGGCTCGTAGGAACTCGTGCGGATCGGGAGAGGCGACGGCGCGGATAATGCATTGACAAGGGTAGAATACATGGGCATGCGCGCATACCAGAACAAAAACGACATCCGTGGCGAAGAATCCGGTTTCGACAATGGGCGGCGTGTGTTGATGACCCGGGGGGTGGAGGGAAAAAGCAAAGTTGCCCCAGCGGTGGTCCACGGCTGCACTCACCGAGCCTTCGCGGGCTCGATTTCGTTGACGGAGGGCGGACGCCGAGGAAGAGAGGTGGAAGTGGAGGAGGAGGAGGAGGAGCGGGAAAAGGGGCGGACGCGCGTTGTGTGACGGATATCGACTGGTAGAGTGTCCCGGGTACGTCGCCAAGAAATTGAAGGGGTTGATTTGCCACGAAACGACGCGCCGACGACCGTTGGTGAAGAGCGAATAGGCGAAAATACCGTCAACGGGCAGGGTTGTAGACATGTCCTTGCTCCGGCACCTGACCACGCTGACTTCTGCGAAGACTCCGCTGTTCCCGCACTTGAAACTGCTTGTCACCGCTGCATCCCTGGGTCCCAGTCTTGCGCTCTGATCACTTGTGACGCCACCTCTACATGCAGGAGGCGGGCAGCGACGTACCTGTGCACCCGGAAACCACGAGTGTCCTATCCGAGCGAGTTACGCCTTTCATATCGGGAAGCAACCACCATATAGCAGCACTACAGATACATTTTCGCCTTGTAGAATTCCAGCTGTGGTTCTGACATGAATCTTCCAAGTTGAAAGTGCAAGTAGATGATTTAGAACTCACGCAAGACTCTTTCTTGAAGCTTGTCAGAGCAGCCTACTCAAACATGGGATGGTGTCTATCCTACATTACTGTTTGTTTTTGATGCAGAAGATGAAGGTGAACGGGGATGGACTTGGGGTGGGAGCGAGATAGAAAGTGTAGGACAAGACTTTCAATGCTGGTGGCCCGCGCTCGCAACGGATATAGCGCCCGTTACTACGAGGCGCCCCTTGAGGCTCAACGTCCATGACCGTCGATATCTTCCCTCTTCCCAGCTCAAACCCACGCATGAGGTATGGAAGAAATACCGCGAGATCACCTGCAGCGTGTGCTATACGCTTTGGAGGCCTCGAAGATGGTGCGCCACACTCTGCCAACATAAGTACCGACTTGTCAACTAACATCGATGTTTGGAGCAGCGAACGAGCTTTTTCCCTCTTCCGTCGACTGCTGTTGTGAAGCAGAAAGCATCCTATTTTAATAGAAGGGCATGGAAGTCTCTTTTAGGGGACATCCCCTCAAGCACCCCGACAATGAGAGCGTACACAACACGACGGCTTTTGTTACGCATAGTATTGCTGGAAACTTCAGCCGCATAGGTAAGAACGAGAACCTTGTAATTCCGCACACAACTGAAATCTCCCCTGTTGTTTTTATCGTGCCACCTAGACAATGGGAACCTCCTTGTGCACAACAACGTTCCCGTCAGGGTCTACAACGAACCGCCGGGCTTGAAGCTCTCTTCAAGAGCGCAATGGCGCCTCTGTTTGCGCATCTTCCCACTTTCACATCCCCATCCCCATCCAGTCTCGAGCACATTATGGCCTCGTCCGGCAGGCCCGAAGACCCCAACGAGTCTCCTAGAACCCTTGCAAGCTCCGAGAAACCGACCACCTCTTCTGTTCCACATCGTCCTCGAATCTCGCAGAATGCCGCTGCGTCATCTTCAACGCCTGCGCCCACCGTCCCATTTCGCCTACAGAGCAAGCGTGCCCGCGATGAAGAGGAGACATCGGAACATCGGAACATCAGACGGCGCATAGATCGTCCTCAAAATCTCTCTGGACAGGAGTTGAACAGTCAAAGATTACATCCTATACCACAACAGGGGTATATACCACCACCAACGGTATGTGTCTTACTTCCCTTGTTAGCCGATGCATTGCTTACCTTGGGCCTTTTTCTAGGGATCATCTTTCGGCACTGTGCTGGCACAATCGTATCCCGCAGTTTACTCCGGGTCGGTCTCTCCAATACAATCTGATATAAGACCTTCCGCGTCATACCGTCCGATGCTACCGTCCTCATCTATGCATCGTGGAGCCCCTCAAGGTCCCGTGGGATACAGACCTTACGAAAGGTTTGGTTTGGGACCGCGAGACAGACTTTCGCGAGATCCCAACGCGTATAGCATGCAAGCCAGAGTAGAAACGGAGCACGGAGCACCCAGTGCAAGCTACACCCAGGTGCGCTAGTTTCCTAGACTAAGATTGTCGACCTCATCAGTCCGTCATCTGTCTCACAGGTCCAAGACTCGTACCCCAATGCCAACAACCCCAGTGTGCCTTTCATGGCATCGGCAGCTGGAACCTCTTCGCGCGGTCGTGGTTCTAACGCGCGCGACCCTTCCGGCGTACAGTCTCGGAATGTGCGCGTCGACGAACAGTACTCTTCCACGCGCCAGTCTATTGATCCTTACCGTCCGCCGGCTCAAAACCACACGTGGCCTCATTTTCAGCACCATGACCTTCGTTCAATACCTCAGTCAGCGAACGCTTCGAGCCCCGCTACGAACCTGACGGGTTATTATGCCCAAACCGAAGGTTACAGAGATTGGTCCCAGCTTCCTCCCCATACGCAAGCGTCTTCTCATAGCAGCCATCTTCCTCACTCGCTCCACCAGAACGACGATCGCTTCCGGCCTACCTTTACGCCCGCCTCTACCTCGGTCGCCCCACCGCAATCTGCACGCAAACGTACCACTCGACCCACTACTGCACACCCTCGGCCGCGTGTTGCACCGAATACATCCAGTTACCTCCACCCGTCGGCGGCTCACCAGACCGCAACACAGAACACCGAGAGCGCCGCTCCAGCGCCGCCTGCACCTGTGGGTAAGCAAGATGTCGACTCAAAACGTCCCGAGCGTTGGCGTTCCGCCGCGCAACTTCCCACACGGACCGAAGACGGGTGGTGTCTCAACCAACGCAACGGGATTCCCATGTTCGTCTTCCAAATCCCGGGGTACCGTCATCCTCCGCCGCCAGACAGCGGAAATAATGGCGGCGGCAGGATGTACACGCCGACTGGCGCAGAGCCTGAATCATCTACGCTGAAGGGCGAAAACCAGGCTGGAAGCTGGAACATGAATATGAATATCCTCCAGCAGCGGAAGAGGTGGATGAAGACGATCGCACTCACGAGCATCCTCCCAGCTCAACTGCCCCAGGAGCCACATCGTCTTCTTCCGATTTCGGTGCTCGGCCTGTATCTTCTGCTGCTCATTCCGGCGCAGCCCACGCGAGACAAACATTTTCTCAAACAATTTCTCCGTTTTCTGCTGGTGTCTGCACAGACGCTCACATCCCCTACAGTGACTCGCCGTCGGCACGCGATCCCGGCCCTGGCCCGGCGCCTTCCTCTTCAACTTTCGCCCCACCATCTGCGGTTCTACAAGAGCCCTCCGAACTGTTGCCAATCTCCCTGATAGAACAAATATCCCGCGAGTCCCCAGCCCCGCCCGCTCAACTCGCAACGCTCCAATCGGATTCTGGGACAGGCTCGGCGGAGAATTTCGCTCACGCTGGCGTTTGGGACAGCATTGAAATCCTATACAGACAGCTTGTGGACGGTTCAGGGGATGTGCCAAATAGCCACGAGTCTCCGGGTCGTCGCCAGGACACGTACGACGAGCCCTCACAGGAAGATACGACGCTCACCGTCGATCACTCTGAGGTTCTCGATTGGTTCGAAGAGAGGTTCCTTGACATCCCGTCAGTCGGCGGTGTCGTGGCCGGTCCTAGCACTGCTGCAGAGACGGGGCGCCCTGTCGCCTCTGGCGCAGAGAGCTCAGCCAATGCGACCAACCACGGCGGAAGAGTGGAGACGCAGCGCGCTACTGAGAAACGCGGCAAACCGTACGATGATCCCAAGCGAAAGCGCAAGCGCAAGCAGGATGACTCGAGCTGACCGCGTACTATGGCCTCAGATGTCTTCGACATAGGTATGTTATGTGTCTAGCCTCAGAGTCGACCGCGCATTCGCCTCGCATGTAGAAATGTGCTTCGTCCTGTATCAATACCTGCTCATGTATTTCTTGCTGCATGTAGTCTTCGAGCGAATATTGTAACGTATGCACACCTGGGGGCTTCTGACCGTATATATGTACTCCGGCGACGATGTCCATGGGTGAAAAACATGCGCGCGGGCGCTTGCCAAACGGCGTTTCGGCGGTCGCTCGACGCCCGCGTTGACTAGTTCTGCCTGCCTTCACCTTCAATCTGGACTACGATTTCCCATTCACCCCATGTCCTCGCCATGCATGTGGACGACACAACAAACCCCCGGAGCGACAGTCAAGACCTATGGCTTTTGGGTGCACTGACGCGACTTGGACGCTGGAGCTGCGAGTGAACGAATTAGAGCTTGGATGTCCTCCAATGCGTTGCGCAAGTGAGCGGGATGACACTTCCGCCATCAGCCCATAGTCTCACCTTTCACCCGCTAGACCCCCCCAGAAGCACGCGGCATTGGGCGTAAGCCTCGCACCTCTAAGAACGTGCTATTGTGTAGCAGAAGACTTCTTCGGGAATTGGTCCGTTGCCTCGACAATATGCTCCCCTCCTGCTCTTCAACAACGATGGCGGACGGCTTTTTTGCCCACCTGGCTGCAGCTTGAACGGCGGAGGTGAGAAAGGCTTATTGTTATCTTGCGTGCGCTTCAACGTCCCGGTCATTGTTTTAGTGACCCCCTAGACAACGTCGCTTCCCTTCCCATAACAACGTCCCCATCCGCCTCGGCCGCGTCCACAACGGACTGCTGGGCGCAAAGTGCCTATCAAAACCATGGTGACGCTTGTCCTCTGCACGATTCTGCACCCCACGATCCCCTTTCGGTCCTCAAGCACTTCATGGCCTCATCCATGAGAGGAGACACCAGCAAGCTTTCCAAGGCCCTTGAAAACTCCGGGCATCCCGGCACCCCTTCTGCCACGCATCGCTCACGGCCGCGTCCCGATGCCGCCACGGCCACCGCTCCCACCACGGCAACTCGCAAAAAGCGCCAGCGCTCACCCGATCCTGACGAGGCGTTGGTACACCGATCTAATGGACAACGCACGGCCCCTGCTCCTCGGTCCGTCGCCGTTAGACGACCAGGAGTTCATATAACGCGTCCAACACAGCAAATACCAGTATGTGTTCGTCGTCCTGTGAGATGGATTGGTCACTCAACGTGGACTCTACTTGAAGGATCCCTCGCATCAGCCTACGCTCGAGTCACCCTATAACGCCTACTCCGATCTGAGCTCACATCCCCATTCTTCATCCATTCCACCTATCCTTCTTGAGATCCCTCGAACTTCGGGACATGTTCCGGGGAGCCACGCTGGGTACAGTCCTTACGCAAGCCCCGCCCAAAGACTGCAGAGCAGGTTATTGGAAGACCCCAACACGTCGAACATTTCAGCAGGTCGATATAGTGATGTTGTCTCACATCATCCTCAGGTGCGCCCTCTTTTGCGATACCCACCAGTGTTGGCGATCTCATCGCTTCCATGTGCGGTTCACAGGTTCAAAGGCATTCCCGTGCATTATCAGCGCCGGATATTCTTCATCCTCTCAACTGGTCGGCCCCTGTCTCACCGGGTCCTTCGTCCGGTGGAAGTTCTTATGGACCCCCTACGCCGGACGCGCAGTGGCACACTTCAATAACGGTGCTCGGTTCTCCCGCCGCGCCTCCCTTCAATCATCGGCTTTATGACGATCCGACTTACACCGAACCATCCCACCATCCACGAATGTCCAACGAGGTTCACTCTCCATCTGAACGATTCGTCAACTTTGAGGTTGGCCTAAGCTCCTCTAGATGTTTGATATCGGAGCCGGATTCGAGAGTCTATCCGGAGACTCCTCAAAGCCTGAGACCAAATATCGGCGTTCGTTCATTGCTTCCATCCTCGCATCTTTCAGTACCCCCTGCCTATGTGCCGATCCATCATTCGCATCGCCGGGCTCTCTCCCATCCAGGTTCCATTTCTCTATCTGGGTCCTTTAATGCCATTGCGCCGCTGGACGGCTCCTTGTACACCCCTTCTCAGGCCAGTGTTCCGTATCCCCCACAACCACCACCCCATCATGTCGATAATCACTCCCAGTCCACCACATCCCATCTCTCTCATCGACCAACAATGCAGGGTGTCACCCACATCCACCCGCCCAGGTTGTCTCAGCAGTCACCCCTTTTGTCACATACTCCAAGCAACATGTCATCACTAGCGGTCCCCGACGAGACTTCTCCTCAGGGCGCCGATGGCCCGCCTGCACACGCGAGAACACTGCCCACCAATGCGGGGCATCCGGCACCTCCCTCCATAATCCCCCTGAGTCCGAGCGAGCCTTCCCCCTTCCACACGCTGCAGCTTCTCAATTACGAGAATGGGTCGGCGCCGCCGCCAGTGAGGAAGACAAGCGGACAGTTTGTAGTCTGGTCACACTCAGAAGCTCAGAAAGACAAACGGGGACTGGCCCAGTGTCAGCTGGACCCTTTTGATATCAAGACAGGCCGAAGCGTTCGGAAATTCGAGATTCCGCGCACTCGCAAGCCAGCCAACACAGCGGCGAAGGATTCGGCAGCCAACAACTCGACCCAGGGCGAGACAACCAACGAGTCGAGCACGAACGCACAGTCGGCTTCCACTTCCACTTCTCGGCCGGCGGTCTCTACTTTGAACGTGGGGCGCGCGCCAGCCCCCTCTTCCGTCGGTGGTCATCCCTCTCATCCGCGAACATCTCTGCCACCCTCTGTGGCTCTTGCTACTGTGTACCCCATCGACACCGCCGGACTCTCGGCATATCTACCCACATGGGATCCCAGCCTCGCGCCGGAGTTTCACTCTCGAGCCCCCGCTCAGCCGGTGGCGTCTTCATCGGCCTTTCCGCGGGTGCTTGACGCGCTCTCTTCGCTTCAAAGAGACCTCGCTGGAGCCCCCCTCGCCTCGTTCCCTACGCTCTCCGCGTTGTCCGATGAACACTCGGAGAGCTACCTAGTCCACGGCGGTGTGTCCAGACAAGAAATCGAGAAGATGACAAGATTCGATGACCTTCGCCTGCTGCGCCCCTCGCAAGAAAACGTCACCGATGTTAATGTCACACACGGTCCTCAAACGATTCCCCCAGTCGTTGAAAACGCGGTTCGCGCTCAGATGCATGGTGCCGTCACGTCCGGCAACGGGACGAAGTCGCTTGCGAACGTGCCCTCTACTTCCGGTGCGGGGGCTACAGACTCCGCGTCCGCCGGTGAAGGACCTTCTACCGACGTTTCCAGCAACGGCGGTAGGGTGCGCGCCCAAAAGTCACAAACGAAGGCACCCAGATCGACACCATACTCGGATCGGAATCGCAAGCGCAGGCAGGACGATCCACGCTGAACTTATGCCACGGCCCCCGGATACACAGGATGATGTGGTATGGGCCTCTTCACCCGTCCCGCTCTTCTTTTACATGGCTTCGGTGCTATGCGCGGTACATAAGGCACACGTCGACATATACAATAATGCCCGCACCAGCGGCAGGCATTTGTGATAACGCACATATAAACTTCTTGTGTTGTATCTCCTCATGTATCTTCAGCTTTCCTGTGACTAGCATCTTTCCGACATAGATCAGTGGCTAGATTTAATACATCGCGCTCGGGGGAGTGACAACCACAAGCATGAGCGACGGGAGGTCCGTCTCTCGAGTCACGAAAGGGTTTGAAATGGAATTTCAGCCATGTTCCGTCATATGTTCCGCCACGTTCGTCGTGCCACGATGTGCTTTCGCGGTCTTGTCTGGAAGAATCTGCAAGTCGAGCGTAAACGTAGCGCCCATGCAAGCGCCCCTCGCGTGGCAGGAGCGAAGCTTCAACGTCAACATCAACTTGTTCTTGAACTCGGACCACGGCATACGCAAGATGCTCCTTGCGGGTCGTCACCATACGCGAGGCCATCAGGACGTAAACCTAGTACTGCATCCAAGAGGTGTGTGCCCTACGAGCGGACGACAGTCCGGACCCCAACGCCACAACTTCGCCGGCACAGGGGGTGACTGCTGCGGTGAGCAGTAGAACTGATACTCTACCAAGCGTACACAGTCTCATCTTACCATCTCCTGGTCTTCTTTGATGACATGCAATATGGTTTCGTCTGTGCTCAAGGCTCAGAGATCCTTTGGCATCGCGTTATTGTCAAACATCAGATAGCACCTGGCCCGAGCACCCTCCCCTCCTCTCCACAGAGATGGCGTACACAACGCAGCTTTTGTTGCGGTCTCCTTGGAGTGGTAACTTTGGCTGAGGATAAGTTGTCCTCCTTGTTGACTCAACGTTCCCAGTCATTGTTTTCATGGCGCCTCCCAGACAACAAGCGCCTCATTCTGGACAACAACGTGTCCATCCGCCCTGACCTCGTCCACACCGAGACGTCAAGGCCAAATTACTCTTCAAAGGGGCTGGGACACTGTAACGACGCCGTCCACTTTCTCCCTACCACCTCATGCCCCAGTCTCAGAAAGAGCGGATCCAAGAGTCCGCGAGAGCGCTCCCGGAACCCGGAACACCTCCCCTCCGCAGTCCAATGCAACGACCGCCCCTACCACGTTCACAGCCCTAATATGCGCCATGGTGCTCCCAAGCGACCACGTAGCTCGAACGAAGATTCTGAGCCCCGTCCCAACAAACGGCGCAAGAGCGCTGCCAACGAGCCCACCGCGCCACAACCAAGGGAGTCACGTCCTGTACAGCAGCAGGTAAGTCCAACCGTCCCTGCAGCTACTTTGAAGCACTTAATCAACGCGGAATGCCAACCTAGATCCTTTCACCACTCGCGCCACCTTCCCTGATGCTTGCTACGGGGGCAGTCCAACATAATCAGTATCCGTCACACATGCGAACTTTCTCTTCGCAAATGTCAAATATCCCAATTCCGTTCTCCCAACCGAACAACGACGTGTTCGACGACCAATTTTTGCGACCGGTTCGTCGATTCTTTAGAGTCACCTTACCGTCAGAGACCTCATCTCCTTCTCCCTGAACTACAGGACTACCGGCCTCGTCAATATGGTTCCACGCCGTCCACAGGCCACGTCTCGACACCTTGGTTGACTCCTGACCGCGCTTCACGGCGAGGGAGCAGTGCGGAAGTTCCTACCCCGGATACAACGTACCCTTCGCCCTCTGGTACGAGCAGTCACAACCCCGCTCCCTTGCACAGTCGCAGTTTCGTCCCGCACAACACTATGGTTCCCCTGCGCCCAACGCTTTGCGGCTGCTTGATCATCCCCTAGAGCCGGATCCACGACATCACCGTGCGGGAGGACTTCCTAATGCTTCAAGACTAGAGTACGAACGAATGAGATGGGAAGAACAAATTCGAGCCGCCCACCAACCTGACCTCTGCCCGTCATGGTGCGTCACCGGCATCCCCGGATTGACCAGACCTCTGACTCCAATGCCCATCCAGCATCCGGGTTTCCCTGAGGGTGCCGAGCACGGGATGGGACACCCACTCATGCATCCGATGGCACCCGTCTTCCGCGGTGACGGATGGTATCAAGCTCTCCCTCAAGACTACCCAGATCCATCTGCCTTTGGACCTCAGCCGCCGTTTATCTCAGCCGCTTATCCTCCCCCCAACGCCGCTCCCCATTCGGTGCCATACCGACAACAGAGACGGATGGAACCACCGACTGGGGCAACGCTCCTGCGACGAGACGTCTATCCGGTTCCGGTTGGTCACCCATACGCGCGCGAATATGCTGTTCGCAGGGAAAGACAGAGGCAGCCTACGCCTGGGCCTTCCACTAGGCCTTCAAACCATTCCCCTCTGCCAATGCCCTCAATCCTCACTTTCCCGGCGGAGCAGTGGACGACACCGAATGCTGAAGACGCTTCTCTGCCGCCCGGTTCCGCGGTGACACCGCACACCGAGGTCGGAAGTCCGGTACAGTCGATCTCCACAAGTTCGCGGCGGCAGACAGCGCAGCGAACCTCCGTCCCTCCGCAAGGTGGCCGTACGCCTGCTTCGCGCGTTTCCGAGTCCTACGATCCGGGCTTTCCGCAGTCGGGTTCGAGAACCGCAGGTCGGTGCGTCGACGCGAGCGAGGCCGAGCCGACCCCAAACCCGTATCCGCCGGGAGGACAGCTGCTCGATTTCGGGCCGCCCGCCAGACATCGAGGTCAAACTCTCCAACCAGCCGCCCAGAGACAGAGACGCAGGCGCAAAACGGCGCAGCGCTCGGTCGACCTGGGATCTGCGCCTCCGAACGAACCCTCCTCGTCTACCCGGGCCGCTCAGCCATGCCCCTCCACCTCACGCACGCATCAGGCGGTGGCCTCGTCCTCCACTGCGGCAGGCTACGGTCAGGACGCCTCAGCAGCATGGCCGACGGAATCACCCCCCGAGCGTGGCGCCGCCGAATTGCCCTCACAGTCCTCCTCCACTGCTCCACCCGCCGCCGCGCCTCTCCAAGCCCAACGCACAGCTCCCTCGTACCTCCTGCCAGAGCCTGAGCCATGGTGGCAACAGGTGTTCCCGTCGCTAGATGTTGTCGACCACGACTGGGTATACTCAACGCTTCTCCACAAGCAGTGCTTCCTGATCGAGACCTGCTTTACGTGCCCCGGCGGCATAGCCGATGGGCCCAACGGAGCGTGGGCTGCGCTCCTTCTAAATCCGCCGCCGCGGCCCCCCGCCGCGCCCCCCGCCCGCTCAAGTGCTCGCGCCGTTTCGGGCCACCCCGGTGCAGCTGCACACGACGCGAGACCCATCGCTGGCCCCAGCACCGCCCCAGACCCCATCGGTTCCGCCTCCGCCGGCGCAGGCAGCGCTGCCTACGACGACGCTACCGCCCACGGCGGCAGAGTGAACAAGGCGCGAACCAAGAAGCCCGGCGGAAAACCGTACGACAAGCGCAAGCAGGACGGTCCGGACGGCTGAGCGCGTGTCGTGCCATGGCCCCCGGCTATACGGGACGTCGTGGCAGGACCTCACTTCCCTCTGCTCGCCTTGCGCTGCATAGGGCTTCAAAAACCGTGCCTCCGCCTGGTGCGTGAGGTATACGGAGACTAGGTATGTCGTCTCTCCCGGGCTCGACGAGTGCGGGCACTCGTCAGAGTTAACGCATGTACCGGACCTCCTGTATGATGTCTGAAGTGTTCCCCCTTGTATCGCTAGCTCCTCATGTATCATTAGTTTGTCCGTGTAATGCATCGCGAACGCTTCCGAAGATCGCTGAGGCCTGATACTCGTGAACCGACTCGACCACGAAGCATACCATTCACAAGGCGAATACCGTTGTTCGCGCAGAATGGGCAGCCTGTCGTGGCAACACCAGCCTCGTCACCACGAAGATCGTCATGCAAGACTTCGGACGGCAACCACGCTGCACCCTTGTCTGCGTCGCCCTAGCTCGACAACAACCACGCCCTCCCCAGGGAGACAACGTACCACCGACGCACAACGCACGGGCGCACGCACGCATCCACAAGTCTTTCTAACTATCATTAACGTTACACAACAAGCCGGCGCGCGCGAGCACAGAGTCGAGGAGCGGAGAGCGGGAGCCGGGAGGGAATACAAAGCGAGCCAAACCGACCGGGGGGGACTAGACGCGGCCGAGGGGACGGGGGCGGGCATTACACGAATGCGCGCGGCCGGGCCTGCCAGCGGGGGCGGGGGCGGGGGCAGCGGAGGGGATTAAATGCCTCCGGCGGCGGGCTCGGCCGCGCGACGAGGCATGGTATACCGTATGGGGACGCTAACGCTAACTAACACTGGCAACGGGTGACGACATGGCCGCGGCGGGGTGGGTGTGAGGGGCGAGGGGGCACCGGGGGAGCACGGCCAGGGTGGCGTGGGTGTGGCAGCGGCGATGGTGGTACTGGGAATAAGAAGACAGCGGAAACGTGTTCGCAGAGGAAGAAACGGGCACGGAAGGAGAGGCATGGAGAGCGCAGCAGCGCCATCGCGGAACGTCAAACCAATAGTGAGACAGGAGGAAGATAGCGACGGACGGATACGACGTGTAGGCGAGGGTGTGGGTGTGAGAAAGCGGGCGCGGACCATCGCGAAACAGAGGAAAACGATAAAACAGGGAGATCGTGAACGTGAACGTCGGGGAGGCGTGAACGAGGGTGGGCGTGACGAAGGCAAGGACGAGGAAGGACTATGTAGATAAATACATACGCACAGAACGAGCACGGCGGGCGCGGACGTTCAGTCGCGCGCGACCCAGTCCGTACTTCGCGAGACGAGCTCGATCGAGCTGTCGATCGTCCAGAACAGCCGCTCAATCGCGCTCCGCCCGCTCCAGCTCTTTTGATCGCGGAGCACTTTGGCCTAGAAGGGAGAGAAAGAGGAAAGGTCAGCCAAAGAGTAGGACCAAGGAACGCACGGAACCCGAAACAGACCTGCTGCGCCCCAAAGTTGCGCTGGTCGAGAGCGAAGTCTCGGCCTGTTCGTCGAGCGCCTCGGCGAGGATCTGCATGTCCTGCATGATGCTCTGGAGTGCGCGCACCGTGCTGAGCGTGAGCACCTCCTTCCGGTTCCGCCCCGAGCCCATCTGCCCGTCGCGCGTCGGCGGCGGCAGGCTCTGCGTCATGTTCTGGAGCACCGTGTGGAGGATCCGACGGGTCTCGGCCATGAGTTTCTGCGCCTGTGGGATGTTCCGCCGGGACACGAGTACGAGCATGCGAGTGATCATGTCCGACGCGAGGAGCTCCATCCGCCGGCGCACAATGACCGGGTCCGAGCCGTTCGGCGCCGGCGTGCGTGGGCGTGAACCGGTGTTGGGGAGGAGCGTGACGGTGAGCAGGACGGGGTGAGCGAGGCGGGAGACGTGCTTGGCAGCGTTGGGGTCGAAGAACGCGCCGTCGACCTCGAACACTGGGACTTCGTCGATCATCCGGTCCATCATGCCATCTGCGAGGTCAGGCAGGTCCCCGATCGAGAGCGCGTCGAGGCCCATGCGCTGGTTGAAGACGTCGGTCGCGTTCATCGCCCGTGGCGCATGCCCGTTGCCCATCGGCGACGTCGCGAGCGGGCTGAGCGCGGCAACGTCCGAGTTGTCGAGCTCGAGCTCGACGAGCATCTCCTTGCGCTCACCGTAGCGCAGCTCGCCGACCTCGACATCCACGTCGCGCCCGTCCGAGGAGAGGATGGCGAGCGGGCCACCCGAGATCTTGCGGATCCGGAACCGGTTTCCGTCGACGATTTTCAGGTGGAGCTTCATGCTCATGAGCCCGATCGACATCATCCCGCCAATGCAGCCTGCGAGGCAGTCCCGGAGATCGTACCAGTCCTTCACGAACGTGTACGTCCCGCTCGTGTGGTTCGAGATCAGCCAGAGCGAGGCTGGATCGTGGGAGCGCCCGTAGCCGAACGAGTGGATTGGCACGTTGGCAGCCTCCGCGCGGGCGAGGACGAGGTCCATTTGCGCTCGCCGAGTGGTCTCCGACGAGTCCGAGACGAGCACGAAACCCGTAACCGGGTTGCGCGACTTGCGTTGGAGTACGATGTCGAGACCTGCGGACAAGAACCCATCAGACAGGCGCCCGTTGCTAGCGACGGAAAAACTTACCGTTGTTGACAGCCGTGACGACGTCCGTCTTCTCTTCTTGCGAGCCGCGGACGAGGAACTCGTCGTCGAACTCATCCCTGCGGCCGATGTCCTCCATGAAGCGCTGGAGACGCTGCCGGCTCTGTGGCTTGCCAATGTTGAGGAACGGTGTGCGGCGCACGCGCCCGCCGACGCCAACCTCGAACGTCACGAGCGAGAGCCTGTCCTTGGGGCTCAGGGACGCGAGTATGAAGTCGAGGGAGGTCTTGATGACGCGGATCTTTAGCGCCGCCGTGCTCGGCGTTGAATATGGCCCGGGGACGGAGATAACGAGCACGAGGTCCGTCGGGGCGTGGGGGAGCGGCTGAAGCGAATTTGACGGGCCCGCGGACATGTGAGGCGCAACGAGCGATTGTGGGGTCCTGTACCGGCTCAGCTCGTCGTCCTCCTCGAGCGTGGACAGTTTCTGGTGAAGGCCCGCACGAGGACCGGCGGAACCGTACGACGTGTTAGACGACGTTGTCGATCGTGCTGAGCCAGCTAGCAGGCTATCGGCTGTACTGACCGTGGTGCCCGTGGTGCTGCCGCTGAGCATGCGCATCGCCTTCTGGTTGCCGCCGAACTCCTCACTGAGCATCCGAGCCGCCTTCGCGCTGCCGCCGAACTCCTCCAAGTCTGGCGAGCGTGCGTACTCGGGCTGCTGCTGCTGCACCGGCGCGTGTTGTTGCTGGTAGATCGCCACCAGAGCCTGGATGTGCGCCTTCCATGTCTCCAGCGACGACCGATCTTTGAAGATAAGGATGAACGAGTCCAGTCGCTCGTCTTCCATGTCGATCGTGAGGCTGAGTTCGCCTGTCACTGAGGTGTCCGTGACCTGTCGGATGTGACGGATGTAGATGCGCCCTTTCAACCGGAGGACACCACGTTGAGAGCTGCCGCCGTTGATGGACCCAGAGCCGGTGCCGTCGCCGAACGCGGACGCCGCGCTCGCCGACGACAGGAGGCGACCCAGCGAGCGCTTCTTCTCCTCGACGACACAGATGATCGCCTCCTTGAAGAGGTAGACGAAAAACTCGCGAACGAGCGCGTCTCGCCGGACAGAGAGCAGATCGTACATCTGCAGCGGCCCGAGCCCGGACAGCGGATGTCCCTTCCAGTCGATAATCCGGTTCCGCAGGTCCTCCGTGATCGCGCTGAACGGCGAGTCCTCGTCTTGAAGGATGATCTCGCGCTCCATGGACGATAAGAGCGGGTCGCGCGAGGTCGAGGGTGACATCTGATGTGACCGACCGGACTGCGACTGTTGATCCATAGGGATAGAGTTGGCGTGCGGTGACGTCGGGAAGTCGCCCGGTTGTGGCCCCGAATGCACTGAGTGATTGCTGCCGTCGCGGTATGCACCGCCGTTCTTCTGGGGCGGCGCGAACGTGTCTTGCTGGTGCATTACTGAGCCCGGGACGTGAGTGTTCGCACGCTTTCCTGGGAGCTCGACCACGACGAGGCACGTCAACGGTTGGTTCGCCTCCGGTGTTCGTGTGATCGTGGGGAACTCGGACTGCACATGAATAGAGGGCGCGACGACGTAGTGAGACTGGTCGTGCTGAGCCATCGATGCCTTGTGGTCGATCTGATCATCTTCCGTTGGATCGAAGGGCTTCTGTGGGGTGGCGCCGCGGTTGTAGGACCGGGCCGATTGGGGGGTGTCGCGACCGGGATAGACAGAAGGCTGGTTGGAGCTGCCCATGCCCGTGAGGGCGGCCAGCTCTGCAAAAGGTGAGAAGAGCCCCTCAAGCGACAGATTGCAAGTGACGCACTGTTGGATTTCCCTCCGTCCCCATCACCGACCTTCATTGGCCTTCTGCATACACCGCACACTCCAAGGTTGGACTTGCGGATCACACCCCCGCCGCGCTGGGGTCCGGGTGGAGGGCCATAGACCGCGGTAAAGCACGCCTGCGAGAGATCACGTTAGCGGGTGAGAACAGGTCATACGACATTGCCCGATAAGATTCAAGCTCGAAAGGGGCGCGGTCGCCACGGGTGCGTGAAAGGTGGGCAACAACGGGCGCAGCGGCAGAGAAACCGGCTTACGCCGAGGGATCAAGCGACGAGAACGATCCATAATGCGCAGGCTGAACGAGAGCCGTGAAAATAGACTAGCGCGTCGCGCGACCGCGGTTACCGGATAAGGAAGGTGAAGCGATGTTGGAGCAGCCTCGAGCGCGTGCGATGGGAATTCCGTTGGGCGTTGGGATGTGGGAGAGACGTCCTCAGCTCCGCAATGTTCGTGTTCGCCTAGCCGCAGTCGTGAAGCGGGCGCGAGAGCTGAAACACTCTCGCGACCACCACACGACGCAGACACGGGCATCAAAGCCGCATATACGGATGGTGGTAGCGCATAGAACGACGCCATCCGTGAGGATCAACCTCGGACAAGACGCAGCCATCCGCGAAATAGGAGAGGTCGCAGGCCCCAGATGTATACGTGGATGCTCGAGGCACATAGATGAAGTTCGAAGTCGCATGCGTGCGGCCCCGAAGCGCGCATATATGCAGACCCTGGCCGCATATAAGCCGTGAAAAATGTTGGAGGTAGCCGGCAACAACGCGGGGTTCCTCGTGATGCCTGGGGAATCACGGAAACTGTGCGACGCGGGGCCTTGAGACGCGATGGGGGTATATGCGCGTCGACATGGTGTGATGCGGAATAGAAGACAAGGGAGGGGCCCCCAACGCGCTTAGAGGGGCTGTAGAGAGCGTCCTCGGCCGCTCTGGGTCCAAGGAGCTGCGGGCGATACGGTCGCAACCCCAGGAGCGCGCGCGTGGGAAGGGTTGAGGGAGGACGCATTCGCGCACCGAGGATGAGGGCGGGGAGATCGCGGGGAGCCCGAGCGGGGAAGAAGGTGCAAAGGGGTGGAAGGCGGGGCGGAAGAGACTCACCTCGTGCAGAGCGTGTCCACATTCTGGGACGATGTGGGGCTTCTCTCCGGGTAGCCTGAAAGACGAGCTGAGGGGTTCGAGGCAGACGGGGCACTCGTCCTCCTCGTCGGGACTGGAGTGGCTGGAGACGACGGGGAGCGGGGCGGCGACCATGGAGGCGTAGGGGTGGAGAGACGCAGTGTCTGGGGTAGAGGTGTAGGAGGGGGGCTTGGCAGAAGAGTTGGCGGAGTAGGCGGAGTGGAGGGAGGCGGTGGAGGCGGCGCGACCGGGGGAGCGTTGGAAGACGGAGCGGACGGAGGCGGCGAAGGAGCCGGCCTTGTTGGTGGGGAGGGGAGACCTCGGGGAGAGGAGGGGGGGAGGGGGAGGGAGGTGATGGGGGTCTGGATGATGAAGCGGGGAGTGATGTCGGGCTGGGGTGGTATTCGAGGACTTCGTATTCCAGCCTGTCGAGAATTCCGACCTCATGCGAGCCGCGCGCACGGGGCGGCGGAAGGAGGACGAGAAAGGCGGACGAACAGGAGCGAGGGGCGATCCTGGTCGAGTTTGAGGGGCGCGGGACGAGTCGCGCGTCAGACGGCGCCCGCCAGCTGTAAATTATGGCCCTCGCCGATCGAGATCTGCCTTGTATCTCGCCATGTCTCCATCCTGCCCCCGCCCCGCCCTCCCGACTGCCCGCCCTTCTCTCGAGAAACGGGCCTCTCGAGCGAGCACAGAGCCAGCCAGGTGCAGAACATCCCCCACTCCCGGCCGCCTCCCCGGGAAATCGGCCTCCCCGGCCGGCCGGCCGCCGAAGGGTCCCGTGCGCACGTCTTCGTGAATTCCTGCTTCGCGCCGAACATCTTCCCTCGCCGCCGGCTGTACGACACCAACCGCAACATGCCGCCGCCGTGTCCGTGCAAAAAGCGACCGCATCTTGCGCGCGCAGCAGAGCCCATCGCGCTCGCCGCTGCTTCGATTCCGAGTCGGTCGATCGAGTGCCAAACGAACTGCCGCCCCCTCGCTGGCCGATCATCCTACACTCTCCAAATCCGATCTTTCCGCCCATGTCCTTCCAAGTCACGCCCACGCCTGACGTTTGTCTTGGTGGCGCGTGCAACGTTGACTGTCTGGACCGACCGACGCTCTACCTCTCACGCCTACGATCCAACTGAGTCCCCGACGCAACAGTTCCTACCGAGAATACACTCAGGGCGAGCACATGCGTCATATGTATCAGGAAGGCCACCTGCTGGGTCTCTGCCATCACGGACTCGCTAAGGCCCCATGGCCATTTTCTCTAGAAATCCTAAATCTCTGGCAGTCTGATCCCGAGCTCTCCCGACTCCAATCCAGCTCGCGACGGTCCAGCGGCACTCCCCGGCCGGCCCCCAAGCCTCCCCAGAGTCTCCCAGAGTCCAGAGGAGTCCAGCGACTCCTCCAGGCTCCCGCTTCGGCGGAGGGTGTGATCTGCCTATGCGTGTCAGATCAGACCTGACAATCTGACTGATCGCTCTCTCAGGCACGTCCTTCCCCATCTTATCATATGCTTTCTCCACCGACACAGGCTCGCGAGCAGCCCTGCCAGGAACCTCGCTCGTTCCCAGCATCACGCCCGCCGACGCAGCATGCACTCCGTCGGTATCAACGTGCGCGTCCAAACCGTGCTTCCCTGGTGCCACGCGTCCGCCCACGAAGACCGCGTAGCGCTCCAGAGCGGTCCGCCATCTGTGTACGAGTGATGCGTACATTGTCGCCGTCCCGGCAGTCGTCCCGGCTCATATCTTCCTCCGAGCTCCGCTGCCAGTCTTCGTGGCGCAAGTCAAAGCTACTCCCGCTACGCCGCCGTCAATGTCAATGTCGGTCTCACTTGGGCTCAAGGTCCATCTCAACCGCTGCGAGCGGTGCCGGGAGATCTGTCCAGGTATGTCCCGGCTTGAATGCGTCTCCCGCGAAGTGGCAACCTGTTTCCTTCCTGCGCATTACTTACTTGTGCGCGTGTGTTACGTTAGCGACCCAAGGTTTCATTCCGCAATCTAGCCTACCAGTACGGAGGTGCGTGAGAGCGTGCCTGGGGCACAAACGCGTCTCCGTCCGCCATACGGAGCACCTGCGACACACGTGAGTAACAGTGTATGTCAACCTAAATCCTGACGAACACCTGCTCTCCGACAAGTCATGCGATCGATCGCCTCCGCCATCCTGCGTCGCCCTGTTGCTCTGTTGTCAAGGTTTTTCTTGCTCGTGTACCCGAGCACCCCGCAAAGTGAAAAGCAACGTCCAAGAGCAGGATCGCGACCCAAGGCACCATCCGCGCGCTAGCCCGGGTACCTCCGCCTTGGCTCTTCCTCGCCGACCTTCCAGTCTTCTGGCACGAACCAGGAACTCCCGGCCCAGCAGCGCATTCGCCCCGGCGATCCAATCCTGCGCCACAGAACACACGGTTCGCGAAGGCCGACTTTGCACGCGAACCTCGAGCTCGAAGGCTCGCCTGCGAGTTAGCCACGCCGAACCTCCATCGATCGCCACCCTCGGGCCCGCTTGTCGCACGCCCCGCGTGCAGTCCCCCTGGCCCATCCGTCGCCACGGACTTCTGTGCAGAACGACTCGAAGCCCGTCGCGGGGCCGGCTGCGCGTGTTCGCCCTCGGGATGTCTCGCGTGCCATCCACGCTCGCCCCGGGGCGCGCGAAGCTTTCACAAGCGTCGGGTACACACATAAGTGTATGGCTTTCTTATCCCCGGTCCCGAGTGCATCCGAGCTCACCGACGCCCCGCGCAGACGTACATACTTGCACCGAATTGGCGTCCAAGGAGCCCGGGCGCCGCCGGGTCGATGCCGGGCCGCCATAGCCGCCCACGATGCCGCCGGTGCCGCCGGCATTCACTGGCTTCCCTTCCAAGTCCTCACACCCGCAGCACCCATGCGCCTCACGCCGGTCAAGAGTCGATTCCATTTTAATTTAATGCGCTGCGACACCCGCTCGCGACAGGTGAAACGTCCTTAGGGCCGACGCTCTTCGCCGCGCATCCATTCCAGTTCGCGCACCACCCCACTCCAACGAGCGGTATACGTCCGTCAAACCTCGCATCGGTGGCAGGAGGCATGTCTGAGGGATTATCACCGCCGATATTAATGTAGTACTGGTTCCGGCCATGTCGCCTCTTGAGTCTGGACCCTCCTTGCCACTCACCTAACATACACCGCGGACACAGACAGCGCCACGCCACCGTGCCTTTTGCAACGACTGGCGCGCTGCCATCCCGCTCACTGCTTCCCTCCGCCAAACCCCGTTGGCTCCCGGAAGCCGCGGTGTGTTCTTCGGGGAGCGCCATGCATCGTGGTGTCCGGAGTCCCCAGTGAAGACGGCCCTCCGATCGTGTGGTCTGTCTGTACACACGATTCGAACGAGGACACTCTGCTTCCATTGGGGAGACATACTCACCGGAGTGGCATGCGTGCATGTGCCTGTGCTCCGGGGCGGACGTTTGAACATCCAGATCCGTATTCCGAGATGTCTGCGAGATACGCTACTAGGTCCGTCACATGTAGTGCCATTTGATTAAAATCAAGTACACACCGTCGAGACGGTGTAAAAGCTGTATCATACAAGCTGGTGCTGCGCATTCAGTGCGCCACGAACATGAGTCCTCGAGCCTCGAGGCTGCCCTCTGAGCGCTTGCGCGCTGGGGCGACGTATAGATCTAGATTGCACGAGATCACATGACGTTATGAGATGAGTCAGAGTTCTCCTCACCCTACCCTAGTACGAGTTGTGAGTTCAATTCACACCATCTACCCAACCTTCGCTCTCACGATCTTTTCTACTTGTACTTTATGGAGAAGTAAAGGGACAAGATGCCGTCTAGGTATCTGCTCGTTAGAGCTTCCGGGATTTTGCCGGCAGTATGCCACCCCCGCAGGGGCCGTCAGAGTGCGCATGTACGGATCCGGTACGTGACTCACATATCTATGGATAATTATGTCCTTCTTTTGCCCCTTTTGGTCTGTCTCGTCCCCGTCATCGCCGAGACGAGGTGCAGAAATTCCCAGCGTCCACTTTGAGGCAAGATGCATAGCAAACTTCTTGCATCGCCGTCGCTTCACACGTCGAAGCTCTAGTCTCTTTCGCTCACTTATAAACATGCGACATTTCCGTCATTCTCCTCTACTTTCGCCACGACGAGTCGTCCACTCCTACCACCTCAGTTCAACATGTATGGCAGGTTCCCCACTCGCCCAGCCCACGGTCATTCAGAGACCCGGATTTTGCACATTCGTGAGGGAAAATGGCGTGAGCCTCGCATATTATTCAGTCGAAACGAATTAATACCAGCCTTAGGAAACGATGGAATATCACTTCGGCGAAGACTGGGGCATAGCCAAGCAAGAGGCTATTGGGCCATCGACAGCCTCTCTGAAAGAGGCGACGGGCCAATTTCCAGTGCCTAATTCAACTCATATTACGACCCCGCCGCCGACTGCGCCGTAAACCACATGTCCCGCCGCCACCCAGACAAAGATTCCCTATCTCACCCCCGCAACCTCCGGAGGAGGCGGTCGGCGTAGAGCGTGGCGACTCGAAGATGCGTCACCCGCCTCCGACGGTCGCGCGTATGGCCTCCCCCCGTGTCCTGCATCGTCATTTCGAACTCATACGCGACACGACAACTTTGCTTACTCTTACGACCTCTTCTGGGCTGCCTTCTCGTCACCCGATTTCGCGGAAGGTCCCTCCACACTACCGCCTGACGCACTGTACAGCTGCCTTCCAGTGCCACGAACAGACTGCCTCCCCGTCCCCTCAATCCCAGCTTTGGACGGGGCCTGATTGCAACTCCTCGGGTCAACAGGGCGCGTCGGCCAGATTCCATACGACTATGGTCATGTATCAGCGGCGAGGAGCCTGGGTGATTACGAGCGTTGGTGGGAGAGCAGCCATGGCACTACGATGATGATCGAGACTCTATCCGCGCGCGCTTCAATGGGACCTAGATATCCCTCTTCTGGGGCTCAGGACGATGTTCTCGACACATGACATTGGGAGTCGTCCCGAAGGACTATCGAATGGACGACTCCCGGAAGACGCTCCAAGTATGTCGCGACGACCAGCAATCCATGTGCTGTGATCCACAGGACACAATGCTTGTTCCTGATGGAGGCAGTAAGTCGTTTCTTCCTAACGGCTTATGAAGTACAATGGTCATGTATACGTTGAGGATTTCATGTCATGTTGTCTTGAACGTGCCGGGCTGTTGATCATGCAGAAATGTTGTGGGAAGTGCGCCCATAGCAGTGCTAAGCGCCTGTTACATCGACGATCCGAGTTTGCTCCGCGCCACCATCATCACTCGCGCTCTGCACTTTCCTACAGGGTCGTACTGGCGACCTGAGAAATACCGAGTCAAGTCCTGCCGGCCGCTTTGGCTCCATCGTCTCCTGAATTTCTGTAGCCAACTTACCGAAGCGCTCCCATCATGGGTCATCTCACCACAGTCGCGACGTCAGTCCCAGGCGCCTCACGCTTGTACCCCCACTGACCGATCCTTTCACAGATGGTGAGCAACCTCCTGGTGTGCTCGGTCGAGGCTAAGTCCGAGACGCAGTTCACTCAACCAGTGGGCTTTGGATTTCGAAGTATGCTTCTGGTCTTTGGCGCGTTGATTCGATGTGCTTAGAGGCGGCCAGGGCAACCTCCGGCGCATCTTGGAGAGTATCCGAATCGCGAAGGAACGAGGAGCGACCTTACGAGTCGGCCCAGAACTTGAGATCACGTATGTGTACAGCTTTTTATCCTTTATTTCCTAATATCGTGCAGTGGATATGGATGCATGGACCATTTCCTCGAAGGTAAGTTTGGACTGCATTTTCAGGGCCCGGAAGTACGCCGCTGACAACGATCTGTCTCCAGGAGATACAACCCTTCACTCTTGGGAAGTCCTCGCAGCAATCCTGAAATCCGAAGAGGCCCAGGATATCGTGTGTGACATTGGCATGTAAGTTCTCTCTCCCGTATCTGCATCTATGGCGCTGAACACCGGTATTCCCACAGGCCAGTGGTGCACAAGAACGTCATTTACAACTGCCGAATTATCATCCATAACTCGAAGATCCTGCTGATCCGCCCAAAGATGTGGATGGCGAACGATGGGAACTATCGCGAGCTTAGATGGTTCACCCCCTGGACGAAGCACAGGCAGGTTGAAGACCACTATCTTCCACGGATGATACACGGTATCACGGGCAGGTGAGCACCATAGACAAGTCTCATGAAACAGCACTGACAGCACTCTCTTACAGACTAAGGTGGCTTTCGGCGACGCCGTCGTGAGCACCGTCGACACCTGTATCGGTGTGGAGCTCTGTGAAGAGCTATTCACTCCCGCGAGGTGCGCATCGTCTTTGCTATACGATTCGCCAAGCTCAATATTCGCAGTCCCCATATCTTGATGGGCCTCGATGGCGTCGAGATCTTCACCAACTCCAGCGGCAGCCACCACGAGCTCCGCAAGCTCTACCGTCGCGTCGAGCTCATGAAAGAAGCAACCATGAAGGCAGCCCCTCTCCTTCTCCCCTCATCCCCTAACGGACTAAACCAGACTTCCTTACAGCTCGGCGGCATTTACCTCTATGCGAACCAACAGGGCTGCGACGGCGACCGGCTCTACTACGACGGCTGCGCGATGATCGTCGTCAACGGCCGCGTCGTCGCCCAGGGTTCCCAGTTCTCGCTCACCGACGTCGAGGTTGTGACCGCGACGGTCGACCTCGAGGACGTCCGCGCGCACCGCGCCACGAGCAGCCGGAGCAACCAGGCCGCCGCCGCGGAGCGCTACCACCGGGTCGAGGTCGACTTTGCGCTCTCGGGCGCACGGGAGGAGGGGGATGACGTCCGCGCGTTCGCCGAACTCGTCCCGAGCGCGGCGCCGGAGGTGCGGTACCACCGCCCGGAGGAGGAGATCGCGTGAGTGTGCGCGGGTGCAGGGGCGTCGGTGGACTGTGCTGATGGACGGCGGGCAGTCTTGGGCCGGCGTGCTGGCTGTGGGATTATCTCCGGCGGTCACGCACGCAGGGGTACTTTGTTCCGCTCAGCGGGGGGATCGACAGCTGCGCGACGTCGGTCATCGTGTACTCCATGGCGCGCTTGGTCGCGCAAGCTGCGTGCACTGGAGGTGCGTCTTATGATCTGCATTTCTCGCTTCACTGACGCTTTCTCAGACCAGCAAGTGATCTCGGATGCTCGCCGGATTGCTGGGGAGCCAGAGGATTCGGCGTACATCCCTGCAGACCCTCGCGAGTTCACGAACCGCATCTTCCACACGTGCTACATGGGCACCGAGAACTCTAGCCCCGAAACTCGCAAGCGCGCCAAAGACCTCGCAGAGGCCATCGGCAGGCACGTCCCGTCTAGCCCTGGCGTCCAGGCTCCAGATATCTGACCACATGCGCCGTTCCCGTCCGTAGCTACCACATCGACCTCAACATGGACACGCTCGTGACCGCGATCCGCGAGCTCTTCGCCTTCGTCACCGGGGTGAAGCCCCGCTTCCGCGTGCACGGCGGGACCGCGGCGGAGAACCTCGCGCTGCAGAACATCCAAGCGCGCCTGCGCATGGTCGTCGCGTACCTCTTCGCACAGCTCATGCCGTGGGTCCGCGGCCGGCAGGGCGGGCTGCTCGTCCTCGGGAGCGCCAACGTTGACGAGAGGTGCGTGCGTTCGTACACTCGCGCAGGGGGCAGTGGGGCGCTGACTGTGCCCGCAGCTTGCGCGGGTACTTCACCAAGTACGACTGCTCGTCGGGTGAGTGCGGCTGCTTTCGTGCGTCCGGTGCTCGACTGACCTGATGTGCAGCGGACGTGAACCCGATCGGCGCGATCAGTAAGACGGACCTCAAGAAGTTCATTGCGTACGCGCGGGACGCTTTCGAGCTGCCCGTTCTGAACGAGTGCGTTCGCTTGACGATTCCTTCTGCGTTTGTTGCCTAACTCCCTACATCTGCAGTTTCCTCGAGGCGGTCCCGACCGCCGAGCTCGAGCCTATCACCGAGACCTACGTGCAAGCCGACGAGGTGCCCCTCCCTCATCCTCGAGTCTCATCGCACTTAATCTCACCAGGTTTGCAGGCTGACATGGGCATGACTTACGACGAGCTCTCCGTCTTCGGCCGCCTGCGCAAAGTCGAGAAGGCCGGCCCGTGGAGCATGTTCACGAAGCTCATGCACGAGTGGGGTTCCTTCCTCTCCCCGCAGCAGGTACGTCTCGCCTCGTCGCCTCTTCCTGGTCCCCGCTGACGCTGAAACGACTCCACACACAGGTCGCGGAAAAGGTCAAGCTGTTTTTCTTCGAGTATGCGCGCAACCGGCACAAGATGACGACCCTTACGCCGTCCTACCACGCGGAGCAATACAGCCCAGACGACAACAGTGCGCTCCCTCTTCTAGTGGCGTTTTGGTTAGATGTGCTGATGCGGTCGTTCTGGGGACAGGGTTCGACCTCCGTCCGTTCTTGTACCCGTCCCGCTTCCCGTGGCAATTCAAGAAGATCGACGAGGCTGCGGCGCGTTGGCCAGATCGGTCGACGGTGTCTATCAAGCAAGCACAGGAGGCGCATGTTGTGCACTGATGTCTCTCGGGTGGCAGCAGGAAATATGACAGAAATGAGATAGAAATACAAGTGGGGTGTAGGTTACAGACTAACAGACAGACTACTTGACGAGAATCCTCCAATAGAACACAGTAAAACGCACGGATGGATGTACGACAAGGATGCAAGATAAATAGGGCGTACGTGGTCTATGTGCGAACGAGGAACCTGGAGAGGGCGCCCTGGATGACAATCTTCTTCATGATCGTCGGTTCTGGTGCTGCGTAGACATGAGTCTGGGTAAATGTAGGGCATTGGACACAGGACTCACGATCTTCGAGGTTCTCCTCCTTGACCTTCCTCTTCACGCTATCCATGACATCGCTCACAGCGGAGCGATCCAGGTCGTTCCTCGCCTTCATAAGCGCCTCCACGAACTGAATCGACGGCCCGTGCACCTTAGCGAATGACCAATAGGACAGGAAGACGAGACTCTTGGACGCTTCGAGCATCGCGAGCACTTGGTCGAGCACCTCCATCTGCGGCTCGAGCTCCTTCATCTTCTTGTAGGTGCCAAAGAACTTGTACGCGTCATCGATGTCCTGCCGCATCCGATCCGTCGCCGCCGGCATGTTCAACTTCGGGCCGTTAGCGAGCGAAGTGAGATAGGTGACGAGGTACGTGTCGAGGAGGTCCTCCACGAGCACTTCAAACAGGGACTCGTTCAAGTACGTCTGGTAGTCGGCCATGTAGTCTCGCATCGTCTCGATGATCTGCGCATGCGTGCCTTCATACCAGGCCGGAGTGAAGAGTGTCTTGACCGCCGGCTTGAGGTCATTGAAGATGATGTTGATCAGCGTCTGTGTGTATTTCTTCGCGACGTCCAGGTACCCGTCGAGCGCGTCGTTCAGCTTATCGTGGATTGTTGCCCGGTACTTGTCGGATACGAGAGGCTCGAGCCGCGCGGAGAGCGTTTCGGTGAAGTCCGCGGACTTGATTTGGTCGTTCGCCAGCGCGATGCAGTACTCGACGAGCCCACCGGGGACCTCCTCCGGCTTGTCCGCGTGCTTCTTGTACTCTGTGTCCACAAGCTTCACCCAGCGGTCCTGAACCGTGCGCATCACCCGGTTCACCTCCTCCACTGCCCGAGCGAGCACAAGACCTTGATTCGAGTCGAGCGCCAAGTCGATCTGTTGGTTGACCATGTCGAGGAAGATGACGGTGCCCGCGGTGGTGTAGAGCCCGTCGGGACTCAGCTCCGGTGGCTCCTCACGGGCGGTGAACGCGGCGACTTCGTCGCGCATGAGGTTCCCGGACCATTCGTCCAGCTTCCTGACAATGAGTTGAAGGTAGTCTTCGATGAGGGTCTGCTCCTTTCCTTCGAGGAGTGGGGGTTCAAGCCATTCAGAGGGTATGTTCAGCTCGCGCATGCTCTTCTTGTACTCCTTGACCCAAGCGTGCAGGGTGAGTAGGGCGCTGGCCTCCGGCTCCGACTTGACGAGTCGTGTGAGGGAGTTGTTGAGAGCTTTGTGATACTGCTTCACGAAGGTCGTCCAGACTTCGTACGAAGGGGGAAAACAGGGCACGACGTCGCTCTCGATGCGGATGAGGTCTTTGTAGATGAAGACGAGGTCCTCCAGGAATCCCGAGGGATTCCGGTCGTTCGCTTCATACACCTCGTCGAACTTCGCCTGTATGGAGTCCGAGATGCACTTCATGACTTTCGACCGATAGTGCTTGATGACACGGGCATTGGCTTGCATTGACCTGAACTTGGCCGCCGCATCAATCTTCGCCGCCTTCTTGACCAGCTTGATGGCGATGGCCTGAAAGCATTCACAGGTTGGCGACCATATCCGCTCCAAAAATCAAGCAAACGCACTTTTTCATCCTCACGAGCCTCCGACTCGACCACCTTCATGAGCTTCACGATGACCTCCGGGTTTCCTGCGCGCACGATAGGTAGAACGTTCTTGGCAAGGTCAAGGATATATTCTTCGAACATTTCGAGAAGAGCATTCAGTCGTTCGAACCAACGATTCAGAGTATTTCGAGTGTCGACGGATGATTTCTTCGCTTGGTGCATGGTCTGATTCCTGAACGCCTCAAGGCGGTTGAGTTGGAAGTGGATACGAAGGAGGTTTTCGGCAGGACCAAGGACGTCGTTGCGGTCTTCGAGGAGCATCTGCTCGAGCACGTCGATCTTCGAACTCATTTCGAGGAGATTGTGGACCGTCTCCTCCGTCTGCTCGAAGTTCCGGTGTACCATCGAGACCTGGTCCCCAAGTCTCAGCACGGATCGGTCTACGGGCGGGGAGATACGCACTCTGCTAATCTGGTCGAATGTCGACACGACATACGAGGGATCGCTGCACAACCTCTCTGCCGTTTCCATCTCATCCTTGATTGCTTGCACGTTACTCCGAGTCCCAAAGAGCTTCCGGAGTCCGTCGCGGGTGGCATCCAGTTGCTCTTTCACGCCGCCCCGAAGGCGTGCGTCGATAGAGGCTTTCTCTTTCTCGAGCTTTTTCCTGAAAGCAACGACCTTCGCGAGGTCGTCTGGTGACTGTAGATATTCGCCTACCGCCTGGGCGGCAGAGATCGTCGGGGCTGCCATAGTCGTGGCCATGGTGGAGACGGATGGGGAGGGTCGCGGAGATGGAGGAAATTCTTGCGAGGAATATGGGGTGCGGGTTTATGTGCAACGCAGAGACATCGCGCCTGCTCTATTGTTTCGAAGACCGGTATACGAGAGTCAAACGAGACGTACGTACGCTCTGGTCGGGAGGTAGGAGTGCAGTACCACAAGACAAGCCGGGGGCGGGTGAATGCGCTGGTCGGGGAGGTCGGGGGTGGTGGCAGGAAGCAAGCTGTGAGCACTTCCCGGCGTGCTCTGGTTACCGACCTCGGGGTTCTCGTCCCTGTCTCCTAGTTCGACAGCGCCTCCATCTACGCTTTCTACATAACCAGCATACTGTACCTGCACGTAGCTCAACCACACGTGTACTCCAAATTCTGGCTGTGTATCGTCTTTCACGGTATGTATGCGAGACTCATGGTCTGCCTAGCCTGGTGATTGCTCGTCTATACTTTGTTATACGCGCCCTTTGTAGCCAAAAGCAAGAGGGACGACCTGCCACACTTTGAATGTAAGTTTACCGCCCCGTCAGTCGCACACAAGCTAACATTAGCAACACTCGTATACTAGGTTCATTGCAGTCGGAACACCGATATGCTCTCGTGACTCGACTCGACTAACCTTGGCCGCTTCGTCTGTGAATAGCAGGGACTTCCCGTAATCTGGGTTCCCTGAGAACGACGTGTATGGAAGTAGCGAAGAGGCCAGATGTGTGTCTCTCTTATCACCCCAATGCTGAACTCCAAGGACAGTATCGCTCATATTGAGGCGGACCCACGGACTGTCGCTCCCAACACCACGGGCGACATACTGAAGCCTCGACTTGAAGACGTTTTCTCTCAGGACAGGCCCAAACCGCTTAGATCCAGTTTTCTGCGACTGTATGCATGCCTGTTTGTGGCTTACCTCTGTTCCGCTACCAATGGCTTCGACGCCAACACCTTCGGTTAGTATGTTAACGCGTAACCATTCTCTCGTTACTTACATAGACTCTGCAGGAGGCCTATCTGCCACAAAGACCTTCGTTTCGTACTTCGGGATCACTGCTGAAAATCAAGGCATTGTGGCTGCGCTTTACGTCGTTGGTAACGTCGCCGGGTGCCTCTTCGCCGGGCCTTGCGCAGACCGTTATGGCCGCCGCTTCGGGATGACCGTGGGGTCCCTCATTTGTGTCGTCGGGGCCGTGATGCAAACCACAGCGCGGAACCTCAGTACCCTCATGGGCGGCCGATTCATCTTGGGGCTTGGCGCTGCGGTCGTCCAAACCGCTGGACCCGCCTACGTCGTTGAAATGGCCTATCCCAAGTACCGCGGAGTGCTCACTGGAGCATATCAAACTTGCTTCTTCCTCGGAACCATCGTCTCCACCTGGCTGGAGTATGGACTCAACTTCGTGGAGAGTCAACCCCAGTGGACGTGGCGTCTCCCCCTGGCAGTGCAAGCTTTGCCTTCAGTGTTGGTGTTGATGTTCGTATGGTTCATACCCGAAACGCCCCGATGGTGAGACCGACGGTCCGGGTTAGATTGGTAGGCGCTGACTCCTCTACAGGCACATTGCTCATAGCAATATCGAAGAAGCGAGGAATGTCCTTATCAAGTACCATGGCGATGGCGACCCCAACTCCCCCATCGTGGCCCTAGAGCTCGAGGAGATGCTCGAAGTGATATCTGCTGAGGGGTCTGATAGGCGCTGGTGGGACTTCCGACGCCTCTTCGACTCGCGCTCTGCCCGATACCGCACCTTCCTCATTAGCTGCATGGCGTTCTTCGGGCAATGGGACCTTCCACCTACGAGCTATTATTTCCCTCTTATGGGTAAGTTCGCCTTTCGTTCTTACACCAGCATAACTGATGCCTTGCTACACACTCAGCCCAGACAGCGGGGATCACTAGCGAACGCACGCAGCTCCTTCTCAACGCTCTGCAAACACCCATCATGATGGCCGCCGCGCTGTTTGGCCTTCGCTGGGTGGACCGCCTCGGACGCCGCAAGCTTCTCATCGGATCGAGCACCGGCATGGCCCTCTCCGTGGCCGTGATCACCGCCTGCACCGCGCAGCAAGCAGGACGACCCGTTGTCGGCGGGGCAGGGATCGCCTTCGTCTACGTCTTCCTCGTCGTCTTCGCGTTCGCGTGGACACCTGCGCAGTCGCTCTACCCGACCGAGGTCCTCGCATTCAACACGCGCGCCAAGGGCCTCGCGTTCATGAACCTGCTTGTCAACGTTGCGAACGTATTCAACACATACGTCCCGCCCGTCGCGATCGCGCGTGCGAGCTGGCGGTTCTACATCTTCTATGTCTTATGGGACGCGCTGGGGGCGATCGTGATATACCTGACATTTGTAGAGACGAAGGGCCGAAATCTAGAGGAGATCGACGAGATATTTGAGGCCGAAAACCCAAAGGAAGCAAGCCTGCGGCGAGTATGTGCGCCTGCATCCAAGACGGTAGGAGGTGGGGGTGCATAGACGACGGAAGGTATATAGGGGTAGGTCTCAAAACACACGAGAGGTGACCAGTGTCTCTTGGATTCGGGGTAGCGGAAGTTCCAGTACTTGTATGCTATGGTGCAAGAGTTCGATTTAGACTAAAAACACAATTCATCACAGCAAGATGATACAGCCAGATTACGTTCAGCTTCTCGGACGATCAGAAAGTGCTGCCCTCTGGGGGCTGGGGAAGCTTGCGATTGTTGAACGAAGCCATCTCCCTGGATACCGGAACACATAAACACACCGCAATCTCAAAATAGAAGTCGCAGGACGTACTTTCTAATCTCAACCAGTAAAGTCTCCAAGCTATAGTTTCGGTGCCAATGCGCGAGGACGGGCAGCTTGGAAGGGTCAACCTTACCGTCCGTTTGGCTCACGAACGGGAGATTGACACGGGAAATGAACTGGATGATGGGAGGTTGGTCGGGGTAGCTGTCGCCGCAAGTGATCTTAAGACTGTAGATGCGGTTCTCATGCACAGTCTAGCGGCACGGACGGCATGCGAACGAGAGGCGCAGAGTCAGTCACGATAACATCGATCGCAGGAGCAGAGGCGGGAGAAAGGGTGCGCACATGTCCTGGCCCGATAATCGTGCCGTTCCAATGGCTCATCATAATATCGTCCCCGTCCTCGAGACCATAGGAGCAGGAGCCATCGCCGATGCCCTTTTCGCCTTTCTCGAGCTCCTCGAGCAGACGGAAATTGCGGGGAACTGCAATCCATGTCAGTCCCGCGCGCACAGACACGCCGCGGTGGGAACTTACCCTTGGCCATCGTGATGGGGAGAGAGGGAGAGGTGTATGTGGCTCGCGGTGAGGCAGCGAACGCGTGGTGGGAGAACCAAATCGAGGGTATCTCCGGGAACGCACGGGCCGTCATCGCCTTGTGCGCAATGCCCAAGCGACCGTCCCGCGCTTACATACATACCCGCAGTCGACTAGCCTGCCTTGGTCCTCTACCTCCCCCTCTCCGGAGCCTGTCTCCTACATCCTCCCCCTTCTCCGACGCATACACCCACACCATGTTTCGCGGCGGCGCCCCCAATCCTTACGACGACATCGTTGGTGAGCCATATACCGGCGCGCTCGGACTTGCGTGCGCTCCGGCTGACCGTCTATTAAGCTAAGACGACGGATGAGAACCTCACGGGTGAGAACTGGGAGCTCATCCTCAACTTGTGCGACAAGATCCAAGAGGAGGGCGAGCAGGGGTATGTCTGATCCCCTTATGCCCGTCGCCTGTCGTCGTAATCGTGCTCCACGACAGTGCCCGTAATGTGATCGCAGCCGTGCTCAAGCGGTTAGCCCATCGCAACCCCAACGTCCAGCTATACACCCTCACCCTCACCGAGTCGCTTTCCAAGAACTGTGGCCTCGAAATCAACCGAGAAATCTCTTCTCGCGCATTTACACAGGGCTTGGAGAAGCTCATAACTGATCGGGTATGTGGAATACATCCAGCCGCAGTGATATCCTTGCTCAAGTGTCATCCCTACAGACAACCCATGACAAGGTGAAGAAACGCGCGCTGGGCTTGGTGGCCGTATGGTCTGCAGAGTTTGAGAAGGACGCCTCCTTGGGAATCATGGAGGAGTGCTATGAGAGCCTCAAAAGCAAAGGTGCGTACCGCCCTATGGCATCAACGCGAGTCTCACTCATGAGCATGTGTATCGTTTCACAGGATTCAAGTTTGAGACTCCGACCGAGCCTCCACCGCCGGACGTAGATGATGAAGTGCGCCGTCGCGAGGAAGAGGAGCTGCAGCGTGTTCTCGAACTTTCGATGCACGACAAGGGCGGACGCTCTCAGTGGGATTCATTCACACTCGCCTCCTCGAGCGGTGCAGGTGGATCCGGCGCAGGCACTTCCTCCGCTGCTCCCGGTTCGGCGCGTCCCTCACAAAGTTCTCAACCGCCAACCTATGGCGGGTACGTCCCATCATCGGCACCCACTGCTGTTTCTAGCATGTCTGCGCCAACTCCGGCAGAGCCGTCTCCGTCCACCGTGTCGAGCGCCACGGCAACAACTCCATCCCCGGTTTCCACGCACTCCACGGATAGCGGCATTCCCATTGTGACAAGAGTTCGCGCGCTTCATACTTTCGAGCCGACAGAGGCTGGTGAGCTCGCATTTGACAAAGGAGACGTCATCAAGGTCGTAGACCGCAACTACAAGGATTGGTGGCGGGGTCAACTGAAGGGCCGGACGGGTATCTTCCCTGTGAACTATGTTGTACGTATGAGTATGTGTCTTTCTGTCATGAGACTTATCTTTCTCTCGTAGGAACCTTTGCCGGAGCCCACTGCTGCCGAGATTGCCCGTGAGGCAGAGCAAGAGGCATCAGTGTTCTCACAGGCGGCGAACGTGGACCGTCTGCTGATGATGCTACGCACCATGGATCCTGCCCAGGACAATCTAGCGGACAACGAGGAGATCCAGGTTCGTTGCTCTCGAAATGACCCTCTGCCGTGATGGTTACCTTACCTCTCTAGGAACTTTACCGTTCTTGTATGACACTACGACCGAGGATCGTCAAACTCATTGACAAGTACAGCCAGAAGCGGGGTATATATATCTTCGTTGGTCCGTGTATGCAATCGCTGACTTGGAGTACATATAGCCGATCTTGTCTCTATGAACGAGACGTTTGTCAAGGCCAGGACGATTTTCGATCGCATGATGGAAGAGAGCCTTGCTCGCCACACAGGAGGTACGCCTTACAACCATCTTCTCGATAGTCTCAAGGCTCATTCATGAACAGCCTATGATACTCGGCCTCCCTACGCACAGCAACCGAGTCAGCCATACATCGCTCGGCCCGATTCACGCACTCACCAAGACTACATGGCCCCGGGTGGCGTGCCCCCCGGTGCGCCCCAGGGATATGGATGGACCCAGTCTCCGTACGAACAGCCTGGATACAACCCTCATCAACCCCAACCCAGTGCCTACCCGCACAGTCCCGAACAACCATACGGCGGCCAGCCGCAGCCGTACGGAGATCCCAACGCCTATCGTGGGCGCGTCCAGTCGACATACGGCCCCCAGCGCAGCAAGGGTACCCTAGTTCATCTCCTTACGGGGCGCCGGTGGAGCCTCACGGCTTCCCCGCACCGTCCGCTCAGCAACAGGCCTTAGGTGTACCACAGCACGGACCCCAACCTGGCCACCCCGGTCCACAGCCCGGCCAGATGCCTCAAATCGGTCACCCAGCAATGCAGTCTGCTCCTCACTTGGCCGCGGAACCTGCGCCGCAGCCCACGCTTCTTCCGGAGCAGCAGCAACAACCCCCACATATGTACGGTCAGCAGCCTGTCGCCGCGCCTGAGCCACAAGCCCAGTTTCAGCCTCAGCCTCAAGTGCAGCCCCAGGTGCAGTCCCAGCCCCAACCGCAAATGCAGCCACAGCCGCAGGCCCAACTGGATCCCCAAGTCCAGTCGATTCAGCCCCAAGTGCAGGCTCAGCCCCAGCCCCAACCCGCTCAGCAGGAGCCGGTGCAGCAGCTGCAGATCCAAGTACAGCCCATCCAGCAAGGCCAGCCGCAGGCATCGGCCGCCCCGGCTCAGCAGCAGCAGCAGCAGCAGCAGCAGCAACAACCGTCTGGTCCCCCGTACATCTTCGACCCGAATGCGACCTACCCCGACCCAAACGCACAGGCCTGGGTGCAGTACTACGCGCAAGGCGGCACGGACCCGACCGGTGCCGTCTACTTCATCTCTGTCCCAGGCGTGAAGGAGGGCCCTCCACCCACATCGCAGCCGCTGCCGCAGTCGCGGGCGGCGTCGATGGACTCCGCCCCGTCCGAGGCTCAGACGGTCGTGCAGACGCAGCCACTGCACATCAACAAAGCCGAGCACCCCCAGCAGCAGCAGCAACAGCCACAACATATGCACGCGACCGCGTACGGCTCGTCGCCGTACTCTCCGCAGAGCCCTGTGTCACCCGGGGTGATTGTAGGCGAGGGCCCGCCGGTCGCCGGGCAGGCGTACTACGGGCTCACAAACCAGTTCAGCACGCTGGATATCGGAGCGGATGGTACCCAGGGCGTGAGCGGTCACCCTGGGCCACAGGGAGTCGGTGCGACGGCGTGATTGGAATATTGAGGAATGCGAGCTTCGATGAGACGTTCTCGAACGCATTCGTTGTAGGAGATGTACACGCGCTTAGTGTTGTGAATGCATGTTTTCTTCAAGTTGAAGAATCTACGTTTACAGTCGGAACTTGGGTTCATATCCGGCCATCAGTTTCTGCTTGGTATGGGGGTATCTTACACAGAACACACTAGATTACAAAGAAAAAAGCGTAGTACTCTGTCTACAATGCCCCGAGTGAGGATCGAACTCACGACCTCAGGATTACCGGTCTAAGGGACCGTCATACTTGCGTATGAGACCTGCGCTCTAACCAACTGAGCCATCAAGGCATGTCATGCAACCGGGATGTATGTTATCAATCAAGGTTTTGCTACACGGCTGGTGACTGGTCTGGGGCTGCAACCCCACCTACGGTTTACGGTGCTGACCAGGTCTTGCCACTCGGCGCTCATATCCTCTACTCTGTCCTTGAGTCTTTCTTTGCTTGCTTTGCTCCAATAGCTCTTTCACTTAATGAACTGACGATCAATTGGTCACAACACGACCACCGATCGCTGCTGGAGCCTCGTGTACCTGTGAAGTCATAGCCCTGCAAGCGTACAACCCCCCACTCTCCCCTCCTATCCTCTTCTCTCATCTCCCACGCCATCCCAATGGCGCCCCAAGTGGATCTGGTGCTGGTCTTCCGCTCTTCTCCTGGCAGGGTCTTGTCGAAACCACAAGCACGCGAGAATGCGCGACAAGCCACCCAGCAGTACACGAGGCTTCTTGATGTCCTCAAGGGCGGCCGTCTACGCGTGGTTGGGAAGCGTGGAGAGCAGGAGGGACAGCTTCTTGTGCTGATACAGTGTCCGGAGAGCACGCTGGGACGGCTTGCACAGCGCGAACGGTACGTCTTCGCTCGCTGTCTGGATTCCTTGAACGTTGTGAGTACTTTCACGGGCAGCCTTTCTTCGCCCGTGTGGCTGCCACGAGACCGGAAAGTGGTGCAGGCACGCCCCCTGAACTCTTGCGCCACTTCCAGCTTCGTTCATTGTATTTGCCCATGTACTGCGAGATCATGGATGCAAAGTCGGTCAATACTGCATACATGCTCATATTGCATGCGCACAGCTGTGGACTAATCCGCATGCTCATGCATAGACTGAGGCATGACCAACAATATGTATATATGCAGCATGGAGTCATGCGCCATGCACTTTCATCTGTATACTGTGCCGGAGCCGTGGTTGCAACTACAGAGTATTTCCCGTGTACCCGTGTTTCGTGTGACACCTTTCCTCCGCTGGCTTGCATGCTGAGATTATCCCGACAGGTGTTCCGACTTCCTCTCAGGGCTCCTTGTAACAAACATCACCAGCGGACGAGACCTCGCGGACGAACCTCTCAGCGTCGCCGACCGGCTGCGCATCGTCCATGACTACGTTACCTCTACCGAAGCAGACGGCGGTCTCGGCGTCGCACCCGGTTCTGCTGCCTGGGACCGCGTGGAATCGGTCATGGTCCTTCACGATCACGAATTCAACGAGAAATGGATACACGCTTGGACACGACAGCAACTTGGCTTCCTCAAAATCCACCAAATACGAGAGCAAGTGGGTGGTCTCTGACGTCTTCTTCTGCTTTGTATCCTAATTACCCGCAGTTTGGCGAAGCCGTGGCGCTGTATTTCCATTTCCTGTCGTTCTACACGAAACACCTCCTGGTCATCTCGGGCGTCGGCATTGTGTCGTTCTGCTTCGCCCCGCAGTACTCTACTGTCTACTCGTCGATACTCCTCCTTTGGTCACTTGTCTTTGTCGAAGGATGGCGCATACAGCAAAGGAAACTCTCTGTCCGATGGGGCACTAAAGGCTCCTTCCGCGTGGAAAAGCGTAGGGCACAACATCATAACCTCTCATGGTGGCAGAAAGATCTTAGGGCGTTGGCAAGCCTCCCAGTCATGCTGTTCTTTGCCTCAGTGCTTGTCCTTATTCTCACTGGAATCTTCATATTCGAAGCTTTCGTCACCCACCTCTACAACGGTCCTGGACACCAGCTGATTGTAGGTCGTGTGACGTCATATCTCAGACACATACTGACGCTTTTCGCAGGGTGTTAGCCCCACTATCATATTCGCCGCTCTAGTCCCACAAATTCTTGGTGTCTACCATTCATATGCGGTGTCATTGACAAACTGGGAGAACCATGCTCACCAGTCCACGCACGAAGCGTCCCTGACGGTCAAGACGTTCAGCCTCTCGGCCATCGTCGCATATCTTGGTATCGCCCTGTCCGCTTTCGTCTACGTGCCTTTCGGCGAGGAGATGATGGTCCTCGTACAGCACTACCTCTTCCACAGCGACCCCAAGTCGAAAGTCTGGCTCGCCCGGATGTTTTCTGCACTCCCTGCCAACATCACTGCTGCCTTCAACAGCACCAAGCCCGCATCCAGCGGGCCACCTTCGAACTCGTTCTGGGAGAGTGACAGCGTCAGCGCCCGGACGAAGCTTAACCCGAAGCGCCTCCAGGATCAGATGTTCGCGTTCATGGTGACACAGCAGATCGTCAACACCTTCCTCGAGATTGGACTGCCCTTTGTGCTACGTGCGGTGAGGTCACTGCGCAGCGGCAAAGGCCTGTCACTAGCAACGCCCGCCGCCGGAGCCTCCAATGGAAATGGCAACGGCGGGAAGAAAAAACGGGTCATGTTCGAAGATCAGCCCGCGGACTCTCAGGGAGAGGTCGAGGATGAAGAACGCGAGTTCATGGACACCGTCAAGAAGGAGGTCGCGCTCCCGCCGTACAACCTCTTTACGGACTACAGTGAGATGGTGACCCAGTTCGGGTACATCGCGCTTTGGTCGACGATCTGGCCACTCGCTTCAGGTGCGCACGCTGCCACCCCCAGCCAGACACGGACTGACCCTTCGCGCCGCACAGTGATGTCGCTGCTCAACAACTGGCTCGAGTTGCGCTCGGACGCGTTCAAGATCACCGTGCACGTCCGCCGGCCCATCCCGACCCGCGCGGACACGATCGGGCCGTGGCTGGACACGCTCACGTTCCTCACCTGGCTCGCGGCGCTCACCAACTCCGCGCTCGTCTACCTCTTCCGGCCGGGCGACCAGTGCAAGCCGGTGGGCTCCTCGCTCTCTCGCTTGAGCGGCACTGACAGGGACACGGCTGCGGAGCAACAGCTGCTCGTCTCCGCGCTGCTCGTCGCGTTCAGCGCGTCGCACGGGTACATCCTCGTCCGGATGCTCGTCCGGCACGCGCTCGAGCGCGTCCTCTGGCGCGGGAGCGCGGAGGAGCGCGAGGCGGAGAAGGTCGAGACCGCGGTCAAAGCGGAGTACCTGCGGAGCCTCGGCGTCGCCGAGGTCGTCAACGCGGACGAGCGGGCCGCTGGCGCGCGGAGCGCGGGGCTCGACGCCGAGGGTCCGCCGTCGCCGTTCTGGGCGCGCGACGAGGGCTTGGACGAGCTCAGCCGTGGAACCAAGGACACGTGAACAAAGAGCCATAGCGTGGGCATTGAAAGTGGGTGGGTGGATGATGCGCTAGAGGACGAACGCGGTGTGCGTGAGATCGCGATGGGAACATGGACGAGCGTGTGGTGTGGTAGTGGTGCTCGGATGTACTTATTGTACAAACTTTTGAGATATTGGGATGCGGAGTGCTATTTCCCCTGAAGACACTATGGACGTTTACAACTTACAGGTCATCAAACGTACATACTGACGAACGGCGAACGGCGGCGCCAGCGCATAGAATCCACCCACAGATCGTCACGAAGACAGGCGGGACGAAGGCTTACGGGATTCCTCAGTTCTGAGGCCAGTTATCGTCATCACCCCCAGTAAGCCTGGGTGAAAGCCTCCAACTCTTCGTCGCATACCACCAATGACACCTGGCACCGTGACCCTTCGCAATCCACTTCTCCATCCCCGCCCGCCACGTATATACACACCCCACTGTCTCTGACCACTATCCCGCGCTGTGCACTACATATGCGGGGGATGAGCCTCTCGCGAAACGCAGTCTCCCTTCGTCCTCTGACCGACGCACGGATATGGCCAAGTACGACGCTTGGGGTGCAAGCCTTCTTCTGGTCGTTGCGATGACACATAGATGATAGAGTAGTGGCAAAGGATCGTACTTGTTGTTTACAACTGGCTGCCTCGCCGACCAATGCGCTATGGCAACGATGGATGAGCGGGAGCCTAAGTGTAGGTGGTCACAGTAACGCTTCAGAAGAGCCCTGGAGGAAGAGATTGGGACATGAAATGGAATGTATACATGCAATGGACGGATGGGCAGAAAACGTGATACGGGAGAGAGCGACAGCACGACATACAGTGTGACAAAAACACGTGAGGAGTGCGAAGATAGCACCGGGAAGAGAGCAAAGGAGCTATTCGGGGGATCAGGACTTGAATGCAGCAAGGGATCTGAAATGTTAACTCACGTTCACAGGTCCTACGAGTCATAGAACGGGTCCCACTCATAGACCGGCCACCATACGGGCGGGCTCCCCATCATGTCTGTCACCTCGTCCACCGCAGCCTGCGACGGTAGCGTACGGAACGCCCGGTTCGTGAATGTGAACAACGAGAGGACGAGTTCCGGCATGTGTGTGCCCTTGGTCAAGTCCAGCCCGTAGAGCTCCGGGATCTTCTTCGTCGCGGTGCCATGGATCTGGCAAGAGACGAGGCGAACCTCTTTCGCCGTCTTCTCGTCCACTCCGAGAAGCTTGCGGGCGATGATGGGATACAACTCGAAAAAGGTAGCCTGGGATATGCGCCCCAGGGTGGGCATCTCAGCGACTAGCCTCTTCCTGACGTTGTCTCTGACCAAGTAACCATAGACCCAGAGGCGGCGCGGGTTAGTGTGTGGCGGGTGCGGTAGACAATCGACGCGAGGGAGGGGCTCTGGAGTCGATGGGGGAGGGAGAGCCGTGTGGTCAGCCTTGGGAGTGGTAGAGCCGTCGGAATCTTCGTCGGAGAGCTAGTAGGGTGGTCAGGTGTCAGACAGTGATCAGAAGGCAGGACACGCACATGAAGACAATCAAGATCGGAGGCGAGCTGCTGCTCTGGGGAGTGCAGTACGAGACGCAGATCTTCGTCCACATACCAGCTGCGGGCCATGGTGGGTACCGGTTGGGTTACGGTGTATGAGCTACTGGTAGGTTAGCGCCGGGGCATGTCGTACTTGCGGAGATTCAATGTGGCATCGGAGCTGAAAGCTGAATGGCCCTCCGCTCACTGCGTTCCATTGATCGATCGTGATTTGTGAACCTGTTCGTCCACCAGTTCTTTACGATGCGCGCCTCATCTTCTCGGAAACAGCGCCGTAGGATTTCCCGCCGAAGGTCCCCTGGAACTAAGGGGAAAGATCAGGAGGACAACACTGATAACGAAGCTGAACCCCAAGGAAGCCGAGACGAGATTGAACTCATCGGCAGCCTCGAAACTAGATCTGCGCATGTTCTCGCGCCCGCCCGCCCGGATTGGTACCCCAAGAGCCTGTTGGACGCGGAGAGCAGCATCGCCGTTGACCTTGCAGTTGCGTCTACCAATCATACAAATGAAGGCTTGTTATACCCTGTGTTCGGAACATTCATCGAAGCACATTTCAACTCGCGTCTTCAGGGAAATGACCACGTTGTTCGGGGGTATCCCCAGCTAGCTGCCACCAATGTGAAAGACCCAAACTGGTTTCTATCTTCTATGGTAGATGATGATGTATGTGTGCTGTCTTTTTCGCGTGAGGTTATTGCATATTCTCACACGCACATTACAGAGCACACCCCGGAACCGCCGCATTCCTGATTTTTCGAGCATGGCTATTTTCCCGCATTTTACGTCGATACCTGGCGTCGGTGTCGAACATAGTGTCAAAGCTCCGGGGCCTAAACTCTGTATCGTGGAGGTCAAACCTGGGCGTATCTTTCCCCCTGACGACATGGACAACATTCCTTGGAAATTCTCTGCTGTATTGGCGCATGCCCATTTGCAGAACCTCGCAGCGGCGCACTTCATTTTCAAAGAAGACAAACATACTACAGTCGTTCCGAGTTTTGCGGGGTGCGGTTCACTTTGGTCGTATTGTGAATACACCCGAGAACGCGATTACACCCCTCTTGGACCGCCTCTCCCTCGAGACCCCAAGGCAGAGAGACGCTACACCGAGTTTCTCGCCGTTGAAACTCCTGAACCAGACTCCGACAAAGAGGTCTCACAGGGTACCCCTCGCGATTCTGCGCCATATTATGTTCAAGACCGTTTCAACCAGAAAGCCTACGTCCCCGGCTCCTCTGCAGATGAGAGCGACTCCGGAGACGTTGGTATCGCCAAATCAAGGTCCCGCAGACCACCCGCCCGCCATTCCACATCCCAAAAGTCCAAGCAGGACTCGAAATTATCCTGGCTCGGAACGAACCTTAGGTTTCCAGAGTTCTTCATTCGCTTCTGTCCGTCAGGTAAAGAATTTCTCAACCTCCTGGACACAGAAGGGAACACGCTTCTGGCGATGGACGAGATCGTCAAACGCATCCGCGAACGGCACTCCGCACTTCCCGACAACCACCCTCATCACCTCTCCTTCAAGGACGACCCGTACGATCCCGATGGTCGACCTGACGAAGCCCGCCGGGTAGAACCAACAATGAAACAGCCTTCACGCAACACGTTGCGCCAGCAGTTGGACTTGATATGCGCAGACAGCAGCGATGAGGTCGGTCCGGAGAGTGGGGGTGCTGGCCAGGGAGCGGGGCACGGGGAGAGCTCGCGGTCGAGGGCGGTCAAGGAGAGCCACGCCAAATCCGAGTCCAGCGCGGCGGCCGTGCAGAAGAAGAAGGGGGACGCGTGGGATCTCTTCTCCCGGGATGACGACGTCGTTTTCGCCCGCGCTGGGCCGGTGCACCAGAGGATCGACGACGGGATCGAGCCAGTCGAGCGTGCTCCCTCGGACCAGGACAAGCGATCGGACAACGGTAGTCAGCGGGCGAACGCCGACCTAGCGGAGTCGGGCAGTGAGGACTCTGTGCGAGCTTCTTCGGACGAGGGTTCCCAATCACCATCGGACGAAGGTTCTCAATCGTCATCCGACGAAGATGCGGTACAGAACGTACAGACGGATCAACAAACAGAGGGTCAGTCAGGCGAAGAAAGTTCTGAGCCGGGGCAGGACAGCACCGATTCCGAATCATCGGTGGATCCTTTGGACGTCCTCCCGCCGCCGCGCCCCGCGATCCAGGCGCGCCCGTCACGGAGGCGCTGAGCGCAAAGTACTAGTGATGGTATGTCCATCATGCTCGGGGGGCACTCTTCGATACTGACTGAGACCCCGATCGTAGAGGAACGAACGAGGTCATTTGAGAACTTGGGTTCGCATTAGCAAGGGCATAGAGTGGGCTAGTATCAAGTTAATTCAGTTTTGACAAGATGGTGAAGATGCACAGGGTTGTCTTAACCGCCCAGTTGTCTAGAGTATCGGACGTGAAGGCACGCATCCGCCTATGTCCAAATATTGACCGGTATTATCTGTGGATTAGGCCGACGAAGTAAACATAATGCAACTACAGCAGAGCTCCATCACATCGCGATCGAGTGCAGAAGACCGTTCTGCACGAACCGCCGCGCGTTGCCACCCGCCTGCGTATACTTGTTCATAAACGTCTCGTCTCCGTGCGCTGCATCACCCATCAGCCGCACGACCGGGTCTACAGTCAAGGCGGGCACGCACCTAGATGGATCCCCTTCGTCTTCTGCCACAGCTCGTACACCGACGCGGCTTCGCTCACGGTTAGCGAGTCCGGCACGGGGAGGTTAACGAGACCCTTGGCATAGCCGACGAGGTCGGGGTCGCGGCGCACGTAGGGATTTGATGGGCCGACGTGGGTGGTTCCGAGCGCATCCGAGATCTCTATGGGGGTCGCGAATCTAGCATCTGTGGTGGAGATGGCTCCTAGGACTGCGCCCCGAGCCTGAGAACGCAAGTTAGCCTAAGCTGGGTACGGAGACCCGAGATGCACTTACGAATGACCGCTTTCCTGACGCGAACTCGAGGATCGTGCGGGGGAGCGTCATGTGATGGCCCATGACGGTCTTAAAGTACGGGTCGCGGTAGAGCGACATGCAGTACAGCGCCTGGAAGTCGTCGACTGCGAGGAGCACAGGGAAGCTTGAGGGAAGATGAGCAATACGGCACGTTTGCACGGGCAGCGAACACGTACTTCTTCTGCAAAGCCAGTTCCTCCAGCACGGCACTCAGGACAGTGGGCGCGTTCGACGGGGTCTCCGTGCCATACTGAATAAGTTGCATCAAAGGAGACGACTTGTCAACCGTGCGCCCCTCGAGCGCGTACGATTGCTCTAACGTGAGCTGTTGCAGGAGAGTTTCGTTGACGTCCTTGAAACGCTTGAGGAACTGATGTGCAAAGTCCGGCTGGTCATACGTCATTGTACGGCGGTTATATGCGTAAGATGAGCTGGAGTCCAACTGGCTGATGGCTGAATGACCCGAGTCGCACCCTGAGTATATGCACTTGGCAAGCAGAACGTCAACCTACCTCGGGGAATGTACAGCGTGATCCATTGCTTCTGGAGTGCGTACTGCGTTGCTTGTAGAAGCAAGTAGCTTTTGCCGCAGCCCGACTTCCCGCCTTGTACGCGGGTCAGCCGCAGGTGTGTGAAAATAGAGGGAGGGACGTACTAATCACCAGACGTGTGCTTTGACTTGACGTACTCGCAGCCTTGTCCAGTCTGTCCAGCATTGACAGCGTCGACTCTCGGACGACAGAGCACTTGGTCGCTAGCAGCATGTGGTCGACTAGCACGTTGGTGGGGACACCGAACGCTCCAAGTGATCGCGTGTGAGGGAATGTCATAGCAAGATTCGCAACTTTGGGCGTGAGGAGGTCCTGCGTACGAGGTAAAGGCATGAGTGGAGAGAGAAACGCGGTCGACATACGGCCTGGAACTCGGGGAGAGTGATAGGTATGCGCTTGTTGTCGCGCACGATGGGGTTCTCCGTAATCTTCGCGTCCGTCATGGCGCGGAAAGCCTGGAAGAGACGTCAAGCCCCACGGAAGCTGCAAGCGTAGCGCGACGTACCCCGGCATCCCGAGCACCCCTCGTTTCCCGCTCCGTTTTGCTGTTCTTCTTGAAGGTTGCTGCGAGCGCGACATCTCGGTAAGAGATAATACGTACTGGACCGCAGCATAGAGCATATACGCACACTTCTTCTTCTGTGCCACCTTCGTGGACCCCTTCGCCGCGTAGCCTCTGGTCTGGCCGAGCAAGGCGCCGGTGACGAGAGGTGTTGAGCGACCGGCGCGTGCCGCGGCGAGGAGAGACATGGCCGGATAGAGGTCTTCAGTAGCACTGGGGGGACGTCCAGAGAGAGCAAGCGGGGTGAACGAGGGGCCTGCGGGACGGCGGCGCGTGCGGAGGAGAGGGAGAGCTGGAGCAGGCGGCACCTGGGGGCCGGCGCGCTGGACGCGTCGTATTGGCGCCCGTGCAACTTGCGCGGCTGACGTAAGCGAATGCTCAGCTGAGAATTTTGGCGATGGACGAGCAGAAAAGCTCTCTGGACCGCTCTCCTCAATACTCTCATGGGCCGTCTTCGCCGTTCTCGCACTCATCACGCTCAACGCGATGTCCATCGTGCCGCACGGACAAGGGTACGCTTGTCCTACCACCGCCCGAAGACTTGACTTGTCGGAGCTCATGGTATCCTGTGGCTTGTAGGCGCGGACGCGGGACTTGGATCAGATACAGCTTATTGACTTGGACCCTAAGGTGCAAGGCTTGCCCTCGTAGAATGTGCCGAGACTCATGGGGGTTCCGGACCAGAACCGTGCGCGACTCGAAGCGCAACCCCTAGATTATGAAAAGCCCGGGTTGGCGCAGCACTACTGCGTAGAATGTGCAAAGTAAGCCTGTCGGTTCTGTCATGCGTCCCCGTTTTCTGAGGGGAGGGTGTGCAGATATTTTGAGACCGATCACGCGCTGCAGTCTCATTGGCGAAGCAAGGTGCACAAGCGGCGGTGTAAAGCCCTCAAGGAACCTGCTTACACCATCGAGGAGTCGGAGCGAGCCGCCGGACTTGGTCGCGAAGGAAAACGCCCCTCCACGTCCGAGCAGTCGACGACCATGGAGCAGGACATAGCTCCGTGACTGAATGCATTGACTCGGTGCGATTAACTTATTGAATCATCTGTACTGTTACCATTCATTATATCATCGCGAAGTCGTCCTCTGCATACGCTGCGTGTCAGATGGACATCACCCAACGTACACACAATATTGCGGATGGTACCCTTCACACCAGTAAGGCAAACCAAAGCTTTTTAGACGTTTTCATTAACCTTATCATAATTTCTCAAGAGACCGTGGCAAAGCATACGTAAAGCATAAAAGGACTAGAAAGCATAAAGCAGAAGAGCATACAAAAGAGCGAGCATAGACTAGACAACGCGACCTTTTCGAAACCGTGCAGCAAACCACCAACCAGCAAACCCTCAGCAGTCGCTCCCCCTCTGCCAGGTCTTGGCCACCGGCTTCAGCATCTGGTCCAAGTCCGTCTCCGTCCAAGGCCGGATATCGAACCGCCGCTCGTTGAAGTAAACGAGAACGTCGGAGATCCAGTTCAGCGTCGTCACGCGTTTGCTTTTGTCGATGCGCAGGGGCCAGTCGGTGTCCAGCGCGAACCGGTAGAAGTGCGCGAGTTCAACAGGGTTCAGGCTGCCCGCCACGACCGAGCCGCGGTAGTCCTCATCTCGGGCGTAGAAGATGGGGCCCTTCCTCGTGCGCAGAATTCGGTGGAAGGAATCAAACTCTAGGCTCAGCTTGATCCCCACCTCATTCCACCGGAGGTCGTGGGGTTCAGTCACGACGACAAGGGCGTACTTCCATTTCCCTTTGGTGTGGTGTTGGACAACGCGGACCGGGCAGCGGGATCCGACTTGGACCTCGGTGTGGATGTGGGCCAGGTATTGGGGTGGGATGGTGGGTGGGCCTTGGGCATGGTCGTTGGAGTGGCCTTGAGCATGGCCGTGGCCGTGGCAGTGACCATGACCGTTGGGGTGGACGGTTGGTTGGTTTTGGGGGTGGGGGTGGACATGGACAGCCATGGGCATCGGCGGCGGCACGAGGGCTGGTGCCAGAGAGCCCCTCGGGGGGACTACTATGAAGGCGGAAAAGGGGGGCCGCAGAGCTAATTATCCAGTCAGTTAGGTGCGCATTCAGACGGTATCCAGCTGATGAGAGATGCTTACTTGGAGCGTGGTTCACAGAGGAGGGGTGCATAGTGGCGATGTAGATGATGGACACGATGCGGATGGGCGATGGGCAGAAGCACGCTGTGGGCCTCCCGAGGAGACACTGCAATTTATACCTTGCCCAACCATTTGACCGACTGTTTTCTTTTTGCAGCACTCGGCCATCAGCAATCAACAAAGGCACGTGCACTGAAGGTGCGGTTCATCTCCCGCTGCGTCGATTGTCCTAATGTGCCTGTTAGTAAGGTCTCTATTTGCCCTCCGCTGTGCCCATTCTTGGAGGACAATGGCCAGCCGATCCGCTACTAAGCGCGGCTGTCCGTCTGAGCGACTCCTCAGCCCAATGCCTCTTCGACTTCGACCAACGGCTGCCCCCTCCTCACAAGCCGTCCAGCTGCTCAGTGCCGCTTCTCTGCTTCCTAAAGACACCCCACTCGACTAGGCCAACACTCGCGCCCGGTCCCCGACGCGCCGTTCAACATGCGCGTCCTCTGTCCAACCACCCGGGCTTAGTCACCCAACAATCGGGAACCCGGTCCAGCGGACGCCCGCACCGAATGCTTCAAACGCAATCTCGTACCCGCCGGCTCTGCTCGGTTTCGCCGTTCACAGGCGCGGCTGTCCGCTGCATTGTGCCCGGCGACACGGCCTCGCATGCGAGCCAGGTCCCCGGGCTACGGCACGCGTTCCCCATGCACCTCGCCATCCAATCGCACCCCGCCTCGAGGTAGACACGGGCTGCGAGAACGGAGCCCGCTGTGTCCGTCCGCCATCTCAACCACCCTTGCCAGCCTGTTCGGGACTGGCTATGTCGCACCCGCCCGCCCGCCCCCGCCGGTCTCTCTCCTTCCTTCCTTCCTTCCTTCCTTCCTTCCTTCCTTCCTTCCTTCCTCAGCCGTCCGCAGTCGCTTTCCTCAAGTCTGCTGCAAGGCATGGACGAACTCTCGAAGTTGCGGACGCGAACGAGAGGCATCCGGGAGGGCCATGAGGTCCTGTGCACCGACCCTCCTGGGACTGGACCGCCTAGCCGGTCCCCCCTACACATGGGTCCTCGCCTTTACTCGCACGATACCCCCATTGTCCCCCCGCCCGTCGCATCTGACATTCGCTGATATGCTTCCGACCTACCGCGCACTTACTCCGCCGTTGCCGCCGCCGCGACAAGGGCCAGGTCCAGCCCCTCTAGGCTATCCCCTCCTCGTCCTTTGTACGCCTCCTCCGACGTCGAAAATTTCACTTCACTGAGTCCCAGGTCGCGTCTACGGCGGCCGCGGCCAGGGCACCTATTCGTCCGTCCTGCTTCTCTTCGCTTGAAAGGCGCCGCTGATGATCGGGTTTCGAACAGGTCAGCCGCGACTTGAAAACTGCAGAGCGCTGGGTACCCGCCTCTGCGCAAGCGGGTAGGCTTGGAGCGGTCGGGGCGGTCGGGGCGATTCCTGACCACCCTGACCGTCGGATAGCGCCCATTTCGCAATGAGCGAACGCGTCCGGGCGACATGTGCCGACTCATTTTTCGACGCTGAAGCACAATGCGTGCACGGTGCGTGCCTGCGAACGAGGTGAAAAATGCCATGCCAGCAATGTGACCGTTTTTGGCGTGATCGGGAAGCGGGTGGACCGGAGCGTCCGACCACGAACGGCACAAACTCTCGGTGAATACCCGGCGGTCCTCCGAAAGACAATGGCTCGCTGATTCAGACCCAGACCACGAGTACTTGACGGTTTTTCTCGGCCTCACACGCAGCCTGCCACCGCCCTCTCCCCGGCGCCCGTCCAACGCCGTTCAACACGGCCGGACCTCGGAGAGCAACACCGGCCCGCTTGGACACCGTTCGATGAACTCCCGTACACGGTGGGTGGCTATATGCTCTCTACCAGCCTTACGGCCCTCGCATGTACCGACCTGCAGACCGCAAGCTCCTGGTGCGAATCCGCACCCCGCTTCGACGTCGTCCTAAACCCACGAACCCTGCGCTCTGGACGGCGACTTGCGTCCCCGAGTCGCAGAGTTGCGCACACTCAACCCCACCAACACGTGTTTCCCAACCACCACTGGACCCACTCACGGCTAACAACTCCGATATGAACCCACATCAGCATTGTCTCAGATCGACGACGAACACCGTGACCAAGGCTATCAGTTGAGCGGGCGCAGCGTGATCCTTTGATCCTTCCTCTTCTTGCTCTGCTCGCAAACGTATCCGTTGTGTACATAGCCAATGTGACATTGAACGCGTCTTCTATGCTATCGACCTGAGCCGGCGAAGGCCTCTCAGGAATTTGATTTGGACGATGGCGTCTACCGTCCGTCCTCTCAGCCGTGCGTGCCCACAGGCCACCGACTTTCCACGCCGCCCGTTCCGGGAACATACACATTGACGGATTCCGTCCAACGCGCAATTCCACTCTCACCGGCGATCGCGATCCACGATCAGGCGGCAGTGGCCGGACGGCTTGGCTTCGCGCCACAAAGGCATCGGAGATCGAAACAGAGGCTGATTGCAACATACGGTGACGCACACGGACGTCGTGGCATGCATGTCTTGTACGCATGCGTGTATATCTGTTTCCACGTGCCACGCCCCTCTTACGAAAACCTCAACTCTCCGCAATCTTTGGTCTTCGCGCGCCGGCGGCGCGGCACGGCTTCGCGGGCGAAGCTCAGGCGTGCGCATGCGCGCTGCGAGATCTCCGGGCGGCGGGCGTGCGCATGAGCTCGGGGCTCGGTTCCTCGATCGAGCCCGACTCGGGCGATTCTTTTGTTGTGCGTCGCCGGCGCAAGCACGCGCTGTTTGGAGCCTTGTGGACGCGTATGTTCCCCGGGGATTCGCGCGAGGCACGCGGGAATATACATGTGAAAATGTTTCGTAGCGTTCAGACGACCCCCCGCGCGCCCGCGCTCGGGACGCGGACGGCTGGGCCGAGCGAGTGTCCATGTCAGTGTCTACGGTGCAAGGTATGCGATGCGATCGGGCAGGAGGGCGGAGTGAGGAACGTTGTGGTGTGTGGTGTATGTGTGTGTGGTGTGGGCTCGGGGTAAACGTATGCGACGGTGTGTGAGATGAGGAGGGTATAGGACAGAGAGCGAGAGAGCGCAATAGATTACACGAGGAGCATTAAGATTAATCGGTAGGCCGGCGGTGGCGGGAGCTACGGGTGCGCTTGTGTGGACGACGAGAATTACGTATGTACACGAATGCATTCCGCGCCAGCCTTCGATAGCAGCGAGGAGCGCACGGCCCCGCGCCAGCCAGAGAGCCCCACTCCGGCTGTGCAGGCCGCTTCGCCCGCCGAATGCCAAGAGGAGATGAGACGAGAGCGCGCACTAGTCCGAGTCGGATAGGTGCAGCATCGACACCGAACCCGTCTCCGACGCGTCCTCGCTCATCAGGTGGGAGTCCCCGACGCGGAGCGTCCCACCGGCCTGCGCGCTCCGGAAGAGCAGGTCCTCCCACTTGTCTGCCTTCTCCTTCTCGGACAGCTTCTGCCGCGGGCTCTCCGACATCTCCCGGAACGTCAACGGTGACCGTTTCTGCGACGCCGACTGCGGTGACGACATCCGCCCTGGGTACTGCACCGTTGACGGCCGCGCGGTGGACGCGTAGCTCAACGCGCCAGTCGAAGGCCGCCGAGAGAGATCCGTCGTGTCAACGTATACAGCCGGCACCACCCGCGGCGTCGGTGGGGAGCGCGGGAGGCTCATCGACGTCGACTGCGTCCGCGAGGGAACCTCCACGGCCGGCGGGGGTACCCCACGGCGGGAGCTGCGTTTCGGCCGCGGGGCGGTGTGTCCTGGACGCCGAACTCCGTAAGAGGAAGCGGGTTGGCGGGGGGCATCAGGCTGTCGATCGTCTCCTCCACGTTGAAGCTGGGAGCAATCGGAGAAGTGGACATCGACCCGGCGGTGGCGGAGCGTCGGGGAGGGAGAGGGAGGGACAATACGTTCTGGACGGCTGACGTGGTGAACCTCCGTGGGGGGTCGTCGGCAGGGGCCGAATGAGAGCGACTTGCAGACTTGGAAAGCGGAGACTCAACGACCTTGGGCAGGGGGCGGGCGAACAGCTCTGACGAAGCCTTCATTATGTTGCGAGACAGTTCGCTGGGAGGCAGGATGTGCTGGCCGATATGCTTGGGCACGGGAGGAATATCATCTCCGCAGGATGAGAAAGACGATTTGGTGGATGGTGCTCGATGGCTGTGGAAGAAGCCGACGCCCGTCATGTCTGGTGATGATGTCGTGGTTGGTCTGTGCCCGGAGATGCTGGCTCTGGTTTTCGGCGCATTCCCAGTAGTCGACGGGCGAGATGACGAGGAGCCGCTGGTGTGGGGTCGCGAGCCAGCCGGCGGCGTCTTGGGCGGTGTCGCAAGGCTAGGTCGAACCCCAGACATCGACGCGCGCGACTGCATGAATCTGCGTAGCAGCACCCCGTTCTCGCTGACCTGCTCTACCATTGGGGTTGGGCTCGGAATGTCCATGGTCCTCGTCGGGGATGGCGACCCGGCGTTGATTGGAAGAGCGGGGACTGGGGGAGGTGGCTCCAGTGGCTGTTGGTATTTGTCGCGCAAGCCTCCGGTGCTGATGCGCTGACGAGTTTCCACCACTTCGCGCCTGGCGATGTCTCCCCATCCTTGCCTTTCGTCTTCGCACGGTCACCCGCGTCGTCCTGAGGTGATGCGCTGTTCTTTATTTCCGGGCTGTACTTGACGGGCGAGTCCCGCGGACTGCGTCCTTCGTGGACAGCCGTATCGAGGACGATCGGCCTCCGCGCGGACGTTGACATGCGCGAGCCGCGTCCATGCCCCACATTCGACCCGTCGTATGGCGCCCACTCCTCCGCACTCGACTGCGCGCCGAGAGCGACGCGCAACTCCTTTTCGCTCTCCCTTAACTCCAGTTCTCGCTTGATTTGACCCGCGACCTTCTTCAATGAGCCCGAGACTTTCCGTGTCAGACCACGTGCACCACCGGAGGAAGTGCGCGCTTTATGCTGGTGCGCAGGCGGCGAACGAGGACTGGTCCGTTCAAGTCGTCCTCTGAACCGCCCACCGCCACCAATCGACCGGAATTGCCTCCAAAGACGGTATAATATGCACCGACACCTTCCTCGCTCCGATCGTCGCGATTCGCGCCTTCACTAGCGGACTCATAGCGGCGGCGAGAGAAAGGTGGGGTCGGGGTTTGCTCGCTGTAGGACGCGGTCTCGGCCAACTCTTCTCGTCTTTGCGCTTGCTGCTTGTATGCAAGGGCGACAGCACTGGCCGGTGTGAGCGCGGCAGCCGTCGATGTACGCCGTGAGGATGGCGACTCTCCTGTGCGCGAAGAGTTGACGGAGCGGGTGGTGGAGGAGGGGGGTGGAGAGTACATGGCGAAGACGGTGTCTCCATAAACGACCGTGGGCTTGCTCGAAGCGTAGGCAGACGCCGAGCGCGGGTCATCGGACGCCGAGCGGACCTGCGCTGCAACGGGCGCGGCGGGATTCGACCGTGCGCTTGGCCGCCGACGAAGCACGGCGCGCGGCTTCCCGTTGGGTTGAGGGGCGCCGTCGGAGGGGAACGGGCGACGGTCCGGTGACGACGACGTGCGACCGTGGCCGGGCGCTGAGGACGAGCGAAGACCTGACGTGCTCACACTGAGCGAGAGCTTCTCACGGGAGGCCGTTGCGCTTCGCGAGAGCGGCGGACGGGAGACGTTGGGCTCGCTTGGACGGTGCGACGCAGAGTGCGCGCGGCTGGACGAGGCTTCGTTGGACCACTCGGAGTCAGAGGTAGGGAAACGGATCCGGACGGCGTCTGCTTCTGCTTCGCGGGCTTGCTCATAAGGCGCTTGATGTCGAGGTGTCCGCTGGCGTCCCGGTCGGAGGAAAACCCTGAGGTTTTGAGGGGATTGGCGGTGAAGGACCGCGAGGTGTGCAGTGGACGGGGGGACGTAGGGATGGGACTTGGGAGTGCCGCGAACGAGAGCTAGAGGTAGAGGATATGCCGGGAGCAGCCGGCGGGCTAGAAGAGAGAGAATACTCCCGGGAGCGGCTGCGGTGAGAAGGCTGGCCGATGTCGGACAGTGCGCTGGAGCTCAGGAGGGACTCGGGAGGGACTGGGGAGCCCGCAGAGAGGTAGGAGTGGAGAGGAAGGGGGAAGAAAAGTCGCCAACGTCGGACAGCCAGGAGGTCTGTGGGAGCGAGGCAGTCTCTGGCGGCATGCGCCGAGAAGTCTTCTGGAGCAAAGGTGGGAGATAGGACGCAGTCTTGGATGATGACATGTGCACCCGTGCAGAGTCCATAGCATATACCGGCTTGGTAGGCCGTGCAAAGTCGTACTGCGCCGACATGACTGCGGCGGGAAGGGCAAGTACATTGAGGACCGGTGCACATGCGATGAGGTGGGTATATGCGGACTTACTTTTAGTAGACAAGACGTACGTCAGAGGCAACAAGTGGTCGAGACGTAGAAGCACGGCTAGCAAAGCCTGTAGGGATGGAGGTGAGCGGGAAAGCGGGGCGCGAGGGAGAAAAGACTGACATAGTTGCACCGCAAATGAAGGACGTCAGACTGAACGGCACAGGCTCGGCCAGAACACGACCGCGTGGGGGTGGGGTGCGACGGTGTCGTGAAAGAATCAGCACGTGTGGGCGTCGTGCTGGAGGGGGTCGGGAGGACAAGGTCGGGGAGAGTCGGGGCCGGGGCGACAGGGAGAGGAAAAAGAGAGAGGAAGAGAAAAGACGGTCGTGAGGCGAGGGAGAGTAGTTACAAACGAGTGGTGGTCCGCTGTCGCGCCCGTGTCGTCGGCCTCGTCGTTGGTGGCTTTGGCGAAACCGGCGGCTCCGCTGTTGGTGCCTTCCCCTGGCAAAATTGATTCCCTCCCACACCCGCTAATTCCACATCGCGTGCCGGACGCCCGCGCTGCCCGGGGTCCTCGGGTCGTCTGAGTCTCTGATTCTCCGCAGGCTGCGCATGCGACCCGCTGCGACCATGGCTGCGATTGGTGCCACGGCCGACGGCGACGGTAGGGATGGACAGGAGGGATGGTTCCAGCGTAGGAGGCCGGCTTCTTCATCGTCGCCGACCCTGCGCTTCGCGAGTTCGCCGTTGCACATGATCTGTCCATTGCCGACGTCTTCGCGGGCCTTCTCCCGGTCTTTTCTCGGCCGGTGACGTCGCTAACGGGGTGCCTGAGGTCTCACTCCGGCCTCATTAAACTTGCTCTCCGCCCAGCGCAACGGCGCGCGCTGATGGACCGGCCCCTCGAGGCTCGTCTCCTCTAAAAATCGGGATATTCGCCGCGCTGCTCGTCCCTGGTCTCTACGCCGCCGCGGATCCGGTGGTTATACCGTTCCATCAAAACTCCCTCGTCATACCATGAGTCACTGACTGTTCACTGGGTTCTAGAGACCTTTGACATGTGGGACAAGGTCGCGATGGTTTGAGGGGCGCTTCGGCTACTACGTACTGCCCCCAGCGTCATGCGAAACACGCTCCGTCTGAGAATTATGAAGATCCCGCCGGACCATATGATTACACCACAGTGGTGATGAAGAGGTGGCCATTCTCGACGAGTCGAATGCATCCAACCAAGGATCGTCCGAGACTTGCATGACGATAGACGAAGACACATGCACGCCTCAGTCCCGTCTGTCTTCGTGAAGATCTGTGAGTGTATGCACAAGTACAGCCTGCCATCGCCAGTATAAAGTACGTTTAATGACCTAAAGTTGTGGTCACCCATACCGTCTTTAGGATAAACAGAGGACTGGCTCTCCGCCCTGACGTGCGCGCAGTCGTCCAGAAAATCCGGTCCCGGACGCCGCGCCACGCGGGCCCTTGGCTTCGGCACCACGCGTCCTTGGTTCCGCGGCTGAGCTCGTCCAAGCCTCTCGTCCCCTATGGTGCAGTCCATTTGACCACCACTACTTTTGTACAGCGCTTCGGGAGCGCTCAATAAGCACCCAATTTCTTAGTTCTCTAGCCAATCACCCCCTTTTCGTTGTCTGAACAAATCCCCAAGAGGGTTTGTCGAAATTCTGAGTTTGAAGGATTTTCATCTCCCCGCTATTGCCACACGTGCTGATAGATGACTAATACAGTCATGTGATGTAATAAGCGCCTCTCTCTAAGACTTCTTTTGTGCGATTGCTACAGTGACCAGTTCAGTCAGGACCAGTACACGCTCATCAATTTGCTACTGAGCAGAGATAGTACAATTGGATACATAAATAGCGTGACTATCAGTGCTCGCAGGACAATTTGGCAATCTGGGCTTCTAGCAGGTTCGTCCCTACTGCACATTAATGATGACCTCAAGGCTCAGACAAGTGAGGCAGATTCCTATTTGTACTGGATATCACTACACAAATTTCTCATTTCGTCCAGAAATATGTTCTATACATGCGTACGAGCCCATTATTGGCCATCTTCAGCTTCTGGACTACATATTCAAGTGTCTCGAAAATCAAGTCTGGCTATTGCCACCACGTGACTGATTATGTAAGCTGTGCGAAAGTAGTGGCGGCCACTGAATGGACTGCACCATACAGTGACGGTCAAAAGTAATGCACACCCTGGCTCTGGCGTCTAGTGCGCTTCATGGCGGGCTCGAATCTCGTCCGTTTGAGACGATTTCTGTATGTACGGGTAGATATTCTGAATGCGAACCTGTGGGTACTTGTTTGAGAAGATTCGGACTAGTATTGAGCGAGATAGGAGGCAAACTCTGTGAGCCACCCTGTCACAGCTGTCACAACTGTGGGCAGGGGGCGACAATGCATGTCTGTAGAAGCAGAACAGCAGAGAGTTGAGAGCTGCGATTTATTTGAGGCTTATTAGGAGTCTGAATGATGCTCTGTGTATGAATTTCAGGCTGCAGAAACTTCTGGTTGGGTCATGTTTGAGCAAACATGGTTTTGAGCTGCCTCAACTCAAATCCGACCATTTGTTCGCACAGGCTCGGTCTGACTGCTACTGCAACAGTATGGAATATTTTTAACATGCTCATAGACGTGATTGATGCAAAAAACCAGAGGAGAAAAGGTGCAGATGTGGTTGTAGAAGGTGCACTGTGGTATTGATCAATGTCACACACATCACAAATCGATGTCTAGAACAGGACAAAGGACCCTGTGAGGCACGAAACTGCTGTGAGAACTCCCCATAAAGAAAGGCTTTCAGATAAGGCACGCAAGGTTGGCCGCTATGGCTTCGTTGCATGGGTACATACTCAGGAAGTTGTCTGATGTGACATGATCATATTCAATGATTGCCCTGCCTCCATTGTTTTGCCTTCCTGGCTGTCTGTATGCTGGAATTTTAGCTTGAGCACATTTCAGAGACTTATAAAGTTGATACAGACAAATACCAAGCACGAATTGCGAAAAACACGGCGAACCTGGGACGGGGGATACTTGGTGAAGCCGCACATGTCACATCAGGCAACTTCCTGAGTATGTACCCATGCAACGAAGCCATAGCGGCCAACCTTGCGTGCCTTATCTGAAAGCCTTTCTTTATGGGGAGTTCTCACAGCAGTTTCGTGCCTCACAGGGTCCTTTGTCCTGTTCTAGACATCGATTTGTGATGTGTGTGACATTGATCAATACCACAGTGCACCTTCTACAACCACATCTGCACCTTTTCTCCTCTGGTTTTTTGCATCAATCACGTCTATGAGCATGTTAAAAATATTCCATACTGTTGCAGTAGCAGTCAGACCGAGCCTGTGCGAACAAATGGTCGGATTTGAGTTGAGGCAGCTCAAAACCATGTTTGCTCAAACATGACCCAACCAGAAGTTTCTGCAGCCTGAAATTCATACACAGAGCATCATTCAGACTCCTAATAAGCCTCAAATAAATCGCAGCTCTCAACTCTCTGCTGTTCTGCTTCTACAGACATGCATTGTCGCCCCCTGCCCACAGTTGTGACAGCTGTGACAGGGTGGCTCACAGAGTTTGCCTCCTATCTCGCTCAATACTAGTCCGAATCTTCTCAAACAAGTACCCACAGGTTCGCATTCAGAATATCTACCCGTACATACAGAAATCGTCTCAAACGGACGAGATTCGAGCCCGCCATGAAGCGCACTAGACGCCAGAGCCAGGGTGTGCATTACTTTTGACCGTCACTGTACCTCGAGCTCACTCGGAGCATACTCAGGGACCCCGGGCCCGGGGGGCAGCAGCAAATCAGGTTGCCTTCGAGGCCATGCGTCAGCTCAATATTCAATATTCAGCTCTCGACTCACATTCAATCTCCGCAAGTACGAGGCGGCGAGGCCGGACTTACTCCGGCGCTACCCTACCCAAGCTCGTAGCTACTAGCGCTCACCCCTCAGACGGTAACCCAACTGGCAACCACTATGACCCGCAGGTGGTACGTGGACGAAGATTTGCGGCTCATACTGCACTCCCCAGAGCAGCAGCTCGCCTCCGATCTTGATCGTCTTCATGTGCGTGTCCTGCCTTCTGACCACCGTCTGACGCCTGACCACCCTGCTAGCTCTCCGACGAAGATTCCGACGGCTCTACCACTCCCAAGGCTGGCGACAAGCCTCTCCCTCCCCCATCGAGCCCAGAGCCCCTCCCTCGCGTCAATTGTCTACCGTACCCGCCACACGTCAACCCGCGCCGCCTCTGGGTCTATGGTTACTTGGTCAGAGACAACGTCAGGAATAGGCTGGTCGCGGAGATGCCCACCATGGGGCGCATATTCCCGGACAGTTTTGTCGAGGTGTACCCCGTCATTGCACGCAAGCTCCTCGGAGTGGACGAGAAGACGGCGAAAGAGGTCCGCCTCGTCACTTGCCAGATACATAGCAGCGCGACGAGGAAGATCCCGGAGCTCTTCGGGCTGGACGTGACCAAGGGCAAACACATGCCGGAACTCGTGCTCTCGTTGTTCACATTCACGAACCGGGCGTTCCGCACGCTACCGTCGCAGGCTGCGGTGGACGAGGTGACGGATATGATGGGGAGCCCGCCCGTATGGTGGCCGGTCTATGAGTGGGACCCATTCTATGACTAGGACGATTTCGCAATTCGGATTTCCTAGTTCCCTGAGTAGTTCCTTCGCTCTCTTCCCCGCACTCTTCACGTGGTTTGGTCACCCTGCATGTCGTGCTATATACGCTCTCTCCCGTACCGTGTGCTCTAGTCCATTTGTCTAATAAAGTCTCGCTTTCTTCCGAGCACTTTTACGAAGTTCTGCTGTGATTTACACTCGCGATCTTCCACCGCCAGCACCTTACTAGCCTTTGTGGGACATCATTCCCTGATCATCTCAGCCACTAATTCACAACAATCTCTGCTGGGTTGTATCCTAGGGTTTCAAACAATACATACATTTGTGCACGATGGGAGACGATTAGAGGAGCCACTACCCATCGTTGCCACCCCGTGGTCGCTGTCACCAAATCTTTCGAAACGCAGGATTAATCTCAGCTAAACGGCGTTGAAGGCGGTCTGATTTGCGGTTATAACATAGCCCAATCGGATACAGGTTCAAGGCTCGGGTTGGTATATCATACTCTTTTGGTCTCTGCATAAACAACTCTACCCCTTGGAGCGCCCGGGACCCAGGCTAGCAGCCAACCACAATGTCGAGTATGGGTGCTGCAGACATACAGACCCCCTTTCCCTCACCCGTTCACTGACTCGAGTCCGATCTCAGCCAGGTCCATGTAGGCATATTACATAACGTCCACCCATTAACTTGATGCCTGACCCACCCTCCAGCTCTCGGACGACGAATCCGACGGTCTACCACTCCCAAGGCGAACCAACCGACCCTGCGAAGGCAGGTACAACGACCAGACGAAGGTTGAACCCCAAGCGTCATGCGTGGTGTGTGCGCGGGCGCATCCGCACGTCTATCAGAGGACGAAGGGAGACAGCGTTTCGCGAGACGTTCGTATCTTGCATATGTAGTGCACAGCGCGGAACAGTGGCCAGAGACAGTGAGGTGTATATGTGTATGCGTATGGTACGTACGTGACGGACGGGCGGGGATATGTGAATGTGGTAGCAGCAGCATCCGGCGACGGAACAGTCCTCGAGGCAAGGCGGGCGGGCGGAGAAGCGTAGACGTAGACGGGCGTGAGTGGGCGTGGGGGCGATTACTGGCGTAGATAGCGGGGGCCGCGCGTAAGAGTCCGAGAGAGATGGAACGGCAATGCAGGGCGTGGAGGGTGTGGGGGAGAAGATGCGCGGGTGGGGATCGTCGTCGGAGGGGGGCGGAACAGTGTTCATAATACAGCCTCACGGACGATACGTAGGGACATCTAGATGAGTCACAACGGAAAGGTATGGCATAACGAAGAAGGGAGAAAGGAAACCAACGTACAGCCCAGAACTAAGAGGACGGACCTCAGTACTCCTTTCGCCTCTGCTGCTGCTGGTATACAGCGAGAGGCAGGTCCTCGTCCTCGCTCGCGCGTCCTGGGACTGCGTGAGCACTCATTACCTTCTTCACCTTCCCGTTCATTCCAGCCATGGGCGGTGAAGGCTGGGCCGTCGCCGATAGTGATCGTCCGGGTGACTTGCCCCCACCTTGGTTCCCACCATACGGCTGTGGGGAATACCGGTTGGCCTGAGGGGGTGATCGTGGTCGCCGCGAGCCCGATGACGGTAGTGAGGAAGGAGGTGAGTTCTGTCGTGGAGGCGGGGAGGTCGGCGCGTGGTTCGTGGACATGTTTTGCTGCTGCCAGCCCTGCTCGACCGCAACGGGTGGCATCGCGCCCGGCGGCAACTGGGGAGCACCGGTAGCGACCAAAGGGTATTGTTGTGGTGCGAGCTGAGGCGGTTCGTGACCGACCTCGAAATACTGGCTGGATGCGGAGCCTGGAGAGCCGGCATTGCGTGGTTGCGGCTGGACCAATTGGACTGAGTATGGCTGCTGCTGAGAGGGTGGTGACCGCTGCATTGGATGGGGAGGAGCCGAGGATGTTCGCGCCGGGGGCGGTCCGCCGTTGGGTTGCTGCTCACCGTACGCGCCATAGCCTTGTTCTATCGCGCGATGTTGCATCTCGTATTGCGGGCCGCGTACGGGAGTCTCGGCGCGTCGCTGTCCATTCGGCGCTGGCTTTGTTAGGCTACCCTTGCGTGAGCTCTCCTTCTTCTCCTTCTCCGCGCGTGCCCGCTCCTCCTGATCTCGCTTCTCCTTCTCTGCCCGTTCTTTGTCAGCAGCTGACGGGGTGGGCTGTGGAGCTGCAGCGCCCGCATTGGCTTGCTGTCCCTGTTGCTGGGGCTGCTGCCCGTTCTGGCCAGTCTTGTTGATGACGCCCAAGTACCAGAACATGAGGTTGCTAATAAGCACTTGCTCGTAGAGCGGCCGCCGGGGATTGGCGAGCTTGATATGACTCAGACGGTAGATCGCGCGCTCAACATGGATGGGGTAGCGCGCGTAGTTCCCGAGTTGAGGCGAGGGCGGAGGGACGTAGTTCTTCGACGACTTGGACGCACCAAGCAATGCGGCAGCGGCCTCGCGACCTGCGGCGTTGGCTGCCAACGGAGGCTCGTCCTGCTTCTTCTTCGATCCAAAGAGCGACCCAAAGAAACCAGGATCCTTTTCTTTTTCACGCTCTCCGCCCTTGTCCTTCTCCTTCTTCTTCCCGCTCTTGTCACCTCCCCACTTGAACAATCCCTTGTTGCCTTTCTCTCGTCGATGCTCAGAGGGACTCGGTGATGCCGGCGCTTGGTAGGAGGGGCCGCTCTGGAGAGGAGGTCGCTGTACGCCGTCCAACGCTGAAGGTGAAGTAGAGGCCGACAAGTCCAGAACGGATGATGAAGGAGAGGATGGAGAGGGAGTGCGTTGCGGCATCGGGTAGTCCGAGGTCGGCGGCGCCAGCGCCCTTTGTGGTTGTGGATGGTGAAGGGGTACTTCCTCCTCCGGCTCCTCGTGGACCTCCTGCGGTTCCTCTACTAGTTCTGTCACGATTTCGGGGCTCCGTGAGATGGGAGGCGAGAGATTGACGAACTCGCGCTCGGCGTCCTCCCCGGCGGCCGCATACGCGTCGTAGATGGCGGTCTCGACACTGTAGGACTCGGGCCTAGGCAGCGGCGGGACATCTGGTATGTCATCTTTCGAGCGTGGGACACGACGAATCGTTTCGCCCTCGCCGTGATCGCTGGACGACATATCGCTGGAAGACCGGGGCTCCATCGTGTTGGCACGAGTGGAAGTGAGAGATTTACGGCGACTCCGAGTAGCGGTGAAGCGATGTGCACCCTCGCCCGTTCCCGCTTTTCGAATCTTCGTCCGGGCACTTCGCCGCAGGATCTGGTTTGGTGGTGGGACGATGATAGGAGAATCCGCCTCGTCGCCAGGATCTCTGAGATCATCCATCTGGTCGATGACTGCGGCGACACGGTTGGCGCAAAGCGTGACAGAGACGGCGAGGTGCACACATACCAGAAGGGGCGATGCTCAGGCTCAGGCTCCTCCGCAACATACTCCGAAGTTTGGATGAGTCGTCGCTCGTGGAGGCCTCCTCCGCGAGTTCTTCTAGTTTCTGGAGGTCACTGATCGTGAGCTGGGGCATGTTAAGAAAGCTGGTCCGGTTTCGACGTAGGGGGACGACCGGCTCCTCCTCGTTCTCGCCGACGCCGTCGTGGGGGGAAGGCTTATACTGGCGGCTGAGCATGGACCGCTTGCGGCCAAGGCCGCCGATGGAGGCGGATGAATTGGAGCGGGTGGGGGGCGAGCCATCAGGGGGAGAGCGAGCGTGCTCCTTGAGGAACTCCTTGAACTCTTTCGGTGCGAGCTCGGGATGGAGACTTGCTGGGACCCAGAAGAGAGAGAAAGGGTCATCCTGGGCGGCGGCGGAGCTAGTCTCAGAGAGGAGGCTTTCATGGGAGCTGCTGCTGGACTCTTCGGTGGGCGACCAGTATGCAGCCTGGCCGTTGGCGGCGTCGTTGGGAAGATCGGGGTCGAGGATGAGGGAGCCGGGGCCGCCCTGAGCGGTGGACCGCCGCCTGATGTCGCGGAGGGCTTCGACCTCGCGCTCGATCTCGAGCTGGGAGGGCTGCATGAGGAGGAGGGAGAGCAGGCGGCGTCGTGGCGGTCGTTGAGGAGGGCAGGACCGACGACGAAGGCGGAGAGCACGAGATCCTCGACTGCAGCCCCGCCAGGCTCCGAGTCCTCGGCCCTCGCCGTCCGCATACGTGCCTGGCCCGGACCGGCGCCTACCCTTTCAGGGCTTCCGCCGGCCACGCCCCGCCGGCCGAGTCTTCAGTACTTCAGCCCTGTGCACCTTTTTGTCATCTTCCACTACGCATCGACTCCTCCTCGTCTCTACGCGGCATTCTCTCCACTAGATACATACCGTGTATACCGGGCCCTGACCACGACAACTAGTGGGGACTTGTGACTCACGCGCCTGCGGACGTCATGCTGTTGCTTGCTGTAACAATGTTCCACGTGCTCCATGTGTTCAAATATGACCGGCCTTTGTCATCTTGCAAATGGCAAAGTAGCACATTGACATCGCCCCTTTTCATACCAGCAACTTGTCCTTGGAGGCATTACATCGCCAAATAGAAAGCGCCCACTGCGAGAAATGGGGCGACGTGACATTTCGGCGGCTTTCGCTCACCCTTTCTCCGGGCGAGAGCCACGGCTCTGAACGGGTTATCCCTCATTGAGCCGTCGCCCTGCTGCGCATGCTGGAGGCAAGAAGGTTGATGGATGTTCCTATTCCTAGAGCGCGGCACAGGGTCACGCACTTATTTCTGTCAGCAACACGCCCCCCAGCGTCAGCTTCCGCAAAGGATGAGAATTAGTATAAGTACAGCTAGAAGAGCCTAGAACAGAGCCTGATGAGCTGGTCAGAAGGCGAATACAGGATGAACTCTAACAGGAAAGCCACGTTCACAGCCATTCCAAGACCGGCCACCACACTTAAGGCCTTAAGGGTGGGCTCCCCATGATGTCCGTCATCTCTTCCACCGCCTCCTGCGACGGCAGCTTGTGGAACTCCGGGATCTTTTCCACAGCCTCTTGAACCATCTGGCAGACCAAAAGCCGCACGTCCGTCTTCTGATCACTCACTTTGAGGACTTGGCAGGCGACGTACGGGAGCGCCTTCGCGAAGTACTCTGGAGGGATAGGTTCCAGGGCGGGAAACTCCACTATAAGCCTATTCCGCACAGCGGTTGAGATGACGTAGCCGTATACCCATGCACGGCGCGGCTTGGTGTAAGGGGGGTAGGGCGTGCAGTCGACGGGGGCGGGGGGTTCTGGGCTCGGTTCGGAAGGTAATGGCGTTTGGTTTGCCTTGGGAGCGGTAGACCCGTCGGAATCGTCGTTTGAAAGCTGGAGGGTGGGTCAGCCATCAAGAATGGTTGGAAATCAATATGCGTACATGGAAATGACTTTGATGAACGGGGGAGGGAAATAGGGTTTGTATGTCTGCATCCGTTCTCGACATCGTGGTCGGGTACCAGACAGTGCGTCCCATGGAGTAGAACCGTTTTCGCGGAGACCAAAAAAGTCATCGCGGTTTCAAGTAACAGATTAACATATCAATCGAACTCCGCTGAGGCGCTCCAAGCTTCGATAACTTCCTCGACTTTGCACTCTTATAACCGCAAATGAGAGTTGCCTTCAACGCCGTTTAGAGACTCCTGCCTTTGGGAATACTGGGGCGGCAACGAGGGGTAGCTGGAGGTGTAAACTCAAGCGTGATGACAGATGCTGTGGCGAAACAGCAATGACATGGGTGACAAAAACACGTGAGGAGTGCGAAGGGAGCAAAAGAGCTACCCGGGCAATCAGGACTTGAATGCGGCAAAGGATCTGAACTGGCAACTCACGTTCACAGATCCCATAGCCAGACCGGCCACCACACGGGCGGGCTCCCCATCATATCCGTCACCTCGTCCACCGCAGCCTGCGACGGTAGCGTGCGGAACGCCCGCTTCGTGAATGTGAACAGCGAGAGCACGAGCCGCGGCATATGGTTGGTCAGGTCCATCCTGTAGAGCTCCGGGATCTTCCTCGTCGCGCTGACATGGACCTGGCAAGCGACGAGGCGGACCTCATTCGCCGTCTTCTCGTTCACTCCGAGAAGCTTGCGTGCGATGACGGGGTACACCTCGAAAAAGTTGTCTAGCGATATGCGCCCTAGGGTGGGCATCTCCGCGACTAGCCTCTTCCTGACGTTGTCTGCGATCAAGTGGCCGTAAACCCAGAGGCAGCGCGGGTTAGTGTGAGGCGGGTACGGTAGACAATTGACGCGAGGGAGGGTCGATGGGTGAGGGAGAGGCGTGTGGTCAGCCTTGGGAGTGGCGGAGCCGGCGGAATCAAGGGGCTCTGGGCTCGATGGGAGAGAGAGAGACGTGTGTCTGGCTTTGGGAGGGGTAGCGCCGCTTAATTCTTCGTCCGAAAGCTAGAGCCACGGGGTAGTCAGGCATTGCACGATGGTTAGAAGGAAGGCACGCACATGAAAACCATTGATATCGGAGCCGAGCTGTTGAGCTGGCGAGTGGAAGATGAGCTGCAGGTGGTCGTCTACGTACTAGCTGAGGGGCATGTTCGTTGCTGACGACCTGGCGGGATCCGAGGTACCAGCTCGCACTCCACGAAAAAGTCCTCTGCCAGGTGAATGCAAGTCGGAAAATGGGAGATCAAACAAAGGCGTCCATAGTCGTTTCGGCGCCTGTACCCATCCGCCTGCCTCGGCCCTCAGACGCTCGAAACGCTCGAGCCTCGCACCCGACATGCGAATCCGCACGGGAATAGTATATGCCAAGGCAAGAAGAAGAAAAACAGCATTTGGGAACTGGCATTGGAGTCTACACCTAATTTATCGGTGTTCGTCCGGGGCTAGAGGGGACACGAAGTACCGCCAAGAGCTGTATCGTCGACCACCGACGGGCTCGTGGACGGAGATCACCAAAATGCTCAGGGCAAGGAGCTAAAAACCGGTTGGACGGCTTGGACGAATTCACCAAGCTTTGTTTGTGACATGTTTCCTACCTTGCGGCGACGTTTCCGTGGTCGGTGTTATGGTCCAGCGATATTGCGTGGAAACTACTACAGGTCGTCGGGGTCGCGTTCTATCCACGCCAGTGACCACGCACGACTGGTGATAGTCGGGCCTGCAAACAGAGAGTAAGCAGCGCTATGCAAGAACAACGCGAGATGGTGGCAACATCCCGGCATCTTATTTGAACGCAGATTCTCGCTGATACTTGCCCGATACGTGGGATCTCAGACCACTGTGGACTCGATCGATTCAGCCGCCACGCAAGGCTAGGGGGAACTAACGCACGCCCGGTATGTGACCGACCACACGCGGAACCGTACCATCCTTGAACAACGTGCGCGACACGCTCATGCCTGTGGGTCTGCCAGATGATACGATGCGATATCCAGATGGTAACAACGGAAGGAACAGACACCGGGGTACAAAACAAGAACCGTGGCAGGAGCTTGTGCATGAGGAGAGGAAGATATGCGGCAGTGGTCGTCGAGTGGTCAAGGGCAACACAGCGCCTCGCTGGATATGTAAAGCCACGTGAGCAGGCTGCCCCAATCCCGACTCTGCCACTCACACTTCGACTCCAACCACCACCACTCGCCCACCCACACCCCGCCGTATCCTGCACACTCTCACAAATGGCATCTAAGGCCGCATACAAACGTGTACGTGCCTATCTCGTCGGGAATTCGAAACCGATGCTGACGGCTACCCTAGCTTAGCAAGGAATACATCACCATGCAGAAGGAGCCTCCTCCGTTCGTTTGGGCTGCCCCAGATGAGAAGGACATCCTCACTTGTACGCTTCACGCATATATATGGTCTAAGTTACGCCTGCTGACCGGATCGCTTCAGGGAACTACATCATAGTGCGTCCGTTTCACCCATGTCTTTATCTGAGCCACTCAGAATGACCTCAACTCTCTAGCGAGGACCTCCCGATTCACCTTTTGCTGGCGGGGAGTACCACGGCATGCTGATGTTTCCCTCCGAGTATCCGTTCAAGCCCCCAGGCATCAAGGTACGCCGCATCGTTCTATACTCTATGATGTCACACCCAAATCTGGCCCAGATGTTGACGCCATCTGGCCGGTTCTCGCCCGACAAGAAGATCTGCTTCTCCATGTCGGACTTCCACCCGGGATCGGTGAGTAGCGCACTCTTGGCATTTTGCGCCTGAACACGCTCTCATTCACCCGATTAGTGGAATCCGGCATGGAGCGTTGCAACGATGTATGTCTATCCTTCTCGCGATATCATCCGACTCGTCTTCTGAGATATATCTTGTTGCGGTGCTGCGGTACATCAGATTAACAGGGTTATTGTCTTTCATGCTCTCGGATGAGATGACGACAGGCTCCGTCAACACCACCGAGGCGGAGAAACGGATATATGCTGCACGAAGTCATGCCTGGAATCTGAAGCAGAAGCGGTTCAAGGAGGCTTTCCCTGAGGTGAGTCCGCCCCGCTTCTTTATGTACACCCACACCTCCTGTTTCGTCGTCGACCATATGTAGTATGGCGTGGCGTCGGGGAACAAAGGATGCCGTTCCCGCGGCTATCCGTCCTGCCCCCTCGTCTCAGTCGTCGCAGGCGAATCGGAGGCGCTCGGGCGATTTCCCTCCTTCGCCATCTTACACCATCATAAGGCGTACAATTTACTCACAGTTTCGCTCGCAGTACTGCACACCTACCCTCCGTGACGTTCCAAACATGGCCGAGAAAGAGCGCGGAGCATCCAAATCCCCACCTCCCCCACCACCGGTTGTGGCCCCAGCCCCCAACCCTGCACCCGTTCTTACCTCTACACCTGCCGGCGGTAGTGCGGTGAAGCGCTCTTCGAACGGCTCGGGCCCAGACGCTGCGGCGGCGCGCGGGTGGATCGGCTCCGTTTGGCACGTCGTTTGGGATAAGTGGCGCTGGGGCGCCATCCTGGTCCTCGCGCTCGTCGTCTCACGCATGTCGACGAGCAATTGACCGAGGCCGTTGCGGGCGGCGTCGGCCGACTGGCTGTAGGCATGGATGGCACTGCAGTGTGGCCGTGTGCGGCGTGGTACAGCTGAGTTTCTGGCCCTGTCCTCTGTTTCCCCTTATGTGGCGTGTAGGTCTGCCCCGACCGACGTCCCAAACATCCCTACCTCCACCCCACTTTCTTCCGCAGCGCCTCTCCCACCCTCACTGGTATTAATCTATTCTGTTGGACCCTGTTGAATACACACGTTCCTTAACGTCTCGGTTCCTCAATCTTCCTTGGATGCCTCGTTGGTCATCGGCCCCCTTCATTCGTTCTGTCTAGGTGGTACCTCTTGCGTGTAGTGTATCGGTAGAATGCATGGTTGGAAGCCTCAAACGTGTAGTCTGCCAATGTTGGCCTCAAGGATCCGCGCGTGTGTTCGCGCGTACTTCCGGTCGCGTTTGCTTGCACGTATAGTAGCACATTCGCGGGCTCTGCCGCAGCTTATGCTTGCAATCATACACATGCAAACATCGAAGCAACTTTGTTCCGTCATCACCGGCCCTGGACTTAACAACTACACCTACGGACACACAGAAATCAAGAATACATCCGGGCTCCCAGTCATCTCAAACCTCGAGGAAGCTGTCTGACCGCCATCTGGTGCAGCACTGCGACAAACGGCCAGAGGCCCGGCGCGTCCCTAGAGAGGTCGAAGCGAGGTCAGCCCCAGCCCCCTCCCACTCATCCAGGGTGTCTACTCACCTGTCTGCCGCCTCCAGCTCCCGCCGCCGGAGGACGAACCGCTGCTCGCACACCCACCGCCGCCCGTCCCCGTTGTCCCCGTCCCCTTCGTCCGCCCGTCGCTCTCGCGCCCTCTCTTTCCCCTTCCCTGTGTCCTCTCCCCTTCCCTTGCCCTTGCGCCTCTCCGGGCTCCCCGGGCTCGAATAGGTAATGATCAGCACGGCCTCCTCCCGCTGGAGCGCGACGACGTCGTAGTCGAGTGGCATCCCCACATCGTCGGCTGCACCTCCACCCCCCTCGCCGCCCGCACAACGCACGTGCGGCTCGAGCACCTGTGCGCTGTCAAGCCCCAGAAGAGCGGCGACGACCGCCGCGCGACCCACGTGGGCGGCGGAGGAGGCGGAGGCAGGAGAGCGCACGGAGAGAAGCGCGGTGGAGGCGTATGCGTGCGCGAGCGATGCGCGGTCGGTGAAGAAAGCGGCGGCGTAGCTGCACGGGGAGGAGACGCGAGTCGTTAGCACTAGGGATCAGAGAAGGGACGAGGCGGGGCATACCGCTGTATGAAGTCGAGCGCTGCATCGGTCAGTACTTCGTCTCTAGCCACGGAGCCTTCGGTGTGGTTCGCGATGGGGATAGGTGTGTGGGGCGGGGGTAAGACAGACGGAGTGATGGTAGGAGAGCGCAAACGTGAGGATCCTGCGCAGGTCCCGAGGTCGTCACTTGTATGCGCTTGAGGACTGGTTGGGCGGGACTGGGGATCTCGGGAAGACGAAGTCAACTTCGATTTGTTGAGGGATCGCATCGCCGTGGTTGTAAGCGGGGTATTACCGATACTCTGGGAATCGCCCTCATCGGCGAGGTCGATGATAGCCAGAGGAGTGATAGACATGCGTGAACGAGACGCAGGTTTCGCCGGTGGATGAGCAGTCCGCTTGAACTTTTCAATTCCAAAGGGCTGAGGAGGTGGGGCGGCATCACTGGACGATGGGTCGGCAGGGAGCACCTTGAATTTCTTCATGGGATTGAAAGCCTCAGTGGGGACCGGCTCGCCTTCTCCTTGAGCAGCCTCCATTAGCGGCGGGGGTCGTAGGGTGTCGGACATGACGGCGACAGGGCTTGTCCTGCGAAGGGTAGTACATCAACTCCAGCGCTGCAGCATAAGTGCAACTATAGTCCAACGTACCAATCAATGACCATGCCATCTTCACGCGTGAAAACGCGCGTTGGGCGGAGCCCCAGCTTCTGAAGTTTCCCCATCTCAGCTTGCGCGAGAGCTTTGCGTGCCACCTGGAAGCCTGGTTTCGAGTTCTTGCATGCTTCGGGGACAGGCGCGATGCGCATGGAACCTGCGGTGATCAGGATGGGATTGAGTGAGAGTAGCGGAGAGGGACTGCGTTCTCTCTTGATCCCTAGCGACGGCATGGATACAAAGCTTGCAGGGACGGCAGGAGGTAAGGTCGCTACCTCGCGCTCTGAGGGCTCGTTCCGCTGAGGGGTAGGATGGGGTGTTTGGAGGGCAGAAGCAAGCGAAGGGGCGGTCGTGATCGAGGATGAACCGGACGCTGGAGGGAAGGGGCGGGACTGGAGAGGATCCGCATTGGGGGGTGGAAGAGGGAACGCCCTCGAGCTTCCCGGGATGGAAGCGTTGGCCATAGGCTGCCGCGACAGATGTCCTCCCCGAAAGGTGCTGAACATTGCATGGCTCCCATTGCCTCGCTTGCGAATCTTGTGTGCAGGACGAGAGGAGGCAATCACTGGAGGCGCACCACTCACTTGCCGCTTTCCTAGCAGCTCATTGGGCTGAGTGTCTTCCTGCGGTTGTGGACCAGATCCACCGGCTTTGCCAAAATGCGACCGTCTGCCACGCCCGCGAAAGCCTCGTCCGCCATTCGCAGACATGCCCCGTTGGGAGATCCAAAGGAAGGATTGGGCCCGTTCAGAGTGGAATGAGCAGCATACAAGAGCACGGAGGTTTTGGTAATGCTGCGCGGGATGAGGGCGAGAGTCTATGGACGAGCGCGTCGACTTGGGAGCCTTGAAAGGAGCATTGCCTCCGAGGAAAGCGGAATCCCTTCTAATGTGTGACCGAGAGTGACTGTTCGCGTCTATGCTGTCACGTAGTGCCGAACGCTGTCGACCTGCGACCCCGGCCCACCCCACGCGCTTCGCGTTTGCCTCCTACGCTGACCGCGCCAACACTCTGCTAATACCTCAGCACTACCCCCTAACGTGCTGCGAAACTCAAATCCGTCGCATATACCCACTCGAGCGACGTCAATTCTGAGCTAGCAAGACGAGAACAGGTGGATTAGTCGGCTAGTTTGCGTAGCGAATGTAGGAGTGTGGACAACTTTTCATGCGAATTCTGTCTTGGAACATAGTAAGCTCCATATTCTATTTGACATCAGGGCCGCGGTTTATATGTAGTAGAATGGTATTAGGACCCTCCCCCAGTATCACCCGTGAGTCTCATCTCGAATGCAATTGGGTGCATACATCCCGCTCATGGCTGTGCTAGATGGAACACGTTCAAGTCGTGCGACGGCATACTGGAGGAGCTCAAAGCCGACATTATCTGCTTTCAAGGTACGATCTTCAGCACCGATCACGAAAGAGCGCCCTGACATGGACCTCGCGTGGCCACTGTCCAGAGATGAAGTCATCGCGAGCGACGCTCCCGCGTGACGTGGGCGTGCCCGACCCATACCACGCTCTACTCTCCTTCCCCACGAATAAAGGCGGGTACAGTGGAGTCGCAGTGTATACCGACTCGCGCAAGGTCGTACCTTTGAAAGCCGAGGAGGGCCTCTCGGGCAGGCTCCAACCGAAGCCGCCGCTCTCGGAGGAAGAGCGAATATCACCCTCATACCCCTATCCGCACAGCATGGACCTCTTCGCGGATGAAAACGGCGGAGTGCCCTCCTCGTTCGACAACCTCGACAGCGAGGGCCGCGGCCTCGTCGTCGACTTCGGGCTCTTCGTTCTTATCAACGTCTATTGCCCCAACGAGACTTCAGACGCACGCCTGTCGTTCAAGATGAACTACCACCTGCTGTTGCAGGAGCGAGTCCGCAAGTTGGTGGAGGAGGAGCATCGGGAGGTCATCGTCCTCGGCGATATCAATTCGTGCGCGGCGCCTATCGACTCAGCCGAAGGCCAGTTGCCTAGTGTGAGCGAAAACTTCTATGTGCACCCCGCGAGAGCGTGGTTTCACAAGTGGCTTAGTCCTAATGGACCTATGACGGACATTATCCGCGAGCTGCATCCGACACGCAAGGGCATGTATACCTGTACGTTCCTCATCACCACCTCTCCTCTTCCAGTCTCACTTTGGCACCGTCAGGTTGGAATAACAAACTTCAGGGACGCGAGACAAACTACGGTGCTCGAATAGACTATATCCTCGTCACCAAGGGGCTCCTCCCATGGATTTCCGGAGGCGACATCCAGCCTTCGCTCAAAGGCTCAGACCACTGCCCAATATATATCGACCTGCACGAGCAGATCACTCTCGACTCGGGAGAAGTCCTGACGTTGCGCGACGCCATGAAGCAGCACGCGGACCTCAAAGAACCCCCTCGGCTTGTCGCAAAGTTCTGGCCCGAGTTCGCTGGGAAGCAGACCGTGCTCTCCGCGTTCTTCGGCAAACAAGTCGTCTCAACCACAGCGAAGACGGATCCCAGCCCCACCCCGCCCCTCTCACAGTCCCCGTCGTCCTCGCAGACCCCAGCACCCACCGCCTCCAGCGCGTCTCCCACCCCCGCCCCCGCCCCCGCCCCCGCCCTGCGTACACAGCCCGCCGAGCCCCCAGCGAAGAAGTTCAAGCCGTCACAGACGACGCGCGCGATCTCCGCCCCGTCGGTGAGCAAGCGCAAGCCCGCCGCGCTCGCCGCGAGCTCCTCCGCGCCGACGAAGAAGCGGAAGCAGGGCATGGGCCAGGCAAGCCTCGCGTCCTTCTTCGCCAAGCCCCCCGCCTCGAGCTCGAAGCACTCCCCATCGCAGTCGCAGTCTCACTCGCAACCCGAGGTGATCCAGGTCGACGACAGTGACGACGACCGCCCCGCGTCCTCCCAGCCCCAGCTGCCGCCTGCAGACGACGACACGGACCAGCTCGACGCAGACCGCCGCCTCGCCTGCGAGCTCGCCGCCGACTCCTCGCCGTCCTCCCAGTCGTCGTCACAAACACCAGGCGCCGGCGCCGACAAAGACGCGTGGTCGGCGCTTTTCGCGAAGGTGCCCCCGCCGCTGTGCACGGTGCACCATGAGCCCGCACGGCTCTGGACGGTGAACAAGCAGGGCCCGAACAAGGGCAAGCGCTTCTACCTGTGCGCGCGCCCGGTCGGGCCTGGGTTCGACAAGGGCCGGGGGGAGCGGCTGCGGGAGGAGGTCGACCCGCAGTATCGGTGCAGCTACTTCAAGTGGGCGAGCGAGGTGCGGAGGGAGGCGTTGAAGGAGAAAGGCACGGGGAAGGGGAAGGGGTAGTAATTTAGAGAGGAGCGGGGGACGTTGGATCCGCACTTCGCTTGCTGTCTCACCATCATTATAGCGATGTAGTGTAATCTCGAGCTTGTATACAACGGCGAAACAACGTACACATGGAGAGCGATGTGACATGCAAGGAAGAGTCCGAAATAGAAGAGATTGCCAGCAAAGTCTCGCAACAACAACGAAATGAGTATGCAATAAAGTTACGCCGTCTGGTTCGTTTTCGCCTGCTTCTTCGCCGTGCCGATAGCCGTGTTGTTGACCTGGAGAAAACCGTGAGCAAGACGCAAGGAGAGCGCTAACAACAGGCACGGACCTTCGTCGCAAAGCGGAGAGAACAGAGAGACTCGTTGAGGTGGGTGGCCAGTGGTGAGAGGTTGAGGAACATGAGCGTCTTCGAGTTCCCGCTCAGTGAGTTTTGGAGGAGATACGTGAGCTGCAATCTCTGCGTCAGCACTATCCGAGGGTACCAAGACAACACTGCGCGCACCTTGGAGTTCCGGTACGGGATGTGCTTGTCCCCCTTCCCCTCGCCTTTCTCGCCCAGTGCAGCGATCACGTCTCCGAGCGCGCTCAGGCTCTTGTTGATGCTCTGCGTCTCCTTCAGGCGGTCCTTGTCCGCGCCGGCACCGCTCTTCTCGAGGCGCTCCGAGCCGGCGAGGTCGACGAGGTTGAGGCTGCCCTCGCACGACTCGCCCGTGAGCGCGTTCTCGCCGCGGATCCGGAGGGTGAAGACAGAGTGCGAGCGCGAGGAGCGCTCGTTCATGAGTGTCGCCGCGACCGTGCGGCGGCCCTGGGCGACGGAGAGCAGGGTGCGGACCTGCGAGGGGGAGGAGAGTTTGACGACATTGACGTCGGTGACCGTCGTCCGCCCAGTCTTCGTGTCATGTTTGATGTCGTGCTTCTTCTTGTCGAACTCGCCCTTGCCGAGGAGGTCGTTGATCGTCTCGTTGTACTGGAGGGGGCGGTGAGCTGGTAGCAGGAGGGGACGAACGGACGACGTACGATCTCAAGGAACTGGCCTTCCATCTTGTACTGCCATCCCTTCGTCTTGAGCTCCTCGGCAACTCGGAAGACTTGCTCAACTGCTCTTGGGATCATACCAGCTGCGGCTTCGGACTGTGGGCAGGTCAACGAGGGCTGAAGAGAAAGAAAGAAACTACTTACAGAACCACCCTCCATCGTAAAGGACTTGCCAGATCCGGTTTGACCGTACGCGAAGACGCACACGTTGTATCCATCGGTGCAACTCTGAGCCAGTTGAGAGATCTCTTCGAATACCTCTCCCTGTGTGGAGTGAGGTTCGAAGACCTAGATAATGTCGAGTGTCAGATATGTCTGAAATTTCTCAGAAAGCAAGAGCACTCACCCTGTCGAAAGAGAACTGCCACTCTTCCTTGCGCTCCTGTCCTGTTGCACTTTCGCTCGACGCCTTGACAACGATCTCCTTGTGGTCCAGCCTGTCCGGGTAGGCCAATTGGGCCATCGCTTCCTCGCGGAGATCCGCCTCCTTCTCCGGGTCTGGACTGGCAGTTCCCTCAAAGTCGACGTCCGACGACGTAGACGCAACCAGGGTCGCAGGGAGGATGTCTGAGCGGAGGACAGGCCGCACGCGGCAGAACACCCGGATGTTCCCCTTGAGCTCCTGGACCATGTTGTGCAGCTTCCTCCGCACGCTCTCGCCCTCGCGCGCCTCCCGCTCGAGCTCCTCGACGCGCTTCGTCGCGCGTTCGAGCTGCACCGCAAGGTCCGCGCGCGAGCCCGCCGTGCGGTTGTACTCGGCCTGGAACGCCGCCTTCTCCGCTTGCATCGCGCCGATCTGCGCCGTGAGGGAGAGCTGCGCCGTCGCCTGCTGGGACACGGTCGCCTTGAGGCCCTTGACCGTCTCGCGCTCGCGCTCGAGGTCGCTCTGGGCGAGCCGGAGGTCCTCGTTCAGCTCCCGGAGCTCGCGGTCCTTCTTGCGGAGGTCGGCCTGGAGCTCCGAGATCTCGCGCTCGTGCCGCTGCCGGAGCGCGTTGAGCTCGTCCGAGGCGATGTAGAGCTCGTTGCGCTGCGCGATCTCCTGTGTCCGGGAGCTGGTGAGCTCGCGGGAGAGGGCCTCGTGCGAGGCCTGGAGGTCGGAGCGTTTGGCGCGCTCTTGGGCGAGGTCGGCGTTGAAGCGAGCGGCGTCGGCGGCTTGCGCTGCTTGTATGCCAGCGATTTGTTCTTGTATCGATTGAAGTTGGTCTCCTTGAACGTTTGCCCGGGTGCTGCAAGAAATCGGTCAGCCCATCGAAGATGAACAAGGAGAGGGAGCGCGAGGAGTTGAAGTGGTCGGCAGTATGTATAAAAAGACCAAATGTGAATCAACATTGCATATACCCCACTGAAGCGGACACGGACACCTCATGCACCCAATGCTGCCACCCACCGGCAAATAAATCGCACCCTCGGCCCACTCCAACCACTGTCACGAATCGAACACTCACCTGCCAATTCTCGATGTCGGCCTCGCAGGTGGCCTTACAGGTGCAGTCTTCGGTGGTGCACTGGTTGACCTGGTCCTTCTCGTCGAGGCCACGGTCGTCGAAGAAGTCAGCGGGGGCGCCCTCGGCTTCGTGAGAGGCGGGGGACCCTTCCCTAGCTTGGACGCGGCCGTGCCATTGGGCAGCGCCTTGACCGGTCGGAGCGGCTGATTGGCGTTCGGGCCCTCCGCAATGGCTGCGAGCTTGCGCGGTTGGAGGTCGAGACCGATGTTCTCCTGCGCCTTGCGCTTGAGCGAGTTTGAGGTGCCGGCGGGGGGCATCGTCTGGGTTGTGGTGGCGGCGTTGGCGGCGTCGGCAGTTTGAGAGACGGAGTTTGAGGCAAAGAGTGTCGAGCGGATCGTGATGGACGGTGCTGAGAGCTGACCAGGGCGGTCTGGTGAGGAGGAGCGCAACCGTGGGAGGCGGGACATGGCGGCTCGTTAGCGAGATCTGAGGCAGCGGGAGCGCCTTCAAACCAACCAGGCCCGCGAGCGCCCGTGTATCCAGTCGCGTCTGTCATGTGACCGTTCCAATCTCCTGCTGTTAACTGCTAGAACGCAGTTCACTTCCCAGTCCCTGGTATAACATATGCTTCTTATCTTGGATGCCTAAAGTATGCTGTGATGTCCAAGATGCAGGACCGATCTCCAAGAAGTCGTGTAGAATACTCGACAGCGGATACACGGGGAGACAACGAATCAAGGGCCTACACAATTTTGCTCCCGTAGGTCCTCCATACACCAGTTACCCTTGATCTCGAGCCATCCACACACCCTCTCACTAGAACCCCCCATACCTGTCCAGGTAGTCTTGCGCGCCGCCTTGGAATTCGAGCATGTTTAAGTCTGGGAACCTGTCTGCCAGTCTGGGCGCGACGCGAGCGGCAGATGCCCACAAGAGGGGCAAACACGAATTGCATCGCGGGCGAGCGCTGGTGTGCGTATAGTGCCTGGGATCGTCCTATGAGTTTACGCATGGAGACGTCGATCATAGAATCCATACAAACAATCATGACACCTACCAGTATTCTTACAGCTGTTCCGTCCGCTGCGCCAGGGTAGCCCGCAGCTCCTTCTGACACAAAATCCAATCATACTTCGCCTCCAGCCGCTTCTCCACCTCCACCTCCACCGCGACCGCGAGGACCCTGAACTTGTGGTACAGATCCCGCCACTCTCCGCACTCGTCCTCCACCGACACCCTCTGGTGGCTGAACGGCCCGACCGTCCTCCAGCGCGACGTCGCCGGGTCGGGCTCCGGCTCATCGTCCCAGTGGTCCCAGAGCGCCGCGAGCTCCACCCCGTCTCCCCCATCGTACGAATAATCCCTGGAGGAGTGACACAAGACGGACAGTAGCATCCACCGGTGGACACGAAGTGTCCGGTACGTCCTTTCCCACGCCTGCGAAACCTCGAGGCTCAAGTGACTGAAGCGCGGGACCCCGCGCGCGTTCCGTGCGCGGCACAGACGATACAGCGCCCAGAGCACAGGGTAGGGGCCGAGCGTGGTGCGCCGCCACGGGGCTTTGTAGTAGACGCCGAGTTTGCGGAGAGAGGTAGCGCAAGATGGGGGAGCGTCCGGGTCGCTGGCGAGCGAGCATAAGGCCTCTAGAGCCTGGAGACTAGACAGCGTGCACCGGCCGAAGGAGAGCGAGCGCATGCATGGGAACGCGGTGAAGATGCGTCGCCACAGTTCCAAGGGGATGCCTTGATCTGGCATTGGGGTCGTGATGCAAAGTTCTGTCAAGGGAAGATCCGCCTTCAAATCGCACAACGACACGAAGGGGCAGAGCAGGTATGGTCCTTCGTCTCGACTGAAGCCGCTTAAGGAGCTGGTGAGGCCCAGGATGAAAGTGGCCCTGGCGGGAGAACTTGCCATCCCTGTACTAGAGTAGCCCGTGCTGCTGACTGAAAGCCTTTTCACCTTCGAAAGAAAGGCTTGGCGAACCCCGGAAGGCAGCACAGCGTCGATATCGATCAGGGGGTCGTCGTTTTCTCGAAAGAGGGGAATATGGATGGTGAGGCTGTGAAGAGAGTCTCCGCATTTCAGGGCGCGGAGGAACGGAAGAGCGAACTCCCGAGGGGCTTGCAGACATAGATTCTGGAGATGAAGGAGCTGAACTGCTTCGACGGCATCGCCAATATCTTCATCCTCCATGGTAGGTATGATGGAAGAAACAAGCAGATCGTGGGTATACTCCACCAGGATACGGAGACTTCGGAGGCGCTCTGTATGCCTGAGAAGGAAAAGCAGGGATCTGAGTGCTGGACCGGCTGTGTTATCTATGTTACTCGAACGCTCGGTGAGCTTGAGAGTGGTGAGCTGGGACCAAGCGCTGGGCGTCGATGGCAAGACAATACCGGGGGAGCATTGGAGCCTGTAAAGCGGAGGATGGAGTATGGCAGAGAGCTTCAATACGGGTATGGGAGTCTCTGGCTCTAGCCCAACCCCCTCGTACAATTCCAATCTCGTTGGCTTGATGTTGATCGCCCGCAGAGCTGGAAGTGGGATGGTGAAGAGAGGCTCCAACGAGCTGAGATCGCGGATATAGAAGTCTCTGCATGTGGAGATAGATCGAATTCTGTCGGCATGCTGGAGGAGGAGGGGCATGGCCAAGACGTTCAATTCGGCGCGATCGTTCATGAAGAGGTCGACAGTGCACGAGGCGGAGCGCTCAAATAGGAGGCGGAGCACGTCGAGGTCCTTCTTGACCGCGATACTTCTCCAAAGGGATGGGGCTTGAAGACCTATGTCGCGCCAGAGCCGACAAACGAGCATGAGTTTGACCCACTCCATTTTGGCATGCAGAGAGTACTTGAGGTTCCATCCTGAGTGCATGGCCAGTCCGGTGAGAGCGAAGATCTCGACTATCACGTCTACAGGAACGCGATGGACGGCTGGCGAAGGAGTATCCATGTCAGCTGCAGCAGGCAATCAGTATGCCATCAATCATATGTAAGCAGGAATGAACTCACAACTGGGGGTCGTCGCTGCGGGTTGTGGTCCAGTGTATGTTGTGGTTCAAGGAAGGGTTGGCAGGCTCTGGAGCGCCCGTCGTGTTTCGATTGTTACGAGCGCTGTATAGGGGCTTCGCCGCAAACGCCCAACTCCATGAGCGCTTGAGCAAGGATAACGAAATGCGCGTCATCGTAACAACTCTTGAACAACTCACACAGACGTACACAGAACTGCATCTTCGCATTACAAACAAGGACGATATACATCACTATATGCGCAACTTCCGGAACACAGACCCAGGGAGGGCTTCGTTCGTCAGTGGTACGTACGTAGCAGAGCGGGCGCGAGCAACGGGCAGAGCTACAACAGACGGCACGACGTGCGACAGCCGGACGGGACACAGCAGAACTCGACAGGACGCGACGGAGCACGGCACAACAAAACGGAACACAACAGAAACGAGAGCTAGAACGAAATCGGTCTGGGCCTCTGAGACACACAGGCCAGATCCGCGAGGCGCGACGGTGCGATCGGCGGGGACCGACGCGCCGCACCTCGAATCACATATCCACTCCAAAGTCCATGACACGACGACCGGATCCATGTCGAACGCTCAAGCGGCGCCGGGAGACTTGCGGTCCTTGCGCTTGCGCTCGGGACTCGCGGCAGGGGTCTTGGTCGCCCTCCGCCTCTTGCTGGGCCCAGCAACCGGGGAGTCCGCCTGCTGCATCCCGCTGGGGCTCCCGGCCGGGGAAGCGTCGAGGCTGGGGCTGGTCTTGCGCTTCTTGTCCTTCTTGTCCATATGGCGACGAACGGAATCGTAGCTCTGGCCCTCCAGATCCTTCCGAATCACAGGGGGCAAGAAGGTAAAGTTGTGGACGGGAGCAGGTGCGGTAGGAGGCCGCGGCGGTGGCGATGGCGAGTGTTCGACATCAACGGGAGAGATCCCTGGGGCGGGTGAGAGCGAGAGCGAAGGCTGTGAAACAAGGATTCGCGGAGGAAGCAGCTGCGGTGGCAGGAGTCGAATGCATGAAGGCCCTTCGTGCATAAACTGTCGAGAGCACTTGGTCAGTAAATGTTCACGCAGGAAAGGGAAGAACATACTTCGCATTGCAGACGCTGATCGTGCGGGTCGAGCGAGTAGTTTGCCCGCATCGCGGCCCAGGGGAAGTCTAGTCCCTGAGTGTAAGCATGCTTGTCAGTAACCACGCCTTGCACATCCAAGCGACGAGCACGCACCATGTTCCAATGGGCATCCAAACTGCCATCATGCTGGGATGAGCGTTCGTGCGCCACCGAACCTGCACCGCCGGCGACATCTCCTTCGATCCTTTCCAAGTTTGCACGAATTGTCCCGCGGTAAGGAGTCTTGGGTACCTCTTCGACGCGTTGCCCGAGGTTCTCCGCGGGAGTTGCGACTTGACCACAGTAGGTCTCGACACTGAGCGCTTGTGTCCACCGCTGAGCGCTTGCGGCGAGCGGCTGGTCAACACCCGGCTGGAAATTGCACCAGTGATCAGGACGTCGATAATAAGATGATAGTAACAAGAGAACGTACCAAGGTGAAGATGCGCGCGTCCTTCGAATCGAACTGCGGCTTGGAAGACCCCCCGGCTCTGCCCTTGCCCTTGCCCTTGGCCAAGCCTTCAGCGGGGATTTCTTCGGCGGTGTCATAGGACCTGAACGGAGCGGGGACCTCGAGATAACGCGGCTGATATGAAGACGAACCCGGGGCATCGCAGCGGGGGTTCCAACGGAAACGGGGGGAAGTCGACCGCTTCCGATCTTGCGCACCGTCAAGGGTGACACCGGCGACGTTCACAGGCTCGTCAAGGCCATAACCAGGAGTTCCACCAGTGTTCCCGCCGTCGGTGTTCGGTGTACCGTATGGTGAAGAGGATGCGAGGGTTAGAGCAGGAAGGTTGAAGAAGAAGTCGGGGATCGGGAGGGTTGGGAGGGTTGAGTGGCGCGGGGTCGTTGAGGGGGATTGAGCAACGATGCCTTCGAAAGGAGACGACGAATTGAACGCGGAGGGAATATAGATGCCCTGGAACTCGTAATTCGAGGCATTGTTTTGGCGAGGCGAAAGATAGCCGACGTTCAATGGACAAAAGGCGGTCGCATTGCCGAGCGCATCCATTGGCGCGTTGCCGTCAACGATCCCGAACAACGTTGCCCCATTCTGGTCGAGAGGGTCATCCGGAGCTTGTTGAGGCGTTCTGTGGGAATGAGGATGCTCCACGCAGTCGTACGAAGGAGTCGTGGTGGTGACCTTGTGTCCGGTATAAAGATGCGCCCATATTAGAGTATAAAGCAAGGGACTTACGAGATCATTTGAAGCACCGAGAGAAGAATTCGAGCCGGAGGCAGAAACGATACAGTTCCCTTGTGACGACGGATACGACATTGTGTCCGATGAGGCGAACAGAGCGAGAAAGAGGGAGGGCGGTGTGCGCGCGCGCCTCTGGCGCCGTAGGAGGTAAACTTCAGCGCCTACATTCTGAACCCAGCAACAGCACAATCGAATTCCGAGACCATAAGGGCTCAATTTATTGGCCCTCAACGGCCCGAGGCGAGAGAGCGCTGCCACGAGGACGGCATGAAGCGCACGACGGCACGTGAGTTGTACGTTGACTGCCGTCACCTGCAACTCAAGCCGTATCTCAGCCTGGCCGTGAATCCAGTGTATCTGGAAGGCGCCTTGAACTCTCAAGGCGGACGATGGAGCGTTCATACCACGAAGGTGTGATGTCGTTGGACAGCGGCTTCTGTGAAACCCTCAAGCTAAACGTTGAGAGACGGCCAGTTAGCTCGGGACCCATATGCGCTGTGGAAGGCATAGGGATGGCCTAGTAGAAGAAAATGTGACTGTCAGTCGAGGATGGATGTGTTATGCAGACTCACTCTAGTTGAGCGTTTGGCCGCTGACTAATCCAACGTCCAGCAAACGTGTGGCGCTGGTCGTAGAGTAAGCGCCAGGGATGCCCCTGGCTTCGTAGAGATTGTTACCCCGCAGGGCGTGCCACGAAGAGCGCAAACAATCGTACGTTGGTATCGAAACGGTATTTGGAAAAGTTCCGCGGCTCTACGAGGGTGGGGGAATAAGGGGGGACGGCATGAGTGCAAGGGCCACCCGTGCAAGTCCGAGAGAAGCTCACCGCGTTGTCCAGAGAACTCCGAGCGTGAAGTGGCAAGCATGAAACACCAGAAAAGTGCTATTGCACGCGAGGAGGCCCCATCGCCAGGGGCTACCTTGGTTGCTCTCCGATAAGCAAGGTGCAAATGGCGCTTGAGGCCCAGGGTTCCTGCTGTGGTTACGGAGGGTCAAACCTTGCCAATGACAACAAAGTAGCGGAGCTCACCCGTCTGTCTCCTTGGAAGCAATGAGAAAGGTCGAGGGCCGGAGGAAGCCCCTGCCTGTGGACGATCAGTCGCAGGCGTTGGAGAAAGAACAACAAAGTCGCAAGCGAACCTAGGCGGTGGCGATGTCCACGTCACATCATCCAGACGTCGTCGGTACCACCTTGTTCTCCTCTAGTGCGCATATAGCGGCGTCGACTGGCAACGGGGAAGAGTGCGAGTAGGAGAGAGAGTTGTGGGAGTGGGAACGAGCGAGGACCGCAACGTTGTTGTCTGTGTCCAGATCGGGCTGATGGGGAAACCAGCTGCCGTCTGAGCTGATGGCGTGATCAATGTGAATGGGCACCGGGGCGCCCGTCTATCAGATCCCCATCATCGCCCACAACAAGCCAACTGCTCGATCTGGACAACAACGATCGGATGCGGATGGGAAACCCACTGGCGCCTACAGCGACACGCTCTAGAACCCCCGCGACGCCACACAGGCGGTGACGTAAGCGCGACAAGCACTGAGCGCCGTCACTGGCCGTGACGCATTGGGCACGGATCCACAGTCAATGTCGCAATGGCTAACTTGACAGAATCCTCACTGTGTACAAATGGCACAACGCTGTTCAAACAGACCCAAGCCTCGTCCGGCGCGATACGTGAGCAGATATGATCAGATGATTTGCGCGATCGGACGCCATTCGTAGAAAAACATTGGCCCATATTAGCCACCAAATCCCCTATCTTCTTCGATGCGCTAAACTACAACAATTACGCCTGGCTACAGCAAAGACTCTTCCATAGAGCCAAAAACCTCGGCTACGAAGCTAGGCACCTTGCTGCTGGAGAGCTACTCCAAGAGAGGGGACTCGTCGACGTTAAGGATGGTCCAGGTGAAGAAGCGAATCGCCTCGATAAAACCTTCTCCGCGCAGAGCTAGAGCAGGCGTTCCGTCAGTGAGTGGAGATGGTCGGGAGAGCACTGGTGGCGAACCTTCATTGATGGTGTGACCCCCGTTGAACGAGTCTCCGTTGTTGATGTGCCCGTACCGGAAGATATGCTTCGTGAGCTTCCAGTAATGCTTTGTGTCTGCGCGCACAACATTAATCAACGCACTCCTCTGCTGACTACCAGCACGAGCACGAAAACGCACCTGTGTTGCCCGTCGACATCGACGGCGCGATGAACGTCTTCTTGTCGTACCCCGTCCGGTTCGACGCCCCCAGCACCCCCACGATCGTCCCCGACAGCAGCCTGAACGGCCCGCTCTCGCCCATCGGCGTCAAAGGTGCGGGCTCCAGCGCGGTCCCCCACGCGTCCTCGATGCGCATCGCGCCGGCCTCCTCGCCCGCGCCCGCGATCACTGTGCGCCCGAACGCGTCGAGCGCGAGGCCGAAGCGCGCGGCGACGGGCGCGGCGACGCTCGCGATGCGCGCCTGCAGTTCTGCGATCGAGCTGTGGATGCTCAGTCGGTGGTTGACGATTACTTCCGCGCGCTCCGGGAGCGCGTTCGTCTTCACGCCGCCGCGGACGACATCGACGGCCTGCGTGGTGCCCGCGAGGGGGCCGTACAGCCGGTCGGTGTCCGCGAGGTAGGCTTCGAGCTCGTGCAGGGCCTTGTCCGATTTGTGGGAGCGCCGGATGAGCGCGCGGAAGTGCGAGGGCAGGTCGGGGTCGTGCGCGGCGCGGCATTGGAGCTGTTGGTAGTAGATGCCGGACCGGTTGAGCGAAGGAACGTGCGGGTTGTCTTCGAGCTGCTTGATCATGGCAGCGAGCATGCCGATGCTCTGACAATCACGATGAGAGGACGAATGGTCACGGAGGCGCTTGAACGTACGGTGTGTTCAGGAGGGATGCTAGAGTGTCCTCCTGGCGCTGATATCTCGAAACGAACGTCGAATTTTCCCTTCTCAGCGACACCAGGGGTAGACATGATCACGTCATCAGTGACGGAATAACCACCTAGTTCAACCAGGTCAATGTCGGACTAAGAAGAAGCATGACTTCAACTGACCTCCTTCATCTACCAGAATAGAGAACGCATATTCTCCGTAGGTCGAAAGCAGATAATCACGAATGGCAGTGGCCCCCTACCGCGGGTTAGTACGGCCATGGGTCGATCCGGGAACACTCACGGAAATACCACCACGCTCTTCGTCAATACCATACGCAAGGACGATGGTGCGAGTGGGCTTGAATCCAGCCTGGAGCAGTTCCTCCACAGCCGTTCTGAGGACAGATCAATGAGTAATCCGTGAGTCATCGTCCGCTCAGCTGTTGGCTCACAGGGTGCCAACGAGCCCTGGCTTATCGTCGCAGCTACCACGACCCCAGATGTATTCACCTATAGCGCATTTATTCAGAATGCGCGATCCTTCTACGGCCAGCGGCCAGCGGGTACTCACCATCAAAGTGGCCGGAAAAAGGAGGCTGCAACCACTTGTCCAAAGTCGTGGGCTCCACAGGGACGACGTCTTGGTGGGCAGTGAGCAACGCGGGCTTCAGGGATTCGTCGCTACCCTGCCAGTGGTACACCAGGGCGAACTTGTTGACGTGGGTCTTGCGGAGGTTGGCGTGGCTGTCGTCGGGGTTCGCTCTCGCCTCCACCGCAACGTAGACAACCGAGAGACTCACACCAGAGGGAAACGCGTCTCGAGGTACGCGTGCAGCTCCCCAAAGATCTCCCACCGCTCGTCCTGCCCCGGCGGCTTGAGGTCGTCGTACGCGATCGTCCTGCCCCAGCCAGACGCATGTGTCAACAATGACGCGCGCAGCAGCGTTCAGACGACGACTGCAACTCACGGGACCCGGATCGCGCCCCCGAGCGACTCGTACGCCTTCAGCCTGAACGCGTCCATCGCGTACTCCGCCTCCAACGCGTCGAGGAGCGCGCCGTGCCGTACTGGCGCGATCGCGCCCGTCTGCGGGCACACCTCCGCCGCGTAGTCTTCGTGCGCGCCGCCGCCGCCGCACGAGCTAAAGCCGCGCCCGCGCGCGAAGAGGAAGCAGAGCGACAGGACGAGCGCGGAGATGGCCGCGAGCGTGAGGTAGTGCGCGCGGTGCCGCTGCGTCCGGAGGCCGCGCTCCGCGTCGCGGCGCGAGTCTTCCTGGAGGAGCTTGAGGTCGTCGTACAAGGGGTATCGAATGGCGTGCACCGGGTGCGCCTTCTCCGAGACCGCCGGGAGTGGAGGGGGCAAAGCCGCCGTCGTACGCCGGCCGAAGGTGCGGAGGACGCGGTGGACGAGCCTGTCTTCGGGACGCATCTTGTCCTGGTCTTCAGTCGTCTCGTCGGTCCCCGCACGAGTTGGGGGTATAGACGAGCGCGTCGTCGTCGTCGTGGAGGAGAGAGATAAGAGGAGAGGTCTGCGACCGTGAGAGGGGATCCATATCGTTGATTCGCTCGACCTGCACGGTCTCCCGCTTCAGCCGTTCCTCCCGCCGGGCGCTATGCAGCGTCATCGGCAGCGCGTGCGCGCGTGATGTTGACGCGCCGAGTCGCGTTTACCCCAGACCACCACATCCTCCTCCTCCTCCTACTCGTCGGACATGGCTTTACCCACGCGCGGACGCGTCATCATCGAGACGACCGTGGGGGAGATTGACATGGAGCTATGGTCGAAGGTATGTGTTCACGAGCCATGCCTCTCCCTCACTTCATTCCCGTTGCAGGAAACTCCCAAAGCATGTCGAAACTTCATCACTCTGGCCATGGAAGGCTACTATGACGGCAATATCTTCCACCGGTGGGTGTCATGCACCAATATATGCTTACCGTTCTCACCTTCTTCCACAGTGTCGTGCCTGACTTCTTGGTGCAAACAGGAGATAGGACAGGGACGGGTGGAGGCGGAGAGTCGTTCTATGGAGGTTCGTGCCACCATAATGCCAGTGTGACCTTGTGCTGACAACCCTGTCGCTTTTTAGAGCCGTTCGACGATGAGATTCATCCCCGCTTGCGGTTCGTACACCGTGGGTTGGTTGGAATGGCGAATAACGGCACTAAGAACTCCAACGACTCTCAGTTCTTCATCACGCTGAGTGAGTTCATGCACACGATCACGAGTATTTCATGCAGACAGTGACTGTTGGGGGTAGACCGAGCCGACGAGTTAAATGGCAAGCACACGCTGTTTGCGCGGGTCATTGGGGATACGTTCTTCAGTGAGCACGCATGCAACAGCAAGGTGGCTCGTTTGTGCTGACTAGCAGGCAGACGTACTCAAGATCGGTGAAATGGGTATGTCTGCACCCTCTTGAAGCGTCCTAAAGATTGAGGTCCTTCCCACTAGAGCTTGACGGCAATGAACGACCTCTTTAGTACGTCATTGTTCCACACCCTGCTATTGCGCTCTTGCTCACTGACCGTATGAAGTCCGCCTAAGATCAAGAAAATACGGATTGTAGATAACCCGTACGAAGACATCGTTCCCCGAATCACTGCCGAGGAGAAGCGAGCGCAACAGAAGGCACGAGAGCAAGCGCAACGAGAACGAGAAGAGGAGCAGCGACGTCGTGGTGCGAAGAAGTACGTCCTCGCCATGTTTCCACGGGACCCACGATGCTCACCCCGTCCCTGACCTGTCCTCTAGGGACGTCAAGTTGCTGAGCTTTGGTGGTGACGAAGAAGCGGAGGAGGAGCCTGTTGTCTTCAAGAAGAAGCCAATCGTCCGTCCAGACTGTGCGTTTAAGCCTTTACACGCATTTGCGCCCTTCAGCTCAACATGCCTCCACATTTTGCAGTGATAGACGCAGCGGATACTGCTGTGCCAATACCAGGAGTGCCTGCTCCCGCCGCGTCAAAAGCGTCAAAACGCGATCAGCCTAAAGACGACGCCGATGATCCTCCGCGCGTGAGTGCCCCTGCTCCCCACCACTTCCTCACGTGCTCACTCTCCCCATCACCCAGGCCGAGAAGAAGAGCTCGAAGAGGGACAAGGACGAGAGCGACATCACGAAGATCCGCGAGCAGCACGAGCGCGAGAAGGCTGCCGCGAGCACCTCGCGGCAGTCCGAGATCGCGAAGATGGAGGCGGACATCCGCCGGCTCACGCGCCGGCCGGGCGACGGCTCGGACGACGACGGGCCCGCGGCGAAGAAGCCGAAGCGGTCCTTCCTCGAGGAGGAGATGGCCAAGTACGCGAAGGGCCGCGGCGCGCACGCGAAGAAGCGCAAGGGCCGCAAGGACGAGGGCGACGTGCTTGCGGCGCTGAGCAGCTTCCGGACGAAGCTCAAGGGCGCGACGGCTGAGGAGGGGGCGCCGGGTGAGGGGGAGGGGGAGGAGGGAGAGGAGGGAGAGGATAAGCCGGCGGGCGGGGAGGAGGCGGGGATGGAGGTGGACGACGACGTGGGGTTCTTGGGGCACTTGCTGCAGTTCCCCAAGGGGAATGACGAGGAGGTGGCGAAGGCGGAGCGCGACTACGAAGTCATCGACCCGCGGCAACGTGGGGCACGCGCGAAGGAGGAAGAGCTGGAGCGCAAGCGGGCACAAAAAGCGAGGGACGTGGCAGGCGGACGAGGGTACCGGAGGTAGTGATATGTTTGTTTTGGACTACTACTGTGTTCATACATCCCTCCATATTCTGTTTCTACCATTTCTCTCAGATGTACAAATGAGAATTCCGCACCCGCTCATCCAGGTCCGCCCACAGTCGCGCGAGCGGTCGGTCGGTGCCCTTTGCTAGCGGCTGTACAAGCCTCCAGAGCTCTTGCGCGACCTCCTCCTTGCCCCCGTCCGCATCGACGGCGATCCAGCGCGAGCCGTCGCCCATCTCGACGCCGATCCGCTCGAAGACGTGCTCGACGCGCTCCTGCATGTCTGCCTTCTCGTAGCGCTCTTCACCGAAGCCGCCGCGCGCGCGCTGCGCCTCGGGGGTGACGGCGAGGAAGAGAGTGAGGTCGGGCGCGGGGAGCGCGACGTCCGGCGCGCGGCACCACTCGAACGACATCCCCGGCTTGTTCTTCGCGGCGGAGAAGGCGATGCCGGAGAACGCGTAGCGGTCGCAGACGACGGTCTCGCCGGCGTCGAGCGCGTCGGTGATCGATTTGCTGGAGGGGCGGGGGCGGATGGGTGAGGGAGAAACGTGCTGAGAGACGAGGGACGCACGAGAGCTCCCATCGGTTGGCGGAAAAGAGGAGGTGGATCGCGCGGTCGTCCATCTCGGTCTCCGAGCGCAGGTACGAGTCGATCATTTTACCGATGGGCGTCGTGCGGTCTGGAGAGCCATGGATGGCCGGTACGGAGTTCAGAAAGCGCCTCGCGAGCGTTCGACGGGGCACTTACTCACCGGGGAACTTCATCACGCGCACGGGGATGCCTTCGCCTTTGAGGCGTTCCTCGAGCAGAGCCACCTGTGTGCTTTTCCCCGACCTATCGAGGCCTTCAATCACAATGAATGCACCGCGCGTCTTGCGTCCAGACATTATCGGACGCGGTTGAGTGTGTGGGTGATGGGAGCAGAGGGCAAGTGGAGGAGCAGGTGCCTTTGACTTGGACGCGTACGCACGCGCAGGCGAACGCGTCCCGGGCCGCGCCACCCGCCCGCTCGCCTCCCGTTCAACCCCTGCTCTCCGTCGTTGCCCAATCCCACGTCAAGCCCCATTCCCCCAGAGCGTCGTCTACGTCCGAATTGCGTCCACGCCATGCCGCCCGCTGCCGCAGGGCCTTCGAAGCCCTCCCCTGCCCCCGCCCCCACCGCGCGCAAGCTGCGCCAGCCTTCGGCGCAGTACCAGAACATCAACGGGTACATCGACCCTTACTTGCCTCAAAGGAAGTTCATGCAGCCCAATTTCCACGAGATCGCGCGCAAGGGCGACGCCGCGACCGCCGCGGAGCGTCGCGAGCTCCGCGACGCCGTCCAGCGCCGGCAGGTCGTCGAGGACATGATGGAGCTCAGAGGCTCGTTCTTCCCGGGGTACGTCCCCTCTCTTTGTGCCGTCCACACTCTTCCTCTCTCATTCACGATGTACGCTCGTGCTCGTGCGGCGTAGGATGGATGCGATCCGGCGGGACAACGAACGGGGAGAGACCATAGACAGCCTCCGGACGCGCATAGCGGGCCTACAGAAGCAGCACACGGAGGAGGTCCGGACGCTGTACGAGTGGCACGCGCAGGACTACCACGACGAGATGGCCGACATCTCCCGCGCCCACCCGGACATCGTCGACCAGCCCGTAGACGTGCGTGCCCGCCCGCGTGCCCCGTCCGTCGGCTGAACCTGAGCACGCGCCGGCCCCAGGCGTTCTACAGGACCGCGCGCGCCGCGCACGACCTCCGGGTGGAGTTCGACAACGAGCTCGACGCGCACTACCACGCGCACCTCCGGACGGTCGCCGTGCTCCGCAGGCGGCTGCATGTCAAGGAGAAGGTCGCGCTCGAGGCGCAGATGAAGCAGGACCAGCGGTTCCCGCAGACGATCGAGGAGTTCGGCACGCTCAAGCATGAGCTCCAGGTGCGTCTCTGATGCTTGCCCAGTGTCTCCTTCGACGTTCATGTCCTGCAGGTGCGCACTGCGAAGTTCCTGGTTGGGGACGACACCATCAAGGAGCGCTTTAGGGATCAATATGGGTGGGCGTGGCGAGACGTGGAGAGGCTTGTGAACACGTTCAAATCCGATGACGACTGGGCCGACCACCTGCGTGTCCTCCTCCACACGGACAATGCTCTCCAAGAAGCAGGGGATCCGTAGCTCCGGGTCTCAGGTTTCTACTCGTGTATGAACCCGTGGGAAGACAGACCCGCAAATACCGTTGTGACACATTGAGATAATGAAGTGGTGATACGACATGAGCAGCATTCGCGGAAGAACTTAGGCTGTACGAAGCCCAACCTAGTATGCGGAGATCTATCCCAATCAACGACCACATAACTGAGATAAAGGTTTCGCTTCGTAGTGAAATAAACAGAGCCACCAGGGCTGGCCTGACCATGGGTGGGTCGCTTGGTTTTGAGCGAGTCTATGGCGTTGCGTTGTCGCAGTGTCACAGGGCGTCAAAGAAGGCTATAACATCGACATCAACACAACAACGTCCTTTCTTTTCATATCAGGTGTCTCGCTACCCCCGACTCCAACCTTTGACAGATTCCACAGGGCGAACTCTGGACTCGCATGGGAGGCCCTGGTGGGTTTGAAGTTCCACCGCCAGTACGTCCTCACCTGGTCGCAACTGGCTGCGGTACGTGAGTCTCCTCTCCATTACCACGATTTCGTTGCCCATGGTTGACACGCGTGCATTTTTTTCCTCAGCACGACCTGCGGGTGGGTAGGCTGATGTTGCAGCTGATGTGACCCGGCCTTTGCCAATCAAACGCCTGTATACCTCGGCATTCAAGCAATTCTGAGGCATCCCATGCATTCTAAGGAATCCCCACGCGCTGTACACCTTTGCTGACAGTTTGCGGCGGCCTTTGCCAAGCCATGAATTCTTCGGACTAGATCAATCGACGAACTCAACGAACATGTCGACGACGGGGACCGAGAGCGGGGTAGAGGAGAAACTAGCGGAAAATAGTAATTAACGGGGTGGATATGGTGACGACGAAGCGGGGATGAAGCATGGGGAAGAATAGGTGACAAGAAATTCGACGTGCACTAGCGCGCCTCAAGTACATCGAGACCGAATGGAGCCTATCAATGCCCCGATAGAGGCGATCCAGATCCTGTGATATTCAAGTTAACAAGCCGTGGTCGCAAGTCACAGTTGGCGTCGTCCTCACTCACCACAGCACACTCAGCAGTTCGCGCCCCTCACCGGGTTCACGTACCCGGCGACCCCCTCGTCCGAGTAGCCCAGCGACGCGATCGCGTTGTTCCTCTCGGCCGCGTTGGTCGTGTAGAAGTGGTCGACCGCGGACGGCGAGTACATCCGGTAGAGCGGCACGCTCCCGCACTGCGCGCTCGGGTAGACGTACGCGGCGACGCCCTCGCTCGCGTACCCGAGCGCGGCCGCGGCGTTGTCGCGCTCCTGCGCGTTCGTCGTGTAGAAGTGGTCCGTGCCGCCCGCGCTGTAGAGGCGGTAGAGCGGGACGGCGCCGGAGACCGCGGCGGGGAAGACCTGGGCGGCGGTCCCCTCGTTGCTGTATCCGAGGGAGGCGACGGCGTTGTCGCGCTCCTGTGCGTTGGTGGTGTAGAAGTGGTCCGTGGCGGAGGGGCTGTACGCGCGGAAGAGCGGGACGGTACTGTCGCAGCACACGGGCGGAGTGGGGGGCGTGGTCTGGAGGAGAGGGGCGTGAGCAGGAGCAGTTGGAGATGGGCGTGAAGGCCGATACACTCACGACAGGTGGAGCAGTGCTGGATTGCGTGGACGAGGGAATCGAGCTGCTTGAATGCGTCGACGGTTGAATAGTACTGGTGTAGTATGTGGAAGACGGAGGCGTGCTGTTGCAGTCCGTGGAAGACGGGGCTTCACTGCTCGAGGGGTAAGAGGGGTAGACATTGCTGGAGGTGTCCGGGAAAGTGGGGATGGCATGCACAGAGAGGGCGAGGGCCGACAGGACAAGGGTGGCGAAAGAAGACTTCATGATGACTGGGATGGATACGTCTGGGGATGCTAGTGTGACTGATGGCTGAGTGAGGTCTCCGCGACCGGGTGAGCCTTTTATCTCGTGGGGAGACGCGGGGACCCGGGAGACATACGTGCCGTGTCTCTAAATGAAACCATTCGTGATGCCTCGTATACCACTGGAAGCGTGTCGGCCTGGAAGGCAGAAAAATTAATTAGAGAGATGGCAAGAATGACAGTGCAGAATTTACGAGTACCGCTTGAACGGGCATCGAGAACACATGAGCGCATGCTCCAAACAGAACCAGTACTCGTCACTGTCCAATTTAGGCATTGACGGCCAGTATGAAATGAGGAGATGCCCACTTTTGCTTTCCTTGGTCCCTTGCCCACGCGTTGGCGCTGCCACAAGTCACGGTCAAGAGGACGGGCTTTTTCCACCGACTGCAATCAGCACAGACGTAGCTGAGCTTGACGTATCTCACGTCTATTGGGGAATGGCACTGACCCGACCTCGCACCGGAGACATGCACCACAGCTTCGCCTAGCGAGACGGCAAGAATGAATGTCGAGTGACATCGAAAACCACACGGCGACGTGAGCTCCAAACTGTAATACTTTCCAATACCGTTCCGGGATGGAATGACGAGGCACTCACTTTCGCATTCCTTGGCCCAAGCCTGCTTCGGCGCCTGCTGTCACGTCATGTCTTTGCCAATCCCCACTCTCGCTCTTCCACCACCTGGGGCTGTCCGGAGTGGTGACGCAAAGATTCCAAGGAAGGCGGCGAGGGTGCGGATGCTCCGGAAACCTTCAAAAAAGGAAGGACGCCGATGTTCTGAGGAGAAACGTGGGTAAAGACTGCAATGGAGATGACAGGATAGCTGGGTTCCGGTGGGCGCGGCTGTGGGGCGGTGGGGGTAATTCACGGTGTTTTACCAGCACTAGTCCGACCGTTCGGATGACCGCAGTACCAGCGAATACGAGGCGGGAGCAGAAGTTTAGCTTGCTTGTGGCTCTTGTGAGGTGTATTATCTGGAATGTGGGAGGTGTAATGAAGCTGCAAAAACCTATCACACTGAGCGGCTGACAGACGGCATGAGAGGGAAATTTGAAGCAGAGCTTCATGTGTTGTGAAATAGTGATGATACAGCACGATAGCAATACGAAAACGCACGTCTATAACCCAGCGACGATTCCCAGCAAGCGCAAGCCAAGCAAGCCCACCACCACTCGCTTTATCACCTCTTCTCTCCGCCCCTTTCCGAGGGGGTCGTCGTCGTCATCGTCTCCAGCGGGCTTGTCCTTGAGGAGGATGTCCCACGTCCGCCTCCACGCAAAAGCGGCGAGGCGCCACGGTTCGTCCGACTTCGCTTTCTCGAACACTCGCCTGCCGAACTCCCGCATCTCTCCAGACTCGAACTTCCCGTGCGTGAGGGAGAGCACGCGTTTCGAGGGCTCGAGCGTTCTCCGTGCGGGTCCGAAGATGTCGGGGATGTCCATGGACGGGAAGGGGAAGGGTATCAAGACTGAATGTTCGCTGGAATACAACACGGGTTAGCGACGAATTCGGGAGTGGAACACAACGGTGCATGTGAAAACAACAGGACATATGAAGCAGACAACGCATATTCAGGCAACAAGCGACGATGGGTTTGGGCAGACTGCTGTGTATGCATATTGTGGGTTCGCCTCACGCCCAGGCTCAGGGGAGCGAAACCAACAACAATGTGCACTCACCTCGTATCTGGGAAAGGTGGATCACCCCTTTGACGGTCGCCCTGGTCTTCCTCCGGGCCTCCCTCCATCCGCGGGCCGATAACTCTCTCAAAGAGCTCGACAGCAGCCCGGCGCGTGCGCTCCTGCTTCGACACGGACTGGTCCGCGACCCACTTGCGCGTCGCCATGATCGCCCACTCCCTGTTCGTCGTCTCCATGAATTCCCTCGTCTGCGCCTGGAACTCGACCGACTGCTGCATCCCGACGAGCTGCTTCCGGACCTCGTCCGCGTCCCGCGTCCACCAGAGGTACCACCCCTCGCGCCACATCTTAGGCCCCCGGCGCGTGTCGCCGGGCCCGAGCCCGTCGTGGTCCGCGTCGTCGTCGCCGTCGTGCTCGCGCCGGCCGCGCCACCGGCCGAGCATCGCGTCGAGCAGGCCGTCGTGCCGCTGGCCCTCGGGCGGGAGCGGCCAGTCCGCGGGGGACCACGCGAGCTTGCGGCGGATGGAGACGTGCGAGTGGGCCCCGCGGCGCTCGACGGTCTCGGTGCGGTGGATGCTCTTGATGTGCCCGAGCTCGTGCGGGAAGACGCGCCGGAAGCAGATCGAGCGGCAGCGCGGGGGCGCGCCGTCGAGGCGGCCGCCGACGGACTGCGTGCAGTAGGTGAAGCAGCGCTGGTCGGTCTCGTCGCCGAGGCCGCCTGACGGGCGAAAGGCGTGCGGTGTGAGGCGAGGGTGTGCGGGAGAGACGAGAGTGCGCACCTTCTGGGGCCCGTCGGATCTGGATGCTTGGGATCCGGTCCCAAATTAATTCGGGGCCATTTGGGTTTCCTGGCGGCATCCTGAGAAGAAAAGGCAGAACAGGGAGGAAGAAAGAACGAGCGACGGGGAGGAGGGATTAACAGGTGAATGCAGGCCGAGTCTGAGTGCGGAGGAGGCAGGCGGTTACGTAGTGCGCGCTCCAGCCACCAGCAACAAGCGGCGACCGAATGTTTCTGGCCACAAGCAAATCTCCGCCCGAACCGCGCGGCTACTTAGGCCCAAAACTTCGCGGATGCACCTCCTCATCCAACGCTGTCGGAAGGACCGCTATCGCAGCTCACGCACAGGGGGCCTCGCGCCCCCCTCCCTGGCTGTGGGGAAAGTCCCCGGAGAAGCAGACCCACGCCCCCGTCCACCTTGGAAAGCCCTCGCCCCCAAGCACGGCGACACGGACGACGGGCGGCCGGACGCTCTGCCCCGCCGCTCCTTCCTCTCGAGCGGCGGGCTCGCGCCGGCCAGGTCTGCCGCCGGCGGTGCGCTCTGCGGCGGCGCGGAGATATGAGCGCCGCTGCCTCGCCCGAGCGTGCCGTCGCGCGACGGTTGCTCATAGACACAGTTATGCGGTCGCGGGTCCGCCCCCGTTCGCGGGGGCCTCGCGAACACAATGGGGCTTACTCTCTGTCAGCGTTGTCCCCCTTCATACATGCTATTTTTTGCTCTTTGAACGCTCGCTCGTTCGCCGCGATCCGCGCTCTTGTTGGGATGGGTCGCTGGGCAATGGTTCAGGTGAGTATTGTTCCGTTCCGACCTTTCGATTCTCTATGATGCCATTCTTTGGAATTTCTTCAGGGAGATATACCTTCCTCTAAGGAGGGAGGGCGTGCTCCAGAACTTGACACCCTGACCATTTTGTCGCGTAACTGGCAATGTCGCTGACTATCATTCGCAGGTACACACCTGGGTGTAGTGGTCGCCCAAGTTTTGGGGATTCGGGGCGTGGAGAGTTGGTCGATGACGTACGACAAGCCAGTATGTCGGAATCTGTAACATTTCCTTTGTCCCTGCCGACGTTCCAAATATACAAGATATCGGATGATTTTTGCTCTGCTGGATCACTTCATATTTAGAACGCATCTAGGTGAGCTGCTCTTATGTAGGCGAAGTAGTTTCGAGCGAGACCTCAGTGTTGGTATGTACATGTGGACTCTCTACATGTTTATTCCGCTGAAGGTATTTCATTCCAGGCTGAGACCGACTGTCTAATGTCTAACAGGACAAACAGCCTGCGCTCGGACCTCGTATTCACAGACCACTCACCACAAGCCAGAAACAAAACACGCTTGCCACTCACTCTCCCTAAATCACCCGCGCCCCCTCCCTCTCCCTTCAACCCGTACAGCACCCGCCCGCCGACCGCCGACCGCGCACCAACCTCTAGCCACCCCGGAACCCATATTCGAACCGGCCTCCTGCCACCTCCATCATCGCAGCCAGCCCATCCACAACCATGTCCACCAACGAAAGCAAGCCTCACCGTCACACCCGGGGCACACGAAGACGGGGGGCCCCCATCGCCACCCGCACCACCCGTGCGCACGGCGAGGGCCGACGTCGATTCCAACACAAGCCAACCGCCCCTTCCGTCCAGCTGACGCGCGCCGGGAGCTCGACCGACCTCGAGTGGGTGTGGGGTTCGGGGCTGTGGGCGGTCCTGGTCGCGTGCTGGGCGTGGCTTTAGCCTTCGGGTGCCCGTGCTGCTGGAGCCTGGGACGGTCGGCACGGTGCGGATACACGAAAGGCGGGTTGACTCAAATGCTCGGTCCGGTAGAATGTATAGAAAGGCACTCGCAGGGCATGACATCCATACGTACGCAGAGTAGTCGACTCTCCTGTCAGTACTGTCTACGTCCTCGCACCCAATACAATGCAATCGTCCGAATGACCTTCGCACCACACGCGCGCGCACGACCACCGAAGTCTTAGTCAGGAAAGGAATCGATTACGGTCGCGTGCAGGCTAGTCTATGGACAAGAGCGGAAGCGGGGGCTGTAACGGTACGTGGGCGTGTGTGTACGAGGCGCAGTGTCACAAGTTGAGGGTGCGGTCGGTCTGAGAGCAGTACGAGCGGCAGAGCGGGATTAGGTGGAGGCGGAGGCGGGTAGGCTGCACGGGCCAGAGAGGCAATGCAACAGAACGGGGCGGGTCGGGCGGCGAGGGGGTGCAGAGCGGATGTCTAAGCGGGGACGATGGAGAGGATGGCGGCGATCGATGTGCAGGCGCGAGGGCGGACAAGACGCGAGGCGCAAGATAGAAGATGGTTGGATCGATGTGTAAGGCAGGTGGGCGGATAAGTACTGATAGCGATATGTAACGACGTGCGACGGTGGGGTGCAAGGACGGGGGCGGGAGCCCGATGGGGCCGAACGGCCGACGCAGGGGGAGGCGTCAATAATGGGATAGGCATATGTTACCAGGGACGAGACGAGGGTGAGAAGAGGCGGGAAAGTTACGATGATACATGAGCAAAGACGAGAAAGATCGACAAACTGTGAGGCGATGACGTATGTACACGAGAGACGGAAAAAGTGACAAGGATGATGGGAAAACGGTGGATGTGCGGCAAGTGGTCCTCCTTCCTCTAACGTCTACGATGACTTCCTCCTCGTAAGACTCGGGGCCAGCATCTCCGCGACCCCGACTGCGATGGTACTCCGCTCGCGCGAGTCCCACTGAACGCGCATGTTCTCCAGCGTCGGCATGGGCGACGTTTCCGGCGTAGGCAAATCAGCGTCAGCCGCCCGTGCGGTTGGGGTGAGGTGTAGGACCCCGAGCGCCTTGGACGCCTCGTTCGCCATCATGGAGGCATTGAGCCGGCCAGAGGCAGACATCTTCGCGATCGTGTGAGGCTCCAGCTCGAACGGACTGGGCGGCACGAGTGAAGGGCTGGGCAGGGCCTCGAGCGTCAACTTGTGCCGTAGCAGAGGGTTCAACGAGAGCGGGGTGGATGGCATCGACGAGTCGGGCGTGAGGACCGCGTGGATGCTCGAAGGTATGATGTGGGCGGTTACGTCGGTCTCGAGGGATAGGGGCAAGACAGAGGGGTCCGCTTCTCCAGGTAGCGTAACGGCTTGTCGTCTGGGAGAGGGGTAGAGCACAGACAGCGGAGGGGTCCGGCCAGGTCCGCTGGACTGCGGCGGAGACGATGGAAAGCCAATGTGTGCTTCCGCCGGAGGGACAACAGGAAGGGGGGCGCAATCCGCATGGGGGACCGCAACGATGGCAGGGAAGTATGACCCTGGCTCGGCCTCCATGTATATGCGGGGGCATGAACCTGCTAGCTCCGGCCCCGACTTGAGACCTTCCAAAACGCCGTCGCCTTCACAATCGCAGGGTGGGGAAGGAAGCGAGCTGTTGAACGTGCTCGTGCTCGGCGCGTCGCTCTCCGCGTCTGTGTCGGTGTATCCGTCCGTTTCAGGTTCAGTGTCCGACTCGGTCGAGCTGGAAGAGGCCGAGAGCTGAGGGCGAGACAGGGCTATCCGTGAAGACTGCATAGAGAAGGTTTGGGCGACTGAGGATGAGGTGGAGATGAAAGGGGAGGGGTGAGAGGGCTCTGGAATCTGGGTCACAGAGCCGAGGTGGCGGACGTCTGGGCTCAGATCAGCACTGGCGGACATTCCCACCCCACCGCCCAGTTCCGTGCTCGCGTTGGGACTTACGCAGTCATGCACTGAAGGCGACGACTCCGTTACAGACTCCGGGCCAGCGTTGACCGGTACAAAGGTCATGTTGAACTTGCGCCTTGGGGGAGGCGGGACACTGGGCTGAATGATGGGAGAAGGTATTGACGGAGCTTCCTCGACGGGCAGCAAAGGGAGGAAGGTAAAGCCGAGTCTCTTCGGGGGTGGATTCGACGGAGGTGGGAAAGTCGGGATGAGCGCTGGAGGCGCGATCTTGAGCTCTGGGGGCTCGAGGTGAGGACGAGCAGAGGGACGCGACTCCGGCGAAGCGGTCGGGGTGGGTGTTTGAGGATGCGGCTCGGGAGGAGGGGCGGGGTAAGGCTCTGGGGAGTCCGGGAGGAGAGGGAGGAGGCGGATGGGGACCGCGTCCAAGTAAGGAAGGATCTGCGGGTCGACGGAAGGTTCGGACCGGTTCTTCCACTTAGAGGGGGTGTGCGAGGGGGCAGTCGCAAAGCGGGAGAGGGGGAAGGGCGGCTTGTTGGACGAGGATGGTGAGGAAGTGGTGAACGGCTGGCGAGAGGTGGGCTGGGGTGGGGAAAAGGGGAGGCCGACTCTGAGCTGTTTCAGCTCGAGAATATCCCTGCAACGCGACGGGCGGTCAGCGAGGTTCGGGGGACGGTCAGAGGGGGCGCCCCCAGCGTAGAGACAAGAGGATAGGTCAGAGGCGAGTGCGGTGTTGAAGCAAGTGAAGGCCGATGCCGCGTCCGTCATGGATGACGTCGGTCGCAAGTGCCCAACACAGGCATCACGCCCCTAGACCCGTATCACACGTCTCTGCGGGCGGGGACGTAGCGCGCGGTCGAGCCAGAACCGAGCAGGTGGAGGAGAGGGTGGGGACACCAAGTGGGGAGCGGACACTCACTGGTAGGATAGCTTCGGAGTCATAGACGAGGGCGTCCTATCCCATTCATCAGCGATGAACACCTCCTCAAGCTCCTCTTCTGGGCAGAACACAACGGTCTTCTTCTCGCAGCTGCTGACCGAGGAGTCGCTGTCGCTGACGAGCGATGGCGAGGTTCGTCCTGAATTGCATGGGCTAGGAGCGGCACTGCGTTCGGGGGTGATCGGAGGGGTGCACTTGAGGCAGCTCTTGAGTGCGCGCCTCTGGCGGAGGGTGGGACGCACTTCGGCCATGTGGGAGTCTTGGCGGAAGGCGAGGACGGGTGTGGGGGCGGGGAGAGAGAAGTGCGGGGAAGAGAAAGCGGTGAGGGGACGTTATGAGCAGCGCATCGAGCGCATCGTGTCGGCGGTGGCTCGGAACGATCTCCTGGGCGGTTGCCTCCCCTGCCCCCTCTCCCGACTCCCGCTGGAAAAATGCCCTCCCCGCCACGTGATTCGTGTGTTTACGGAACGCCGTCCCCTTCCGCCCTTGCCGATTGGCTACCCCGCCCGCGCCTCCTCACTGTGGCTGACCCCGCTGTGGCGGCCCGCCAGCCGCACCTCTACCGCCCTCCTCTCACTCTTGCCGCACTCCGTCCTCGTCCCCCTTGGGGCACCGGATGGTCCCGCGCAGCTCCTACAGCCAGCCCATGGTCAACCTGACGTACAGCGCTGCGTTGCGTGCCCCCGGCGCATCTCACGCCCCCGCGTCTGCGGTCGTGTGACGTTTGCTACACGTCTTCACGTCCCGTGTTCTTTTGCTCCGCCCGCCGCGACATTTTTGCTCCCGCTTCAATCGCGCGAGTGGCGCGCCCTGTGGACCACGCACCACTGCCATTCACCGCTCCGTCTTATGACCGTGCACGCTCGGATCCCGGATCCCAGCTTTGCACCTCGCTGTGGTTGACATGCCGGCGGGCACGCGAACAAGACGTGTTTCGTTCAAGCGTCTGTTGTATGTTCAGTTTCATCTCGCTGTGTTGTAGCATTTCTCACATGGTTACGATTCGCAGCAGCGTTGTGAAACTTGCCCTGGTCTTTGAATGTTATTCGGCCATCCGATTACATATCGACGTGCCATCCAAAACGTGCTTCTCTATAGGCAGGCTGCAGTCTGAACGCTTCGGCATGGAGGCGAGCCGGCGACATGTCGCCATTACTTCCACGCACAACATGACCTGTGGCTGAATGCCCATATCCGTTCGCCGTGCTTCTCTCAACAAATCAGTCAGCTCAGCGCATGAGAGTGAGTGCAACGTGCATGGCTTACTTTCAACTGTTTAGCGTCCTATCATTCGCAAGTGTGGCCCGCCTGATCTTCCATAGGCAAGCGTTCAATGTCATTTATAGCCTCTTCGGCGGCTCGCGGCGTTATGAAGAGGGGGCGTTCGGGCGACTCGGTGCACTAGGCTCTGTCAGGGCCGTCGTCAGGCGCACTATCAGATGCCGTGTCTGTGCCACCATGGACGGGAGATTTTTCCGTCGGAGTCGTATGTTGTACTGGAATGGGGCTCAACAGACCGTCATTTCCAGACGGTGGCCGAACGCTTGAGTCCTGACGCAACCAACCTTTAGCCACGCAACATATAACCTATCAGAAGTCCTGTCTCTCTCTCACTCGGATCTCCAGCCCTCTACACTCAGCACAGCCTCCGTGCGTTGCCCCTCGGCGCACCCTTCCGATCCCCCCGAACTTGCCCACGGCCTTCCAGATCTCGGTCGCACCCAGACGACCTTCCAAGTCGGAGCCCACCTGCCGCGCTGAGCACGCTCCCATCACCATCGAGGACGGGTGCCAGGTGCCTCGTTCGGATTTCCGCTCGAGATGTGCCTGTCTATCTGCCCCGCCGTCCCTGGCCTGACGTCGGGCTGGAAGCCTGCATGAACTTCTGTTGCGCCCCAAGCAGGACCGAAGACTCCTCGGCCCGTGCCCGCTCCGGTATCCGCGCTGTGGGCAGTGCGCATCATCTACGGTTTTAGGCCATCTCGGCCTCATCGTGTTCGGATCAGGGTATGTACACCTCTATGCACAAGAGGATGATGAACAACGGACACGGGGTATGGCGTGCCTTGCCCGAGCTCGTGAGCACCTTATGTACCTCCGCCAAACGCCGCGAGGAACCTCGTCGGCCGGCTTCACGGCCCAGCCCCGCGCGTCACAACCCCGGAGTGACACCCTCCGCCTCGCCGCCCGGCCGGCGGCTGGCACCATCGATCCGTCGGGGCAGCAGCATCGGCCGGTGGAGGCCCGGCCGGCGCAGAGCCCTCCGAGCTTATATGTCGTCCTCCACGTCCCGGCCGTCCTTCTCGCCCTTCTCCAAGACACACCATGTTTCACCGGACCTTCTAGATTCCTGGCCGGGGTTTCTGCGTCGTGCGAGGCCGGGCTAGTGTCTCCCCCCCCACCCCCACTTAGAACGTGACCTCGCGCGCTCCGCCGCGCCCTCAACAAGCCACTTGGAGCTAGAGTTTCACGGGCGGCACGCCATGGAGCCCACCTCGCTCCCGGCTTCCCGGCTTCCAGAACGCCCCTAAAGTCTTCCAACGCACGCACGCGCACTCCGGAGTCCGAGCGCAAGCGGGCGAAGCAGCACCGGAGACTCAGCAAGCGGGCGCACTATAGCCTGCTGGCAGCCTGCCACCGCTTGGCTCGTTCACGTCGTCCAGGAACGGCGGGCACTCTCCATGTTCTTGCCATCGCTCCGCGCCCTGCCTTTCCGGGCCGGCGATTCGTGACGTTGCCTTTATTTATCGAAGACGACGCTCTGGAGCGCACCTCGCCACACGGAGGACACCGAAGGCGCGTCCGGTCTCCGCGGAGGAGACGATAAGCGGGTCAGCCAGCGCCGGCCGCGGGCACGGTGCTCGTCGAGTCGTCTTGCGCTCTACGCTGCGTGTTCTCGTCCTCGGGGCTCCCCGGTGCCTCGGCGTCCGGAGAGCTGCACAGCATGCGCGGACGCGAGTTGTCGACATCGTGCCTCGAGGACGGGGGCTGCATTGAATTGACTGCTGTCAAGCAGGTGAGTGCTTGGCCCGACGCGCGTTTGACTCACTCGGACTCGCTCCGAGTCCTGGTATCCAGATAGCTGGCTGGGGCTATGACTCGCCCCTCTTGTTGGCATATGATTCCAACGTCCGGATGTCTCAAAAGTTCTAGTGCAGCGTTACTCGCGCTTCCCAGCAGAGTCAACTCCATATTGCAAGAGTGACGTCAGAGATTTGGCTTGTTCCTGCACACGACCCGAATTACCGCACCTGGTTGGGTAATGTCCAAATTCGCGAGGCCTGAGAGAGTATCTCACAGTCATGCATTCATCACCCAAACTTCGGATTATGACAAAAAATCTAGGCGCAGCCCCACAGCTGCTTCAAGACCCGCGGTATGTACAGATGCGAGAAGACACGTGGCACACGAACACATTGCGCCGCAGCCGTCTGCGCACGAGAAGCCCCCTCACCGTCCAGCTCACCGCCGTCTCCGGAGTCCGCAGCTCGACGGCCGTTCAAGCGTTCAGTTAACGTTCCTATGTACTTCTTCGACCTGCACTCGGCGTGCCCTCGCCGACACAACGTTCAATCAGCGCATCACCAACGCATCACCTTCGACCCTCGTCCTTCTCTCGCCGCCGTGCCCCCGACGTTCTGCTCGGCCTCGCCCACGCCCTCGCAGCTGATTCCTGACCTGCGCCCGCCTTCGCGGCTCCCACGTCGCGCTCGCCGCCGCGTCCCCGTGGCTCGCGAGCCGGCGGCACGTCCGCCCCCAGCGGGCTTCTGCGTGGTACGTACGTACGGGCTTCTGAACCCTCCTCGATCCCGCGCTGACGTGTCCGTTCGCACCGCCGCTGCTGTGCGACCGTCAATAGATTGATAGGCCTTCGGTCAGACGTCGCGAACTTGGCCTGCGGGCATCGCCGTGCGTGCTGCGCGAGTACAAGGCGGTCTACCACACTTCGGGTTCTGTGGACGTCGGAGCTGCGAGAACGTGGCGTGGCGAACGCAGTCCGCCCAACCAACGACTCATGGCTTCATATTCCTTCCCTGGGGACAAGGATGTGTCTAGACTCCGCCAAGGATCTTTTCATTATGCTGACGTTCCTAGATACCGGAATCTGATCCAAGGATCTGTCAAGGGTCTGTGAAGAACCGCTGCGTTCTGGAGACACCCCCCGTCCCCGAAATCTGCGGTGAGGACTCATACTGTTCGAACTGTGTTCTTTTTTTTTGGTCGTCCTCGTTCAACGCCCTCGAGGGCAGAGCGCTGAGTTGTTGGCTGCGGGCGGTTTATATGGTGCTGCGCACATGCCACAGAGGTTGAATACCGAGGAGTCAGACGCACGTGGTGCTCGTTCGGGATCCGGCAAGTAGGCAATGAGGATAAAGTCATCCAGGCCCAGCACAGCTCCCTGCAGTCCGCCCACGCCCTTCGGGCTCGACCGTCAGCAATCTCCGTCAGACGACAGTCGCAATGCGGCGTTCGCGCCGGACCTCGTACGCCCCACGAACCGATGGTCGTCGGCGTAAGTACGTTGCGTACGTTATTGTCCCTTCAAAAATGGCAACACACCCGAGCCGCACCAACGCGGGTGCTCGTCTGCCTTCCATTCCCAAGCAGCTTGTCAAAAGCATGCGGCGCGCGCCGGCGACGACGTCTGTCGGGCACCTCCGGCTCGCGCCGTCTCCAGCTGCCCCCGTCCGTCCGTGGCCGTGCAGAGGCTCGTCGCGCCTCACGCGGACGGACCGGGTTCACGAAGGCTTCGGGCCCACTGGACAATGAACGGCCGGCGCGCGGCGTCGCCCGGACCAGACATCGACATCACGGCTTCCCTGCCTGGCCCACGCCTACGTCCACAGTACGTCCTCGCGGCTACTCTCCACCCACCCGGCTCTCGCGCTCCCCCCCCGGCAGGCCGCGGCAGACCGCGTGAGCGCGCCCGCCTCGACACCCGTGCGACCGGCGCGGGGGCACCCCACCGCGACTCGCCGCGTTCGGCCGCGGTTCCTACGCTGCTTCGCGCTCCCCAGGGGCAAGAACGGCGGCGGCGCGGCCGCAGCAGCAGCAGCAGCGCACGTCTGCGCGGCGTGCGGGAGACGGAGGGCCAGAACGTGTCGCGGGCGCACTTCGTGCGCAGACGTGGCTCGGTGTCCACTATCCAAGTAGTAGTCTGTCAACGGTCTCTGGCGAGCCGGATGCCAGATGGGCGCGGGCGCGGTTAGTGCGCAGGCCCCGCGCGCGACGTTCGTCTCGGAGCGCCTGCGCACAATCCGGATACTGAAGCTTGAAGAGTCGTTGTGTGCACGCGAAGCCGGCAGGGGCCTCGCTTCGTCCAGACCACAGAGCCCGCTCGTCTCAGTCTGCGCACCCGCGGCCCATTCTTGAGCTCGCACCACGGTGTCCACAGAAGCCCGCGCCCAGCCCGTGCTCGACGTCTCCGCCGACGCCGACTCCCGAGCCCCGTCCTCCGCCGGCTCTTAGACACTCGCGCCTCGGAACGGACTAGCTCGCGGCTCGACGTACGCGCGCGTCCGTCTGATCAATGTCGTCTCGCCCCCACACCCACACCCACACCCGCACCCGCACGCCGTATCGTCGGCCTTCTCAGTTCTATGTATGTACTGCGCGCGCCATCACGCTCCCCCCGCCGACGCTGCCGTCATCCCGCTCCCGGAGGGTCATGCGCAGATGGCAGAATCCGCGACCAGGCCCATGTCCAGAGATCAGAGATGGGAGATGGGGGGGGCGCGGGATCGGACGGGCGCGTAGATTGCACTTGCGGCGCTAGCGGGGGGGAGTCCCGGGCCCGCGAGGTACGCGCGGCCGCGGCGAGCCCGAGCCCGAGGCGCGACGCCGCCGCGCCGCGCCGCGCGGCCCTCAAGATCTCACCCCGCGCGATGGGCAAGCGGGGTGCGTACGTACTGGTGACTTGCTCGTGGCCGCCTTGAGTACTTGATCAGGTCGACGGTCACGAGCAATGCATGGACGCGCGACGCAGTTGGCCGCGTGCAGCGTTCTGTGGTCTGCGGTCGGCCTGTTGAACTTTGAGCGTCCGCGCGAGACCGAGACGGCCACGGGCCGGTGCCTCCCCCCAGAGGCTGCCAAGCCTGCGGCTCCCATTGATATTGAATATTGAATATTGAACTCGCCAGCAAATCGTGCGCGCGAGTCGGTGCCTCGATCCCGCCCTCTCGCGAGATAGCGGCGAGACACCAGCCTTGGGTCCCACATCGCCTGAACGCGGATGGCAACGCACGCTCCGAGGCTCTTCCGCGGCGACGGGGCTCCCTCCCCCTCCCACTCGCGTGCGGTGTCTTAATTGTGAACTTCCGGACGAGAGAGCGTTCGCCGCGCGGCGCGGCGCGCGATGTGCACATCCTGATTAGCTGCGAGTGGCCCAAGGCTCGAGAACTTGCTTACTTGACCTCGGAGGCTCGCCGACATCGCTCCCGTATATAAGCGCTTCAGTGGGCGTCCGCACGCGGGCTCGCGCACCCGACGCTTTTACGCAGCGCAGCGTGCTGCGCACTCTGGGGACTCGGACTAGCTTGGTGTGCGTTCCCAAGGCCAAGTCCCCTCCAGGCCCTGCTCGCAGCACTACCTCACCGTGGCTGACGCACCGGTGTGCTCTCGGGCCGCCGCCTCGGCGAGCGCGCGCCGCAGGTATGCAAGTACCAGCACAGCAAGAGCTGGGGCAGCCGGAAACGCAAGGTACACACTCCACAGAGTTAGCAGTATGCAGAGGGGCAGGGCCTGCACATATCCGTAGGTGGATGGCACACACACACACTCCCATGTGTGCGCCACCCGACGACACAGAGTGTAACCACACGAACCACGGATCTCGAAAGTCGACAACTGAACGCCAGTAAGTAGGTGGCGCCAAACGCTGACCGGCGCCGCGCCGCACCACGCGCCGACCCGCGCACAGGGCCCGCGGACTCCGTGCGACGGCCGATCGTCGACGAACGAGCGAGCCCCGCGGCCGGCGCGATCGGCGACGGCGCACCGTGGCGTCGTCAGTGGAACTCGACCAGCGCGAGGATCCCGCAGGCGATGTCCCGAGCTCGAACCTCCGTCCCGTCAGCGTTTGAAGGTGGGAGAGCGGGTGCGCGCCGCCTCGGCTCGCCTTTCGCCATTCATGTTCGCCTCGGGGGTCCACACTCGAGAAGGGGCGGGGCGGGAACGCGGCCAGAGCGCGACCGCGAACTCACCGTGCTGTATTGCGGTCGCGGAGGCGCCGACGCGCGCGCGCGCGCTTGTTCTCTTCCGAGTGCTTTGTGGAGATGGGCGCGCGCGCCTAGCTAGGTGTCCTCAGGGGCTTGTTTTCTGCTGCAAGGTGCCCGCGAAAGCCGGGGGAGGCGGTGAAGCCGCGAAGCGGTGCCGCAGAACTAGTACGAAGTCCTATTGAACGTCACTAGTACTGCGCGGGTATGTGCGCATACTTGGAAGACGGCGACGGTGGAATGGACCACACCGCACGGAAATGAGCCTGGAGCGCGCGCACGCACCAGAGGGCACGGAAGACGCGGCAGGGCGCGTAGATGGTTTCTAGTACTGCACGTACGTAGCATGCTGGAAAAACACTTGAGCACTTGGAAGGCGCGGCCGTACAGGAATTCCAGGCCACCCACACATAGCGCCCGCCGCGTGCGCGTGCGGTCGGATATCCAGACGTCCGCTCGTACGTCTACGAGGAAGCTCTCCGCCGACCCTTTTCAACCGTCACGCGTCCGCGCCGTGTCCTAGAATATGCATGCGGCTGGACTAGAACTCGTCGCGCGCCGTCGCTCCGATCGCGACTGAGCCGTGAGTCCCGCCCCCGACCAAACACCGACCGGAATAAAAGCCTCGCACACGCGCACGCACTCCGTACTACGCGTCACGGTTCGGCAGCTCATGAGGACGTGGCGGCCCGCACGCACGACGCGTTCCAGGGAACGACGTGCGGTCCCCCAGAAATTAGAATATTCCCCGCGGATAAACTGAAAATTTCGTCCCCAGGACCCAGCCCGAGACCGATCGCTGGGAGGCTTCTGTGGCTCGCGAACCTGAGACCGCGCGTCGTATGGCAGGTCCACTGGGACTGTTCAGGTATCTGCTGGGCACGTGGACGGCGCACGCATGGGTGGGGGACGAAGGGATAACGGCCATGTGCGTCTGTATTTCGGGCGCCGGCTTCAAAGCCGCGGTGCTACGTAGGCTGCTGTGAGTCCGTGGTGTGCGCGACTGGCGGGGGCGAGGATGTGGGAGGGGGTGGGGGGCATGAGCGAGGGGGCGTTACAGAGGCAAGTCCGAGGGGTACACGCTATTTACAGACAAGGCCGACATCGCCGTTCCCTCCGGGCCCGCTGGGGGGCGGAGAGGCCGGCGACACCTCCGACGAATTGGGTGAACGAATGCAAGGATAGTGGGGGCACAGCGAACAGAAAGGGCAGGCAAGCAAGCAGAAAGCGTCCTCGACAACGGGTGGCAGCGTGCAGAAGAAGTGTGGAAAAAGCGGCTGCGTTGCATCTAGCATATGTAGGGAGACAAAGCAAGGCGAGCGTCATTTCTACCGGCGAGAGGCGCGACTAAGGAGGGTGTGGGGTCTACGTGTAAGAAGCCATTACGGCGGTCGACCGTACGAGAGTCTAAGGTAGATGGTACAGAAACAATGTTGGGAACCGAAATGAGACAGATGTTGCGACGGCGAACTGCAAGAATGAGGTAATGCTACGTGTGTGAATGCGGGGCGAGAGAGATGCAAGATGAGACAAATGGAGCAGAAAGCAATAGCACAACTCGAGAACGGGCGGCGCGGGGGCAGAGTGGGGACGTGGGGGTGTGACGGCACCGCCGACACCGCAGCGCGCGAGCTGTGAACGGTAACGGACACGAGCGATTACGGCGAGGGCGGTAAAGTATGCGCGCGGGTGTGTCGCGCCGCGTGGTCGTAATGGACGTGGAAGTCCTGACTCGTGGGCGCGACGCCGCGCGGGCATATCCCTGTCGTTGTCCCAGGCGATCCGGGGCATGCTAGTAATACATCGGAGGCTGTTGGCAAGACGATGTCGAGCGGCGATATGGTGGTCGGGATGGTGGTACAGCGGGTATTCGTCCCGCATAGACTGCGGGCAATTGTTCCAAGTCCGAACTGAGTGGGTGTGGTGTGGAGACGAGGCGGGGGACCTGTCCTTGGATCCTGTCCTCCACGGAGAGAGCGGGTCCGCAGGCGGTTTAACTGCCGACCATCGAATAGCGCGCGCTTTCTTTTGCGCGGGCGACGGCGGCCCAGTACGGCGCCTGCTTTGCCTGGAGACCGCGGAGGAGACCGACGAGCATGGAGCGGATCTTGGGAGAGTAGCGCGCAAGGACCGTTGGAGATGGCTCCTCAGCGAGGAGACCCTCAAGTAGGGTCCGGAGTGTAGAGGGCACGTCGAAGAGGTCACTATATCGGGAAACACAATGAGTGAGGCCATTCCACGAGGAGTGGATGAAATAGGAACACAAGATGCCGGAAGTGTATAGGGTTGAGAAGATAAGGGGACCGCGGGGAAAAGGCTGGAGAGACACGGACCAATCGGCATGCGGAGCGTCAGGTTTGTGAATGGAGCGCCAGGCACCGCAGCCCGAGTCGCCGGGGAGCGCGGGTACGGCGCGACTTACTGTGCGTCACGAGCCCAGGATAGGCAGGTAGTGGTGCGGGAAGACGAACAGAGAAGGGGGGGAAGGGAAAACAAATGGTATTGAAGGGTAGGGAACAAAAGAAAAAGGGAGCGAAAAAATGCAGGAGACAGGAAACTGACCTCATGTCGACACCCATCCTCCAGAACGCATGCGCCGTCGAGTCGAACTGACTCGTGACGAGCATGAACGCGTCGCTGACGTCCGAGTCCGAGGCAGATTCGTGGGACCAGAGAGCGAGAACGTCCTGGAGCTGCTTGGTGAGGCTGAGCAGGCGCGAGACCGCGCGCTGAACATCGGCCTCGGGGCGAGGGAGGGGGGAGGGGAGCGGGGTGGTGGGGGAGTTGGAGGACGAGGTGGAAGAGACGGTGCAGGTTGAGTCCGCAGAGGCGGGCCGGCGCGCCGTCTGGGGAGGATGAGCGCGAGCGCGAAAGCATGAGGAGGGAGGGAACGTACGTTCACGCTGATGTGCGTCGGCTTGGGAAGCTTGCGGGGCCAGGAGATGGGAGACATGGGCTGACCGAGGACGAAGGAGGAGGGATGGACGGGGACCTGCATGCTGGAGCGTCGGGGTGGGGAGGGCGGGGAGGGCGGGAGAGGGCTGGGGGACTTATAAGGCGATAAGGGCCATGAGTGCAGAGGAGAGGGCTCCGTCGCGAACGGGGCTCTGGCGCTGGCCGACCGGGATGCCAAGTTCGGCAGCGTACCCGGCGGCTTTCTTCCCCCGCCACAACGGTTCGCTGCTTCCCATATTATGTAATTCTCCAGTGCACCGGAATCTGTCACCCCGCATGGCCGTCCACCCTCGCCCGCGCTCATCGTCGATCCGCCTCAGCGCGTCTCCGTCCACCCGCCCCCACCACCCTCGGACGCTCGAACACGGGAGGCGGGGAGTGCACGGCGCGCGGGGCGGGGCGGGCAGCGGACGCCGGCGGGGCTGGGGTGGCCTGCGCAGTGCGGGCAGCGAGCCGGGCAGGCGTTCTCGAAGAGCAAGCCCGTCGGCGCAACTAATCTCAGATCTCTGACTGAGGCCAGGTTTCAGTTCAACGCACGCGCTTCGCCGCCCCTGGGCCCGATTCAGTCGTCGTCCACACGCCCATAATTGTGCTCGCGCCCCTGTCCCCGGCCCGGCCAGCCTCCCTCCCACGTCCGAGATATCCTCAGCGCTCCCCGTCCGGTGCACACTGCACACTCCTTCCAGCGCCGCCTCCCTCCTCCCTCAGCCTCCGCCCCTGCAATCTCGAATTTCGTCGCGTACCCCCGACCGCATCATGCAGTACTCGTCTCGTCCTAGCCTCGCCCAGCACGCCCTTTCCCCGTCCGCAGGCATCACGATCATGATACCGGAGAGCATCGCCGTCGAATCGATGCTCGTGCACTCTACCCCGAAAAGGCAGCCCGATGCGCCTCGAGTTCTCGCCGACTCCGAGCCCGAGTCCGAGTCCGGGCGAGTCACGCTCGTCTTCCCCGCGCCGTGCCCGGCCCCGGACCCGCCGCCGCCGCCGCCCGTCCGCCCGCCCGGCCATGCTTCGCACGCCTGCCACCCTCGCGCGCGTGGTCCCCCCGGACGTCGAAAACGCCGCGGCTGCTGCTCCTCCGCACCTCACCTCCGCTGCAGGCCTCCATACCGCCGAATCCCACCACACCACCCGCCGCGAGCACCCGGGGGGCAGGCACGCCCGACCACCCACGAGGCACGCGCGCACGCTGCCCTGCGCCCGCGTCGCCGTTGCCTAGCCAATGCGCGCGTGAGAACTCTGGGTGAGTCTCCGCAGTCCTTTTGCGCACTGCGTGCCGAGCTGCTGCCGCGCGCCACGTCTGTACGTCTGCCCAGCCTGCGTGGACGGGCACGGGATGGCGGGGTACGTACGCGCGGCAGCGCACAGTCGGCATGCTGCTTCACCGAAGTAAAGTTGGGTGAGTGAAGCAGCAGGCAGGAGGACCGCGCGGTTTGCTGACGGCGACGACGCTCGCGCTCAGTCATCGCAAACGCTTCGTGGCGCCTACTTACATGTATGCAACGCTACCCACACGTACCCGAAAGAGGACGGTGTGCGTCATGCGCGACGCGTTCGGACGGGGGTTCGGTGGGCTCGGCGTCGCGCTCGGCGAGCCCCAACGTTACTACTTTCTGTCTGCTCTTACGTCCATTGGCCCATCATCCTGGGTGTCGCGCACTAACCCTCACTCGCCGCCGCAGACGGATCGTGGGGGTGATGAGCCTGTCACCCTCCGACCTCCCCCGCACCTGCGCTGCATCATCGTCAATGTCGCGCCGTCGCGCCGTCGCGACGACCCTGAGCACCCAAAGTTGCAGGTGCGTTTCGCCGCGCTGCCCGCGGCGCGGGCGCTAACCGTCCCCGCCCATTTAGAGCATTGGATTCAGCGGGCGAGCTGCAGAGCGGGGGCTAGCCCGCTCCGAGCCCGCGACGTGCTTGACGACGATGTCCATGATGATGTGCGCCCGCGAGCCTTTGAACAATCGCCGGCTGGCGCGGCCCCGCGGGGATACGAAGAGCAAACCCCGGCGGGCGCGCATCAGCGCGCAGTGGGCCGGGAGATCTCCATCGTCGACAATTGCGGCCACAGGAAATGCGAATTCACTCCGGACTGCGAGTGCGCCGGAGAGAGGGCTGGCAGTGCTACGGTCCGTCGTCCCCTGCGGTTGCGCCGTCCTCCTTTTCACTGATGGCGACGTCGACATGCGTGCGACGGACAGGGTGCGTGCGGAGCACTGGCGCGCACCGGAGCGGGTGGTGCGCCGCGGCAATCCTCGCAAGTGATAACGGGGAACGGGCTCGGGCGGACTCCTCGAGCACAGGGCTCTCCTCGTGCGGACCGCGCGGACCGTGAAGGAGGATGCGCATAGGGATTGCTGTGAACAGGACAGAAATGAGACGTAGAGGGACCGCCACTGCAACTCGATTCGCGTCTCGTGTTCGCGGTGCAAGCGTCTGCGATCGAGACGCACATGGAACTTCTCCTATGCGCGTTCCGCACCTGCGTGGTCTACGGTCTGCTGTGCGGACGCAGATCTGGCTAGGAGATGCCACTTATCCACACATGAACAGACGCCAGTACCAACCCCATCAGACACATCTGTGTAAAACACAAGCACATACTCCCCAACGCGCGCGCTCCGAGCCTCAAGTGTTCGGTGAAATGGGACGGGATGCAAACATTCATCGCCCGTCTACTAGCCAGGCGGCTGCACCCGCCACGATTCTGCGCAGGCGCCGCGTCGGGGTTCGAGGCAGACGTTCCACGACGCGCCGCCACCTCGCAAACGCACGCGCTCGGCGCCTCGAAGGCGGCGAGCCCGCGTGCTCGGGATCGGGCGGGAGCTGGTGAAAGACGTCTCAGTCGGCAGCCGATAGCAGTGGCGACTCTGTGCGCGCCTTCGCTCCGAGGTGACCGGCCACGCGCACTCGCAGAACAGGACGCGCGAAGCCCCGGCTGCACCGCGGCTTCGACGGAGAACGTTCGCGCGACGCCTCGACGCGCGCACCCGAGCGCGCGTGCGCCGTGGCGAGGGTCCGGAGCTTGCGCGCCCCCCGGCGAAAGCCTCTGCACGCGACCAGACGTTGCAAGCGGGTGTTCGCAGGCGCTTCGTGCCCGTCGGCTCGCGACGTGCTGACGCTCCCTCCGCACCGGGTCGGGACTTCGCATTCGATTCCTCGGCGACGCGGTCACGGACGCTCGCGACGCGTCGTGCGCCCCGGTCGCGCTTTCCCCGGTCACGCTCGCCACGGTCGACGGTCCGCGCGCGGGTCCGTCCGCGTTTCAATATTCAATATTCAACGTCGACCGGAGACAGCTGGGGACCAGGGAAGCGCGACGCGAGGTTATTGGGAGCTTAAAACCCGGCGGCCGGTCGGTAGTCGTGACGGCGGGTTGCCAGGACCCGCGCCCGCCGCCGCCCGCCGCGGTCGCCCGGATTGAGAGCGAGGGGCGGGGCCCGCCGCGTATGTACCGTCGGACTAGGCCCAGACTTGGGCCCAGACGCCTGCGCCGCGAAAGAACGCATCCTCGAGTGCATCACATTCGAGCGTTGTGCTCTCGCTTGGCCCGCCTCACGCCGGGAGTTCAATATTCAATAGAAAGTGGTGTTTCCCGACGTCGGCCGCGGGGTGCGCGTGCCTTGGGTCGTGCATGCACGTCTGGCGTCGGCTCTGTGCGTGCGGGCGTGACTGCGGAACCCCCCAAGAACATCGTGTTTCGCGACCACAAGAGCCTCGCGGGTCGGCAAGCTTGGACGGCGTCGTTCTGGAAGGCCGGTGACGTGCGATAATAACGCCGTCGAGCACCGTGGGCTCGACATTTTGGGGACGAAGCTCGTCACTCGCTGTTGTGCTCCGTTCGTCGCCCTCCGTGGGCACGGTCTCTGCGAACCGTGTTCGCGGGTCGTTGGCGAGGATCGGCGGAAGGCTGGGACTGCGGAGGCGCTGAGGACATATTCATGGATGCCACCGACTGAGCAATCTCGAATGCCGTCGTCGTTCTCGTTGGATGTTCAAGCACCGCGCGTCGCGCCACTGCAGGTGCCGCAGACCCTGGCAGACCCGACCGGCGACGACTCGCGCCGCGCCAGCTGGGACGTCCACGACCGCAAGGAGCGGCTTTTTTCTTCTTTTTTTTGTCGTCCTTGTTTAACGTCCTCGAGGGCAGAGCCCTATGGTAGGCGTACAGTACACAAGCTAAATCTACGCGATCAGAGTGGGTTCTCGACACGGGGGGGGGGGGGGGGGGGGGGGGAAGCGTCAGCTACACAAATGCCCCGGAGGGCGGCAAGGAGCGGCTGACCGCAGGCGGCTGGCTCGACGTTTCACCAGCGATGATACAATGCAGATATCGAGCTGGAGAGCTGGGGATTGAGCGCATGCGTGGCGCCCCGCGCGGGGTGCCGGGACCATCGGGGGCGAACGTCCGTTGCGCTTCCACCCCAGGCCCGGACGAGCGGGCTGCGATCCAGGGAAGAGAGGGTCCGGTGTCGGGATGTGTAGCCACCAATTCGACATCAGAGCGCGAAGCTTCGTTGGACTTTACCGAGCCAAGTGATATCTGCTGAAAATGGCTAGGGCGAGAAGCCTGCGTCCCGTTGTCAGCACAGTACGTCCATTGTTCGTCAAGTATAGCAGGTTGAAGAATGGGGCGTACGCGGGGCGGGAAGCGGGTGTTCCATCAGGTGTGTTACGAACTGTTTACGACCTGTTCGGGGAGTTCCGCCGGCGAACGAGTGCTGCTAGGTGCTGCTGCAGGCGAGGCGCTTTGAGACCGTCCGAGTACGTACGCAGGGTACTTAGCACGGTACGGGGACAAATGAGTGGATCGAGCATACTGAATCAAGTTGGAACCTTTGCCACGAGCTCCGACCGTGTCGGGTGAGTTTGTTTGATATTGAACTCATGTTGCATCTTGGTTTCAGTGTCTCAAGATCTCGTGATAAGTCGGCGACATGCGTTGCTTATTATAACCCGCAGGACGCAGGTGACCGTGCGCACGCGGGTCAGCACATATGCACGTTGACTGAAATCGGATTGTGTTTCAGCCAGTTGCACAGACAGAAGCGCCGTGTGTTCTCCACGTGACCATCTCATCAATGGCGAATGGACATCCCTCCAACATCCCTCTGCACGGACTTGTCGTCCGACGCTGGACTAACTCTCGACGATCTTCACCCGCTGGCAACGCTACTGACGACTTGTCACACTCAATCGGACATCCTGCATCCCACAACGCTTCCTTGCTTCTGGAACATCTACTCAAGCCACAATTTGTCACATGCAGCAGAGACCTGTGCGCGTGCATCCCAGCAGTTGTGAGTAGCTCCCCTACCTGCTTTGCGCCATCTGTTCGAAAATGAGGCTGGGGGAGGTCATGTCGGAAGTGTATGCGTACGCATATCAGTGCACGCACTACGAAGAGTGCGAGTCTTCGGAGATGCTACAGCCGAACTGCTTTCGCATTGCTGGTCAAATTCCCTGTACCCTGACCTCCTATCATCCTTAGAACAACCTAACTCCGCTACTCGAGCCGTGACCGGCCCCTCAGTTGCCATGGCGCGGCGTGAAGGACTCTTCCCAACGGGTTCTATAGGACGTTCCGGGATTCCGGTGCCCCGTACGGGCTCTTTCGAGGGCCTTACCGCTCACCCCCTCCTTTCACCGTCTCCAACGTCTTCAAACTTCTCGTCAGCGGCGCCTCCAGCATCCGGTAGTTCTTCATCCGCATTGGGAGACCCAGCACCAGCTGTACCACCGAAGTACGTTCCGTATACTCCCCGACAGCGCGGTGCCCCTCTTCCTGCTACCACCACACCCGCAACTGGGACTACTTCGCAGCCTACGCACCCCGATCGCGATGCGGCCAACCGTCTTCAGCTCATGAACCTGAAGGCTGCGGCACAAAAGGCAGGTCTGGATGCAGCGAGCACGGGCTGGATGATACTGGAGCGGTTCGCGCTGGAGGTGGATCGTGCAGCGGAGTGGAATGATCTTTGGAATGCGGTTACGGACGGCAAGGTGCGTTTGCAAACCTCCAATCTCGCATTCGTATACCGACGGTTTTGCGATTGTTTCAGGCCACACTTCTTTTGCCCAAAGATCCGCATCCTTCGAACGTTTCCGTTACCCCTGAATTCATCAAAGATCACATTGCTTTCTGCGATGCTGGAGCGGGTTCTAGAGTCACCAGCGTGATCACTCTGTCCGGACTGAGAGGGTCTATCACCGAGTACGCCGTTGAATGTTGCCTTGTACGAGATAGCGTGCTAATAGATGATACGTGCCTCCTCCGGCGTGATGCGACTTCAGTAACGTACTGACGATCCGATCGACCCTGCCTCCCTCATCGAAGCCCTTCCAAGCCCTCCTCTCGCCCGCGACACGCGCCTCCGCATTCACCTCGCTCGCGCCGCTTCCCAAACCGCTCTCACCGCCCCCGCACGACCCCGCAGACGCACACCCTCGACGCAACTCAAAGAGCGCCCCGTCCTACCCCGCATTCCCAGTACACGCGCACGCGTCGAGCCTCCCACTCCCCCCGCGCCCCGCGTCCCTCGCGAAAGGGCCGCCGCTGCCCCCACGGCCCACGGCGCGCCCCGCGCCCCTCGCCACCCCGTCCCCCGCCGCCGTCGGCCCGCGGCTCTCGAACCCGTTCGCGTCGCTCTTCGGGCGCGCGACGCCCGCGCCCGCGAGCCCCCCCGCGAGCCCGACCGCGGCGGCGGCGGCGCTGCCCCCAGCGGAGTCTCCCTCCGCTCCGCCCGCGACGGCGTCCGCGCCGGGCCCGGCGGAGCACGCGGCGCCGCTGAGCGTGCCGGCGTACGTGCTCGCGGGGCGCGTGCAGCGCGCGCAGGTGCTCCGCGAGATCTCGGGCGCGCTCCGCGGGGAGGTGGAGGCCGCGCTCGCGGCGGCGGACGTGCCGGCGTTCGCGCGGGAGCGGGTGCTCGAGCGGACGTGGTGGATGGCCCCGGTTGCGTATGGGAGCGCGGGGGCTGCGCCTGCTGCTGCCGCTGTTACTTCGGGGACGCGTCGCGTGTCTGGACATGGACGTGGCGCGGGCGGGTCGGACGGATCGGCGTGGGAGATGGCGGTGGATCTGTTGGATGCGGTCGACGGCGGAGGGATCGACGAGGTCGCGAGGAGGGTGCAGGAGTTTATGTATGACTTGGAGGAGGAGCTGGAGAAGGGATATGACGAAGAGCAGGCAAGGGAGAAGGAGAAAGGGAGGATGTGGACCCGTCGGGGGCAGCGCGGGAGCGGGAGCGAAGGAGAACCTGAGGGCGAGAAGGAGTCGCTACATGAGACGGAGGAGCAGGTCTCGAAGCACGACGACGATGAAGACACGCCGAAGTCGAGATGGGTGAACAGCATAATGGAGGCCGTGGAGAAAACCGTATGTTCATTGTTTTATGACAGGTGAGTTGAGCATGGTATGCGAAGGTGTCGATTTCTGATATCGCATCCAGGCTCTTCTTGCCCCGAGGGACAGATGACGGGTCCCACGATGAGGCTCTGTCTAGTCGCATCGCTGCAGTTAATCTCTTGGACCTCGGCCTGGCTCACCTCGGCGTCGAGGTGGGTTTGGCCGGAAGAGAGGTCGATTCCTTGATCAAGGCCTGTGGCAAGAGTGAGTTCACAAAGACATCTTCGTTGGAAATTGGCTTAAACGTCTTTACCAGCTCTGATGCAACTGGATGCTGCCTGTCGTTCACCCGCTGACAAAGCGGCTACGCTGGTAGCAGTACACAAGATTCTCGTCGGTGCGTTGTCCATGCGCCTGTGAGTTGGACCCCGTCTCACGACTGCTGCAGAGGGATTGTCCAGGCTGCCACCTTTGCGGCTCAAGTCCGAGGATGAGATTTTGGATGACAAGACCCCAATGGCCAGTTCATTTGGCCAGGACGTCCACCCCGAAGACGAGGATCTAGAAGCCGACCGCGCGGTGTCTCCCCCTCCGGCAGTCGTCGTCTCGCCCATCGAGGAGTCCGACCGGCCTCTCGAGCCAGCCGCAGAGAACGCCTCGCTGCTCAGCGACGACTCCGCGCGCTCTGCGTCCCCTATCCTCACTGTCTCGCCTCCTCCGGAAACGCCCTCGACGGCCTCAGCGCCGACTCCTGTGTCCGGCGATATCATCCTCCCGCTGATGATATTCGCAGTCGTGAAGGCGAACCCGCCACACTTAGTGTCGCACCTCCTTTACACGCAGCGCTTCCGGCGAGAAAAGGCTGCCGGAGGGGAAGAAGGCTATTGTCTCATCAACCTCATGGCCGTCGCGGAATTCTTGGAGAACGTCGACCTCGCTGCCCTCGGGCTCGGAGATAGTGAGAAGATGGTGATCAGGTATGTTTTGCGGCTACAGGAAGTTGGCGGACGCAGCCGCAGTGCAGTCTGTGCCCATGGATACGCGCCTCGACGACTTATTTCTCCTCATGCATCCGCACAATAAGCAGCCGCTAACCCTTCTCGTACGCGACAGCACCGCGGAGCTCACTCCCATCCCCTTCTCGCGCCCCGGCTCGGACGGCGGCTCCCCCCGGGTCTCAGCCTCGAGCCTGCGCGGGCGCGTCGAGCAGCAAGTCGACGCGCTCGCCGGGTCCGCGAACAAGGTGCTCACCGGCGTCGTCGACACCTCCTTCGGCGTCCTCCGCGCGCTCCTCCCCGGCCAGACGCTCACCGTCCCCGGGGCCGCCCCCGCACCGCACCTAGAGGGCGTCGCGACCCCGCCGATCGACGGCACGCAGGGCGCCGCGCCGTGGAACGCGCCGCAGCCGCGGTTCGGGCTCCTCCGGCGCGACACGGGCTTCTCGATCGCGAGCATCGCGGCGTCGCTGCCCGGGCGCGCGAAGACGCCCGCGCCGGGCGAGGAGGGCCAGCAGATGGTCGACGTGCCCAGCCGGCCGGGGTCGAGCCGGTCGATGGGGCCAGGCGGGGAAGAGGAGGAGGATGAGGAGAGCGAGGACGGGGAGGAGGACGACGACGACGACGAATACGAGGAGGAGGACGGGCACGACGCGCGGAGCATCCGGAGCTTCGAGAGCATGATGAGCCGGCGGAGCCGGCAGGCGAGGCGGCGCAAGTCGACGGGGGCCGCCTCTGGGACGGGTGCGAGCGGGAGGAAGAGCCTCGCGGACCGGCTGGCGAGCGTGCCGGGGCTTGGGAGGCTGTCGCACGGCGCCCAGGGCGAGGTGGCGAAGGTGCGTGGCCGCGATGCTTGGGTGGTCTGTGTGATGCTGATGAGAGCTGTGCGAAGGCGTCCCCTCCGACGTCGCGGCCCACTTCGCTGCTCGTGCCCTCGTACGCGGCGCCGAAGGTTATCGAGTCGCCCATTCAGTCGCGCTCACAGTCTCCAATCTCCATTCGTATTGCGCCGCCGAACAGCCGATTCATGACGTGTGCGGAGGATGACCTGAGGGTGTCTGAGGTGGGCGAGCTCCTCAGGGAGTATAGAAGGCTGGTTGAGACGGTGCGTGCGATGGGTGGGTTTGGTGAGTAGACGCACAGGTGAAATCAGCTCAGCTTTATCGGAATAGATGTGTATATGTATACAATCACAGGGGTATTTGCTGCTCTGCACGGGTGAACTCTGCGTACACTTGCTCGACCCGAGGCCTGCACTTTAACAGTGCTGTTCCCGCCAGCCGTACACCGGTGGATCTTCAAGTTTTTCACCCAGTGTCATCCTTCGTTAGCCCCGACGACACCCACTCTACTTCACGTTTGTGCGAGGGCAGGATGATTTCGTTCGGAGCCGATCCATTCTCAACATGGGTGACCCAGGTCCCCGATTGCTTGAAAGTGGCAACGCGCTCGAAGGAGGGGTCATGCACTTGACGGCAGTGAACGTTGGGCCCCGCCCGGGCTCTCCGATGAGTCCACCATCCGCCATCCACCGCCTTCGTTGGGCAACAAGCCACGGCTCACGTTTGGGGCGAAAATGACCCGTGCTGTGGAACGTGAACGTCCTACAAGCGAACCAAAACCGTTTAGAACGGTGAACGAATCGAGGCGGCAGGGCGTTGAACGTTGAAAGTTGAACAAGGGCCAACGTGGGCATCTCTGGGGCTCGCCGTCGCACTCGTTCGGAGATGCAGTCTCAAACTCCCACTCATCATTCGTCTCCTTCCTGCCCATACACACTTGTACATCAAACGCTTTCTCGTCCGCTTCATTTCGCTGTTTCGGCAATCCAGCAACAAACCCATTCGTTTTTCCGCCCTCGTCGACACCCTGTCGCCGTCCGTCCACCGCTCCTCGCTCAAGAGGGAATGCACTGCGAGTAGACTGCGCCAAGTCAGACAACCGCGCCCGCGAACCAACGGCCGCGCGAGACACTCACAGTCGTTCGAATAGACGCATTTGGAGCCAGCTGCACGCCCGCGTCAGCACCGCGCCGCACACGCCGACGCAGACAAAAAAACCCACCAGCACAGGTCGTCGACCCAGCGTAGCCGATGCCGCCGCATTGCCCGTACACGGGAACGGTCGTCCCAGTACCCCCCGAGGATGCGGAGGTGGTCGTGGTGGTCGGCGCCGTCGTCGTCCCCCCAGAGCCGGATGAAGTGCACTGTCGAGTCAGTCAATACGTCGGGCCGCCGGACGGCGAGTGGGCGCGCACCGTGGTGGACGTGAGGAGCGCGAGCTTCCACGGGAGCGTGTTGTAGTCCCCGCTCGAGCCCGTCGGCAGGCCCTGGTACAGGTACTGGCTCGGGCCGCAGTCGGGGAGCGTCATCGTCTGGTCGACGTTCGTGCGCACGGCCTCGCCGTGGCTGATGTCCTGCGTCCAGGCGGTGCCGGAGAACTGCACGTTCTTGGAGCCCGCGAACGGGTTCGACTCCGTCGCGGCGAGCGCCGTCCAGGAGCCGCTCAGGCTCGAGGCCGTCCAGGAGCGGAAGTAGCGGTGGCCGGTGCTCCCGATGCACTCGACGATGAGCAGGTACTGGCTCCCGACCTTGTACACGTTCGAGGCCTCGAACAGGTTGTTCTTGTTCGAGTCCGAGAGCGCGATCACGACGTTGCCCATCCCGTTCGGGAAGTTGGCAACGGTGGTCTGGGCGCGGTACAGGTGCCCGTTGTCGTCCGAGGAGAAGTGGTAGCAGTTGCTGGAGTCGCAGATGACCCACATGTCGACCCAGAAGCCGCTGCCGATGTTCGAGCTGATCACGCTCGGGTGCTGCTGAAGAAGTGCTTCGGGGAGGACCAGCCGGACGGGTTCGTGATGTCGGAGTTGGTCGAGTACGCGGCGTTGCCGTCCTGGTAGATGAGGTACCACAGCTTCTGCGTCGACATGTAGAACACCTGTGCGTGTGGGCCCGGCGGCCAGGTCAGCGTCCTGCTCGTCCCCCGAGGCTGCTCAGCGTACCTGGGGCGCCGCGCGGTACCCGCTGCTGATCGGGGTCGCGTCGAGGTAGTGGAACGTCGCGCTCTGGGCGCTGTTGAAGTTGGTGAACGTGAGGTAGACCATCTGCGCCAGTCGGAGGTAAGCACTCATCCCCCGCTCGTCCCGCGTCCGCCGCGCACTCACGTTGTACCCGGCGGCGGTCGCCGTGCTGGCGAAGACGTGGTACGCGCCGTTGTAGTATATGATCGAGGGGTCCTTGAGCGCGGCGATGCCCTTCCCGTCGCTCTTGGGCTGGATGAGGATGCCGCTCGACGTCCACTTGAAGCTGCTGATCGCGCGCGAGGAGAGCGTCGCGTTCGTCGCGAGCGCGCTCGCGTCGACGCTCGCGGCGAACACGGAGGACACCGCGGCGACGAGGAGGAGGACGAGAGACCTGAACATGTCGGCGTCGGTGGCGAGGACCTGTTTCTGGGCGGGTTGAGGTCCCCTCTGCGCCCTGCCGACCGAGTCTTATATCCCAGTGCCAGGGGTGCGAGGCTCGACCTCTCTCGCCTGGGGCCGTGAAAAAGCCGAGCGTTGGCCGAGGGTGATGTGCCAGCTGCCGTTCCCTGGCGACGTCCGCCTCTCTTTCATCCGTGGTTTCTGCGCCAGAGTCCATGGTGCGCGCCGCACGTGCGGGAGGAGCAGTCGGTCCCGGCGGCGGTATTAGTGCGAGCATCTGCCGGATTTTTTACCAGACGGGGCGCGCGGCGAGCGAGAAGAGAAGGAGGGGCGCACCAGAGCCCGCAGGCGCCGTGGATCGCCGCGGGGGGCGGTGCCGTCCTGGGGGAGGGTTTGCTCGTGACGCAGTCAGCTGTAGGGCGACGCGCAGGGAAGCCGGGCAGCTCACGCGTGCGCACGTCTAACCGGCCTTCTTCGGCCTCTGTTGACCAGGATTAGGGCGGGGTTCCGGAGGCACAGGCCCGCGTAGTCCTGGTTACATCTGCACGGGTTCGCGCCTGAACATTCAGCGACGCCTGTCGCGGTCCGCGTGGGTCCGGACGGGTCCGGGCGCGCCCTGCCATGTCCTCCGACTATCCGCCAGGAGGATGGCTTGGGGCCCCGGAGGGTAACGGCATCGGAGTTTTTTGTGAAGCTCTGGGGATGAGCTCAATGAAATTCATCTAACAAGGCACCTCTCACGCAAGAAGGACGCACTGTTCGGGAGATGCCGCACTACGGCTTTCCTGATACACACTAGGACGGAACAGGGATAATAATATCGAGCGTCGCAGAGGCAAGGAGAGGCTGAGGAGGCTCAGAGACACGGAGAGGAGTGCGGGGAGAGGATAGAAAGAGAGGGGGGAGCACCGTAGACGGAGAGCCGTGAGCATCGACTACTACAATACAGGGCGGCGAGATACAGAGCGTGTGGATAGATGGGAGGGAATGTCTTCGTACGTGACCTCCGTGGGTCATAGCACTTATGCGAGAGGAGCTTGGAGAGCGCAAAGGGGAGAAGGCGCATCCTACGCCGGATATATACAAGTCGTGTATCGCGCCTCAACCCACCCGGGTTGGGCAAAGCAGTCCGACTGCTCGCCGCGGCGGGGGCGGCGGGGGCGACCTCGTGTTTGATTTGCGCCACACCCATCGAGCGTGTGCGCCCGCCCCACCCATCGAGCGTGTGCGCCCGCCCCACCCGCCCCGCCTCGGCGACCAGCTCACCGGGAGCAGCGCACAGAAACGAGGGCGAGGCCCACAAGGAACCGCGGCACGCCGCCCTCGCAGCGAAACAAGTCAGGCAGCACCGGGCGGCGTGCGGGGGTTTGGTGTCCTCAGGAGCTCGGCCGTCCGCCTCATCCGTCGACGTCCATCCCGACCTCGCGCTCCTCCTGCTTTATCCGCTTCGCCGGCACCCCGTTCGCCGCGCCCGCGAGGCCCGCGAGCGCCGTCGCCGCGAGCACCGCCGCGTCGCCCTCGTCCGCGTCGCTCCGCCGCTTCTCCCCGCGCGCCCCGCCGTGCCGGTCGCGGTCGAGGTACAGGTACTCGCCCTCCGCCGCGAACCCGAGCAGCGCGCTCTTGGGCGTCGCGAGCCGCGAGCCCGCGTCCGAGTGGCCGCTCGAGAGTGAGAGCCGGTCGAGGTTCACCCCTGCAGGCGAGGGCGCGTCGAACGGCGGCGGGGCGAGGTTGAGCGGCCCGGGGAACGGCGGGAGGCCCGTCAGGGAGCTCGCGCTCGAGGAACGGGGGAGAGGGAAGAACGGGCTGGAGTAGCCCGATTGCGAGGCGGTCCCGGGAGTAGTGGGCGTGAGGGGCGCATAGGGGGAGAGCGGGGACGACGGTGTGCGCGAGCGGTGGTCGCGTGCGTGGAGGGGGAAGGGAGGGAGCTGGTTCTCGCGGAAGTTGAGCATCGGGTCCGTGTCGGCGTCGCCTTCTGCGTTGGGATTTTGACCACGTTGGAGGCCGACAACGCGCAGGCGCTCAACCCAGCTGAAAGTGAGATTCGTATCAGTGAGAGACAGTTATGAAAAAGGAAAAACACAAACATGTCAGCGCGCTCCAAGCTGTCCTTGAAGACGGCAGTCACACCACGCAGCATGTCCAGACTCTCCGTCGCGAGCGTCATGATTTTCTGTGCGGCCTGGTTCGCAGCGTCGACCGTTGGCGGCGCCCCGCCCGTAGCGGTGCTCGTCTGCCTCGAATGCGTTCTTGTCGGTCCCCGCGCAGGCGAAGTGGCGCGGGACGCGGGCCGCGATCGCGGTGCGGGTCCCGCTTCTCCGGGACCGTAGCTGTACGGCGCGTTCCCTCTATGCCTTCCCCTCGACGAAGACGAGGAGGTGGCAGAGCTCTCGCCTCGCACGTCGTGCCCTTGCCCTGAAGACGCCGCTGGGGGAGGGCCCGTGCCTTCGAGTCCAGTGTTGGCAGCGACGGCCCATCTCCGCGGAAGACACAGGATGAACGAGCGCACGCGTGACCGCGCCGGCTCCGGGAGCGCACCGCCCGCATACCGACTGACGACCTCGACGACCTGACGGATGGTGTCGACGACGTCGCGCTTCGCCGTCTGCAGCGTGCGCAGATGTTGGGCCGATATCGGGGTGCCGTGCGGGGTGCCTTCGGGCTGGAGAGAGACGATGAAGTTGCGGAGGACGAGTATCTGAGCGTCTATCTGCGTTGTGGCATACTGTTTCGAGGGCAGACGATCAGACGCGTGTGCCGCGAGCAGAGAAAGGTCACGCGCACCTGCAGCCATTGCAGGCAGTACCGCAACCGCCGCATGCTCTCTTCGCTCAACGCAGCACTAATACCGCCGGCTTCCAGGAATACAGCTTGCCACCGGCTGCGCTGTGCGACCTGCTGGCTCTCGTGTGCGTCCGCCTGCTGGGTGAGCGTCGAGGCTGGTGGCAGCGTCGGCCGCTCCGGCTGTGAGCCCGTTGAGGAATGTGGGGTAGGGGTCCGACTTTGCATGAAGCTCGCGTGTGGCGATGGTGTGGTCGACGTCGCTAGCGATCAAAACCCAAAGCACGATTCAGCCCATTTACCCCCGCCGCAGACAGAGTGTGCGCGCACGATGCGCAGCTTGAAGGACTCACATGGTCTCGACCGCATATCGTCCTCTTCCCTCGACCAACGGTCGCTCGACGAGCTATCTGTGCGGCTCATCGACGGTTCTCTCGACTCCCATGGTCTCCTAGGATCCGGCGCGTCCACCGAGTCGGACCGTGCATCGCGGCTCGGCGGTCGGCGGGTATAGCTGCCCAGCTGAATAAAGAAAACACATCAGCGAGACGCTCGACGTCCACACGCAGATGCCGAACGAGCGACCCTGCAGAGACTGTCCCGCACTGGGGAAGGGGCGCACGAGGAGGCGTATGATCGCCCCTGTCTGCCGTTACCCCGCACCGAAACAGGTAGAGGCATTCATCGTGCGGTATTGGGATGAACGTGCCCTCCCGCAGAGCGCGCCCCAGGCGGTTGGCCGGACAGTCGGCCGACGTCATCGCACGACTGCGTTTTCCCGAGTGGGAGAATCCGCGAGCGTTTGCGTGGAGGCGCATGGCGCGAGGCGAGCGTCGCAGCAGGCCAGATGACACCCCCAGAGAATGTCTCTGCGCGCGGGACAAGACGCCGTGGGGCGACAGGTACGTATCGTACGCAAGAGGCGTGGGATGGAACGAAGGGGCGCGAGGAGAGGAGAGGAGAGGGGACTCACCCTGTCGAGCTGCCTCGACGCGAACTCGTCGAGCTGTGCGACGGGCAGGCGGTCCATCACCGGGCGAGAGATGGACTTGACGGAGGACTCCATCATCTCCGCGCCGTACTGCACAACGATCAACATCCGTCCGAGCGCACGAACGGCCGGGTCCCCGACGCACCTTGACCACGCGCGAGCTCGCCTTGCTGTGCTCGTACGCGCGCAGCGCCGTGGTCACGATCGGCAGGCTCGTCATCCGCGACGACAGGCTCTTCCACTCCGCGTCCTCGCCCCGCCCGTCTGCGGCGGCCATCTCGGCGTCGTCGTCCGCACCGTCGGCGCGGGGCCGGGTCGCGCCGCGGAGAGCCCGGCCGCGGAGGCGCTGCTCGTCGCGCGCGTCCTCGTCCACGAGCTGCGGCGAGGGCAGGGACGGGCTCGACGCCACCGAGGTCACGGACAGGGCGGGGGTCGTCTGGAACGCTGCACGTGCGATGCGCAAGTCAGCGTGCGGGGTCCTCCCTTGCCGAAGACGAAGACGAAGAGAACGACGGGGAAGGGAGTGGCACGACGGACACCGGACTCACAGGTCGAGGGCGAGGAGGCGTTCGCGCCGCTGCGCATGTCGCCGAGCGCACGGACGGCGATCCGCACGGACTCGTCCTGGTCGGCGAGGGCCATCGTTCGTCTCGTCTCGTCGGGGAGGGGGTGTTGATGGGCGCTTGGTCGGCCGCACTTTTCTCCTTGATCTCTTCGCTTCTCTGCGGGGGGGCGGTCAGTCAGGGCCGTGCGAGGCTGGGAGCGTCCAGGGTGCGGGCAGGCGTCGGTTGAGGAGCGGCCGGGAGTCGGGAGCGGAGGAGAGCGGGGCGGGAGGTCGGGCAGGCGGGTGGGGGCGGGCGATGGGGAGGGAGAGGAAGGAGGCGCGGAGGAGGATGGGCAGGCGTTGGGGAAGAGGAGGAAGCACATGAATTCACCCACGCGATCGCTGCTTTCACGTGCCCTCGCACGCCAATACATATCTTATCGAGCCGCCCGCGCCCGCCACCCGCTCTTCTCGCTTTTTCTCGTTCTCCCACCCGCGCTCGGTCAGCCCAAACGCGTCTCGGTCTGCCTCGATCAGCTGCCCGGCGATTCGCGGCGGGCGTAGAGCACGACAAGATGCACGGATGCCCGGATATCACCCCGGTGTCGCCAGTGCCGCAGCGAACGGCAAAACTCGCACAGCGGCCGTGCGATCCAGTGGCTCCTTCCAGGGCGCCGTTGCAAATCGATACGCCATCCGTTGGGGACCCCTTGCCATCTCCGTTCTCGTGCGAGATAAGTAAGACGGCCGAAAAACACGGGCGCAGCGACTTGTGCCCACGTGCATGCCACACGCGTTCCCATCCGAGTTAAAAACAAGACTGCCATTCGATGACAACTCCAATAAAACGGCTCTACGCTACTCGCAGGTCGTACACTACAGCGTGGAGACGAGAGCCCCTCAAGGTTGTACAAGCCGGCGACGCATACATACACTCATAATAACACATCCGGACGAGGCACGGGACACGACCGACAGCGTACTCTGTGTGCATACAATATCCAACAGTCCGTCCACCCACGCGCGCGCGTTCTTCGCGGCCTGGGCGGCAGCCAAACGTAGACCAGATACCGACACCACAACGACACGAGACAGCAACACAGACAACATGGGTGAGCACGACGGGAAAGGGAAACGCAAGTGCGAGAGGGGGACGAGGGGAGCATAACAGCGATTGCGACGAGCCAGAGTGGGGGGTTTAGAGGAGGACGTATATGTAGCGAGACCGCCGTGAGACGGAGGGAGAGGAAAGAGCTATTCACATTTTTCAACTCGCCGCAATCGTCCACGGGCCGCCAATAAGCAGGACCTTGCTTATGGGGCCAAGAGGCAGGGTATATCAACAACTGCACCCAACGCTCACTCGCGTATGGGGGACGCCGACGCCGGTGGTGCGACGTGCCACACCGGCGCGGTAGGGCCCTCCTTCGCGCTCTTCTCCTGCCGCGCGAGCGGAACTGCGGCCGCCCCCTCGCTTGGTTCCGCCATGACGGTGTCTGACGACGTCGCCGCTTGAGGGTCCGATGGCTGACCTCCACCCTCTGCGGCGCGCATCTCCTCCAACCCGCGCTGCACGCCCGCCATCATCCTGTTCGTCCGCTCCAGCATGTCCTCCAGACGCTTGCGCTCCTCCGCCAGTATCCGGTAGTGGTGGTCGAGTTCCGCGACGCTCGGCACGTGCGCCACGCCCTCCACCATCACAGGGGGAGGTCCGCTGTGGTAAAACGAGGGGCCGACATGTCCGACGGCGAACGGGGCCGGGGGTCCTGATCCGGGAACGTGCAGCGGCGGGGGGATACCATAGGCCGCGCCAGGTGGTGGGGCGGTGAGCGCATGGATAGCGAGTGGGGATTGCGTCCGACTCGGCGAGCCGCCACCTTGTGCGGAGCCTGAGCGGATATAACTGCTCGGGGGCGGGGGCGGGACGTTACCGTATTGCGAGTTCATAAGACTCGTTACGACGTCGGGGCCTAGCGCAGCGATCAGAGTAGGGAGCGCTTGGCTCGGGTGGGCATGAGGGAAGGGGTTTCCACGCGGGGCGCCAGGTCCGTAGCGTTCCAGGTCTTGCTGCGACATACCAGCCTCCATGCCCTGCATCATTGTCTCCCCCCACTGACCCGCCTGGGTCATGCCGTTGTTGTCCCGGGAACCTACACGCGCCGAGGTACGAGCGGTTGTCCGACGTGCCTTCCTCGGTTTGCCATCGTTGTCGTCGTCTTCGTCCCCGTCTTGGTCCTGGTTACGTGCCTTCGACGCACGAGGGCGACGAGCGCGCTTCTTCGGCTGCTCCTCTTCGCTCTCCGTCTGTGCACCGGTCGAACCAGAGGGAAGCGCGCGACCAACGCTAGCAAGCACCTCTGCCGCGGCTTGGTCCGTCATGCGGTCTTGCGGTGTGGGGGAACTGGGAGCACCGGGGGCGGCAGGTACGCGTTTCCTGCGCTTGATGACTGTCTTCTTCATCGAGTTCGGACGGTGGGTGCCGTGAAGTTTGAAGTAGAGACCTACACGTGGCGGGAGGAGGAAGAGAACGCGTCAGTACGGGCTCTCAGCGACGAATGCTCGACACAGCGGATCACAGGCGCCGTGCTGACGTGAAAATAGGACCGTGTCTGACTTCGACGAAAACCACGCTTGGTACGTGACCACGCGTAGCTCACCAGACCCAATGGGAGATCAGACGCGTACACGCTATCTGATAAGATATCAATTGCACATAAACGCCACGAGATCTGATCTCGGCGATGGCGCCCAATCTCGAATGGGGTGTGGACAAAGGACGAATGCCGACCGTGTGCGGCGCGGCGAGGAACGACGAACGCGAAGATAATGATCAAAGCAAGGACGTACCGCAAGCGTTACAAATGTTGTTCCCCACATCGTCTCTCCGCCATAGTGGAGTAGTGCTGGTGTGGCAGTTGGCGCAACTGAGCGCACCGACTTGGCTCCTGACCCTCGACCGATTGTTACCGGCCAGTGCGCTGATAACGGGCGACGACTCGGCACCGGACGTTTCAGCTCCGGCTTCCGCGGCGGAGGTATCTGCCTTTTGTGTCGGGGTCTGACCGTTTGCCGCCTCGAGTGAGCCTGCTTGAATCGCGTTGTTATAAGTGGGGCACCCATCGCAAGCAGATGTGCCTCCAGTGCCATCACATCGCCATCTCCAGGACACGTACCACCTGGGTGCTTCAAAGCAGGAGTCCGAGTGACGTCCGCGACCTGACCCTTGAGAGACGGCGATGCAGCGGGCGTTGGCATGGTGGAAGGGGACGCGGTTCTACGTCGGGTCTGGTCCTGGCCTTGTGTCTGGTTCGGGTTCTGGGCCTGGGACTGGAGCGGACTAGATGTGCCTTGCTTTGCGTTCGGATGAGTAGCAGACTGCAATGTGGAGGTGCGACCGAGAGAAAGAGGACGCGGGACGTGCTTTGTCCTGAAGTAGAGGCCTGAGGGAGGAGAGATCAGTCAAGACGGCCCAAGAGGAGAGGAGGGGGCGATGATATCAGGGCGGGGGTCGTGCCATGAGCATAAGTGCAGGCACGTCGCAGAGAGGCGCGTCCAGAGGGAATGGGGGACCGGACGAAAGAACATGCGCGTCCTCGACTCATGATACGTCGAGTGAGGGGCCGGTGTCGCGTCAAAACGCGGCAAGGAGGGGGAGGGGGACCCAATCCGCATGTCTGCGAGCGAACATGCGCTCGACGCATAGATGCAGCGAGGTATCGATATGATTGCCTCCGAAGCTGCAACGGACGCGTTGGACACGTGGCGCAGGAGGAAAATCAAGCCCGCCTTCCTCGTCTGGGTATTAAAACGAGAAGCCGCATATCCGCGGTGACGATAACACGTCGCATACACAAATGAAGGCCAATACTCACCGCACGCGTTGCAGATTGACTTTCCGTCGTCACCACGCCTCCACTGGGGGGTGGTGACGGTACCACAGTTGGTGCACGCTAGCTCGGATGTGGCGGGCGGGCTGTTCTGGTCTGCAGCGGAATCTGCAGACTCTGTTGCACGTTCGTTCAAGGAAGGGTCGAGGGGAAACGGGGAACCTGGGTTGCGTGGCTGAGAGGTGGGGAGAGGGGAAGGTGCGTCGAGAGGAGACGCGTCGTCGTTCCTGGAGTGATCGGAAGCAGGAGGGGTGTGAATGTGGCCGTTGAACTGTAACCGAGACATTGTCGAGAGCGCAGGGCCATGCACACTGACTGGAGGGGGCTCGAGCACGAGCGGAGGCATTAAGAGATGTGATTAAGCGGAGGTAGGGTTGAAGGGAAGATATTAGTCAGGCGTCCAGAAGAGAGGAGGCCTTGCGAGTATAGAGCAGAAGACGAGGACGAGGTGGCAGGGATGTTGTGGCCGACGGCGGATTGGAGGCGTCGAGGGCGGCCAGCCGGGGAGTGATGAAAGTAAAGAGGGAAAGTGCCAGGAGGGCGGGACGTCTTGATAAAATCCCAGATAACGCACAATCGCCCCCGCCGACCAATCAGAGCGCGCACATTAGGGGGCCGTGCGTGGCGGCGTCTATCGTCCAGATTCGGCGGCAAGCTCCCCGCCTCTCTGATCATATCTTATCTCCCGCTCCAGGCCAATCGCACGTCAGGGTTTCTGCGCTCGCCCGGCCCTGCCAGTGCCCAGCGGTGTACGCGCACCTCGCCCTCTCTCTCTCTCCTCAGCGGGGACAAGACCCGGGGTCGCACGCTCGCGGCCCCGTCGGAGACGGCGAACATCGAAGCTCCGAAACGGATGGGGAAGATCTTATCTCCTCTCGCCCACGGGAGCGCAGCCAGTCGGGGGTCGCCAACGAGGGCCGAGAGCGATGGGCAATTTCCCCGCATCATGACGCGCCCCGCTCGCCCAATCCCGAGGCAGGGTCCGATGCTCTGGAAGCAATCGTCCGGCGCAGCCACCGGCGTCCTTCTTGCTCTGGTCTTATCTACCCGGAGTCTGCGCCTGCCACCGCCCAACCCACCGTTCATTCCACTTGTGACTTGAAAGTTGGGACGATCCTGCCTCCTCTTGCTAAGCACCCCGCGCTACAGCTGGGGAGAACGACGGACGCATGGATCAAAACGCACAGCACTAGTCTTTTTCGCGGACGCTCCCAAATCCGGGGTCGGCCCGTCGTCTTCGCCGCTCGTCCACCGTTGCAATTGGCTGCCTGTTTCCTCCGCGGTAGCTCCCATCCCGCTGGAATACAGATAATGCACTTTCGCGCGCGGGGGCTCTCAGGCGGATATCCACCAACCGAGTTCTCCTCTTCTCACTGGCCTGCCGCTGCGCATCAGTTCGCAGGAATGAAAGAGGTGACTGAGAACGGACTGTCCAAGTTGGTCCACTACGCCCAGCCCAGCTCACCGCACATCCAGGCACTCGTTGATCACGCAGCCATGGCATCTGTCGCACTCGATGGCGCCGCGCCGCTTGGGACCTAACCGACGACTCGTACCCCGGTGGCGAAGCTACAGGTCCGGCCGCCACAAAACGCAAACGGGATGGTGCCCGTGAGTGAGCGGGCTTGTACTGAATGGGGGTTTCACACGGCTTGCATTCCGAATGCCATTTGTTCCTTGTTTTGTTCCCATCTGTCGAACTTAAGATCCTATTGCGTATGCTATAGTCTCGAGATATTTCACTGTCCACGGGACATGGATGTCAGCGACGACGGCACGGTCAACAAATGTCATCCTTATGAGCCGAATGAAACATGTGATGATTCGGACTGATGTGGACCAGTGGTTTGTCTTGTCGAGTACTCTCGTGACCTCAAGTGGTCGCAAGCATGTGGTTCGAGGCCATCATCATCTACAGGCGACTCGATAGCTGAGTATCGCGCGAGGCGAGTCAAGACGGACTGCAATGAAAGAGTTTCGGGTAAGTACTTACTACTGGTAGATTTCAGCCAGCACGAGGGACTCTCTCTCTGTCCGTGTGAAGCAGCCCCACGCTCTACGGGACTGTACAAGAGCGTGCTGTCGCTACTGCTGAGCAGCATTTACAGAGATATTCTGTACCATATTGATCAACCAAATACTCGCCTGACACTGGGATACTTACTTACTGGATACACCTTCGTGCAGATAATCTGCACGTACGCAATGGGACTATGTCCATTAGAAACCGATGGACCTTCAGTTATAGTACTGCGTCCACTGAGAAAGAAGAGCGACATCAAGCTTAAGGCGCCCGTGTCGGTGCTTGTACCGGGCGTCTATACCACGTGCGATCAGACGCGGGTGGCTTCTCGTCGCCAGAGGGCAGTTTGCACCATACATCCCGGCACCTCAACCTCAAGACACCATGGTGAGTCTATGCCTGTTTTCTGCACGCCAGAAGGTCTTTCAGGCAGTTGAGACACGATGTCGCGTTTGAACGGGCTAATTTGGTGGACTTTGGAGGATGGATGGACTCGACCCCATCTGGATGACGGCGGATGGGCATTGGCTTGGGCGGCCCTTCTGGCGTGCTTGTCCCGATCTCTGCGAACGGTTGCTGACCCCACCTTCTCCTCTGTAGACCAAAGGTTCGTCGCTGCTGCGATTGGAGATGAAGGGGACTTCGGACTGATCGTCGGACTCGTGTGTAATGGTGCATAGGTACCACCTCCTTCGGGTGCGTATCCCCGTCACTTGCGCTGCGTCGCGCCTATCTCATCCCTCCTCCGCTCACAGTAAGCGGCACACCAAGTCCCACACCCTCTGCCGTCGGTGTGGCAACCGCGCGTTCCACAAGCAGCACAAGGGTGAGTTTTTTTCACTTGCAGCCTCATACATCCCCCATATCCTATCGTCCTTCGTCCCCCCTGCCCCGCATGCTCACACACGGCACGTAGATTGCGCGCAGTGCGGCTACCCCAGGGCGAAACTCCGGTCGTACGAGTGGGGCCAGAAGGCCAAGCGCAGAAAGACCACCGGCACTGGTCGCATGCGTTACCTCAAGACCGTTTCAAGGCGATTCAAGAACGGCTTCAGGTTTGTCTTTAACGTCGTCATTTCCTCCATGGTGCACGCTGACATCAAATCACGCTAGGGAGAACACGAAGGCCGTCAAGCGGACCAAGACGACGGCGGAGGCCTGAACATGTCATCATTTACTGCACGACCGACTGTACCTCACTCGCCTCCATCGCATCGCTTTGTCCGTATATGACGTACCCCCTGTATACTGCCACCCAAAGACCGGCGCGCGCCGGCGTCCACTGCACAAAATACATGAGCCATGCCATGCCCCCATTATGCATGCATATCCTGAATTCTATACTATGGAAGCGACTGTCAGGTCCTCAAGTTGCGAGAGTTTCGGGCGTTAATGAGGCGGCTCGCTGCATCGGGAAGAGATATCAACTCATTCCCATTCCGACATGTCTCCATCCACCTCATCTTCGCCTAGTAGTTGTCCAGAAACGTTTGCCTGGTGTCCGGCTTGGAGCAGGATATCCGCCAGCGTCATACTGTTCCCCTCGTAAATCTCCTCGTCCTCCTTTTCCTCTTCCACCGTTCTGCGGTGACCGCTTCCGATGTCCATCTGTCCCTCATCCTCGTCAACCTCCGCTGCGCTCTCCAGACGCAGACTGGGCAGCCGCGGCACCGGCACCCGCTCATAGCGCTCGATGTCAAACGACGCGCGAGGCCCGCTCCGCTTGATGCCCGACAGCAGCGCGCCGCGCGTCCCGCGGTCGCCAGGCGTCCGCTGCGGAGCCACGCCGAAGTGGACCGCGAGGCTGCTCTGGTCCGGGTCCCCCTCGCCCTCGTGCCCATCCCCGTCGGCCGAGTCGTTCGCGTCTGACGAGTCCGACGATCGATCCTGCACGGAGTTGACGATCTGCGTGGGGTGAGCGTGGGGCGCACGTGTGAGGGAACGAGGCGGGGGAGTCGAACGCACCCGCCAGATCTCGGCGTCGTCGCCGCGCCCGAACGTCGTCGACCGCCGGGTGTGCGCGGCGGACGCGCGGCGCGAGAGCCTTCGTGCGGAGGCCTTCGAGGCCGTGCCTCCGTCGGGGGCCGTGAGGCGGACCTGCTTGGACGGGACGCGGTTGGGCGGCGGGTGTCTTGTCCCTGCCGGGTGGTGTGGTTTGGCGGCCGTCGACTGCGAGGGCGCCGGGGCCGGCTTCGGGAGGCGAGAGGGTGCCGGGGCAGGTCGTGCGGGGTCGTGCTCGGTGAAGGGCAGCGGCTCTGCGGCGAACGGTGGGAGCAGGGCGGTGCGGATGTGCGCGATGCGCTCCTCGACCGCGTTCTCTGGCGGTGCCCTTGCGAGGCCGAACTGGGCGAGCGAGGACGCATCGGGGGGCTTCTGCGGTGGGGGGCAAGACGGGAACGTGACGTGGGTCCGCGGTGGGGCGTGGGCGGCGCTCACCTTGGGCTCGACGCCGGGCCCTGCTCTCCTGTCCCACAGGCGCGAGTCGAGATGAACGGCTTCGCGTTTCGCTACTACGCCGTCGGATGGGCGGGGTGCTTCGTTGCCCTGCGCCTTCTGCAGACGCTGCTGGAGCTGTGTTCGGAGGTTCTGTGCGCTGAGCAACGCGCTCTGCAGAGAGCGCTGCACCCTCTCGATGTCGGCGAGCCTCTCGGAGATCGCATGCGGCCTCGACGTTGAGGCGCCGTCTCCAGGCTCATCTCCGTCCGGAATCTTGGATGGTTTTGCCGTCTGCAAGAGCGGCATTGAGAGCGAGTGGACGTAAGCCGGATGGTGGGCAGCTGCGATTGGGAGCGGGACAGGCGGCTGAGAGCCTGTCTACGGACGCCCCCATCAGCAAACGTCTCGACCCAGCAAGGCAGCCAGACGAGAAGAACCCACCTGCGACGATTCGGCTAATCCACTCCCATTCTGTTCGGCCCCTATCTCATCTTCCACGCCGCTCGAGCTCGAGGAAATGGAGGCTTCTGCGATACCAGAAGCTTCCGAGAGCCCGGCGAGTTCTGTGACGAGCAGCAGGGCTGCACGGCCTCCCTCGCCCTTCCACGCACCCCCAAGAAGGTCCCGCCACCGGGAGTCGCGCAAGGCGAGGAGTCTATCTGTGGTCAGGCTGTCGTATTTAGAGCTCGCCGAAGCAAGTTGAGGGTCCGCAATGCGCGCCTAAACCACGATCTCATGAGTATCGCCCGCAGGATGCGTGGAGGGGGGCGTAGGGGGGCGTACAAGGCCCGAGGGTAACGCACGCGGATCACAGAGAGGTCGTGTTGCTGCCGCAAGAGGGCCGCCGCGGATCTCTCCCATTTCGCTCTGGACGTCTGGGCGGCAGAGAGCTGGCGAGCGTATCCCCGCGGGAGTGTAGAAAGCTCGAACTGCACAAGGAGGACGCATCCGAGCACGGGACGCGAGGAGATGGCGTGGGTCAGCACAAGACGGAGATTAAGTGGTGATGAAGGTTCTCTCACCTGTCCATCAGCAGGAGTCGAGGCGGATTGCAGTGTGGAAGGCGGGTTGGTTGTGGTCTGACTCAAAGCACGTGCCTTTGCCGTCCTCGTCGTGCACTTGAACACGGCATGGGTGGAGAGTGCAAGTATGAGCCGTTCAAATCTGGGATCTCCCTGTGAGTCGTTCATACAGACGATAATGCGAATATATGCGCACCGTTCGCCGCTGCACTCATCGAGAATGGATTTGCGGACGACGACGTCCTTCCACCACCACGCCAAAGCTCCGTCCTGAGCTCCGTGTGCCGGCCGCTTCCCCTTGACGTCGCCGCCGCCGTGCGTCGAGCCGGCGTGAGTTACGACACTCCGCAAGGCATCTAGATACTTCGCAAGCGCGATCCTAAACGCGGCGGAATCGGACGGCTGCGCGCACGGGTAGGTAGGCAGGATCTAATGATCTCATAAAAGGGTGGGCTTGCGTGAGCGACAGCAGACCACAGGGAGGGGAGACGCAAGGCTCACCGCCTTCGCATGCTCCCTGGCGCCTTCTATCTTGCCGACGAGGAAGAAGACAATGTCTTCCATCGCTTTGGCGCGCTCGCGCATGCCGCGGCTGGTAGAGAACAACCGATCATCGTACGCCGCCGCGTCCGTGTCTCGCAGAGGAAAATTAAGCAGGTGGAGATGGAGGATGATGAGCAAAGCATGCGGGATTGCTTGCTCTGCAATCATCAAATCGTGTGCTGGTGGACGTTGGGTACCCTCGTGGGTGTCGACGTCATCAGCAAAGGGCGTATCTTCTTGCCACGCATCGGGGCGTCTGACCGCGCTTGGCGCTTCCTGATAAGGACTTGCCGTCTTTTGTCTGCTGGACGGCTGATGGTAATACATGACAATCAATTATCTGCTCTACTATTGCTTGCAGATCATGGCATATGGGAGATGGACCAACGTCTGCAAGACGAGGGTTTGACATGTATGGTAACGTATGGTGGGGTGGGAATACTGGTAGGCACATTATATATATTGCACATCCCTGAGGCACGGTGTTGTACATTCCGTGCACATCCTCGACACGGGGCTCGAGCATGCGCACAGGCGGGCGTGGGGGCGATAGGCGAGTGCGCGGCGCGGGGTGGAGACCCAGACGTCGACGAAGGCGAGGTTCGGGTGGGGCGGGAGGTGGTCCGCGTCCGAGAGTCGAGACGTCGTTCTCGCGGCCCTCGAAAACGAGGTGGCGGACACGGGGGAGGCGGAGCCGGACGCGCCGTCCTCGTGCTCGTCGTCGCGGGGGCCCATCTCCGTGTGGTCGCGGAACTCGAGGTAGGTGAGCGCGGCACGGTGCGCGCGGAGCACGCCCGGCTGGACGCGCGTGACGAGCAGGAGGACGAGCGCGGCGAGGCGCGGGAGCGCCCAGCGGTCGAAGCGCGGCGGGGGCGGGGGCGGGGCGTGCCGTCGGTGTGCGCGGAGGCGGCGGTCGAGTCGGGGCGGGGGCGGTCGGAAACGGAGAATAGTCCGAGTCCAAGACTTACCATGATCTGATTGCACTCATGATAGATGGAAGTGGGGGCCATTGCGCGCGATCAGCGCCCGCGCAGACAATAGGGCAAACAAGACGCTTCGGCGCGAGCTGCGCGTCTACTGAACGTCTCCCGCAACCGCCATCGTCGCTCCCGATGCCACTCGCCTCACAGTCAGGTATATGAAGAGCACATACCTGGTGCGATATCTCCCTCTCCCTCTCCTCCTCTCATCTGATCATGGTCAAGTTCCCCAGCCTCTCACAGACTGCACGTGTATGCAACGCCTGGGGCGAGTCGGACACGGCGACCGGGTTCCACCACACCCGGTCCCCGGGTGGCAGGTGGTTCAGAGAATGGGATCAGGCGCACATCGGTACGTAGCCCATTCATTCAAATGTGTCTAGCTGAGGTCCAATCGTGCGATCAGGCTGCCCTTGGTGCCTCCGGTCGGACTCACGGCAAGCACCCTGCTCCGGTCGAGCCTCTCGAAGGAGAGCCACATCCCGCCCCTGCCGCTCAGCCAATGCACCAGGTCCTCGTGCCGATGGTCCTCGTCGCCCCCTCGTCGTGCATTCTCTGAATGTAGAACAGCGAGAGTTTGAGTGAGGTCGACCCGACCAAGCCACGAGCTCGTAAAGGGCTCCTCAACGGCGCCCGCCCGCCTGCCCCGGGCCAGTTGATACTCAAGGTAAGCGTCGGTTTTTTACCATACATCTTAATTGACAGTTGCATATTGTTAGCAGGCTTACAAGGCCTTGTACGGCAACCCGGCGGCTGCGATCTGCGGCGATGCGGGTGGGTTACTCACTCGGAACTTGGAAGCAGCCGGGCCAGAAGTCCGTTGCGGAGGGGACGGCCATGGACGCCAACAGCTTCAGGCTGTACTCCGTCGTCGCTACTGCTGCTTTGGTGAGCTCCTCGGTCACGTCTTCGGGCGTCTTCTGACGTATTTTGCAGGTTCGCTTCCGATGCAGACTGTCCCCCGACCACAGGCGATCAGATGCTCGAAGAGAGTGACAGCAAAGAGGAGACCTGGGACACCGAGGAGCCTGTCGGCGACGCGTCAGGCGACGATTGACAGGTATGTATGGTATGCACTTGTCTACGGCAGCACTCGCTCACCGTCTCATTTTACAGATGTAATCATGTATGTTCAAAGTGCGGAAAGCTCGTGATTCACTTTCGTTCTTGTGTCTCCACATCTCCAGTAGTCTCGTATTATATTTTCCATGATCCGATAGGTTCTTCTGAATGATTAATGCGTGTTTTAATCGACCACTATCCAACCAGCGGCAACCTGTGTGCTACAAAATGCGGTCTTACATCCCAACATATGACAAGGGTCTAAAATCATTGTGTCAGATTACCATGTCGCCCCTTGTGTATGGTCGGACAACTACAATGCGTGCAGCCAGGTATTGCCATTGTCTCCCTCGTGTATTGCCATCGGCCCCCTCATGTATTACATTGTGCGGCGGGAGAAGACAATTGTCCGACCAACCGGCGTCTAGAAGGCGGTAGATTGCCATGCCAGACGACCGATGGCCGTCTACGGCTACCACCCTGTCATACGTGATCTGTCTTGCGATTACTTACCATGCAATACGGCCGTTGATCACGCACTGCGATGCATTATCTTCGAATCCCCCGTTTTGCTGATGGTGCGATGCTCGGCGACTCTTTTTATTATTATTATTATTTTCGACCTATCCCCGCATGTCACAAAGGGTGCACATGTAACTACACGGCTAAGGTACTATCCCGCGTTCGTTTGACGCCCGCGTGGGCACGGGACCGCGCCCGTAGGCAGCTGCGGAACTACGACGTCATCACACTGGGTGCCGTCCCTGTAGCCTAGGGATACCAGTCATATTTTTGACACTGTAGCCCAGGGATACCGCTCGGGTGGACTCATATGAGTGGGCGCTTTGTAGCCTCTGTTCCCACTCATATGAGTGCACAGCCACCTGTGTAAGCCGCCTTTCACTGCCTGTCTATAGCATTGTTACTATGCCACTACTATTACTGCTTTATTATCATGTAGCCCAGGCTGCTGCTCATATTAGCCTGTCGCTTAGGCTACCGCTCATATGAGCATGTTACTTAGGCTGCCACTTGTATGAGCATGTTGTTTGGGCTCCCACTCATATGAGCCTGTCACTTAGGCTACCACTTGTATAAGCCTGTTGCTTAGGCTGCCACTCATATTGGCACAGCGCTTATCCCGTGTATTGCCACTGTGGCTACTATAAATTTATATATGTTATAGCCTGCTGCACCTGTATGGTTACAAGCTTTGGTGTGCACCCACTACAGATCCTTAGCATATGAGAGTCGTCCACCATCATTAGCTTTATATACCATTCCCGCACCTACTGTCTCGCTTTGCGATTGCCTCCTAGCTCCTCCCTGTCACCTCTCCTACCCGTCTCCCCCGCTATCATGAGCCTCCCCGAGGTCAAGTGTGTCCCTCTAATCCGACCTGACTTCCTGCTCGTCTCCGACTTGCCCGACCTCCATGCTCCTGCGCTCCGTGACTGTAACATATACATATATACAAACACGTTCTCACCCTTGCTTATGGTTACTAGTATTTTCTCTGAGCACCCATTCATGTCCATGGTATGTACACCAACTCCTGAGTGCCCGTTCTCAATCACACATGTGTGCAGACCACCCACCCTGGTTCATAGTATAGTATGCACTGAGCACCTGCTACTACTATTACACCCCATCCACCAACTGCCACCCTACCCCACTTTGAGTTCTCCACTGTTTGACATTCGCCCAGGATTTTTTTTGTGCCACACATGTCTCCCCATTCTTTGTAATACATCCTATGCATGTGAAGCACACAATGATTCTTGTGCACATATAGCACTCTGAGTGCTCCACTTCCATGGGCATACACACTCTGAATGCCTATTTTTGATGGCTGTATACCCTCCAAGCACCCAATTTCATGGGCATACACACTGCCATAGGCATACTAACTCTGTGTGCCCACATTTGATGGCTCTCCTCCTCCGAGTGCCTGTGTGTGGTGGTCATTCAACTCCGAGCGCCCGCCTGCAGGTGGTCATTCAACTCCGAGCACCCACCTGCAGCCTGGCAGGTGGTCGTTCAACTCCGAGCGCCCGCGTTTGATGGTCATTCAACTCCGAGCGCCCGCCTGCAGGTGGTCATTCAACTCCGAGCGCCCGCCTGCAGGTGGTCATTCAACTCCGAGCACCCATCTGCAGCCTGGCAGGTGGTCGTTCAACTCCGAGCACCTGCATTTGATGGTCATTCAACTCCGGGTGCCTGCCTGCAGGTGGTCATTCAACTCCGAGCGCCCACCTGCAGCCTGGCAGGTGGTCATTCAACTCCGAGCGCCCGCGTTTGATGGTCATTCAACTCCGAGCGCCCGCTTTTGATGGTCATTCAACTCCGAGCGCCCGCGTTTGATGGCTCTCTTCCTCCGAGCGCCCGACTGCCACACCCCGAGCCCGCACCCTCATTACCTTACCCTCCTCCGAGTTCTCCACCGTTCAACGACATCTCGGGCTTGTTTTATGCGCGTTTCTACCCTCTTTCTAACGAGCCGCCCCGTTTCACCATGCGACCCGCCGTCGTCCCGCTGCACGTCGTCTTGTGCGACACAAGATCGCCCCCCACATCACCTACTTGATGCTCCCATCTCTTGACGGTTCGGAGCTCGTTTTTGACGCGGTTAGGTTCGTTCTCTTCCCCTCTTCAAGGCCGTTTCGATGCACCTTTGCGCGCGTTGGTACACCCAGCCAATTGCCCATGACAGCTGCCGCATTGCCACCTTTTTGCCCTATCTGCATCTTCCTCAACCCCCGCGATCTTGAGCACCACGGCCACATATCCCGTTCGTTCCGCACGCATTTTGGTACGCGTGCTCCCCTCATTACCCCGCATATAACGCGCCCTCGACGCCGCGAAAACGCGCAGCCGTTCACCCGCAGCAACCACTGCTCTCTCCACACCGCCTCCAGCCATCCTCAGGCTTGGACTCGATGCGCCGCTTTCCCAGTTTTGCTCCGATCGCACTGAAAATCGGAGCTCAGATTGCCCTCATCAATTCCTTTCAAACGCGCCCACCTTCGTCTCGCCCGCCGCACTCGTTCGCCCGCTGTGCGCTGTGCAAGACCGCCTGAAATCAGCACTCCCTTCCCATCTTCCCAATGCTCGATCTCGCCCACTTCGCCACCTAAGAAGACGTGGATGGGTTCATTCGTCGCGCGTCATCAAGCCCTTTCGATCGCGCGCTTGGATGTAGCAGTCGGAAGAGATTTGCGCCATGTATGACAGGATATGTGTATGTTCAGCTTACCTTGCCCCCTCCTCCTGCCTCCCCCAGTCTTGCCCTCGCATCTTGCCCGTTCCATGTCCGTTTGGCGTGCGTTTTGGTGCATAGGTTAGCATATATCCCCTCGTTTTAACGCCACCTTACACATTGTGATCTGTGCCTTCCATGATGTTATATTTTGGTGCTCAGCACCTGTTTGATCTGACCTATACTGTATACACTATCAACCCCCTCAGTCTCCCTCATTTTTTTGGAATGAAACTGTACACCACATATGAATGCAGTGCTGCACACTGCAGCATATTGATATGAGTTGGTCTACCTGTACTGGACACCTTCTCCCTGGGAAGTCACCCTTCACAGCAGCATGTGTAGATGGTAATTCACCAAGCTGTTTTCTATATCAGAGAGTAGCTTGTAAGATCTGTGGGTTGCAAATTTGGAAGACAGTAGCTGCAACAGTGAGGGAATAATGAGGTATGATATTTTAAAATGACATACCACACACAGACATGGGATAATAGTGTATCACATTCCGGACACCTAGATATATTCACAGACAATATTCTGAATGCAATGCAGAAGATAGCGCACAGAAATCCGGATACTTGGTGAAGATACAAGATATGTGTGGAAAGTGGAAGTTCTGAGAAAACACGACATGTATAAGTTCATGTGCAGACATGATATCAACGGCTGTTTGCTGAATCACACCTGGATACTATTAAGGTGCTCA